ACAGCGCTAACCTGGAAGTCCTCAACATCTACCACTTTCTAGACCGAAAAGAACCTTTGGAAAAGCCCACACCTTCTTTGCCAGCACAAGCTGACTAGTCATGATGCAACTGAGGGCAACATCCTTGTTGCATTTCTCTCCTGCTCCCACTCCTGCTGAAAAAGTCCACTGGAGGCTGGGAAAAGCCTGTCCTTCCCTGTCCTTCCCTATCACATGGGCATCCTTCATGAAATGAGTGAGGAAGGCATCCCCATTGTTCCTTCCCCTCCCCTGAATCCTGATACAAATTGTCTTTCTGGGCAATAAAGGGAGTGGTAGCTACCACTCTTCCTCTCCTCTCTAGGCCACCTTTGTCTCAAACTGCACAGGCTAGCAACCTTTTATCTTCTTCCATATATCCTCAACATTCCCTCCAAAGAGTAGACATAGGATTGTATTTGCAAAGTGGAAACAGGCATGCTCTTTTAACTTCAGAAACAGCACTGCACAACAGAGCAATCAATATAAAGGCCACAGACAGGGCCCTTCTTCAGTAAAGTTCATATAGGTGTGTTGGGGTGCCAGAAGTGGTTTTCATGGGTGCTAGGTTGGTAACCCCTGGATTAAGCATTAAGTACAAGAGTTACTAGGTTTTTACAATAGTTTGCATCAACTTGTTGGATAACAACAACAATAGTAATAATAAATTCTTACCTGTACCCCGGTCATCTGACTGGGTTGCCCCAGCTACTTTGGCTTTCAACATAATAAAAGCATGGCAAAACATTGAGCATTTCTCAACAATAATAAAATGTTCCAACCTTCTTTCCTTTCTCTCTAATGGATAACTAATTTTGCCTTAGTCTGCCTGAAGAGAAGCTATGACAGCATTAAAAGTCATCACTACTGATTGTCATATTATGGTGATATCAAATACCTTATTTGTCACATTGTACAGTGCGTGAAAGAGAAAATTATTTTGAAAATTAATCATGGGTCTGGTTCATCAGTTTCTGAGTGTATGATTGAAATACAGTGATTCAAATACACAAAAAAGTAAAAGGTTTTATACCCTGCAGGAACGGTGTGGTAAGATGGCTGAAGAAATTGCCAAGTCCCAGCCCACTACATTATCTCACAAGCCTGGATTAAAGCCTGAAGACTTTATTGTTGATGTAAGAATGATCTCTTTAAATGTTCATTTTAAATGATTTAGATTTCTTAACATATGTGCCTACAATGCACTTTAGTACATTTTTATTTTTGACTTGCCTCTGTGAAGGTTATCAACATGGATTATGGAATGAAAAAGAAGAACCCTGTCAATAATGTGCGTTTCTACTGCAAGTCTGACCTAAATAAGGCATTCAGAATTTCTAAAGAACAAGTAAGTAAGATTGGGGTGTGTGTGTGTTTCTGCCTGTTTTATTACAATAGCTTTTTAAAGAGTATCTGAATCCATGTGAAAATGACTACAGAATTGCATGGCAATAGTAGCAACACAGTTCTAATATCACCTGCTATGCAAGTGGTTTTAAGGTAAAATTCCCCTGTGCAAACATTCTTGTAACTGAATGGTGCTGCTGAGAAATTTGTTGAAGCTTTTTCTGACAAGGTGACAAAATTAAGTGTATGTGACTTCTTTTTCCTTCTGTCTTAAGGTTTCAAAGCTCTTACCAGAAAAATTTGAAGAGCAGCAAATCAGGGTTTATTGTAAGACAGCAGATGAAATCTGTGATGCAAGAAAATATTTCGTTCAGTGGTGTATAGACAACAATTTCACTAAACCACAGGTAAGAAAGGTTTAACATTTAGCAGGTGCATCTCAGTGTAGAATCATAGAATTGTAGAGTTGTAAGGGACTCTGAGTATCATCTAGTCCAATGCAGTAATATGCAGCTATTCCATACGGGGATTGAACCTGCAACTTTGGCGTTCCTCACCACACTCTAACCAACTGAGCTATGAGATTCAGATCTACCTCATTCTCTGTATTCCTTTTGTTCATCACCTGTTCATTCTTCCATAGTCTCCTCTATCACCAACCCATTATTACTTCTGCACATTATGAACACAAGGGACCTGAGAATTCTAAAAATCTCAGAAATCTCGTTGGAGGACAACCTAGCCTTTATGTTTACATTCTAAAACAACTGTAATACTACCACTAACTAGAAGTTTTGTATCTGTTATGTTTATTAATTTCCTTGGAAATGATGAGTACATAAAATTTGTTGAGAGGGGACTACCACAAATAAATGGGGTACAGCATGAATCACCCATTACCCTTTTATGACAGTTTGAAAGGGCAGTGCAAGAATGTTTTTCTTGTAAAATGATGTGTAAAAAGGCTCCAATGAGTGTCTTGCTCCACTTGCCAAGAAGATGACAGAATGTATTGACTGTTAATTTCCAGTGCACAACTGAGCTTCTTTTCTTCATTTTGATGCTTTGATAGGATGGTGATATTGTTGCCCCTGAACTTACACCAATGAAAGCAGACTGGAATGTAGTCAAAGATGACGAAAAGCATGATTCAAAGAAAAACAGTTCTACTCCAAAGCCCAGAAAGTCACTTTTTAATGACTAGAACAACTTTTCTGTTGAATGATTCCGGTTTGTACAACAAGGTTGTGTTATAAAAACATGGAAACATGGAAAGAAAAGCATTAGTGGAAAATGTCAGTCTTAGCTCAGACGAGTTAAAATTCCATTTGTTGTAGATTTCACATGGACATTTGATGACTGGCAATGTTCTTATTTTGTTAATTCAAATGTGTGCTGGTGAAGAAAGGTCTACTTTCAAAAACAGGTTGTATCCAATGTTAGTCCTACTCAGAACAGAACTGCTGAAATTAATGGACATGGCTAATATAGCTCCATTAATTTCAGTGTGTTTGCTCTTAGTACAACTTAGTTGGATAAAGCTCAAAAGTTTTTGGGAAAAACCACAAAAACCGCCATTCTATTTCAAAACTTCTTTCATTTTCTTAAGATCAGCACAATAGTATAATTTCTCCAGTATGATAAATGTTATATATGAAACCTATTGTGGGGAAAGGGGACAAGCCTATGCCATTTGCCTATCTTCTGTTTATGATAAAAGTGCTTATCCTACTGTTCTTTTTAGCTGCCATTCCCTCAAATCATGATAGAGTCAGTATATGTTCATTTAGAGCTAAACATGCCTTGGCTCAATCAAGGATATACTATTTTATAAAGTTACTTTTTTAACTTCAATGCTTACCTTTTATATAATCCAACAAAATACTCACAGTACCAAAACAACCAATTATTGAATGTATCCTAGCCATTAAGCACTAGGTAGAGAAGAAATGAGCTGGTTTGTATAGAGAGGCAAACAGCTGTTAAGAATCAGAAGCAAATTTCAGACCAGGGAGTTTTGCCTGTTACATTTCAGACCGACTTGAATGTATTTTTAATCTCTCATATTTTCACAGTTTTGTTGTCTTTGTATGGAATAGTATATATTGTTCCTTAAAAATTTTTTTGGGGAGAAACACAGTTTTATGATGTGGCACTTTATGCTGACAGAAATTGGGTTTGTGTGTGAGAAGTGTGCTGCTAAATGTGAGAACAGAGTTTCTGAAGCTTCATTTAACAAACCTAAGGCTCAGAAGAAATGTATACACCATTTAAGAACTATAGATTGGGATAGAGAGATGTCCTTCTGCAAACAGAATGGCTCCTCATCACAGAAGGGACTACCTACTGTAGGAAGCTGGAGAGCCACTTTCACCATCAACGCCCCCGGTGTCTCTTTCTGTACTGAGCAGATTTACAGGGCCATTGCAGGGGGGAGTTGAATCCCACTCCCTTCACCAGCAGGATAGTTCTTCTCAAAGGAATCTTGGATCCATGCCAGTGTTTAAAATGAAGCTGTGTCATGGAGTTCTCTTAAAACTTAGGGCTGAAAAATTAAACATTTAGGGCATTGTCAGGTGCTCGGTTGAATTTACTCCCAGCACATGGCACCTGAATCTAGAATTATTTCACCAGAACACACTTTCACCCAACACGCTTTCACACGAGCAGAGAGCTGTTCAGAAATATCCAACATTTCTAGTGCTGCAGTCAGAGTACAGGTAGCTAACCTGTGACCTTCCAGATATCAGTGAACTGCAACTGCTATAATCTCTGACTGTTTGCCATGTCTGGTGCTGATGTGAATTGGGAGTCCCAAAAACATCTAGACTAGACTATGCAAGAAGAGACCTCAAACTCAGTGGCTCAATTGTTTGAGCTCCGTAAGATTGGATTAAAAGGGAGCTGCTTGCATCCTGAGCCTTCGTTTTGACATTAAATTGCTTCATAAAAACAGTTAAGGTAACATACATAGAGCTATTTTCTCCAAAGCTATATTCAATTGTCAGACTGGTTAAAATTATAATTATATATTTTGTGTGCCTGTATATTAATCTTTTTTCCTGTGCATATCAGCTGAGTAATAAAACCCCTTTAAAAACCCCTAATGGTCTATACCTAATATGTTCAGAACTTGACTGGACTTTTCAGTGTGTTACAAAGAGCCAATTTCAGTAAAGTAAAATTCAAACTTGAGCAAATCTGGAACTCTGTAGTTACAATACCAATGGGCAATTTATCCCAGTTCATTTATTGGGACCGGCAGTAGGCACAGTTGGTTTCCTTTGCTTGCCACAGTGATGTCTTCGGAATCTGCCCCTTACAGCCCTGCTTCCTGTATTTCAGATTTTGTGCTATATTTTGAATTTTGTTCTGCCAAATAATGCACTTGGAAGGGTTGTGACTTTTTGATGTTAGGAGAGGGGAGTGAGCTTCGAAAACAGTTGGATAGCTTCTGCTGAAGAGCCAGGAAATTGAGTCAGAGCTTCACAGTGATTGAGAGTACATCTGCACCAGAACTTTAAGCTGCTTTAAAACAAGTTTGTTGTGACTTTTACAGAACTACAGTTTCCAGTGTTCTTTAGTGAAAGAGTACTTGCAACTATGTAAGGTGTATCTAGTTCTCTTAGGATCACAGCTTTCAGGATTTCTAGGCTGAGAGCTAGGAGAGATACATGTTCAGAAAGGCTTATGTCTTCATTATGTGCTTAAAAGACAAACATAAGGCCTCCTCTACTCCACCCCTTCCCTACATACCTAATGCTTCTGAAGTATTTCACACCACATTTCTCACACCCCTGACATTCCCATCTGTTAAAAGTTTTTATTTATGCTACTAGACCTCAGCATAGCACTTTAGCACAAAACAATTTGGACAGATTGTAGTCCTTGACTAGAAGAAGTCACATGACCTCTGAAATGTACAATGCCCTGTCTCTAATGAGGAAATCGAAGGATTGGTTTGTTTGCTTTATAATTAATTATACATCTAACACTATCAAAAAATCATATTGTTCATATATTGACTTAAAAATCATTAGGCAGATATTTCAAAGCAATGTTAAAAGAATTCCTGCATCATATATCTAACCAGAGGAGTATCCAAGGGCATCTCTAGATGACATTACAAACAGATTATTCAAAGTGTGTTACTGATGCTGGATCTGAACAATTTAAATAGCCTGTCCCTATGAAATGGATAAGCAACATCACAGTCTCTAGAAGCAAGAGGAGAAGCTCTTAAATGATAAAAGTAAAGTGAGCTGATTTATACATGCATGAACATTGCATTGAATTATTTGTAGATGAAATGTGTACAGATTGCATAGAAAAGCAGTACGCCCAAACCGATTAAGCTCCGTCTGAGGTGAGTTATCTATGGCTGTTTAATACATGCAAGTTGTCAATTGATTGCTCAGTCACAGCATGCATGTGTGAACACATCTGGAATAAAATAGTTGTGCATGGCTTTGCACCAGTGTTTTTAACTGATTAGTTTTTAAAGGTTCTGCGGCCTTCCATATAGGAATAATTTATCACTTGGCCTCTTTTTAAAAAGTTGAGAAAAAAATGAATCTATTTACAAAATGAGGTCAGGGATGTCACATAAAGCGACCAATAACTGACAAAGAGGCCTGTACATGTTGATGTACAAAATATGTTAGCTAGGACGTGAAGTTGATGCCATTTTCAAAAAACAAAATATTGTGTATAAAGTGCTATGAAGACAAAATATTGTGTATAAAGTGCTTCCCCACAAACCCCCAAACAGGGAAAGACTTAAATCCCCCATGGCCACAGTCAGCTAAATTGTGGGTAAGGAGGGAAAAGTAGACTGGTTACTGCTCAACAAACCTTTGTTTGTATATGAAATACACTATTATGAAGGGAAAATCTCTCTCATTTGGGGAAACTTCTTTTAACCCTGCAAAATGCCCATTCAGGAGTTGAATGTCATTGGTAGAACGCTAATTAGGAGGCCAAGACTAGCCATGTGGAAAGCTTCCTATTGCCAAATTAGTGGGTGGTTTGAGGAAAGTGTACTAACTCCAGAGGATGACAAAATGTGGGTGGTACCTGTGTGGCTAACTAAGCCATTCAGTGTTTAGCTTCAGTACCTGTGTGGTACTTTGCTGAGCATGAAAGAGATGGGCCTTCTCACAACCACATAAAGGTGCACTTGAAAGCACCTCCAGAGTTCTTACATTCTAGTGCTTATACGAAGTAATTCTATCACTAGGAAGAACTGTGAGAATCGAGGAGGAGGGCAAGGAGCTTACTGCCTGGTCTGCCATTGGGCAAGTACAGGTTAAGGCTGTGAGGTGTCTCTTGGGGCATCCTTCCCTGGCAAGCAGCCGCCAATATTCGCATAGCTTACCAGTTCTGAAGATGACTGTTAGCAAGAGCTTCACCTGCCCTGAAGTACAAAAGACGAGCTTAACTGAAAATCCTTAGCTTATCTTTGTACAATCAGGATAGTAGGAAGCAAAATTGGGTGAGAGAGAGATGAGGAAATTGCTGAGTTAATCCAGCATCTTTTCCATCCCAATCTACGGAGACAGAGGGAGTCTCTACAGCAAGTTTATGTTCATTGAAGGGGATTTGAAAAGCTGCCCCCACAGGACGACTGGCCAAGCCCTGTTCCCATGGCACTTGCAGTGTCGATGCAGAAGGGGACTTGTCCCCCCCCCACCACACTTTGGGTTAGGAAAGTGCCCAAACTTCCAGGTCTCGGATGAGGAATTCCTCTTTGGGAGATAATGTCTCATTGTTGAATGTCTCACAGGGCTGACTTCCTCCATGGTTCAGGTCTCCATCTAGCCACAATCCAAATTTGCCGCTGCAAATAAGGGGAAAGGCAAAACATGGGATTAACTTTCTGCAGAATGAGGAACACAAGAAGCTTCTGATCCATAAGAAATACAGTGTGGTTTGGCTCATTTGAGTCAACAGTTCTGTAAGTATCTCACGTATACCTGCTTTCTCTAGTGCCAATTGTACAGGGTGCCAGAAAGGCACTAGATAAGCTTCCACATTTCCAGCCAAAAGTCCGAGCACACGCTGCTCCAATTCATCTTGAACTGCAGCCGTCTCTGCCTTAGCCTTCCCAGCTGCAGACTGTGGGGGCTGGACCAAGTCCCATAATTGCTCCCCCACCAGCAGAAATTCTATTTCAAAACTCCATTCCAGCCAATTTTGGCTACTCAGTCTCTGACACGGCTGCCTGGGCTGATTGAAGAAGGATTGTAGTGAGAGCCAGATTAGAGGGCTCATTGCTTCCTTTCTACTCAAATTATTTCCCCTGCTCTGAAAGGGTTTACAATGAGCTCACCATTTTGCTGCAGTTTCTATTTATACATTTAGATGCTTTGAAACTATATACAGCCAAACTGGTTTTCCACTGCAATGATTAACCATCTTTTTCCAACATGTATACAAAAGAGTCCACAGTAACTTGGAAGATCTTGACGCAGAGCAAGATGATAATGTGTACTAAATAAAGCTAGACAGCTATGTCCACTCAAAGGGCACACACAAAAATACCATTGGGCTTTTTGTAGCCGGTATCTCAAATCATAATGACTGAAGAAGTACAGGAGAGAGTAATCTTCAGTTTGATGTCATGAAACCTAGAAATAAGTGAGGGGTGGATAGTGGTAAATTTAAAAGAGAAAAAAGTAAAAATACTTTTCATCATGACTCACATTCTGAGGAATAACCTGTTGTAGATGAACTGTGATGTCATTTGTTTTACTCATACCACTGATTCAGTAGCGGAGGGACCCAGACTCCAGAAAGGGCTGCTGACAGCGAGACCATCCTCAAAAGTTAATAATCTGATTGGGACTGCATTGCAGCACCCCTTCTCTTCACAACAAAACCATTTCCCCCCACTAACATCTTTCACAGTCACATACCTGCCTCCACCAATTGCTAGGGAGTCTGCATCTCCTTTCATGAAGAAGGTGTTTTTACCTGTCCACTTAAATACCTGGAGAGTAAGGAGAAAAAAATAATGAAGCATCTTGGGAATAAAAGACACAGCTGTACAACTAGAGAAAACAATCGTTTTGTTTTCCAATGCCTACTTAAAACCTTTATATTCTGGTTCAGTTGGCAGCATTTTGAATGTTGTGTCAGCACCCCACCCCTTAAACTCTTGCAGACTTCTTGTGAAGTTTGACTCAGAGCCAGAATTGCAATGTAATACACAAGCTCCCTATCAGGGCAATTGTCTGCATATTGACTCTGGTGTAAGTCTCATTGAGTTCAGTAGAATTTGCTGCCAAGTATTTATTGGTAGGGGTCGCTTACCACTTCCTACCATGTGTTTTAATTGTGACTTCTTCCACACTCACCCTTGTTTCTGGAACAGTCATCTTTTCATACACACTCTGCCTCTCTATATATTGGAGAATCCACACAGTATTGTCAAATGGTTGCTTGCAGTCCAGCATCTTTTGTGTTGACCTTCCATGTTTCATTATAACTGAATTTTGTGTGTGTGTGTGTGTGTGTGTGTGTGTGTGTGTAAAACAATTGAAGCAGCACCCTGACTGTTAATGCCCCATTTCAGATCTCGGTTAACTTTAAACAAGCATTTCCCCTTTGCAAGTAAAACCATTTATAGTAAGAATAGGGTTGGTCCTATAAATGTCTATCTCGGGTATCAAAGGCCAGGATAAAAAGAAGGATGGGGGAAGGCTGATTTATTAGACCAGGCATGTCCAGCTCCCAAGAGACTGATCTACTCCCAGTATAAAAAAAACTGGCAGTGATTTTATTGTCATTATTTTATTGTCAGTGACCCATTGTCATTGGAGGGGGGAGGAGCGTGGGGTGGGTGGATTGCCTAGAGCTGTTGCACAGAGTTTTTCAGCTTTTTCCCTGTAACATTTTGTTTTTTTTATAATTGATATTTATTGAATTTTCAAAAAATAACAACAAAAATTTCCAAAAAAAAAAAAATTTTAGGATACAAAAAACAAAAATAGTGCATAAACAAAAAAGAAAAGAAAACCCAGCCGCAAAGAAAGAAAAAAAAGAGAAACAGAAAAACAAAAATATAAAGTCCTTTACAATCTCTATTGACTTCCTTTCTAGACTTCCTCCTCCTCCCCTCTTTTGTTTCTTAATTTTTAATTTTTACAGCAAATCCTTTCTGTTTTTTCATAACAATCTGTCATTACGTTTCCTTATTCTATTTTCCCTCTTGTCATATAAAAACTTTAAAACTCATAGCTTATATTCAATATTTAACAAATTCTTGCATCATTACCTTTTACGAATCATTTACCAATCCTTACTTAAGCCATGTAATTTCATTCAACATCCTTCAAACATTTGTAAGCATTCCCAATATTGAAAAATAAAAAAGAAAAATTAATAAGTCGAATTCAGTCCAGTCAGCTTCCAACCTCCCCTCCCCTGGACCCGGGATTGTCAGTCCTTTTAACCTCCCTTAACCTGGTTGTCTCGTATCCGAGGCCCTCAAGTCTCTTTCTTGCCCCTTTCGCCACTCTTGTTGATGATTCCTTTCCAGTCGTGGATGCTCCAGCAAGAAAATGCTTTTGACCCTTTGCAGCAAGTCCATCCCAAACCCATTGCCCAAGCCAGACAGCAAATAATACCACTTCGAATTTCCACAAAGCTTGGAGACTTCGGCTACTCCAATCCTCTGATAGCCCATCACCAGACTCGGAAGGTCCAAATAACCATATGGAGGGGGGTCGATCCATCCCCCATTTCCAAATCTGACCACATTTCATCTTTCCGAATCTGGTTTGTCCTAAGTTCATTTATCAAGTTCAAAGACTGATCTTGCCCGTCCAAAGGTCCCTCCATCTCTGAAGCCTCCGTCACTACAGCAGGTTCATATGCTTGTATAGCCTTTAACTGAATTTCATTTGTTTGCTGCTGTGCTCTGGTAACTTCCATCCTCAAGGTCGTCTCCTGACGCATCTGGTCCAGCTGGGCACTTAGTTTTGAAAAACCTTCCAGGAACAATTGTTCAAGCCTTTGTACTAGCATTGTCCTTCAAGGTCAAAGAAAATTCTTTCCCACGAGAATAGTCCAATAGTCCTTCTCTTTTAATCTCTCTGCGTTGCAATTTCACTAAATTCCACTAGATGGAAATTTTTTTTTTTTAAAGGAATAAAAGCAACGGCAAAAAACTTACTTTTTCCAGAAACACTTTATCCAAAATTCCCCTTCCAAATTCAAGAGGCAACAGTAGAATCAAAATGTTACCCTTCTTTTAACTAACTGTCGAGCTGGATAAACTTCAGAACGTCAATTCTGACAGCCCGCTCCTGGTTCAGGGCGGTGGAAAATTGCTTTATTTTAAACTCACTTCCGCAGGATTGAAAGGTCCAAATACAACCCCTTTTTCTCCTGCTGTCAAAGGGGGGGTTCAGAAATCTTAGATGTTGAATTCTAGTTCTCTTAAAATTTAATTTTCAGGCTTTAGTATATTTTGTCTTTGCTTTCTTCACACAACAAAAGAACGGAAGGCGACTTCCTGTTTAGACCTTCCCATTCCGAGTCCCAATTAAGTTCAATTTCAAGTCCAATATTATTTGTTTATTCACCAGTCTTAAAAGTGGTTCAGCTCTTCTAAGATCAGGTACTCACGGATAGATGTTTTAGATGCCAAATTGTCCAGGAAAAGGCAGCGCTCTCCGATAACGGCAGTGCGGCTTTGCTGCACGGAGGAAGCAGACGACTCACAGCACCACGCACCTCCCACTCCGGAGCCCGTTACCGGGCTCCGGGACCAGGGGAGAGAGCGCCTCGGTGCCCGCCGAGTCCCACGTCCACAGGCTTCTTCCGCCTGTGGTTTTTGCGGGTCCCCGCTGCGCCGTAGCGGCAGGACCCAAGCCTCCGTGCAGCGGGTTCCCTTCAGTCCGAAGGGAATTCCGCCATTTTCCGGAGGCGCCACCCCGGAAGTCCTCCCTGTAACATTTTGTACATGATAAGGATCCCGCGATCTACCAGGATCAGCCGGGGATCTACCGGTAGATCACGATCTACTGGTTGGACATCCCTGTACTAGACCAATTGCCAAATGGTGCATACTGGAAACTTTGTAGGTATACCACTTTAAGCCTGTGGCAAATCAGTGACAGGCAACATTTGTATAATTGGTAATAACTCCAGATACTGTTAACACACACCGATAACTTTCATACTTGGGGGATGATATCCCTTCAATCACCTTAAGTTGTGGGGTGAAGGAAAAGAGAAATGTTTCTCCATTGCCGTAGAAGCAGCTACTGACATGGATGGCTGTAGAAGAAAAGGCTCCAAATATCTGAAAAGGATGCAAGAGAGATGTGTTGTAACTTGCAAGTAGCAGGAAGGCCATTTAGAGTAGGCAGTGAACTGAACCCAACCAGTCAGCCCCCCTCTGCTAGACTTGATAAGTCTGGCCTGTTTCAAAGCTAGTTATGCTTACCTGGCCTTCAGTGTCTCTGATAATCAACAACACTGGAGAGGCTAAATCACTCATGCTTCGGTACATAGTCTTCAGGCTAAATCCATCCCTTGCTGTATAGTAGATGAGGTTCCATGGGTGTCCAGTCACTCGTAGAGGGAGGTGTGGTGCAAGCTAAAAGGTATCACATGCACAAGGTCACTTCTTTCCTTACCTCCATCTACCCTGAGGCCTTTAATATGTTATTGGACTGCATGTCTCATCATCCCTACCGACTGGCCATACTGGCTGGGGTGAATGGGAGTCCGTCAACCTCTGGACATCCACAAAGTTCACATCCTTGCTTTAAACCTATACAACATAGGAATGTATCTTAAGTTATTCCAGTAGATCTGTGGGAAACCTTTGGCCCTCCAAATGTTGCTGTACTACAACTCCCATCAGACCCACCAATCAGGCCCAATGGTGGAAGATAATGGGAGTTGTAGTTTAGCAGCATCTGGAGGGCTAAAGGTTTACCACACCTGCACTAGCTCATCAGTATATCTTCTGCTTAGTAGTTCTGGTCACAGGTCATACACCCTAAGTTAGTGGTTTCCAACTGGTGGTCTACGAACCCCAGGGGGTCCACATAACCCACCAAGCAGGGCCATGGCACATACCCATCAACTGTCCAGGACATCTCATTTTGGGGACCCATGCTCTCACACGGGTCATGTAACTCACACAGGAGTGCTGCCCAGAAGATGCACATCCCAGTTTTGTGTTGGGACAAGTTGGAGCATATGTTGGCACCAATCACATAAAAGACATTTTCAAAAGTAGTGGGTCCATGGCTTGGCTTTTGAAAAACAGGGGGCCCACAGTCCTTAACTAATTGGGAACCACTGCCCTAAGTTATTGGCCCCATCTACAATCTTTGCATTCACATAAGTGAATATTAAGCCTGTGGATATTACTTTTTTGAGACTGTCCTGGAGAATTTCACTTCTTTGCACTTGTTCCTTGTAAATGGGCCAAGGGTCTCGTGGCCCTTGTAGAGATACGGCTTCAGCAGACCTTCCTGCCAAAAGCTTGCTTTCCCAGTTAACAGAGGTCAGCAATACTCCATAATGTGTGCCTTAGCTAAGGACAATGTGTGGAAGCGATGTTTAAGGGCAAAGGGCTCACCCAGGGGAGTCACTGTGATAGCAGCACTCATTAAAGAAAATTGCTGAGTCACAGTATGAAGGGTGCTCACCTTCTGGATTTCTTCTAAGTGCAGGATGTTGCTTTGCCCATTTAGCACAGGCTCATGAAATTCTGTGCTTGTCCAGACTGGGTTCTCTGGTTCAGTAGACTCTTCAGGTTCTGAAGACAGGGCTTCTTCCAGCAGGTTGGGCTGATAAAAGGACACACACTGTTAAATGGGAAATGAATAAGGCACCAACTAAGTTGCAGAATCTTCCCCAGTATGCAGTCTGTTGCGTCCCTAGAAGGATACTCCTCAGAGAGAACTATAAAGGCAAAAAGGTAAAGCAAAGTGAATTGCAGAAGGCAATCAGTCTATCCTTCCCTCTAGTCTCATGGGACTGCTAAAAGCTTAGTCTTATAATTAATAGCACAGCAGTATGTAGGCCACAATAAAGCAATATTTTAATCTCAGGAACATCAGTTTAATGAACCATCCTGAGCCCACTCCTCCCCTTCATCCTTTGTTTCAGAGGGTGAGACTAGAAAAAGGGTAGATTGATTGTCTTCTGTGATTCATTTAAAGCCTTAGCGGTCCAGATGTTGTTGGACTCCAGCTCCTTTCAGACAGCATGGCCAGAGATAATGAGAATTGCAGTCCAACAACATCTGGAGGGCTACAAGTTCTCCATTCTTGATTCAAAGCTCTATTAGTGCATCTTTACGGCAGGTCAGAAAGCAACTCAGGAATGTCTTAGAGCTACCCTGCAATTGTCAACTATGTAAATGTGGAGTCTTGACTCTGTTAATGAAAATACACCATAGTAAAATGACAGTTTGCTCTTTGCTGTGCAATTCCCCCTCCTCCGACATAAAATATTGCAATTGCAAGAGAAGAAACTAGATTCAGTACACATTTAAAGCTGAATTTATGAAATTTGTACTTTCCAAAACAATATGCAACCTGAAGCAAAATCATCCTTCGGAATTTTGCAATGCAGTACGCCAACCAAATAATGTTTACCAAAATGCTTATATTAAGGGAAAGTGTGCAAAATAAAAATGAAGATAATAGTTAAAATCACATGTAACAATGCATTTTATTAAGGAAAGTTGCTTACAGAAATGTGTACATTAGTAAAAACTGCATTTAATAAATAATAATAAATTCACATTAAAATGCTGCTGAATTAGGGTGAGGATTAAAAAGAAAAAAAACTCAAACTGCTGAAAAATTCAGAGAAATGTAAGATTGAAAAAATTAGAATCAAAACTGACAGATCTTTCTATCCCTATTCAGGAGGGGTGAGCCTTCTTCCCAGCTTTAGTACCAAGTGGTTCGCCTGAGGGCTGCCGCACATTATCAAGGTCCTACATAGCCAATACTGTACTAATGTCCAGGAAATAAATTCTGTGTGTAGATCATAAAAGTACAATGATCCTGCACAACATCTGTGTACTCGAGCTACTGTCCTAGAAACACATGTAGAGAGGCCTCAAAATCCTATTAGCATGTGTATATGCTATCGTATCTCATCTGCACAGAAGCAAAAACTGTATGCTTTTAAAATCAATCTGAAGATTATCGGGTAAGTTATCCCTATTTGCTTCTATTGCCCTCACTCAGACTGAAGATGAGGGTGTAGGAAGATAATGGTGGGATATGTTTGTAGATACCCTTTCTGGGCCAAATAATAACAGCATATAATAACATACCCATCTCAGTATGAAAATGCAATGCATTGGGCAAAAACCACAAAGCCCAGTATCAGCACTGCTCTTTGTCCTCTGCTTCACTTTTATCAATATAACTTTCCCTTGTGCTTCCTCAATTACACATACTTTCCCTTATCTGCAGCACCAACCTAGTTGCGGAAATATACCACCCACTTCTGTAGAAATCCTACATTCTTGCTACCTTCCTTTCTCTTGGGCTTGCCACCCATCTGAATATATATTTGCTTATGTCACTTCAAGGACGTGAATATTAAAAACTGTCTACCAAATAGTCCGAGGAGCTGAGCTTAAAAGCAAAACTTGAGGTTGAAGGCAAAATCAAGGTGATGGCAACCTCCACCAAACATGATGCTTTTTCATCAAATTAATCTCCTAATCAATTAAATCCCCTTTGCACAAATGGTATGGAATGATTCTGCCTGGATTGTCTGGTTGCACTATCTTGACCGCATAAACAATGGCATTCTCAGCCCAAACATCTGAAATAGAAGATTGATGCTCTGCACCAAAAGAAAGGAGGGAGGGAATTTAAATTCCTCAGTAACACATTGTCTACTAAAAGAAACATATTTCTGTGCTGCCTGGTTTTGAAGTTGACTGACCAGTGTTTCCGTTTTCCATTAGGATATACGTATACCTTTTTGGACCTAGGAACCCAGTAGCACTAAACTCTTAACAGGCTCCCATGATGCCAGATGGTTTCAGAAAGACACAAATGCGGGGAGGAGGACATAGTACAGTGAGGATGGCTTGCAGTTTCACTTCCTAGAGTTCTAGACCTGGAAGGGATCTTGGAGGTCATCTCTTCTATAACCTCTTGTTCAATCTGTCTTGCTTCCCTACAATTTGACCATCCAGCCTCCATGGTAGGAGACCACCTCCTGAGGCAGTCTTCTCAACTGTTAGCTTTTACCACTAGGAAGCTTCTGCTAACGTTTAGTTGAAATGAACTTTATGCCCTGCAGTTTGCACCCATTCGTTCTTGCCCTGCCCCTTGGGGCAACTCCCTCCTCTGTCCTTCCCTATCCCAACCCAAGAAGCAAGGACTGCAGTACATACCAGACGAGTGTAGCGACAGCGTGGAGTTTTCATGTTTTCTGTGATCATCCAAAGCACGACCACAGCAGCCGTGCTGTTTCCTGGCAGCGAGTCGGAGAGGGGAGAGCAGGTGTCTGCCAATTGCCTGTGGAGAACACACCCTCATTCATAAACAGCATGTACTTTATTCTCTCTCAATAAGCAGGTTCTTCTATTGCTATACAGCTATTGTCACCTGAGATCTCACTATGAAACCCTGTGGCACACAGCCTTTTCTAGTTATCTAGTGTTCTGTAGCACTGGCGAGGGAACTTCTGGCCCTCCAGATAATTGCTCTTATTAGTTTATTAATTTATGTCTCAGCATTCATATAAATCTAAAGGCGAGTTATAATTATACAATAGAAACAACCAAAATAGGTCTGAAAACAATACCCAAAAAATATGAAGATTGGTTTTAAAATAATACATATAAAGGATGCAAGGCCAGAGACCTAATCTTTTTCATCCCATCCAGTTGGAAAAACTTGTCAAAACGAAATTGTTTCCAGAAACTACAAACAGTGGGTGTCTGTCATCTCATTCTCAACTGGGATGGTGTTCTACAAAATACAGTGGTGCCCCGCAAGACGAATGCCTCGCAAGACGAAAACCTCGCTAGACGAAAGAGTTTTCCGTTTTTTGAGTCGTTCCGCAAGACGAATTTCCCTATGGGCTTGCTTCGCAAGACGAAACGTCTTGCGAGTTCTTGCGAGTTTGTTTCCTTTTTCTTAAAGCCGCTAAGCCGTTAATAGCCGCTAAGCCACTAATAGCCGCTAAGCCGCTAATAGCCGTGCTTCGCAAGACGAAAAAACCGCAAGACGAAGAGACTCGCGGAACGGATTAATTTCATCTTGCGAGGCACCACTGTAGGGGCAGCCACATTGAGAATGCTGCTCTGAGAAGCTGTGGAACAGGCTTGTGATAATATAGGGGCTTCAAGCAGAAACCCTCCTGCAGAACAATAACCACAATTATATGCCTGGCCCTGAGGTGTATAGAACTTTATTAGTAGGAAATCCTTGAACTTAACCCAACAGCAGATTGGCAGATCTTGGAGTAAACTCTCATCATTCCTGACCACTGCTCATGCTGGAGAACTCAGATTGTCCACCCCTGTTCTATGGCTTCACAGATAAAAGTCCTAGAATTGCGGAAGAGAGAAATTGGCTCTTCATAAACTATAGCTCTGAGGAGAACTCGAGATGGTTAGTGACGGGTGTATGTTGAGCGTATCCTGTCTCTTTAAGAAACAGGCCTGGTCTGTAATAGAAACTGCCTTCCTTGGGTGTGGTTCCTTCCATAGTTCAGTGACAACTAGTCAGAACCTTAGTAATGTATGTAGCAAGTCCTAGCTGCTATGCTGATTTATTGACCTGTTGCTCGCAAATAAATAGTTATTGACGTTTTCCTGATTTCCTGACATTTTCCTATACATTTTCCTGTACTCTTCTGTAACCTCCATCCAGGCAAGTAAGAAGTATTATCAGAGGAAGGCAGAACACATTTGAGTCAAGCAGAACCATTCAAGGAAAGTGATGTGTTGGGGTAGCAGGAAAACAAATCAGGAGGGGGCAGGCCGTTCAAACACAACTGTCCTTTATTGCTACATAACAAGTATGGGAAATGAAATTGCACACTGGAGCTCTGCAGCATGCAAATTATGGGGCTCAAGAGGTCCAAAAAGCATTACACTGAATCAGTGTAGTGGCCCAGGGAGAGTCCCAAAGGTCTGGAGCACTGTGTTTGGGCTCTTGGCATGAAGTTCCCCATCCTTTTTCTATAGTTTACAAGGATACTGAATCTTCTTAACGCTTGTTTTTCATTAGCCACTGTGGTTCTTTGTGAAGAAGTTGAGCAAGGATGCTGTTCAGGAGCATCTGAGAAAATGGGAACACATGAGAAGTCTTGGATTGGTCTTGGACCCTTCAACTTATGACAGAGTTGCTCTCTTAAATAAAATGTGTTCCACACAAGCATTTAACCCAGGAATATCTGGCAAGGTGCCATGGGTGTCACTATGGCAGGATTTATGAGCAGATGTCCAGGGCTCCCACTCAGCAGAATGAACAGGAAGGTTCTCAAACTCAGCAGGGGCAGTTTATCACATTGAAAGGAAGTGCAGGAAACCACACCACCATCTAAAGGCTGGGGTGGCGGCGGAGTAAGAGTCTAAAATTACCTAACTGCCCCACTGCAGGCTACACTCGAGAATGGTCCTGCTCCCCCAACATCAGGAGACGCGGCTTGTCAACTCCTAGAAGATTAGCTACTGTAGAAGTGACATGCAAAAGAAACCATGGTAACATGCAAATTAACAGGCTTTATGAGTCATGGGAATCACTGCCTAGTGGGATCAAAGCATGGGAGAGAGTTTGCAAGCCGCATCCCCTAAAATTCACTTATCTACACACAGTATCATTCTCAAGTGTGCTAAAATTTTACACAGGAGATCATCATAATAACATCAAATGAGCCCTGCTAGACTGATCAGATTAGCCCCCTCCTTTCAACAGCAGCTAGCCAATTGCTTCCAGTTAGACCATAAGCAGAGCTTGAAGGCAGTAGACTTCCCTCACTATGCCAAACCATGCATCATTCTTATAAAATGATATGCTCACCTCATGTTGTCTTTTTCCCTGAATTAAGAAGCCCCATATGTTTTGGCTATTTGTGGCAAGGAAAGTCCTTCAGCCCCTAGATCATGCTGGTTTCCCTTTTTCTATAACTTTCGCAGCTCTATGTTATCCTTGAGATGGAGCGATCAGAGAACTCTACTGATGCTCCACCAATGAGCTGTTGCCCTTCTGCATGTTGCCCTGCCTTGGGAAGTGTGGCTATTACCCTCATGGGAAATATTTTGATTACCAGTTTTAGTTTTTATTCATTCAGGCTTTGGGGAGATAACTTAAAGTTTAGGCATTAGTACTACTACCACAGCTACTATTAATATTTTTTCTCCCTGGCCTTCACCGGGTTTTTATTTAACAAAATGTATATACTGCTTGAATGTAAAAACACAACCCCAAACTCTATGCAGTTTATCAACAATATAAAAACATTAAAATGAGCAATAGCAAAAGTTTTAAAAGGTATTTATTTAAAAGATTAGACTCAACACTATCTAAAAATAAATAACACACATGTAAATTCTACATTCATAATGCTGTGATTATGGTTTTAGGTTTTTTGGATTTTGTGGATTTGGCTGTTGCAAACTACCCAGAGTTCTTGATAGATGAAGGGCAGGATAAAAATAAAATGAACAAAACAAACAAACTTACCTGCTAGCTACAGGCGACCAAGAATTCCATGCAGGTGAGTGAGTGAAGTGGTGTAAGAAAGGAGGACTGCTACAGTAGCCTGCCTCTGAAACAGCTTGGTTCCTAGACTTGTAATGTAGAAACAGGAAGTACCCTTTTCACAACCAGCATGAAAATATTGTGAGTTGGTGGAGGCTGGGGTGGTTGCTATGGGTCACTTTGTCCTGCCTCCACCAGTTCACTTGGTAGAATGCTTTTTTATTTTCTTTTTTGGACTAGCCTGCTAAGAGAGTGTGGTCTTCATTTCCATGCTTCCTGTTCCACAACCACCAAAGAAACTCAGGCTATTAGCCTCTTACAAGGCCAGCATTTATTATTGTTGTTTTGCAAGCTAGTAACTTTTGTGGGTTTATCTGCACGACTGATTTTTTTGCCAACCTGAGATGCTCCAAGCTCATGTAGGGGCATGTTTCTTTTTTTCAGAGGATAGCCACTGTTCCCAGCACACCCTCCTTCCTCCCGCAGAAACTTTTCTTCCAAATATCTGATTTTTCTTTTCCATTTTACCTATACCCCCGCCCCAGAGACGGCACAGCTACACAGTTCCATCTTATTGTAAGAAGGTTGGTAAAACTCAAATGCACTCAGCTGAAATGACTTATTTACAAGATACTCACATTTACCTGAAGAGGGTTCTGTGGGGAGACGTCTAACAAAGCACAGCTGGGTAGGTCCCATATAAAGCAGCTGTTCTGTTGTTGCCTTGCTTAAAGCAGAGGTGTTGAGGAATCCCCTGCAAATCTCAGGGAAGCATCACTAACAATACAGCTCTGGAAATACAGCTCTGAATAGTCACAAAGTTCATATGGACTGTGAACACATACCTGGTTCTATCCAGTCCACCTTCCTTGTCAACTCTCTCAATCTGTGCCAGCAGACCAGTTGCTCACCTGCCACTCACAGGGTACAAGTTCAACACATCCATCTTGAGCCAATGGGTCCCATTATTTTGGGATCAACAGTCAGGTTGCTGCAAGTGTTTCTATTTGTAACAATGATGTTGCAATGCATGTGTTGCCTGTAAACTTGCTGACACTACTTTTCATCCTCCTAACCCACCCCTTGTGGCTGAAGTAAGTTATCACTCATCTGTAGATGATAACACAGATGTTCATTGACTAAATCAGGCCGCAAATTGTTAAGCTTGTTGATGTGATGGAGTAAATGCCCACAGCCAGTCTCATTCAAGACCAGGAATATACACACACACAAAAATAAAGCCCTTCTTTCTAAGAAATAAATAAATCAGGCAAGTTTGTCGGTGCCACACACACACGTCTCCTCCTCTCATTGTTGAAGTTCCCAGGCAGAGATGGTGCCTATATGCCTTTAAATGCTTTGAAGCATTAAGCAAAGCTATGGCAGCTGTGCTTCTTGCCCTGTCCACTTTTGCATTTGGTAGCTAGCGGGAATCTTAATTTCTCCATGGAGACAAGTGGAGTGGATCATAGGAAAAAGTGATGGAAATACAGGGTGCAGGGTGCCTAGGATAGCCAGAGAGCACCTTCCACAGATGAGCAGAAGATGCAATTTCTACAGGTGTAGCTTGTGCAAACTACCTCCCTTGCAAACCACACAACCGTTAAACGTGCAGGATAACATTAGACAAGCCTACTGGACCAGGCCAGGCCCAACTATTCCAGCATCTTGTTCTTATAGCAGCCAACCAGATGCCTTGTGGGAAACCAGCAAGCCGAACCTGAGCACAGGAGTGCCATCCCTGTCCTGTGGTTTCTAGCGACTGGCATTCAGAAGCACTATAGGCTCAAGCCACAGTTTCAGAGCATATCCGTCCTGGCTAGTAGCCATCTGATAGGCTTAACTTCAAGGAATTTGTCTAATCGTCTTTCAAAGACATCTAAGTTGGGGGCCATCACTGCCTCCTGTGGGCGTGAGTTCCATAGCATAACTATGCGATCTGTCCTGAATCTTCCAACACCTGCTTTGGAGTGTGTCGCTTCTGTGATCCTCTTTTGCATCTGCCCACCCGAAGAGTCGGTATAGCTTTGCTGGGTACCCTAAAATGCATTCTTTGACGCTGCTGGAAGGTAAGGATTCAAGGACATAGCTATTAGTTACACCATCTTAGCAGTGACTTCCAATTTGCTAGAAACAGAACAGGTTCATAATGCATTTTAATCTACAGAATATTGTGCACATCTAGACATAGCAGCAACACATGGAACAACTAATTCATAGAAACTTATATAAGAAAAAATATACACAAACAAAGGGTTTTCCACATGGGGTGTGTCTGACAGATAGGAAGGATAACATGAGTTTTTACTTGCTTTTTTTTGGCGTGTGTTTGTTGTGTGTGCTTTTACAGTTTATTATTCTATTTTGGTTTTAAACATGTAATTTTTTGTCAGCCTGTGGAAAGAGATGAGCTAAGAATGTATATATATTTTAGGGTCTACCTGTTGTGGAGATGAAGATAAGGATGATAAAGCATGTGACAGATTGTAGTTATGACTATGGTCATTTACCATCCCGTTTTATAATACAGTGGTACCTCAGGTTATGGAGAAAGCTAGAGAGTTCCAGAAAGACATCTACTTCTGCTTCATTGACTATGCAAAAGCCTTTGACTGTGTCAACCACAGCAAACTATGGCAAGTTCTTAAAGAAATGGGAGTGCCTGATCACCTCATCTGTCTCCTGAGAAATCTCTATGTGGGACAAGAAGCTACAGTTAGAACTGGATATGGAACAACTGATTGGTTCAAAATTGGGAAAGGAGTACGACAAGGCTGTATATTGTCTCCCTGGTTAATGAACTTATATGCAAAATTCATCATGCGAAAGGCTGGGCTGGATGAATCCCTAGCCGGAATTAAGATTGCTGGAAGAAATATCAACAACCTCAGATATGCAGATGACACAACCTTGATGGCAGAAAGTGAGGAGGAATTAAAGAACCTTTTATTGAGGGTGAAAGAGGAGCGCGCAAAATATGGTCTGAAGCTCAACATCAAAAAAACGAAGATCATGGCCACTGGTCCCATCACCTCCTGGCAAATAGAAGGAGAAGAAATGGAGGCAGTGAGAGATTTTACTTTCTTGGGCTCCATGATCACTGCAGATGGTGACAGCAGCCACGAAATTAAGAGACGCCTGCTTCTTGGGAGGAAAGCAATGACCAACCTAGACAGCATCTTAAAAAGTAGAGACATCACCTTGCCAACAAAGGTCCGTATAGTAAAAGCTATGGTTTTCCCAATAGTGATGTATGGAAGTGAGAGCTGGACCATAAAGAAGGCTGATAGCCAAAGAATTGATGCTTTTGAATTATGGTGTTGGAGGAGACTCTTGAGAGTCCCATGGACTGCAAGAAGATCAAACCTATCCATTCTGAAGGAAATCAGCCCTGAGTGCTCACTGGAAGGACAGATCGTGAAGCTGAGGCTCCAATACTTTGGCCACCTCATGAGAAGAGAAGACTCCCTGGAAAAGACCCTGATGTTGGGAAAGATGGAGGGCACAAGGAGAAGGGGATGACAGAGGATGAGATGGTTGGATAGTGTCTTCGAAGCTACAAACATGAGTCTGACCAAACTGTGGGAGGCAGTGGAAGACAGAAGTGCCTGGCGTGCTCTGGTCCATGGGGTCACGAAGAGTCGGACACGACTAAACGACTAAACAACAACAACAAACCTCAGGTTAAGAACTTAATTCATTCCGGAGGTCCATTCTTAACCTGAAACTGTTCTTAACCTGAAGCACCACTTTAGCTAATGGGGCCTCCCGCTGCTGCTGTGCCGCCGGAGCACAATTTCTGTTCTCATCCTGAAGCAAAGTTCTTAACCTGAGGTACTATTTCTGGGTTAGCAGAGTCTGTAACCTGAAGCGTATGTAACCTGAAGCGTCTGTAACCCGAGGTACTACTGTACATAGTAAGAGATGCACGTGTACCTTTCTGGGAAACTGTCCAAGGCCTTTCTATTGCTTCAAACCTATAAGGTGTTGTGGACGCACAAGGCACATAATGGGTGGTTAGATAGAAAAGCTGAGAAAGGTCTTTGTCCAGGACTTTGGAGAACAACAGGTTCCCCACCATTGCTTTACCGGGTCTGACTCTTGGCTTGTTCTCTGGTTCTGCCTCCCAACATTGATCCTTGGCTTGACAGTCTGGTTCCTGCTTGGTGGCTGTTTACAGCTGACCGATGATCCTTTACTTTTGCCCTTATTCAGCTGCTAGCATCCAAGAAAATGCAGTAACCAGATCACCAGCTAAGCTTTCAGGCTTCAGGGAGTCTGGGCTGTGCACAGTTGCCAGGAGGTTCCCTGTGATGTTTTCTTTTCCAGGGCACAGAGTCTGGGATTCTCTGTGATCCAGCTGCAGCCTCTGTTCCTGCTGACTCACTTCCAGGTGCAGGTGTGCAGAGAGCTCACCTGGGAGATTCTCAGTCTACAGAGACAGCAGTTGTTTGCCTGGACACAACAACATTTGTATGCCTTGGGTAGGGGAGTGCTTCAAGGTCACTTTCAAAATATACAGTCATTCGGCTTGGATACAAACTCACATACAGTATATGCTTATGCTAAGGGCAACAAATAACTTGCGCTAAGGTAACCCAAATTCGAAGCCAAGAATTTGCATTTGTTTCTTTATCTTATTTGATTAAGGATGCCTACACACCATATGGGACGTGGGTGGCGCTGTGGGTAAAAGCCTCAGTGCCTAGGAATTGCCAATCGAAAGGTCGGCGGTTCGAATCCCCGCGGCGGGGTGCGCTCCCGTCGCTCGGTCCCAGCGCCTGCCAACCTAGCAGTTCGAAAGCACCCCTGCGTGCAAGTAGATAAATAGGGACCGCTTACTAGCGGGAAGGTAAATGGCGTTCCGTGTGCTGTGCTGGCTCGCCAGATGCAGCTTGTCATGCTGGCCACGTGACCCGGAAGTGTCTGTGGACAGCGCTGGCTCCCGGCCTATAGAGTGAGATGAGCGCACAACCCTAGAGTCTGTCAAGACTGGCCCGTACGGGCAGGGGTACCTTTACCTTTACCTTTACACACCATATATTTAAAGCACTTGATTGATTGATTGATTGATTGATTATCTACCCTTCATCCTAAGGTTCTGGGGTGGGTTATAGCAGTAAAAACAACTTTAAACGCTTTAAATTTAATGTTTTTATAATAATAATAATTATTTATACCCCGCCCATCTGGCTGAGTTTCCCCAGCCACTCTGGGCGGCTCCCAATCAAATGTTAAAAACAATACAGCATTAAATATTAAAAACTTTCCTAAACAGGGCTGCCTTCAGATGTCTTTTTAAAATAGGATAGCTGTTTAAATAATAATAATTTATTCTTAAATAATAATAATTTACGGCTTTCCCCCAAAGAATCCTGGGAACTGTAGTTTGTGAAGGGTGCTGGGAATTGTAGCTCTGTGAAGGGTAGCCCACAGTTCTCAGGATAACAGGGAAAGGCCTGTGTTTCACATTTATGAGGAGAGAATCAATATAACACTAAGGATTCAATACAACATTTTGGCTGGCCGAATGTAATGATCCCTCCTCCCCTACTAAGTATTGTTCTGGGGATTCTTCCAACCCCCAGCAGAGCCAATTTCAGGAGAGAAGATGGAGAGGAGCCATTGTTCAAGTAGAAGGGCAGGGCTTCCACTGATGTGACTCCTTAGTTGACTCTTGTTCACTGTATGTGCACAGCCTGTGTACTTTCATGGTGTGTGCACAGCTAACCGTGGGAGGTGCACATGTGGCTACAACCTTCTCGGTAGTGGCGCCCGCCCTGTGGAACACCCTTCCAGCAGATGTCAAAGTGATAAACAACTACCTGACATTCAGAAGACATCTTAAGGCAGCCCTGTTCAGGGAAGTTTTTAACGTGTGATATTTTAGTGTATTTTTGGTTTCTATGGAAGCCGCCCAGAGTGGCTGGGGAGGCCCAGCCAGATGGGCGGGGTATAAATAATAAATTATTATTATTATTATTATTATTATTATTATTATTACAACCGTCTCCATGTGCTAGGACAGTGTTCAACCTTCGGTCTCCAGACATTGTTGGACTACAACTCCCATCTTCCCCAGCTCAAGCAAAGATAGCTACATAGGTAGCTGCCTTACACCGAGTCTGACCATTTGTTCATCTGATTCAGTATTGTCTACACTGACTGGCAGTGGCTCTTCAGGATTTCAGACAGGGCTCTCTCCCAGCCCTACCTGAGTCCTTCTGCATGCAAAGCGAATGCTCTACCACTGAGCTAAAGGCCTACAGTTGGGCAATTCTTTATTAGGACCAGCCCCGAAGTCACAAAAATGTGCTTAGCTGCTTAGCTCTTCAGCTCTCCAGAATTCTTCATCAGGTAAGATGTTACACAAAGCAACGGATGGTGCGATGAGGAAATACAAGTAGACAAAATAAGCTAATTGTTGTGGCCGCAAGGCCAATTTGGTGAAAGCAGACATTGGTTTGCAGCCTGGTATCTCTAGCGCCTAAGAAGGGCTTGAAATCTCCTTCTTGGAACCGAGTCCACAAGCTCAGAGAATTTAGTATGCTTTTAAAATTAAATGCATATTAAGAAGCTGCAGTGTAGGTCCTTGTAATTTATTATGTATTGCTTTAGTAGTTGCTTTGTCCATCATTCTAATTCAAATTGCTTTTGTTCTTTCATTCACATTGCACCAGCTTGATTATTATTGTTCTTTTATTCATACTGTGCTGCTTTGTTTATTACACTGCCCTGCCTTGATGGATTTTCTTTTATGTAATCGTTGAAGTTCATGCTATCATTTCTGTAGTTACCACTGTGAATCAATAAAACATTTTGGCTGCAGTTCTCTACTCATTTATCCAGGAGTAAGCCGCCTTGAATTCCATGGGTCTTACTTCTGAGTAGACATGTGTAGGCTTGTGCTGTCAATTAATTTCAGATACCTCCTTGAGTCTGTGTGGACCTCACCACTTGTTAAATTTTACCCACTGGAGTGTAAATTTGTACTGAAATTCAATTATTGGTGACCACAGTGGCAACAGCAAGCTGCCTAGATTATATGTGCTGTGTGTTTTATGAATTGCTATAAAGTCTGTGTTTGTATAATCCAATCTTGCTGGATAGTTGATGCAGTGTGAGATAAAATAATGCAGTGAGTTTTGTGAATTAAAATGCTTATAATTCTTAGCAACACTCCAGAAAAATCATCAACACATAAGTGTATTCCATATTTTAATCAAGATTAATTTTGTTAACAGCATCACCTAAATGTATTCTGCATGCAAATTAAATACATACGGTGATATCCACTGTTAGACATACTCAGAGTAGACCTGTTGAAATTCATGGACTTGGAAGGTTACTTAAGTCAATCGGTTTCTAGGGGTTTGTTGTGCTCTTGAGTAGGACTTAGCTGGATATTACCTATAGGAAATTTATTTATTTATTTGATTGATTGATTTATATGCTGCCCATCATCAAAAGATCTCAGGGCAGTTCACAAGATAAAATCCACCATGTGTGTTTGTACACGCATGCATATGGATAGACATGCCAGGATTCACGCTATCAAGAATCAAAGGCAAATTTTAATAACATCATGCATGAGGTTTTAGGGGCAACATCTTGTCAATTTCGTACAGTATGGTATGGCAAAACCAGATGGGCAGTAACTCTATAATTAGCAAGCTGCCACAGCTAATCCAGATTTCCTGATGAGCACCTATATGATAAACATGTTTGCATTCACACATCTGTTGCACCAGCACTCTGCATTTGGGTTGAACATGTATGGTTTGAAAAATAGCATGTGAAGTAGCAACCCTCAGACAACGGTAAACTTAGGCCTGATTTATCCCAAAGATTGGCTTTTGCTAGATAGTCTGACTTGACCTGATTTAACACTTGCAGCAGAATGAGATGGTAGAATCCTGAGGTGATAGAGTAGACTATACCACCTCAGCATGAGAGCCAGTGTGATGTAGTTAGAGTCCTGGACTCTGACTTGGGAGACCAGGGTTCAAATCTCCACTCAACCTTGAAGCCCAGTGGGTAACTTTGGGTCAGTCACTATCTCATAGCTGTCAAGCATCCCTTATTTGGCGGGACAGTCCCTTATCCCAGTGCCATGTTCCGCTGCTGTCCCTTATTGATGAGGCTTCATTTGGCTGCTGGCTGGGCTTTCTGCCTTTGGCTCGGAGGGGCTCAGAAGCTGAACATACCTGTGCCCGGAAAATCCCTTATTTTGGCTACTGATCCCTTATTTTCGAGGCTGCTTGTCCCTTATTTTCAAATCTGTAAGTTGACAGCTATGCACTATCTCTCTGCCTAACTTATGTCACTGGGTTGTTGTAGAAGTGTGTGTACACCACTGCAAACTCCTTTGAGAAGTTGTGGAATATAAATGTAGTAGTAGTAGTAGTAGTAGTAGTAGTAGTAATACTACCCACACCCACTGCAATCAACTTATTCTCTATCTTTACTGTCCCAGCACTTTACCATCCTATTTTAATCTTATCTACCTGAATGTGTGTAGGGCAAGTCTTTATTTCAACCAGTCACTAGATGGCAGCATAACAAACAATTTCGTTGCATTCTGAGACTGTTAGGCTGCTACAGTGAAACGACAACAGTTTCCAGCACCTTAAAGACCAGCACACTTATTATGTCATACTTTTTCATGGACTAGAGTCTTGCATCCAATGAAATGGATTCTAGTTCATGAAGGTTATGCCAGAATAAGTGTTCGTGTATAAGGGGCCACAAGACTCTTCATTGTTTTTATAGGAATTTTGTACAGCTTGCATCTGAGTACTTGCTTTGCTTAAAGCCAATGTTTACATTGGCTGTGTTGCTCATTTGCATTACAAATGTCTTTCTTTGGCTTTTTCTTCTTCACATAAAGAGCATGGAAGAGACTCAATGGCTCACAGCTGAAAATCCTCTGAATCTAGGCTTAACCTTGATAGTCGCATTCTAGCCTGTAATTGATATCATTGAATGTACTGCTGATTTTTTGAAGTTCAGGAGCTCATCATGACTACTGTCCGCAGGGCCAAGGCTGATTTCAAAGGATGAGTGTGTTCCAGTTAGCACATAGTTTTGAAAAGTGCAGGTTATGTAGTTCCGCTTTTAAATGTGATCTGAATCAAATGTCCCCCCCCCCAGCCCTAACCAGAAGGAAATAGTGAGATGTGCTGATTTTCACTTTATTTGTGTTGTCATTTGGATAGAAGCAGTGTAACGATCTGGTGGTCTTTGGTTCTCTGGTTGGTGGAAGAGGCTGATGGGCTTTACCCCTTGCTTCTTGCAGTTCCATGGAAACTGGCAGTTGGAGCTGATTTTTTTTCTGGCAGAGGGGAAGCAAACTCCCTGCAGCTGTTTCTTCTCTGGCCAATAGTAAAGCAATTATTTTTTCATCAAGCTATGTAGTGAACCATTTATTCCAACGTTCTGCATTATGGGGTTGATTCGGGGGAAAGTTAAGTCGAAGTCCCACCTGGTTTCAATAGAAGAGAGTTAAAAACATGCTCTCTTTCTGTCTGTTTGTCTCTGTCTCTCTTTGTCTCTTCTAATAAATTCAGTACAACTTCAAAGTGTTTTAACTGGGGCTGGACTGTGCTCAGGTGTGTCGCGTGGCCAAGTTGTGGAGTGTAGGTACTACACATATGGCATAACCTCAGTTATGAATGGTAGTGCTTGACATTTTCATTTGGATTTTTATTTTTATTTTGGTCTGGAAAAGCATACAGTGCTATAGATACACACTTTCTTAATGAACAGCTCATAAGTTAATATAGTGGTACCTCGGGTTAAGTACTAAATTCATTCTGGAGGTCCGTTCTTAACCTGAAACTGTTCTTAACCTGAAGAACCACTTTAGCTAATGGGGCCTCTTGCTGCTGCCGTGCCGCCAGAGCACAATTTCTGTTCTCATTCTGAAGCAAAGTTCTTAACCTGAGGTACTATTTCTGGGTTAGCGGAGTCTCTAACCTGAAGCGTATGTAAACTGAGGTACCACTGTAATGGCATATCGTGTATATTAAGTTGTCCAGAAGATCAGGGACCAAGAACCTTGCTTAGGGGCGGTGCTTTTTTTCTGGGGGGACGCAGGGGTATACATACCCCTAAATATGTTGTTAATCTAAGTTTGGCCTCACTGAGGGGCAGTATTTCAATATGAGTAGGAAAATGAGAGTACCCCAAAACATATTTTTTAAGGGGGGAAAAGCACTGGTATGGGGATATGTCCAAGGTTGCCAAATGAAGAGCCACACAGGGTTTAGAGCCTTCGAATTTCCTTGCTCTGTTGTAACTCCAAATAATCGCCTTGCAAAATTGGAGTGAGCCGAGAATTGTGTCAGCGGGAGAGCTTATTTATGCAGTTTTGTCCCAAGAAAGGTCATTTTGCTGCTATTGCAGAATCTTTGCAAAAATTGGGATTCCTGTAGAGAGAGCACTCACATGCTCCTACCCCACAGTGATGCACTATTAAAGTACTACTGTAGGATGGGCAATGGGTGTCGTGGCAATGCTACTGTGCTGGGAGGAGAAGAGAACCAGAGCAGCATTTAGGAAACATGGCTTATTTCAGGGAAGTAGTCCGTTGTATTTAAACAACTCCAGTTAAAACAGGGACCAATTTAAAAATGGCTCTTTCTGTAACGGTAAAATGATGGAAACATGAGATTTAAAGCCAAAGAACTGGAAACAATATAAATCAGGCATTGGTCCAGGAATACTTATATGGGGCCTCCATGATAGATAACCATGTTAACCAGCAGCAGCTGCTCACACTAGAACAGGCAAGGAGGATGGTGGCACGTTGCAGTCCAAGCAGCGACTGTCTTGACAAAGGTGAAGCAGAGGTGGGGGCACATTAAATAAGGGTTCTGCATAAAAAAATAGAGAGAATAAGATTAGATTTAATAAGTTAGAGCTGTTGCAGCTCAGGGCGGAAAAGTATGGTCAATATTTTGTGTGCATGACATGTGGGGTGTGAAGACTGAACCATCATCAATCATTTGCTCTACAGTGGTGTTCTTTAACCTATGGTCCCCAAATGTCACTGGACTACAACTCCCATCTGTTGAATGGTCACTGTAAAATGTGAAGGTTCATTATTGTTTCACAAGTTGTGTTTGTCTTTAAGGGCCAGGGCAAATAACGAGACCCAGTCTTGCAGCTGTGAAACATAGCAGGTGCTGCTAGGTTGTGTTAATTAAGCTGTGTCAGCATTTGGGCATAGTATATAAGGAGCAGCACCTAGCTCTCTCATTATCCTGGGGGATGGGTTGGTGGTTGGGTCTGGTTTGTTGTTGTTATCTTTAGTGTAAAAGGAGTTTTTGTTTTGTTATTAAAACCTTGTTAAAGTTATTTTTGAGTTCCTTGTTATGCATGGTCTCCCCAGCAAGCTCTCTGCAGCGCTACTAAACTGTAAGTGGCCAACACCATCATCCTCAGGCAGTTGAGTTAATGGTCAGGAATGATGAGAGTTACAGTCTAATATCATCTGAGAACCCAACACCAGGGGCGGAGCTACCTGCCCCGGCACCCGGAGCGGTGAGGGGGCAGGGCTAGCTGGCCCGTGGGGACAGGGCTAGCTGCCTGCATGGCGAGCACCCCTAGCTGCTTGCTGCCCGTGCGGCAAGCGCCGGGGAGGCTGCTAGCTGCCCACGGCAGCATTGTCCCTACTGGCCCACGGCCCACGCCCTGGGGGCGCTGCCTGCACAGCGAGCGGGGGTGGGGTGGGTGGCACGCCAATGTCACCCACCCTCACAGCTGACACCCGGTGCACACTGCACTCCCTGCACCCGCCTTCCTCTGCCAATGCCCAACACTTCTCTAAGTCCTGTAGCTTGCATCATACCCTCCTTTCCCTTCTTATCACACTGTTATAAGAAAAAAATGCTCCCTTTCCCTTATGGGGTATTCCAGTGCCTGTATAGGATCCTTAAGTGGCTTCCCTATTGGTAGGAGAAAGTAACAGAGGCCAACCAGAGTATATTGAGAAGCAAAGTGGCTAGTAAGCCTGATCGTTATTAAAGGAACTGGGTCCCCACTCACCACACACAGGAGGGAGGAGAACCCTGAACAATGATGCGCAAGCCCTTATATAGACTTTGGAAATTGCCCACCCTGTAGCCCAAGACCCACCCCCCAACCCCTATCATACATAATACAGAAGGAGGCGGTCTACAGCAGAAATCCTGTCTGCCGGGATACTGATTGCATTATCTGGGCAGTCTGGCCATTCTTTTGTGATGGTTAATACTGTACTTTAGTTCCTGAGGCCAGGTCACAGGCTCACCCTATTCGTGCACAAATATGCCCTTAAGACAGGAACTGCAAGCAAAAAAGACAATAAGAAGGCTTTCCCCATTTGCCTCCCTTATTGCAGAGGTCATTGGGAGACTCAAAATGGCTTCAGGATTGCTCTCCCATACTATTTAAGACACATGGTTCATATATTTAGATATGTGTGCATTTATGAATATTTATTCTATATTTGAGACCTTAAAATTCTTATAACAACACAATGACAAATCAAGGGCCTCATTCCCAAGTTATGGAGAAATTTCATAGGTTCTTAAAAATATATGTAGGAAAAACATATCATTGATTCATTGATTAAATATTGTTCAGCTTAGGGTCTCCATAATCTTTAATTATGCTTTGGATACAGACATGCAATCATAGACAGATACGAACAGGAAAAGAAACAGGATGTCACAGCCCTTCTGGGCCTGTCCAGCCATTTAAAGAGTGTGCTAGTTCCACTTTACTTTTGGGGAAGCAGAAGGTTTCCTAGCAAAACACTGATTAGCATCTCTGGCCTGGCTTGTCCGAGCAAGTAGCCGGGCTCCAGGCCAGGGGAAGAATGTGTGTGCTGCCCTGTGTAATTTACTGGGAGTGTCCAGCCTTTTCAGCCAGCTTGTTATTTGGAGTGTTAGAAGCACAAATGTCCTTAGGGGCAATATTGAAACGAGGGAGACCCTTTAATTGCTATTGCTATGCACGAGCATTAATTCAGCCTCCATTGTTGGAATTGTGACCCAATACAAACTTTAACCCCAGAAACTGAATAGTAGCCTAAGTTGCACCCCCAATTCTCTGTTATCTTGCTATCCTGTTGCACATTGCACACATTTGCCCAAGGCTGCAATTTTATGCACATTGACTTGGGGACAAAACCTTCATTGAACTCAGTGGAACTTACTTCTGGGTAAGGATTCATAGGATTGCATTTAGTAATCGCACTGATGTAATTTTCAGTAAAAGAAAGTGGGGAGAGTGACATAACCAGTAAACTATTGTGAGATTTCGTAATTCTAGTTTTCTAAAGCTGAAACATGTTATGAACTTATGAACTAATGCAGGAGTTGCCAACTTGGTGCCTATGGGTGCCAGTGTGCCTGTCAGTACCTCCTACGGCACCAAAAAAAAGTTCTCAGTAAATAATATACCCTGACAAATCCACACTATACAAGAAACAGTTTGCTCTTTTGGTTCAGTGGCCTCTTCCACACTGAATACATCCCCTTAAATGTACCTATACTTCATTGGATATTAGGATTGGACACCTGCCTCCCTTCTGCACAGAGGAGTACTGTATAGAGGTTTTTTCTGTGAGCAAGTGTGGTGGTGACTGATGTAGGTGGATTTTTCCTCACTGAAGGGGGTCATGACTTCACCATTTTCTGTTTCTATCTCCTTTTCTGCTCTTTAAGATGTGGCAGCCATTTTGTGCTGTGCTGTGCCATGCCACAGCCACACAGTTGCCATTTTGTGTTATGCCACAAACCCTCACAGAAGCCATTTTGTGACTGGTGCCCATGACACTTTCTCAAAATTCCAAATGTCCCCACTGGTTGGCATCTGCTTACCTAATGTAAGCAAGATAGGTGTTGCTATCTTACATATAAACCGAGGGAGAAGTTGACTTGTGTTTAAAAACAGATATACTACGCCTCAGGCTTTCTCAGGAGACTTGTATTCTGCCCTGAAGTCCTCTTTAAAATATATGATGGTATCATTCAAATATATGATGGTATCATTCAAAACGAGTAAAATTTAATAAAAAGAACAGCTACTGTATATTTCTAGGGAAGCCTGTGGTGAAAATGTCTTTATTTAAATGTCTATATAATGTTCAAGTTCATTCACCACACCCAAAGGCACCTAAAGCAGCACAGGGTCTAAAAACCAAAACCAAATGTATAGTCTGAAGAGCAGGCAAAAGGATAACTGTTTACAGTTTGGACTATGGAGACCCCCTTTCCCCCTGTGCCATGTTCCATGCCAATCTGGCTCAGCCCCTTCCCCCTTTATTTACTTACTAAAATCAAGCACCTCAGAGCTAACAAAGTAATCATGTCTATTGTGGCCCTACAATTGATTTCATTGGCTTAAAAACACTTGATTCAAGAGGTGATTAGCAATACTTGAGTGTGGTTTCCTTGGATACATTAGGGGTAGCATTGTTGGGCATCTGCCAAGACCCACACACACCTGCAGGAGACTCTCTGACAACCTCCAGAATCTCCTGACCCTGTAGTTGCTCCTTCTTGTTGTTTTTGCCTGTTCACCTTTCTGAAAATGCAAGCAATGACAAAAATGGGGAAACAGAACAGGTTCCTTCACTTGCCCTGCACTCCCCATCTGGATGATTGTACAGACTAGACCCACAGGGAGACCGCAGATGAGGCCCCCATATGTTTAAAATAAATTCAACTTTAAACAATAATGGCTTTCGTCCAAGAATCACAGAATTACAAGGAACCCCAAAGGCCATTTAGTCCAACCCCTGCAACGCAGGAACCCTAACTAAATCCTGGGAATTCTAGTTTGTAAAGTGTCTGTGAGGAGGAATAGGGGGTCTTGTTACAACCCTTAACAAACTATAGTTCCCAGGAATCTTTGGATGAAACTTTGGCTGCTTAAAGTGGTTTGATACTGTTTTAAGTGTATACTGCAAATTAGAGTCTAAAACTAGAGTTGACACTGCTTAGAGAGGACAGCAAGGTGGGGGCGATCTGCCTCATGCTCCTGGAGAACAGAAAGACAAATATTAGGTAGAGCAGAATCTCTGCATGATTGTCAGGCCCTGGATCAGCCTCCTGGTGACCCAGGGACCAATCAGAACTGGTTAGGACACCAGCCAGTCAGGGAGAACAGGTGATTTTAAAAAGTAGAACTTTGCAGTTCAACTGTCAGATGGGGATCAGTTAGGGCTTGGAAAAGCATGGGGAACATGAGGAGAAAGGGACCTTTCCTGACAGGAATTAGGGTTAGCTAGCCAGGGCAACCCAGTTTAATTCACTTAGGGAAAAGTAAAAATATTAGAAAGGACTGGGAAAGTGTTGCTGGTATAGTAATACTAATAGCCATGCTAGGTGGAAATAGTTTATCCTGAGGCTAAATTCAAAATGTAAAGTGTGTTTGCCTGAAACTAAGTATTGTGCCTCTCATTTGTAACCATCAAGCTTAAACCCCTCATTGAGTGTAATTAAATAAAAAGTCTAATTTTGTCCCAGAAGTGCCTCTTCATCCTTCAAACCTCTGGGTGAGAGGATAAGTGGACACATGGCATTATTCACATACGTAAAACACCTTGCTGCAGAATAATAAAGAAAAACCACCACAAACAGTTGAAGCAGACCTCTCTAGTGTTGTTAACTGTTATTTTTAAGCACCCAGAAATTCAGTCACACTACCCAGCTCCCATCTTTAGTGCTGCAGGCTTTCTTTGTTCTTTTGCTAAAGCACTTGATTGAACATGAATCCATAACAAGGGATTGGGTAAACATTTGATTCATTTCTCATTGAAAGGTGTACCTACCTAATTCACACTTTCTTGAAAAATAGACAAACTGAAACAAGGCCATCCTTTGAAACTGGCACATCTTTGAATTATGCAGTGGAGTTCTCTGGTCAAGTAATGTGCACAAATGTGCATATATTTATTATGGTAAAATGTGTATTAAATGCATTTATTATTGAAAACGACATGCATAATCCATTAGGAAAATTGCCTAGTAAAAACATGTGTCTTAAGCCAAATTGCATGCAAATGTGTGGCTATTATGAGAAATTTGCACTAAAATACTTATGAATTTCCATGAGTCCTTTTTTTAAAAAAAGAATTTGATGTGGAGAACTGAATTTAAGATTGGAAAAATGAGAAATGGAGAGAAACAGAAAACGGACAGATTTGCTCATTGCCATTCATAACTTGATATTTGAATTGTAATAAAAACACCTTGCCCAAATGTTGCATTTATGAACAATAAGGCTGCAAACCTTTGTATGTTAACTCAGAAGTAATCTTCTCTGGATTTATTTCCAAGTGAATATTCATCGAATTGGGCTGTGCACCAGAGTTTTAGCTTTTTTTTAGTGGTTTGTTTAGTGGTTCATGTTCTTATATGCTTGATTTTACATCTCCTTCTGTAAAATAAGTGGGCAAGCATCATAGTTCAGGGGTACAGCACCGCCTTTGCAGGCAGAACATCCCAGGTTTTGTTGCTGCCATCCCCAGGTACGGTTGGGAATGTTCCCTGTCCAAAACCCTGGAAAGCCACTGTCAGTGTAAACTAGCCTTCACCATCTTGGTGCCTCCAAATGTTTTGGACTACAACTCCCATAAGTCCCAGCCAGCACATGTAGCAAGGGGAAGACAGCAACAAGTCAGCTGGCCCCTGTTTGTATGTGGACCTGTGTGAGAAGCAAGTTTGCTCAACTAGATCATTCTCTGGATCTGTGACAAAAGGCATTTAAAACAAATTTGGAAATGAATGACAGCATTACAGTTCCTTATGTAACCTTATCTTTGCTGCCTTTTGTACAGGCATGATGATAACATCTCTAATTACATGTTCTTATTTCCTATAGGACTGGAGGAATAAAAAATCAAATATACACTGAAAATAGGGCATTCTAAGCCTCATTATAGTTGTTTGCATCCGGCAAGTGGGAAAGGCAGTGTAAAATCAGAGGGTCTTCTGTTGCTTTCTGTTGCTTTCAGGTCCTTCTCGCGGGCTCCCCATTGGCATGCTGTGAGAACAGGATGCTGATCTAGATGAGCCTTTGGTCTGATCCAACAGGACTCTTCTTATATCATATTCTTATGTTAATTCTCATCCAGATACTGATCAGATCTAGTCCAGCTTCGATTTAGTAAGATTTCTGCATCAGGTACTTTCAGGCTATGCCCTAGGACTATATCAAGCAAGATCCCTTGCATCTGTTTCAGACATAGTAGTGGAACTAGAACAGGCTGATAATAAGTAAGTGAGGAAACTATGTGGGCTGAACTATAGAGGTCACCTCTAAAGCATAGCATTCCAAAGAACAAGATTGGCTCCAAAATAGCCTGCCATTCACCAGCAATCGCAGAGAATGTGTAGCCTTGTTGCTAGGCACAGATGTTGCCATGATGGAGTGAAGCGCGTGCAGAATCAGTAGTAGTAACACATGCAGCCTTGTTGCTAGGCATAAATGTTGCTAGGGTAAGAGAAAGGGAAGCATATTGTAACTGTAGTAACCTAGTATTCGTGTACGCTTGCAGAGTGACCCAAATGTTCTAAAACATTTTTAAAATCTAGGTTACGGCTGTCTGATGAGGCATGTTGCATCTACATCTCTCTACCTATCCCATCAAGCGTTATTGTCAGCATTGCAAAATTAGACTCTTATGTAGACAGAGATTTCTCCTTCAGAAGTCCATGGCTCACTGACTTCTTTTCTTTTTAAAAAAAGATTCACTGCTATCTAGGTCACAGCAGGTTTGAAAGACTGAAGGTATCTGTTCTTTTTTCCCAGTTAGAGAAAAGCATATATTAAGGAAGATAAAATTATATTAAGGAAGTTAAAAATGTCAAATACTTACAGGGACAAACATAATGTTAACACTTTGCACCCATCAAAAGGCTGACACCCCATTTTTGAACAAGGTGCTTTCAGTTCAGAATAACTCATTGTCTGATTCCTCAAGGTACTGGACAACTTTCCTGGCCCGACCCAACCATTCACGTGCGGCAGTTGGAAAAGGCGAGTCCTTACCTGAGCTTATTTCAATGGAAAATGACTCATCATCCTTCCTGGATTTCTTAAATGCTGTTGATTTTTAAAGAGCTGGGTATGTTCTGGGTTCCAGAACTACTGCTGTTATTATGCCAACTGAAAATTGGCACAATAACTTCTGTTGATCCTAATGTATCTTTACCTTTACTAGACATATAAGAAATATTTTAGCTCAGAGAGCTTTTCAAACCCTGTGGATCCTCAAAAGTTTATTGGGGGAGGGGGACATCTGACTTTTCTGACAAAGTCAGTTGTGACTTTTTTGACTGCTATGTAAAAAAGGGAGGGAAAAGTTGGCAACTCAACTAGGAGGGAACCAACACAGGTTTCCCTTCCTTGTCTCCAGTTGGCCCTCCCTCAACTTCCCCCGAATCACCAAGGCTCTTCATTCCCTCCAGCCTGCCACAAATAACTGCCTCTTTCTCCTCAGCCACCATGTCCTTTTGTGACATCCCAGGCAGCCTGCAGCCAATGGCAACAGCTGGAGAAGCACCAGCACAACCTCCTCTGGCCTGACCATTGTGGGGCAACTCACTACTGATTTATTATTTTTCTTTTTTGCCAGATAATTTTTATTAGTTTTCCAATTTTTTAACAAATCAGTACCAAATGACATCAAATTTAATACAATTTCCTCATTGAGTTGACTTCCTGCTCTCCATCGTCAATGTGTTCCTGTTTATTATTTCTCATCCAGCCCATCTTTCATGAGTACTGCTAACATAAACTGTCTTGGAAGAAAAAGATAGAATGAACACTACAGCTAGATATATTTAGAAAGACATTTGTTTAGAAATATAAGTGAGTTTGCTTAAGTGCTACAGTTCTCTTCATTGCTTTCCCAGTTGGTCTGAAGAAACTTCAGACATCCTGGGGGGTGAGGGTGGGACAGAGACGATGAGGCGGATAGTTACCATTCAACAGCATCACCTAGGCACTAAGGCTGTATGATGTGTTGATGCATCATCCAACACCAGTTTGTAGACCACATCATAAGAACAGTTTCAAAATAATTGAGCAGGCTTTGTATTGTGAAGCACAACCTTCAAAACTCCAGGGGGTGGTATAATTGTGAGCCCTCTAGTGGCTGCCTTTGCTTTCAGCTCCTTTTCCCCTCCTATAGCAGAACGGTCCCACTCCTAGCCTTGGCGCCTCCCCATAACCACAGTGTCTCTCTCTACCTGATTAGATAAAATTTATTGTCATTGTCCGTATATACACAGTATACACAACAACGAAAATCAAACACCCACTCGAAGACCGGGTTCACATACACATTTGCACGTATCTCCAACACTCTCATCCTATTCAGACATAATCTATAAAAACATATCATACTCCAGAATGTAACATAACCTATTAAAAGCATAACATAACCTAAAAACCTGTCTCATTCCTTCCTACTCCCTGCTTGCTATTCCTTGCAACTGGCCCTGAGATCATTATTTAGTGCAATCAGAGCTCTTGGATAGAAACTATTCAGAAGGCGTGTGGTTCGTGTTTTCATTGTCCTATATCTTCTGCCCGAAGGCAACAGTTCAAAGAAGTTGTGAGCAGGATGGGTGGGATCTCTCAGGATATTGTGTGACTTCTTCAAAGTGCGAGACGTGAAGATCTCATCCAGGGTTGGTAGTTGGAGCCCAATAACATTCTGGGCAATTTTAATTATTCTCTGTAAAGCTTTTTATCCGTTTCAGAGCTGCTCCCATACCACGATAATATACTATATGTTAAGACACTCTCGATGGTACTGTGATAATAGGACAGAAGTAGGTGCTGAGATAGATTCAGTCCCCTGAGCATTCTCAGGAAATACAACCTCCCCTGCACCTTCCTCACAACCATATTAATATTTACAGTCCATGAGAGGTCCTCAGAGATGTAAGTGCCCAGGTATTTAAAACTACCAACCCTCTCCACCTCCTCGCCATTTATGTGCAATGGTAAAAATACGCTTTTCTTTCTCCTAAAGTCAATTATGAGTTCTTTGGTTTTTTGGTGTTAAGCATAAGATTGTTTTCTTTACACCATTGAATTAACCCCTGTACTTCTTTCCTATAAGCAGTCTCATCGTTCTCACTAATGAGCCCCACCACTGTTGTATCATCCGCAAATTTGATGATTGTGTTGGACTCATACAGTGGGGTGCAATCAAATGTGTACAGGGAATAGAGAAAGGGACTTAGCACACATCCCTGAGGGGCTCCTGTGCTTAATACTAGAGTAGAAGAATAGTAAGGGCCCATTCTCACTGTCTGCGGCCTATCAGTCAGGAAATTCCTTACCCACAGACAGATCTTCTGATGTATACCCAAATTGGTCATTTTAAGAAATAACCTGTCTGGCAGAATTGTATTGAAGGCAGAACTGTAGTCCACAAACAACAGCCTTGCGTAGGTTCCCTGTCGTTCTAGATGACTCAGTACAGTATGGACAGCGATGGAAATAGCATCATCAGTAGATCTATTTCTTCTGTATGCAAACTGGAACGGGTCTAGAGTGGATGGAAGACCAGCCTTAATATGATCTAGCACCAATCTCTCAAAACATTTCATAACGACAGATGTTAAGGCTATTGGTCTATAGTCATTGAGAGATACCACCACTGACTGCTTGGGGACTGGCACTATAATCGATGTCTTCAGGCAGGTAGGGACAGAACCCTGCAACAGGGATAGATTAAAAATGTCCGTAAACACACCAGCTAATTCTGCAGCGCAGTCCCTAATAGCCCGTCCCATGATTCCATCCGGTCCAGCTGCCTTCCTAATGTCAATGCTCCGAAAGGCACGTTGTACGTCACAGGTCTGTAATAAAAATGGTTGTCTATCAGTAGTAGTTTCTGATGATGTGCTGGTAGCCAATGCTGTAGTGACGGTAGTTCCAGTTCCCACCTCAAGGCGACTAAAAATTGATTCAGTTGATCAGCCAGGTGCGCACTGCTGCTAGCCAGTTCGTTTTTAATATTTTGCCCTGTAATTTGTCGCAGGCCTTGCCATACTCGACGAGGGTCGGAGCTCTCAAAATGTTTTTCGATCCTCCGGCAGTACATAGCTTTGGCGTTCCTAATGCCCTTTTTCAATTTGGCTCTGGCTTCTCTATACTGTTGCGCATCACCAGAGTGAAAAGCAGCATTTCTTGCCTTTAACAGAAGATACACATCCCTGTTTAGCCAGGGCTTGTTGTTAGGGAACACCCGTATTTGTTTGGTGGTAGTGACAACATCAATGCAGCTTTTAACGTAGAACAGTACTGTTGAAGCGTATGTGTCCACATTATTCTCCACAAAGAGCGACCACTCGGTGCTCCGAAAGCAATCTTGAAGTTGCTCAGATGCACCTACTGGCCACACTCGTATCTCTCTAGTTGATGGTCTAATTCTGCGTACGAGAGGTCTATATGATGGTATCATAAGTAAAGATATGTGGTCTGACTGCCCCAAATTGGGCAAGGGCTTGGTCTTGTATCCATGCATGATGTTACTATATACTCGGTCCAGGGTATTTCCCCCCCTAGTGGGACAATCAACATACTGGTGGAACTTAGGGAGCACAGTTCTTAAATCGGCTCGGTTAAAATCACCAGCAACCACAAATGCTCCATCCGGGTGGGCCCGCTGCTGTCTGCTAATAGCAGTTAGCAGGTGGCCCATAGCTGTAGTAGTGTTTGCATCGGGAGGTATATACACCGCTGTTATTATAACAACATTAAACTCACGTGGCAAATAAAAAGGGCGGCACTTCACCACTAGGTACTCCAAGTCAGGAGAGCAATGCGTGTCCATTTGTTTGATGTCCGAGCTCCAGTTGTTATTTATATAAACGCAAATTCCTCCTCCTCTGCTCTTCCCGGATTCGGCGGTTCTATCCGCTCTAATTACTGAGCGTCCTTCTAGCTGCAGAAGTCCCTGTGGAAAGGAGGGATCCAGCCACATCTCTAGAAGGACCATAACACAGCAGTCCCGGATACTTTTCTGCCGAGAGGTAATAAGTTCCAACTCCTCTACCTTGTTGGGTAAGGATCTCACATTTGATACAAGGAGACTTGGCAATGCAGGCTTGTGGGGATTTTTACCTAGCCTCACTCGTAGACCAGCCCTGCAACCCCTCTTCTGCTTGCGCCCCCTCCGTTTTCTTTTCTTTCTGGCAAGGAGAGCAAGGGGAGTATCCCAAGAATGTGCAAAATATGGAGGCTCTCTGATAAGCTCAGCTGGAATGTTATAGGTTGAGACCTCCTGGCTGCAACCTTCTCCTCTGCCGATACTTAAGAGCTCTTGACGACTATAAATTACTTGTGCCTGAGTATTCACAGTCCCTAGCAGCAATAAGTTCACAAGTAAGAATAAAACACAAATCACTGAATACCGGTCTTCGGAGTGCCGAGCCGCTGCAAGTGCTTGCGCCGCCATTTTACATCTTTCCTCAATGGTAGGATGCAGGAATTGCAGCTGTGCTGCTTCTTCCTTCTCCCTCTGTCTAGGGAGGAGTGGGAAAAGTTCACCCTCCAAACACGAGGCTTTGCCTGCCTCAGAGAGGAGGAATTCGCAGTGCACATAACATGTACCTATTAATCTCCATGACTGCTCCTTTGCCCGATCTTCAGCCCCCACCTGTGCGATCTCCAAAGACCGCTCCTTTGCCTGATCTACATAGTTCCATGTTTCAGACATTGTGATGTATCACTAAATTGTAATGTTTAGCTGGTGATAGACCTACCAGGCACCTCCACTGGCTTCAGCCTGGAGACCTCATCAAATAACTTAAGCTTGCCAACTTCCAGAGTTTTCATCTGTTCATGAATATCTACCAGTTTCCTTTTACACATCACATTCATGTAGCTACTGACACCATTCGCCTTGTCCACATTTAAAACTTCCCATATACATAGGCATGCATATGCTAGCCAAAATCCATGATAAACACCAACGGACACATTCACTCATCATTCACTCTTCATTCAATCACATTTGTTCCCTGACTTCAATCTGCAGATATCCACCAGCTTCCAAATTTCATTTGGGAGGGTTGAATTTTGCTTATTGAGCTCTTCACAGTTCAGAAATCCATGGCTCACTGACTTTTTTCTTTTCTAAGAAAGATGCACTGCTATCTAGGTCACAGCAGGCTTGAAAGACTGAAGGTATATGTTCTTTTTCCCCAGTTAGAAAAAAGCATTTACTAAGGAAGATAAAAACATTTGCCAGCTTCCATTAAGCCATCGCCAGATGTCAGCCAGCTTCTGACCATGGGTATCAGCTGCCTTCAAGCCACATCCCTCTCAGCAAGTGAACTTGCCTTATTAATGCTCCATGGCATCCCACAGCCAGATGATCACCTCCGTCCATCTGCCATTTCTCTTTCTCCAGGTGGAAGAAGGCTGGGCAATTCTGAATGTCACAGCTGTTGCCCTCTGTCTTCTGTTGGAGAAGAGGAAAAGGCCCACCTTTATATCCATTCAGCTGTCATGTGTTTTTGTGACATCACAGGTAGTCTGTAACCAACAGTAACAGGCTGGGGAAACATCATCATTATCTGTGCACAATTGGAGGTGCACTTCAGCAGTGATTTATGTGTGTGCTTGTTGATGTGTAGCTCACCCTTCATCCGTATTGATACCAAGCAGGGAGACACTGTAAAATTGTTGCAGGGGACCCTTTTCAGCACAAGGGCTGCATTTCCTTCCAAGGCTTACATGCCAGTGTCGGGCAGAGTCAGAGGCAAATGGAAGCAGATCAAAAGCCAGAACCCTGGCTCTCTCAGATCTATCCATGGCTTTTGCCACAATCCATGGAGGTGTCCTTTTGAAAAAAAAAAGCTCAGGATGTAGGGATGGGTTAAAGTAGAACTCGAGGAAAGTAGCACTACAGCTTTGGGGCTATGAGGATCTTCAGCAGTCTCTTCTGTCTCCCAAGTTATTTAACAGTTACATGAAATGGTTGTAGGTTTATTTATTTATTTAACAAAATTCATATCCTGTAAAGCCTGTAAGTGGTTTATCAAAAAGGCTTTTGTTGTCGTATGGGCATTTGGAGCAAAGTGTAATTTAGCCAGCAACAACTGGACCAATTAGCTTTCACTTAAGGCAGAGTTCCATTGGCATGCAGCCACTGAAACAAGGGTTTCCCATTGCTCCCTTTAGAGCTTGTCAATATTTGACAGGTTTTTTTTTATAAGATTCCATTTGAACTCGCAGGATCTCTAGCGACTTATTAATAATATGCATTTTTTGTCTAAGCAGAAAGGCATCATAATATAACTTAGGGCACCGTTGCTTAACTTAACATAAGGCACTTCTATTCCTCCTTTGTCCCTTGGGCGATACAAAGTTTGGAGGGTTGTTCTATTCCACTTACTATCTAAAATAAATTTTTAACTAGCACCAGCCATTTCTGTAATTGGGATTGAAGAATTGATATAGAGAGCCTTGAAATAAAAATAAGAACTTGGGAAGAGTAGTTATTTTAACAGCTGCAATGCATCCCCAAAAAGTTCCATTTTAAAAAAATTACTTGCCCTCAATTAATTTCTTAATTTTTTGAATAGCCAGCCAGCTGTAATTTTTTTAGTTGATTAATTTGATAGTAACAAAATTTAACTTTATCTCTCCTCTAATTCCTATCTCTATATTATTATTATTATTATTATGACATGTTTCTGTTTTGATAGTCTTGAAACAAAATCTCTCTATACCAACAAATGAGGCACTCAGCTGCTGGAAACTTGAAAAGGCAGTGGCTGGAGCATTTCCCCTCTCTTTCCTTCCACACTAAATAATAATAATAATTACGCACACCCTCCGCCCAAGCAGGTGATCCAAGCGGGCTCCCCCCCATCCCTTTCCAAGAGACCAGTCCTTAATGATCCACCGGGTTGAGGTTATTCTGTGTTTGTCACCTTTTGTCCTTGTTCTGCGTGTGTGTGAAGCCTCCTTAATCGGGTTCCCATCTGCAAGTTTCCTTTCACAAGTGAGGTCGTGGCAGTGGCTGGCTGGGGCTCCTTGCCACCTCCTCCTCCTGCTGGGTCGCTTGGTGCCTAAGGCGTGCTCAGCGTTCCAGGCTGATGAGAATTGAAGTCCAATGACATCTGGTGGGCCACAGATTACCCATCCCTTCACTAATTTATTGTGGAGTGTCTTATTCTGGATCTTGACCAGGCATAGGCAAACTCAGCCCTCCAGATGTTTTGGGACTACAATTCCCATCATCCCTGACCACTGGTCCTGTTAGCTAGGGATGATGGGAGTTGTAGTCCCAAAACATCTGGAGGGCCAAGTTTGCCTATGCCTGATCTTGACCATAACACCAAACACAGACTTTCCCACATTGTTCAGATGCATCATTCATGAACAGCCTTGCCTCTGTATCTGAACTACTACCTGCCCTCAGCAGAGCTTGGTAGCATCCATTCTTCAGGTAGCTAAAGGGCTGGGTTTAGGAGAAGGGCCATAGCTTAGTAGTAGAGCATCTGTTTTGTGTGCAGAAGGTCTCAGGTTCAATCCCTAGCATCTTCACTTAGGACTGGGAATGTCCCATTTGAAATCTAGGAGGGCCACTGTTGGCAATTGCAGACAACAATAAGCTAGATGGCTCAAAGGTGTGACTCAGTATAAGGCAGTTTCTTTATTTTATGTCCTATAGGTTGGTGTTTATTTAGTAGAAATGTTTGGGAACACTTGATTCAATGTCAGATACTCTTGATGATGCTGTATCTTTTGAGGAGAGTTGTGGGGAGAGAGGGGGTCCTGGACTTTTTCAAGCATCATTCACCAGTATGAAATTTGCATAAGGATTTGTACGCCCAGCTTTATGCAACTCTAAGCAACTACAGAACCCTGTAGCTCTCTGGACACATCAATGAAGCATGCTTAATCTAATCAAAATCCTGACCTAATGCTTCTTGACAGGACCCCGTCAGCCAATTGGGAGGCATCATGCTTATGAGCTTCCCATTGGTATTGGGTTGGCCACTGTGAGAACTGAATGATGAGCTAATGGGCCTTTCATCTGATCTAGCTGGGTTCTTCTTATGTTCTTGTGATTCTTAAGATTTGTTAGCTAAGCAAGTCATAAACTGAGGCTTACTAAACCCTTTCCCATATTAACACAGCAATTGTCAAATGAATGGTCAAAATGGATTATTATCGTAGATCTGTGCAGAATACTCTTCCTCTAAACAGCTTTCTTACTGTTTCCTTAATGTCTGGTGAGATTGTCAGTGAGTGGGATCTGTTCTCTTTTCTCTTGTGTTGGTCTTTCTCAAGCTACTTGCATCCTAAATATGCACCTTCATCTAGGCCTGTTGTACAATACAGGAAGATAAATAGTTCAAGGGCAAGTCCAGGACATTTTGCTGCCTGAGAAGGAATAGCAAATCGCACTGGGGGCCAAGCTGCATAGAGTCCAAGGCTGGTCACGCTTGTAGTGAGCACCTGAGACAGGTAATCCCACAAGTGTTTCCCCTTCGGAGTAAAAGTACAACAGTAATTATAAATTAAATAACTAGCAATTTGCTAGTTTTTAATTTTCATCTTGCCCTACCTAATAGTTGGGCTGGCCCATTTTCTCCAGCTGTAGTGAGCACTGTCTCTCAGCAGAACCAACATGTACGCTGGCCCACAAAACCACAGTACATCATGAACCTGAAGAATGTAGCAACTGGTAGTAGAAAATTTGGTGAAGGAGGTGTGTCCAGTGATCATATGAGGGCCAAACTAGAAATGATGGCAGCAGTCATTAGCTCCAAACATGAAACTGCTCCAATCTTGTATAGTAGGAGTGGGGAAATTGATTTTGCCAAAGGGATGGGTGGGTGAAGAGTGTAGAGACAGCCATACAAATGCATAATATAGCATAGGAAACTGGTTTAAACTTTTTCGGATAGTTGTCAGTGTAGCTCAGTATTGTGTAGAGTAGACGGACTGAGAGCAGTTCTGCAGACAAGGGTCTTTCCCAGGGCTTCAGACAAGGGTCTTTCTCAGTTTACCTGGAGATAGCTGGGGTTGAATCTGGGGCTTTCTTTATACAAAGCAGATGCTCTATCTTCTCAGCTTTCTGGAATCCACTTTCACCTTGCTGTTTTTATTTTCAGCTGAGGTCCAATACTAGAAGTGGGCTTGGCTGTTCGAATATAGGTGAAGGACAAGGATTAGGAAAGGGAATAAGTGGTGAGAACCAGGGGGGTTTAGCACTTGCCAACCCCCCCTCCCCACACCTTCTGCTGTTAAAACAAGGCACCCACACACACTTTTTTCTGTGATTGAGGTGGTTCTATGTTTTGTCAGGTAAAGCTGCAATTTATTTATTTATTTATTTATTTATTTATTTTGTAGGTTTTTATCTTGCCCAGAGCAACCCAAAGCAACATACAACTAACCAACCAGGCAGACAATAAACCCCACACAGATACATTAAAATCAAGAGGAAAAAGAAATTCAAAGCTAGGCAGTGGGCCCTGCCAGGCACTGGCTGCTTTTTTGGTGAGTTTATAACTTTATTCTAACAAGACCCCCGCCCCAGACCTCAGACAAGGTCTGCATGGACCTAGCTCCCCTCACCAAAGCCCATTTGTGGGGTTCCAACAACATATTTTGTCCAAACATTGATTTTGACCTCCCCGCTCCAACCAGGAGGTTTGGTGGGCTCAGGAGTGGGGAAACAAGCAGGAGGGGTAAGGGTTGTACTTGACCACCCCTCCGCCTTCTACTTTCTTGGTCTAATGATCCTCTTCTGAATCTGCTTTTTCTTCGAACGGCTGTCAGGATTTTGTTATACCCGTTTGCGTGCAATGTTTTGTTTGGCTCTGAGTCAGACTTCATTCTGTCTGGGAATCACAATGGACACTTTGTTCTGTCAGTTATGTACAAGGGAGGAGGATTAATGGCATCTTCCCCCTTGTAATAGGGCGATGAGAGGCAAAGGAGGGCACAGCTTCTGCACCAGTAACAGCTGTATAGAAAAGCGAATTTTAACTGGTGTCACTTTACTCACTCCTGCATCATTGTTATCCCATCATTCACCCAATGATCGCAGGACAGTTCATAGTCTGACCCCATTTTACTTGCATTACAACCTTGCAAGAAGGGCTAGGCTAAGAAAGAGTAACAGGCCAGGATCATGCAATCAACTTCTTGGATGTGCAGGGATTTTGACCTGGATCTCCCTGATCCTAACTTCCAGATCCTAACCCTGGCCTATGGTGAGGATTTGTGGGAACTGTAGTCCAATAATAACTTTTGTTGTTGTTGTTTAGTCGTGTCCAACTCTTCATGACCCCATGGACCAGAGCACGCCAGGCACTCCTGTCTTCCACTGCCTCCCGCAGTTTGGTCAAACTCATGCTGGTCCAATAACAACTAGAAGGCCACAAATTCCCAATCCCTACTTGAGATTCTGCCTCTGTGCCAGTATAGGGCATACTGACTCTAATGATAAGCTGCATCTGCCAAAATTCCCTCTTTGGTTGTCAGCTTGTGAGTGGGGGTGGCGGGGTCCCATACCATTGGACTTGGGTTTAGCAGGCAACTATTTAAGGTTTGCAAGTCTTTGTTAACAGAGGGCTTTTTCTCCCTTCAGCTATACCTGAAGAGAGACACCCATGGCCGCTCCAGTGGCCTTCCTGGAGACTAAAGCTCCCAGGGCATACTTAAACTTCTTACTGAGAGCAATATACTGCATGCACTGAACTACTGCCTGACCCTGTTTCATCCTCCCACAGTTACCGGTAGTTTACTTGGCTACTTGTAATCTTGGCTCCTATTTGCCTTTTGTGCTGGTAAATCAGACAGTCTTCTTGGCACTGCACCTTGGCTCTAATTCCCTTTTGTGTTCGTTGCCTCCATTGGGTTGAATTCAAGGTTATGAGTCTTTATTAATTTTCATGCTTTGTTGAATGTTTAGCTTATTGCTGGTGCCATTCACTGCCTTATGTGCTGAAAACATCGGAATATAAATAGTTTGTGGTACTACGATGCCCTATTGATTATGCATTAGTCATCTTTTGTCCCCTTTGCAGAAGACTAAACCATGCTTTGGTTGTTTTATGGAAAGACTAAATTTCCATAATGATGAGGCAGCATGTAAAGAATGAGCAGAGGATAAGAAGCTGCTATTAACTGCCTACGAATGGGAACTGGGAATGAATGAATCTGTTAATTTCAGTTCCTCTCCATTTCTCATTTCCCCAAAGTTCAATTCTCCACATTTCCAAACCAGCTTGCAAATTATTTTATTAAAAAATCCTCATGAAAATTCACCAGTATTTTAGTACATCCCCCCCTAATTTGTTATATTTTATATAATTTATAAAATAATGCATTTTGTATATTATTTTCAGTAATGTAATAAACATCTTTATGGATACTTTACCTTAGGATATGCATTTCTGTAGACATTACATAGCTGGAGAATTGTATTGAAAAAATTGGAGAAATTCTGAAGAATGGCTATATTATAATTCTCTTATTGTTTCAGAAAGTGTGAATTAGAAAACTTCACCTTTAAAGAGAACTGCATTGAATTTCTCCCCCATCCCTTAAAAGTAAGATGTTTAATATAGCATGTTCTTTCAGTATATTCACTGTGATTCTTTCCAAACTAAACACATGAAACCTTTCTTGGAATATGATTGGTTAACTGTTTTTGCCAGGGCAAGATATATATGGCTCAAGGAGTAGTGACCCTTCCAAATGGAGACCTACTTCTATCATGGGCTAAGCAAATTCAGCTGCTTAGGCCCTTACTATAGCCTCAGAGACCTTTGTCACTGCTGCCTGACAATGGCCAACTGCTATCATCATGGGATGAGTGAGATCCAGCTGTTCAGCCCCAGCCCCACAGTCTATAAAAACTGCAAAATTGGTGATCATGCACAAAACATATACACAACCTTGATGGAGAAACTATTGTCCAGACTGTTTTTAGTGTGGTGTAGCCAGTGTGGTGTAGTGGTTAAGAGCGGTAGTCTCGTAATCTGGGGAACCGGGTTCGTGTCTCCGCTCCTCCACATGCAGCTGCTGGGTGACCTTGGGCCAGTCATACTTCTTTGAAGTCTCTCAGCCTCACTCACCTCACAGAGTGTTTGTTGTGGGGGAGGAAGGGAAAGGAGAATGTTAGCCTCTTTGAGACTCCTTAAAGGGAGTGAAAGGCGGGATATCAAGTCCAAACTCTTCTTCTCTTCTTCTTATGTTTGTGTTGAGGTCAGTGGCGTAGCGTGGGTTGTCAGCACCCGGGGCAAGGCAAGTAATTTGCGCCCCCTAACCCAGTAGGGGGAGAGAGCTGTGAGTGCGAGCGCCCCCCTCCCAGATGTTGCGCCTGGTGCGGCCGGCCCCCCCTGCACCCCCACGCTACGCCACTGGTTGAGGTGAGGGATGTGTGCTATGATTGTCATATGGAAGCACTCTGTGTGAAAGTGTGGCCGTTGTGGTGCACAAAGCAGTTTCCATGTGGATCTCTTGTATTTCATGGAGTTTCCATGTAAGTGCTAGATTTTCCTGCTGGTGGTGCCCATGCCTGGTAAAGAGGCTGAGTATTTGCAATTGAGGAAGGGTAGCCAAATCACCAAAAACAAAGAAATGCATGATCTGAAAGAGGGCCAACATTAGCATGAAATTTGCTCATTCATATGTATAGATGTGCATTTAGAAATGATTGCTATGATTTAAACAGAAATACAGTACATCTCACTACAGTGGGGTAGACTGTGACCAGGTGACCTGGGCACCTGCCCAGTCTGCTATCCAGCTGCTAACTGTTAAGGGGCAGCTTTAGGGCCCCCTTTGCTCTCCCTTCTTTAAACTGGACTGGGACTCGACAACCTGTCAATATGACGGTCTGTAAAATGGGACACATGGTCACCCTAAATTTGGGATTGGTGTCCAATGGTGGGCTGCAGCAAATCCCTCGTGTAGGTATAGCACAGCATCACTGAATCATATCTCATGCTGTCAAGGAACCTGAAAGGCCATCAGGGAAGGCTCTGTAAGGCAAGTCCCTTCAACAACCCTCCTGCATAGAATGTTCTTTGCCATTGTCCCAGCATCACACAGCGCAATAGTTAAATCATTTATTGCCTTAGCCAGGCACCCTTGAGCCTCTGATGGTTTCCATGGCAATAGCTCTTATGCGGAGAAGCAGGCCAGCCTAGTAATAAGCATCCTGGGGTAGGAGAAAAGGATTTAGTGTACCCAAGTTAGAGTGTCACTATGGGGGCAATAATAGGATTGCAGGCTGCCGCTTCCAGTTCTGTTTTTATCTCTTCATAATAAACTAAAGTGTAATGGAGGGCTGGGGGCAGTGGGAAAGAAAAGAGATGTATTTCCGATGTTTAATACCCTGCTGACTAACCCAAGGGATTCATGCATTGGTTTCCAAATACAAATAATAATATATCTAAAACGAAAACATGAAAATGAAACAATAATAACACACACATACAAAAGAGACCCCAACAAGCAACAGCAAAAATTGGCTCAATCTCACCATATGCAGTAGCTTTTCTGACAAAGAACAACAACATATGGGGCACAATTTCTGAAAGATAAAAGGGAGTCAGCCAAATGGACCTCCCTATGTAGGGAGTTGCACAGCAAAGACACCACCACTGAGAAGTCCCTGCTCCATATAGCTTCTTGCCAAACTTTGAGTGGCAAGGGTCCTCCAAGCAAAGACTCCCTTGGTAATCTAAAGGCAGTGGCGGAGGGGGAGGGGCATAGAGAATGAGGCTCTTCTTTGGCTACAATGCACCCAGATGATTTGGAGCTTCAAGGATCAAAACCAGTACTTTCAGTTTGGCTACAACACTAACTACTAGCTGTTGCAATACCTTACGGCAAGGGGGGCTAACCTGTGACCCTCCAGATTTTTAGGAGACTCCAAACAGCAGCATTGGGTGGCCAATTCATTATGCCTCACAGTAGGACTGGTACTAGCTTCGGGGTTTTTGTCTTCGTCCTGCCCATTACAGTCATACCTCTAGTTGCGTTAGGTTCATGTTGCGGATTTTCGGGTTGTGAACGCGGCAAACTCGGAAGTGTATACCTCCGGGTTTCGCCGCATGCTCAGAAGCGTTCTGCGCACTTCACGCATGTGCAGGAGTGCTCTATTGTGTCACACGCAGAAGCGGCGCTCTACTTATGGATTTTTCAGGTTGTGAACGGCACCCCAGAACGGATCACGTCCATAAGTAGAGGTACCACTGTACAAAGTTGAGATTTTATTAAATTGTAAGGAAAAGGAAACATATAATTTTGTGTAATCTGCCCTCCCTGCTGGTGACACAAAATTCCATATCTTCTTACAACTCTTCCTGTGGTCTCATGTCGACTGCATGGCAGACAAGATGGAATGTTGCAGGATACGTCCCATGCAGGGTAGCAGCAATCCCCAGCACACTTGCTAGAACCTGCCTGGTGGATAGGAGTGGAATCACTATAACACAGTGTCTCCAGTCCCAACAGACAGGCTACAATCAGTGGTACCAAATACTGCTGGGATGTTCAAGCGTTTTTAAAAGGTGACAATTGTCTCTTAGTTTGACCAATGCAGTTTAGGTTCCCAAAGCATGTCCTGAAGTCAGAATTGGATGGATCCAAATCAGGGGTCAACAACCTAAGGCCCATGGGCCAGAAGCGGCCTGTGGAGGTCGTTTGACCGGCCCACGAGCCACCCCCAAACTGAGCTGGCCACTCGTGTGCAGCGCTAAACTGGTGCAGCATGGCACAGAGACTCACTTCCGTGGTGCTGAAAATTGCGCACGTGCAGATGCTGAAAATCACGGGCGCTTGTGCCCACAATCTGGCCCACAGAGGAATCTCCGCAGGACAGGGACAGCCCAGGCAAGATAAACCTTGCTGACCCCTGATCTAGATGAAGACTGGGAAACCTTGGGGCCAGGGACCAAACATTTTTAAGCCACTCGCCATTTCTAAAGCCTTTTTTGACTGGTCGTCCATGTTTTCAACCAACATTTTAGTCTTCTCTGTGTTTATTTTAAAGCCTGCCACTTCTCCAAACCTTTTAATTTCTTCTAGTGCCTTAGGAACACTTACTATAGGTTGTTCCAAAGCTCAACAACTTTTCTGTCTGGATTTTCACTGTTTGAAATATGGCAACCCTAGCTTATGTGCATGCTTATTAATACATACAGGCATTGATGCGGGTTTGGGTATATTTTTGTGTTTATATTTGTTTCTGTGTGAATTCCAGCCCTTGTTCTCTCAACATCAGTTTAGTATTCCTTTGACCCCAAGTCTTTACAAAGATGCTTAGCCACTTACGAATGGCAAATAGGACCAGAGGTTTCTGTTAGGGCAGCATAATGCAACACTTGGCCCTTAAGAAGTTATTTACAGACTATACATCTATTTAGGGTCCCATCCTCCATCTTCCACTCTACTACTTCTCAGCAGCACCACACTAGAGCTGTTAAGCACATGACCTCATAAACACTAATTAGGTTTGGACTCTACAGAACCAAAGAATCCTAGACTCACTTCCCTGGGAGTAAGGTAAAGGTAAAGGTACCCCTGCCCGTACAGGCCAGTCGTGTCCGACTCTAGGGTTGTGCGCCCATCTCACTTAAGAGGCCGGGGGCCAGCGCTATCCGGAGACACTTCCGGGTTACGTGGCCAGCATGACGAAGCTGCTCTGGCGAGCCAGCACCAGCGCAGCACACGGAAACGCCGTTTACCTTCCCGCTATAAAGCGGTACCTACCGTATTTATCTACTTGCACATAGGGGTGCTTTCGAACTGCTAGGTGGGCAGGAGCTGGGACCGAACGACGGGAGCTCACCCCGTCGCGGGGATTTGAACCGCCGACCATGCGATCGGCAAGCCCTAGGCACTGAGGTTTTACCCTTCCCTGGGAGTAGGTAAACCCTAATGAACTCATTGGGACTTGCTTCTAAATGGCCATGCATAGGATTGTAGTTGTAAATAAGCAGTTGCTTAAAACTGCTTGCACTGTGAATGCAAAGCCAGCGCTTGCCAGAATATATCTTACTTTTTGTTTTCTATCCTCTATTAACAGCATTCACTTTTACTGTTAATGTGTGAAAGCTTATCAGCCATCAGCCTGGGAGGAGAGACTGAATGAAATGAAGATGATGTAGATAGTGGGAGTAGCTAACCAGTGAGTGCTGTGTGTGTGTCTGTCTCATTGCTGCCTTAGGGTACCATCAGCAGCTGCTGCAAACATAAGCAAGTCTGGCCCAGCAGCAGACAGACTGGATAGTTACCAAACCTCCAGCAGCTCAGCAGAGGTACTTAAGTTCACAGCTTTTCATCAGAATCCCCAGAAAGCTGCCCGCTAGTGTTGAATCCCTGTTTATTGAATCATACTGCTTGGAGCGGCTCTTCTTGCAGATATAACAACTGCAATGATATACTAGCAGCAGTTCCTCAGTTTCTCCAGGGGCAACAGATTCCTCCTCCCCCGCCACTGCAGCCAGGGTGCCATTCAAGCATGATCAAGCTCTAACCAGCTCTCAGTGGAATTTTTTATAGATTTTGCATCTGTTAAATGGTCTGTGCAAGACCATTCCTCCCCTTCTTTTTCATCTGAATGCTGACTTCCTCTCTTGGCTACTCAAGCATCTATAAATCTTCCCAGCATCTCCAGCTCATCACTGACGCTTCTTTGGATAGGTCCCAGTAGGTGTTTAAATGGGATTCAAATAGACAATTATAGGATGTTAGGCAAGGCCAAGGGAAGAGTGGGGATATGCCAACCATATGGCAATGAAAATGAGATTCCTTTTTTAGGACTCCCAAATTCACTTCCACTTATTAATGCTGGTTTATCTGGAGCCCCTTATATGTTCATATGGGGAAAGGATACAGATTTCCAGACTCCATATTCTCTCCCTTGCCAGGAGAAATGTTAGGTAGTATTGGATCAGATGATGAGTTGACCTAAACCTGATGCTATACATATCCTTGCATATAGAGCAATTATGCCAACTATATTGAGGCAAGGATGTCTGTGCAGTAGTAAGTTCTATAAAATTTAATGAGACTTACTCCCAGCTAAGTGGAGTTAGAATTGCATCCTAAATCTGGAGTAGAAAATGCCCTACAGAATTCATATGGCAGAATCGGGACTAAGAAGAATACAATATGAAGGACCACTTCATAGATGCATTTGTTACTCAGGAACCAATTTCTACTTACAAAATGTATGTATGCAGGATCAGTTATGAAGGGTGCCCATATATTAAAAATGACATATTTTCCCTTCAAAATAATCCATGCAGGACCCTTACCAGATTCTTTCTTTTCTGAAGCTGTGGACACATTACTATTTACTTGGGCTCCAGTGTGCTCCCACTGCTGGTGTTTGGAGCCAGGTATATATAATGTTAGCCTCAGCCCTTACTTATCCTGTAGTTTCTTGAGAAATGCTGCTGCTTGATGGGGTTTCTCTCAAACCAATTTCCATCTGATTTGAAAACATAAGCTGCGGTGAAGCTGAAGTGTTACACTGGAGACAGCTGTTGTGCATGCAGAGATGACAGTTTCTTTGAATAGGAGTTCAGAGTTGCTTTGCTACCTGATTCACCTGGGTCTGTGCAGTTAATGGTGCTCCTGGATGTAGATGAGAAGGAGTTTTTAGATCTCGGGATGAGACTGAATAAGTTTTCTGAATCTATGGATTCGTTGGACAAATTTTGTTTGTTGCCCACATTGGATTATTTATGTATTGCTGTTTTAATGTTTCATATTAATTGTCTTTGTTGTGTTTTATTATTTTCTCTTGCTCACCACTTTGGATACTTTTAAAAATATAAAGTGGTATATAAATATTTCAAAATGAATAAATAAAATGGCCCTGGTTTCTAACTACTGATGCTACCAGTCAACACATTTTCAGTTCTTTGAGCAGTGGATTTGCTTCTTGGATTCTTGGCGGTCCACAGTTAAACTATGGAGGCTTTGATGGCTACCAACATAGATGGCTTTAAAAGCGGATTGGAAAAATTAATGGAAGATAAAGCTATCTAGATGGCTACTAGCCATGTTGGCTGTGCTCTGCCTCCACAGCTGGAAGCAGTAATACTTCTGGGTACCAGTTCCTGGAAACCACCGGAGGGCAGAGTGCTCTTGTGCTCAGATCCTGCTTGCAGCTTTCCCATAGGCATCTGGTTGGCCACTGTGAGAGGAGGATGCTGGACTGGATGGATCATTGGCGTAATCCAGCAGGCTCCTTGGAATGTCTTATGTTCCCTGCCACTTGGCCTGGGTGGCAGTCCCACAAATGCGTGGGAGTGAACTTTGTTGTTTGAGGACTATTCAAGAGTGGCCAACTACATCATACCAAGGCTAGGTCCAAATAGGAAAAATGTGGTTACATCATTTGTATTTGGTGAGAGGCCAAATTTGTATTTTGTTGGATTTGGTTCGTTCATATTAGATCCCTTCTCTGTGGCACTGCTAGTACACAGGTTCCTAATTCCTCGTGTTCGAGAGCTGACTTCCTAGGAATAGGAGACTCTGCCAATTTCAGTTTCTTTCAGTTTCCGATTTTTCCAATTTTAAGTTCTGTTCTCCACATTTCCACATCAGTTTACAATTAAAAAAACCCTCAAGAAAATTAATCAAGAGTTTTGGGCAAATTTCTCCTAATATAGACATTTTTGTACACAATTTTTCTTAATATACACATTTTTGAAAAGCAAATGCACCTAATATAATGCATTTTTGCATTTCCCCCCTCACTGTTATATGCATCTTTGTTCACATTACTTGGCTGAAGAACTCACAGTTTGCCACATCTTGTAGAAGTGCAAATTCCAGATGGCTGGGCTTTGCTTTACATATTGTTTCATAAAGTGTGGATTAGGTAACCTTGCTTTTAAATGTGAACAAATTCCCCTCCCCTGTCCCATGTGTAATTACCATTAATGTAAGGGTGTGATTGCAAAGGGACATTCTTCTGGGATTGCATATTCTCATCAATGGCTGATAGTCCTTATGGCTATAACTTACCTCTGGGATCATACATGCCTCTGTATGCCAGTCACAGGAGCAACAACAGCAGGAGCAAGTCATGTCCTTCTTGTGGGCTTCCCACCAGCATCTGGTCAGCCACTGTGGGAAGCTGGATGCTGAACAGGATTGGCCTTTGGTCTAATCCAGCAGGGAGGCCTCTTCTTCTGTTCTTCTGCTTTGATCCCTGCTCTCCACATCTGCATGACAGATGTAGAAAACTGCAGCATGCCTTAGTCTGCATCATACCTGCTATGAAAGTACAGAACTGGAAGGAACAGAGCCTTCCATGCAACTGTGCCCTAAGGAAATTTCAGATGAAGCTGCAGAGGAAAATGTTGACTACGTCTCATTTCTGTGATAAGTACTGGGGAGTACACAGCCGTCTGCCTGCCAAAACAAAGGGTCTGAGATAGGAACAAGCAACACAGTGATCCTTTCTTCCTCCTGGAACATATAATGCAAAGCCATTGCTGGCTGCTTTTTTCACTTAAAAGACAACAATGCAAAGCAGACACAACAGAGAGTTGAATAATATTTTACCAAGTTGCTGAATATCAGGGGGCGGGCTGCATTATATCAGCCAATCCCCTTTCTTGGTTTGCTTCTGCCTGCCCTTGATTACTGCTGCCGATTGACAGAGAGCTGTGTTGAGCAGTATACAGCTGTATACGACCTCTGAAGCCATGATGATCTCTGCTGAAGGCGGAGTGTTTTGCCTAACCTCTCTGCCTTTGAAGTGAATTCCCATCTGCTAGCACAGAAAGGAAATATTGTGTGAGGTGTGGGCTGCTCTTATTGATCTGCAAGCTGTGCAGAGGTTCTGCAATTGCTGAGGTCAGGTTGGAGCATAAATCCTTTCTATCTCTCAAAGCTCCCCAAATGTATTGGAATTAAGTATAAAATGGAGACCTGAGCTAGTGGAGCTGGGCTAAAGTCCACTTAAGCATGCATGCTGGCATACTGGGTGCCTTAGCTGCTGGACCCAGGTTGTCTCTGCTTTTTTAGAGCAGAGAACCATTGGTCGCTGAAATGTATGTGAAACAATTGTGGTTGACAATATTATTTTAAAAGTGGGACTTGCAGCAAAATGTTGCAGTGTAGAGTGCTCCTGTTTAGGATTCCAACCTGTCAACCATACCTTCATCCACAGTTCCACACCATAATTTTCCATTTCCCTCCCAACAAACACTAAACAAGCTATGGCCATTAAACATCCTCAGACTTTACTGGACTCTGTCTGGTGTATGTACGTGTGTGTGTGTGTGTGTGTGTGTGTGTGTGTAGGAGAGAAGAGTTAAGAACACAAGATTCCTGCTGTATAAGATGAAAGAGCCATCTGGCCCAGCATCCTGTTCTCACAGTAGCTAACCAGATGCCTATGTGAAGACCACAAGCAGGACATGAGCACAACAGCATTTTCCTCAGTTTTACTTCCCAGTGACTGGTATTCAGAGGCATATTACCTCTGATAATGGAGATAGTGGTTACTAGCCATCATGACTATGTACTAACAGTCTTATCCTCCATTTAATTGTCCAGTCTTTTTAAGTCATCCAAGTTGGTGGCCATTACTACATTTTGTGGGACCCAATTCCATACTTTAGCTGTGTGCTGTTCTTCCTTTTGTCAGCTGTAAATCTTTCAACATTTGGCTCTATTGGGAGACCCCAGATTCTAGCATTATGAGAGGAGAAGGCCTAAAAATTCCTCTATCCACTATCTGCACACCATGCATAATTCCATGCACCTCTGTCATGTCCTCTTTTTTTCCTACACCAGGCTCTGCAATTTTCCACATAGGTGAGTTCAATTTTGTTGCTCTTTTCTGAAACATTTCCAGCTCTGCAATACGCCCTTTTTGCGGCGCAGATATCAGAACTGAACAGAGCATTCCAAGTGCCTCTTCTCACCCTGGCATTTTCCATGTGTGGCAAAGCTTGAAAAGAAATTTTAATTTCTGCAGACAGGTTAAGAAAGCTTGGAGCTATTGGTGATCTCTTGGCCAATGTGATTAGGTCAAGATCACAAAATATTCCGTTCAGCAACACCTCTCCCAGCCACTCACATGGGGTGGTGCTGAGTATGCATGGCAGGAGGAGCACCATGCTGACTTTAAGAAGCACTTTGGAACACCTGATCGTTTGTGAGGTGCTGACTTGCTGCTATGTTCTTGCAGCCTAAGGGCAAAGATATTCACAAAGTTTTAGAGCAGTAACACTGGGTTCATCACTTAGAGTGCAAGCCTCATGTTGCAGCATAGACTTTGTGCACATGACAATTTATTCTAGAATCAATGGATCAATAGATCTATTCAGACATTTTGGCACCTGAAGTAGACCCCAAAATTGTGCCCCACTCCTCGCCAGGGAAGAAGGGGTGAGGAAAGGTTTATATCAAGAATAAGGGGTGAAGGAAGATTGATGTTGCGATCTGCTGTCCCTGGGAATCCTGCCACCTGAGGCAGTCATCTCTCCTTGCCTCATGGGTGGGCTGGCCCCGGATCTATTGCATATTTGTTGCCCCTGAAAAGTGCTTCTTGCTCTAAATATGTTGTTTGTCTTCAACCACTTGTACAGCAGGTCTTCACAACATTTACAGGAGGTGGTAAATGGGCAACTTCTGAGGGAGAACTCTTTAGTCCTTCAGCAGATGGCAAAGGCAAAGCGCTGCCCTGGAATAATGGGTGAGATGCTGTTGAGAAGTACTCTTTCCACCACCAGAGAGGCATCCTTCATTCAATTAGAGTTGTCAGCTGTCTTAATTTTGCCACGGCAGTCGTGAAAAAAGAAACATTGCTTTCAGGACAAGCAGATGTCTTGAATTTGTAAGGTATGTACGTAAAAGGAAATAAACAGTGTTTGAACTGTTCAGAAATACAAATTCTATCTTCTACACAATCCTCTCACATCTGCCCCCTATCCCACTAGCACACATGGCTTATGACTGAATTGCTATGATGTCTTGCTCAAAAAAACCCTCCAGGCACTTTGAAGAGGTCAGGAGGCATTTTCTTGAGTTGGCCAGTGAGATTTTTTTATTTCCCTAGGTGATTTAAAAAACCCATCCCTAAAACAAACTCATTGATTTTTTGTTGATGTTGAGGATCATTTTTTTTTTACAGGTTGTTCTTTAGTCGTTTAGTCGTGTCCAACTCTTCGTGACCCCATGGACCAGAGCACACCAGGCACTCCTGTCTTCATTTTATTATTATATTTTAAATAACCTTTAGGACTGGTGTTTGGCATTAGTACTCTTATTGTGGTTATGTATGCCTAACTCAACCCCACTCCTTGGCCTAAGTGTAACAGAACTGACCAATTGGCTGGGGAGAGGGCAACCTTGGTCTGGATTAGAGAGAAAGCTCCCCTTGGAAAGACTACCTGCAAATTGTGTATCTAGTCCAGAATTGCCAAATCAACATTCCCAGCCTCACTATGGGCTTGTAGTGTTCTAAAGCAAAATCTGCACATTATGTTCTGTTGGGCAACGATGCTGTTCTTGGGATACTGCACCATCCTTGAAATTGGCAGGCATCTGGCAGCTCTCCTTTCCTCACTTTGTTCTCAAATCCCTCTGTGAGCCCCGCTACCTTCTGCCAATTTCACAAGCTGACAGAGAGAGTGAGAGAGAGTTTGCAAACGGCTGAACGTTGCCCTCACTGACCATCATTTTCTTCTGCCTCGCTTGCTGCTTTTGAGGACAAAATTGATTGTGGCATTAATTGGTTGCTCAAATTCATTGAACAGACACCTAATTGTGCTGGAGGACTGATACTGACACCATTCGAGAGGCCGCTGCCCTCATTCCCTTTTGCTCACTTTTTATGCCTGAACGGAGGGAGACCCTGCAATCATTTGGGCAAGTTGCAGAGGAAATACAGGCTCATATATCTACCTGCTGGTTTGGAGCCAGTGGCAAATCCTTCTAAGTGTAGCCTTCCCTAAGCCATGACCCCTCTTCACCTACACTGATCTCCCCCATGTTGCTGCTAATAATTGTGTGGCCTTCAAGGAGCTCTTTCCATCCAAACAATAATTTGGGCTCTCAGGAAATTAGCTTTCCCAGTTTCTCTGTTCAACCATGAACTCTTAAGGGCCGCACTACACATGATAATATGCATTAGCTTTTTAGTGCAGGTGTTCAAAATGCATTGTATTGGCTGGGGCTCATAATTAAGGGTATCAGCACAGGTGTGTAGAGAGAGAATTTAACCCTTTTCTCCATTGCTGTAGTCCTGAGGAATACCGTTCCTCCGAAGCTGGTGTTTGCTTCGGCAGGAGGGAGAGGGAGAAAATTCCCCATTGGCACATTTAACATCACTTCTTGTTTGGTCCTGAATGGATGTCATGACTGTATTGGCCCATCCTGCTAGCTGAATTGGGGAGCATCAAGATTCCATCCCATCGTTCATATCTGTTGTCATAGGCATCCAAGAAAAGAGAGCATGACATCATAGAGCACCACCAGGACCTGACAAGAACATAGATGAATATTAACTTTACAGGTGTTTCACTTAAAGGTGAGCCTCCCTGATTCACAATTTCCTGAACAGTATACAAACACAGCCATCCTTCAAAATCAAAATGTGCACTTCTCCAAATTTTTGCAATATTCATGTTAAAATGCTGGTGAATTTCCATGAGGACTTTAAAAATAGCACAAACTAAAGTGAAGAAGTGGACAATTCAATTTAAGATGGAAAAACGAGAATATGGGAAGAACAGAAATCGACAGATTCATTCATCATCTAGTCACTATATGTAAAAAGTTCTGAAGTTCTTCTAGGCTTTTGTAGCTCTGGAAGCAGTGCCTAGGTAAAGGTAAAGGCACCCCTGACCGTTAGGTCCAGTTGCGGACGACTCTGGGGTTGCACGCTCATCTTGCTCTATAGGCCGAGGGAGCCAACGTTTGTCCGCAGACAGCTTCTGAGTCATGTGGCCAGCATGACTAAGCCGCTTCTGGCAAACCAGAGCAGCACACGGAAACTCTGTTTACCTTCCCACTGGAGCGGTACCTATTTATCTACTTGCACTTTGACGTGCTTTCAAACTGCTAGGTGGGCAGGAGCTGGGACTGAACAATGGGAGCTCACTCTCTCGTGGGGATTTGAACCACTGACCTTCTGATCGGCAAGCCCTAGGCTCTGTGGTTTAGACCACAGCGCCACCCGTGTCCCTGGCAGCAGTGACTAGGAGACTATATTTAAGGGGGCCAGCTGAAAAATAGAGCAGGATTCCTGCTTCTTTAATAGTTTAGAACAGGATAGGCAAACTCTGGCCCTCCAGATGTTTAGGACTACAATTCCCATCATCCCAGACCACTGGTCCTGTTAGCTAGGGATTATGGGAGTTGTAGTCCCAAACATCTGGAGGGCCAGAGTTTGCCTATGCCTGGTTTAGAAGTTACTGTGGTAATTAAATGGTATATCTATTTATTACTAATTGTGTAGAAGAGGGAATTTGAGCAGGTGTAGCTTGCATGACAGATTCTTAAGGCTGTTTTAATATGGACACTTGTCTGCACAATAAATGGGCATTTGTTTGGTGCAGAGCCTGGGTCTTCCTTCAGGATGTGCTTCTTTTGTGGGCATATTGCATTTACCAAGTAGTTAGCTCCCTACTCCCCCACTCCATCAAATCCCGGTGGATTTAGTGGATGAGACCAATAGTGGGTCCAATGGTCAAGAAGGCAGTTTCTGCATGAGAGAAATGAGAGGCAGGTGGGGCTTGTCAACTTGGGAAGGTAGCTCATCTAGAAGAACAAAGACTCTGATCCTAAACCTCCGATGCCTTGTGGCTATACTCATTTGTGAGAAAAGCTTCAGGAGTAAACTCCAAGGAACAATTCATACTCACTGTCTTGCAGGACATCTTCAGGAGAAGAAACGACTCAGAAGTAAACCCTACACAAATCCAGAGTGGAATCCCTAAAATGGTGGGATGGTGCCTTGTATGTCTCCTTCCGGCAACTCCTGCAGCCAAGCTGATGCCAAACATATTACAGTACTCTGCTTTCCTTTGGACAGCAGTAAGGTTGGGGGTGGGAGGGTGTGTTCTCATCTAGACAGCCCAGGATCTCCATATACACTGCTCAGGCTTGCTTAGTGTGGCAAGCCAGACACTTTTGTGTTACCTGACCTCTAAAATCAGACCTGCCAAGGAGCGCTTTATATACAGTTCATATTTTATCAAAGATGTACAGCAGGGCTGGGAAACCTGTGGCCCTCCAGATGTTGCTGGACCATAATTCCCACCATCCCAGATAGGCCAATATTTTAGTTTTGTGGCAAAAGTACTGTTTTGGTCAGATTTAAACCATGGCTTCAAATCAATTTGCAGCCGTACAGAGAGACAACTGCCTCACTGCCAGGGCTTCTGACACAATATAATGGTGGAGTAGACAGCCCCATTGATTGCTTTAGCATGCTGTGCCTGCAGCTGCTGTGTTCAAGTCACATGACTTCCTGAGATGTGCTGAATGCCAGCTTTGATTTACACGCTGATAATGTAACATTTTATGAGACACAGAGCTACAAACTACCGATGCAGGAGGACAGCCAAACAGAGAACACACACATAAAAGCAGCAGCAGATTTATCCCCAAGTAAATGTTTAAATGCTTTTCTAGTGGAAGAGACTCTACATTTGTGTCCACACTGTAAATGCTTGTTGAGATGAATTTTATAGAAACATTGAACTCTGGTTGACTATTGCTAGATATCTTTTTGAAATTACCAGTGCAAACAGAACCAATGGTGGGATTCTGATGAGGCTAGGTTCATAGGCTTAGGTTCCTTTTTCTGAAATAGAGAAATTTTGGGTTAGTGAAAAGTGGACAGGGTCTGAGTATTGACAGATAATTTCAGATGGAGTGCAAGTAAGTGCTCTGATGGTAATGTGCATTATTTCACTTGTATCAAAATGTGGAGAGTGAGCATCACTGATTGACTCGGGACTGATGCTACCAGGAAATATTCCTGCAGAGGGCACTGAGTAAGCCTGAGTCCTCAGTTTACCAGGGTTGGTCACTGCAGAGACTGAAGGAGAAGCAAAAAGCCTGATGGAAAATAACAGCAAAGTTTGAAGAGCTATGTTTCCTGGTAATCATCAGGCAAGGTAAATTGGAAACAGCTACAAATTGTGCATATACACAAATGAGCAAAGCCTTAGGGAAAGCAGTAAGCATGGGATGCTCAGTGTAAGTACAAGCTTAGTAGATACCACTGCCTACAGATGCAAAGAAGATACAAACCAGAATAAAACAGAGACAAAGGACCATCTGTAATACTGTTCCCTATTATAATATTTTCTCTCTCAAAGGACAAAGCATCCGGAAAAGAGGCAGGGAAGTAAAAATGTTAAGATGCACGGCAATATGTAGATTTGAAACAAATTAGGACTATAAAGTGTTTCAGAGAGAAATAAAAAGCTGCGTGTATGTGTGACAGAGACAGAGAGGGGGGGGGGAAGAGATTGTTGTGAGTTGTGGTGGGGTTAGGGTATATGAGGCCTTGAGTTCCTTCTAATCCCCTGGATCTCTCAAGGGTTGAGATCTGGTGGTGGATTCAGTTGTTGAAGCAGCCAGGCCAGTTTCTTGGAAATGGACCCTAAGAAAGGATACTGCTCTGTGCCAGAGAGCAAATGGCTGGGCTCCTCTCCCTCACCTGGCTGGTAGTAAGAAAAACAAAAGCTAGAGTTGTGTGTATGAGCTGAACTAGAAGCAGGCAGAAGCCAGAGAGTGAGAGTCATGATCGATTTCTGCTTGAATCCAAGGCTGTGGCGATGGGAGAAGCAAGACCTTCTGCGGTATTAATGCTGTGAGCCCCTTCATCGTAGGCTCAGGTTATGTACATGTGTAAATAAACCATTTTTCATAAATACACCATTGCCCCTCATTCCAAGGAAACCAAACCCTTGGTAAGCACCTGGAGCATCCTGGAATCTTACACTGCTCAGAGATTGGGATGGTGTGCAACATTACATTGAAAAATAGATACTTTGATATTTTAGTCCATAAGGCTAAAACTAAAGGCTTCTGACCTCATAATAGTGATAATTTCCCCATTTGCCATCTTATTGCATAACTGCCCATTTTGGAAGGTTGTGTCAGTTTGAATGACATGTTTGCTGTGATCAGATGGCACTCCAAAGGGAATGAGCACTGAAATAATAATAATAATAATAATAATAATAATAATAATATATCCCACCCGTCTGGGCGAAAACATATAAAACATAGTAAAACATCAAACATGTAAAACTTCTCAATACAAAGCTGCCTTCAGATGTCTTCCAAAAGTTATGTAGTTCTTTCTCTCCTTGACATCTGAAGGGAGGGCATTCCACAGGGAGGGCGCCACAACCGAGAAGGCCCTCTGCCTGTTTCCCTGTAACTTTGCTTCTTTCTGCTTCTTCTATGTTGTAGTTTGGAGTCATTGTTGCAACAATAAAGATCAGGCTTCCTGGCTGCTGGTTTGCTTCAATATTTTGGCTGTAGTCTTGTTTGACTGTCCCACCTAAGCCTGCGGAACTCCCGGCTGCACAGTGAAGGCTGCAATCCTATTTCAAAGGGGAATTTTACTTCTTCTGAGGCTAATAGCCATCCAGAGGGGGGCAGTCCCCATTCAGATCTCAGTGGAGAATGAAGTGATAAACCTCCCCTTGCCATGCTGCCTTCACAGTGAGAATTGCGCTCCTCCAACTCCTTTTATTATTTATTGAAAATCAAGATTCATAGTTGCCTGGTACATAATTTAAGTGCACTTCTCATTTGGGTAGTCTCGTGATTGCTCTCAATAGGACTTGACATCTTGGTGCAGATGTGTAGGATCAGACTGCACATCTTGCATCAAATGACCACCACTGGCTTAAATTCATGCTATTGTAAGGTGGAAAGAGGAGGATGAGGCTGGGGATTTGCATGGCACAGAAGTACAAAAATATATTTCAGAAAAGTGGAAGTTGAATAATTTAAGCATAATGAGAAATGTCCAAAGGAATGAAGTGCTACAATCCAGGCTGGTGTTTTTGTTTTTTTTAAGGGGCATGCTATCTTCTTTTCCCAAAAGGGAAGCCATGTCTGTCTTTTGCAGCAGAAACAACAAAGAGTTTTATCTTTCAACCCAGCAAAGGGTTGAGTCTTCCTGTCTGTGGGCTTCTTAATGTCAACTAATTTGAATTGACTGACTTGTATGGTATCTCTGCTTTCCTGTATTTGCTCGTCTTTTAATCTCATCTTGCAAAATGTCCCACCCCCACAAGATCTCTCTCTATTATCTTCACTGTCTGATGAAGTAGGTTCCTGTCTACAAGAGCTTTTGCTGCGAGAAATTTGTTAACCTTTGTCACAGGAGTCTTTGGGTTTGTTTTTTTTTAAATCTACTCTTAGCACTTCCATGAATTAAATCAAGATAGGGCCCTCCAGATGGTGTTGCACTACAATTCTCATCACCCTGACCATGGCAACTGGGGCTGATGGGGGTTGGAGTCTGGAAGGCCACAAGTGGCAACTGGAAGGCAACAAGTGTCCCATCCCTGAATGGTTAGAATAACTCTGGCTTGCAAGTAATCTGAATCATAGTCATACATAGACTCAATAAATGCCCTTGCCACAGTTGTTTTTGCTATTTTGCAAAGCACTGTGTTTACATCAATTTACCTTAAGTCAGGCCTGGAAGGTTGCAAGTCCAAGAGACTGCTTTGTCTGGCTGTTAGGAGTTTTGTAATAGGATAATGAACCTCATATTCTGTGCACACTGTAGAGCTGAAGAATGAACCCCTATGCTTTGGAAGTTATGCATCACATGCGAGTTCTGCTAAGCCCCCCACCCCCGTGTTGTGTTTTTAAAGGGATGGACCATCCCTGCTGTCCTCTTTAACACAATTGATGTCAAGATCACCACCATCTCATATTTCTTCCAAGGGCTTCAAGATGACACATCGAGGCTTCCCCTTCCCCTCACAACAGCCCTGCAAATTAGATTAGGCTGAGAGTTAGTGACTGGTCTCAAGTCATCTAGTGAACTTCACAGATGAGTTGGGATTTAAACATGGGCAGTCCTCAACTAGTGTGTGCAAAATAATTTTTTGAAAAAGCTAATTGTAGGCATGGGGTCTCCCATCTGAACTCTGATGTGGGGAAGTGGGTTTTGTTAAACTCTTTGCCCCTGCTGCAGCCCGTCTGGATTTTGTGCCTGCTATTTGCATTTGGGGTGAAAACTCTTATTCCTTTAAATGGCAGCTGTATCCACAATGCAAATCAGGAATATGGTGGGCTGGCAATCTGGATCAGAACTGCAGCAGGGGGCAGAAGGTATAAAACCAAAAACCAAAAACCCTACCTGCATACTATGGTCCTACTCCGGATTGGGATCCTTGCACCTGTGATTTACTTTCAAAAAGCAATTCATTCCAAGTACTAATTATATGAACGGTGTCACATCTAGTTTGGCCTGCAGAAATAATCTGATGCAACGGCATCACTGAAGTTCAGCAGAGTTGGGTCTGGTCAGTGCCTGAATGGAAGGCAGCTTGAGCTACTTGTGTATGCTTCCTCTAGCTTTGTGAAGGAAAGGTAGGGTAGAAATGTAAATAATAAGAACAAGCCAGTTTTTAAGCTACGATTCTCTATGGGAGTTTTGCATAACTGAATTTTTAACCCAATATTTTATGGGAATTTTCTCACAAAGATGAGATCATCATGGACTGCACTTTCTTAGAAATGGAACGACAGCAGCATCAGCAACAACACCAAAAAAGAACTGCTGGAATACATGAAACTCCAAAACTCAGACAAGGAAGAGGTTAAAGCTGTAGGATGAAGCCAGGATAATATTCAGATTCAGTTAAGGCTATATATAGAAAGTAAGGGAAGAACCCTAAGCTGGATTGATTGTGTTTGGAAGGGAACCAGAGAGGCTTTATCCAAACAAGCTGAAGGAATGCACCTTTGGCAACTGACTGTAATAATAATGGATATAAATAGTATTCCATAGCATAAAAAAACTCCGGCATTACAGCCATTGTAGATAAACAGAAAGGCTGTATTTCTAATAGCCAGCCTACTAACTGCAGAATAATGCAACTCTCTTCAGATTATTCCAAGTAGTTTGAAGATAATGCTAGTCTTGATTAGCTGCTTAATTATCAAGAGGCTGGCTGATGTAGAATCATCATCATCATAAATTAACACTTTACAGATTTAAATAAAATAGCCATATAGTTGGCAAGAGTGTTCAGCTTGAACATCTGGCCTGCATTGAAAATAAATCAAAGTAAATCCCATCAAGAAAAGAAAAGGAGTGTCACTGTGCATGCAAGCAATAATGGCAGTCTGGAGCTGGCATAGGACAAGGTGACACAGTGCTACAGTAGGGACTTAATGTTTATACCCTGCCTTTTTTCTAAGGAGCTCAAAGCAGTGTAAGTGGTTTCTACTCCTCTGTTTTATTCTCAACAACAACACTGCTACTAGCTAGGGAAGATGGGAGTTGTAGTCCAACAACAGCTGGGAACCCAAGTTCGAGAAACACTGCGAGTTTAACTTCTATGCCACAGTCACATTGGCTCTCTTCTTGAGACATGTCTGAGCCACACAGTCAAGGACTCCTCTCCCATGGGGAAGGTTGTAGAGAGAAAATGAAGTCAAATATCAAAGGATAAAAGTGGGGAAAGGGAAAGTGTTTTGATATTGTTGCAAACCACTGTGATAATTTTTTATGATACAGTGGTATCTATTTTTTTATAAATACTATAAATAAATAAAATAATCAAAGTCAGTCTAATTTAGCTATGTATATATCATCTGCTTGAGCAAAGTCTTGAGTTTTAGAGCATGTGCAAAGTTCTTTACCAAGGAGTGATTCTGAGAGCATCTTTGGACCCCTGATTAGATGCTTTCAGGAAGAAATACTGTGTGTAGCATAGTGGGTGCAACACATGAGCAAGAGGGTGGGTGGAAGATGGTTTAAGAAGTTCATCTCGAAGGGTCCCACAGTGGTGTAGCTGGCCTTTGAACTATTTGAAAAATATATATATTTGGATTTGTAGTATAATAATGCACGCGCACACACACGTGTGTTCAGTTTGATGGAAGTCTAGCTTAGGAAAGCCCAGGAGGCAGATTTATTTACACAGTGGTAACACAGCAGGATGCTTTTGAACTGATGCTTTTGAATTATGGTGCTGGAGGAGACTCTTGAGAGTCCCATGGACTGCAAGAAGAACAAACCTATCCATTCTGAAGGAAATCAGCCCTGAGTGCTCACTGGAAGGACAGATCCTGAAGCTGAGGCTCCAATACTTTGGCCACCTCATGAGAAGAGAAGACTCACTGGAAAAGACCCTGATGTTGGGAAAGATGGAGGGCACAAGGAGAAGGGGACGACAGAGGACGAGATGGTTGGACAGTGTTCTCGAAGCTACAAACATGAGTCTGACCAAACTGCGGGAGGCAGTGGAAGACAGGAGTGCCTGGCATGCTCTGGTCCATGGGGTCATGAAGAGTCGGACACAACTACTAAAAACAGCAACAACAACACAGCAGGACATAGGAAGAAATGTGCGAAGCATGGAGACTTGGATATGAAAAGAGTTTAGAAGCCAGTTCTGATGTGGCTGGTTGCTTCTTTCCCCTTACTTTGCAAGCTACTACTTTCAGAAGAGAAAGAAAATCTGTCATAAAGGCTGCTTCCGCAGAAACAAAGGCAAACCGTATTAAATTACTCATGTCTTCTCTCCCTCCCCCATCTGTTCTGTGGTTCACCTGCAGGGTCTGCCTCTTGTCCGTTCTCCCGAATGCAACAATTGCAGGGCTATTTCCTGATTTTTTTGCAATGATGGGCCAGATCCGAGATATTTCCAACCTGCTGGTCCTTTGGTTTTCTATAGGAAAAAAATCTAGCGGGGTTTGCAGAGACGGGGACATGGGTGTAGCCAAAATTTATTTTGGGGGGGTATTATGTGGGGGGCCCCCAAAACCGAGTTATCTGTGACACAACTGGTCAGTTAGTTAATTATTTCTATTTATTTACTTGACGGGGGGGGGGGGGTAAGCTAAGCCAATGGACAGGGAGCAGCATTTTCCAGCCTAGTAGGTAGTTAGTTAAAAATACAGATGTGTCAGGGGCGCTCAGGCATATCCGGAAACTACAAATCCTGCAGTCTGGAAGGAAGGCGTGCCTCTTAATCCCAGATACAATACGAAGCGCCACTGTAGTGAAGCGAATGTACTCTGCGTGTGCTCAGAAGCACTCATTACCCTGCATGTTCCTCCAGGGCTGAACCCCGGTGTAAAATAAAAGCTAAGGGCTGAGAGCTCTGCTTGTACCGCTTCTGCCCAGTCTGCAGGATCCCGGGAGAAATACGAAACAGGCCGGCACGCCATATTTCTCTCTCTCTCTCTGTTTTCCACCCACAGAGGGGAGAAAACTGCCTCGGCGCTCAGCCGTCCGGAGAAGGAGGTCGCTGTTGCCTTGAGGATCCGAGCGCCCCCCTCGGGCGCCTCTCTCCGCCTTTTGTTCCCAGACCGCGCGCGCGTCACCGGCTTAGCGGCTGGGCGGAGAAAGCAGAGGAGGGGAGGCAGGCGGAGGAGCTTGTTGCTGCTGCTGCTTTCGGCGAAGGAAGCACCGTCGCGGCGTGGCGGCAGCAGCAGCGGTTTCGCGGCCAAGCTGACCCTGTTTCGCTCCGGAGAGACCTGTCCGGGGAGCGCGCAGCTCAGGAGAGAAGACGGAGCGGGTTTCCTCGGGTGCGAGGATGATAAGCGACTGTGGCCCCAGAGCGCTCCGGGGCCCCCAGTGAGGAACCGGCAGCGCGCCTACAGCCCGCCGGGGATGGCAGCGCCGGCTGAGGCGGAGTCCAGCCAGCCCCTCGCCTCGGCTCCAGCGCCGCCGCCGCCGCCGCCTCCCGAGAAGAAGAAGCTCCAGCGAGCGCCGTCCCCGGCCAGACCCAAGGATGTCCCCGGCTGGTCGCTGGCCAAGAGCCGTCGCGGCAGCCACCCGGGCTCGCCCGCCTCGTTCTCCTCCGGGAAGCCGGGCGCGGGGGGTGGGCACTCGCGCCGGGCAGGGGGCGCCAAGGATGGCCGCGGCGACAAGAAGGGCAAGGCCACGCCGCCGGCGGGGGCCAGGGGCGTCGGGAAGGGCTCGGCAGGCCGCGCCGGGGCCCGAATGAAGGGGCGGAACCGCCTGGCCGCGGCGGGGGGCGAGGGGGCCGCGACCTCCGGCGGCTCCGCCAAAGGGTCGTCGCGCCCTCAGCTGCCGCTCGCCCTCACGGACAGCAGCTCGGAGGTGTCGGACTGCAGCGCCTCGGAGGAGGCCAAGCTGCTGTCGCTGCTGGAGCTGGGCGGGCTGAGCGGCGGCGGCAGCGACACCGAGTCGCCCCCGAGCAGCAGCGCCCCGGCCCAGCCCGCCAGCGCCTCCGCCGACGGCGCGTCCCCGCTGCCCGAGGACCCGTCGACGGCCGCCTCGCTGGCCAGCAGCCGCCTGCCTCTCAGCGCCTCGCTGGCCTTCTCCGACCTCACCGAGGAGCTGCTGGACGCGGGCGTCGCCCGGGAGCTGGAGGAACTGCGCTCCGAGAACGACTATCTCAAGGTGAGGGGCGCTGGGTTCGCTTCAGGGCAGCTCGGCGGGGAGAGAGCGAGCTCTCGGGAACTGCGCTTCCCCACAAAACACCCGCCGGTTTCCCCGTAGCAGCATAGTGCAACAGATCCCCTCCCCGACCCTAATCTCCGAGCCTCGTGGGACAAGGGAGCAGGCACCAAGCGGACCCAGGAGGGGCAGGCGTGTCCTCCTCCGAAAATAAGACACGCCCCTCCTCTCCAACACCCCTCCCTCCCCCAAAAGGAGGAACCCTCATTAACTAAATTTTAAATTAAACAGGTGTTTTTCAGTAAAGCAAACATTGACACTCCCCTGCACAGGGAAGACATATTTTAAGCTTGCAGGCCTATCCCTGTGGAACATGTTGCGCATCCTCAAACATGGCATCTCCCTGCAGTCCTGGTCTGCATGCAGAAGGTGCATAAGACAGGTTCATGTGTTCCTAAAAGCAGCAAACGTCTTGCTGTGTACCACTGGGAGATCATTTCTTGCCTTCCTCTCTGTGCCTGGCATTGCAATACTGAAAAAGGCTTCTCTATCTTGCTGTGTGGTAGGATTAATGCCCCCTTTGTAACAAATCTTACGTGCCAGATATATTGTGACCTTAGGCAAGACCTGTTGCCACCCAGAATTTCAGAATGCTTCCTTGGAACTGGCGCTCTGTAATGAAAGATGATCTCCACCGCCCAGCATCTACAGGATGCTGGTTATATGGAACATGCCCACATCTTCAGAGGCAGCACCTGCTGGCTTTCTAAAGCTCCTTGTAATTGGCATTCCTCTGCCTCATGGGGCAGTTCCTCCCCCAGCCCAGCATCAGTTCCTTGGAGCAGGCGCTCCATAGTGTCAATTACTTCTCTACTCTAGAATCAAATGGAATAGCTGCCCCTCGGTCATATGTAACTGAGGCTTTGCATCACCGTCTAGTACAACAGAGCTCCAACATATGTAGAACCAGATGCCTTCTAGTGACATTAAGACCTTCTCTGGTATCAGAGAAAGCCATGTTGGTACTGATGCCTCTCATTCCTAAAGAAGGTATTGTATAGCATCATAAAGCCCCAGGGAGAAATATGCTTTGTCTCATCAAACAGAACTTACATATCCTTAGAGGAAGATATCTTCTATCTTGAAATCAAAGCTAATTCCTCACATCCCGGCATTTATTTCATAGAATCATAGAGGTGGAAGAGACCACAAGGGCCATCGAGTCCAACCCCCTGCCAAGCAGGAAACAAATTCTTTGCTGCCGGAATCAAATTCATAGTTGTCAGCATCATGCTAAAAGGTGCCCAGGATTTTCTCTTGTAATAAATAGCCTGACTCTCTAGTACAAGTCTTAGCCACATCAGTGTTTCAAGGAAGGCAGACTTTGGGGCCTAATTAAGCAAATAATTCCAGGGGCTATGTGCAATTTCTTAGGGCTGGTTGCAGGTTATTTTATCATCATGGGAGGCCACTTCCCTGTGGTGACTCTGTATCCAAGTTGTAATGTAAAGCACAGCCCCTGATTGCTGAAGAGTTTCCGCTGCATTACTGGGTGTTTCTAGGAATGCCTGGCTGTGGCATAGAGGGTCTGTGTAGAATCTGAGGAATCTGTACGATGAGTGTTACTAGTTATGACAGCTGGGACACAGAGTTGTGCAGAAGCCAGGTGAATGTGTTGAAGCACATCCTTTGACAGATATGTTCCCAAATCTACATTTGCAAACGCCTGGTGTATATGGCATTTCCTGGGGAGAAATGGTGAAAAGGGATGTTTTAACCACTCACATGTCTGCAGATTTTGCTTTGTAAATCCCCACTGGAGACATTTTCCCATCCTCCTTTTTCTGCTGAGCTTACTTCTGATTTCAGAGCCTGTCTGGACAAAAAATGGTGAAAAATGACCAGGGAGTGGAGGGATTTGTATGGAAAAATTGACTGGTTGGGAAGACAGTGTTTGATCCTTGTGGGAGCTGGGGGCTATTTGCAGGGAAGAACCAGTGATTCTCTCCTGAAAGCACGCTCTCTTTCTTCCACTTGCCAATTCTGTATTGTGAATGCCCTCCTACAATAGCATGATGAGTGAATCGTGAACCCCATGTTTCTATTGTAATGTGTGGTTCTCTTCTTAATTACACTTGATGTTGCACCTCTCAGTTCCATAATACCTATTAGTTTTGAAATTCCCAATCTGGCAAACAGATGTCCCAATGTGGGGCAGCATTTGCATTCACCTCTATGTATCAGAATTTCCCATTTTGGAGGTAATTAAGTTTTTGCAGGGTTTATTTAGTCTCAGACACACACTTGGTCCTGTTGTATGTGCTCCCTTTCCCCACCCAGAAAGATGCAGTATATTTATACAGCTCTATACAGACTTTCAGGGCCCATCCACATGGAAATTTCTAAAAGTTTTAGAAGCACTTTTAGTATGCTTCTGGACTCTCCCATACATCCACATGTTGTTGTTGAAACTTCAGCATTCTCTAATATTCCTGGCTGTCCATGTGCAGATGGGCTGATCTGTCAGATATTTGCATCAGTCATGCATTCTACAATGTCAGTGCATTTTCCATCTTCAAAGTGGGGAAAATGTACCTGCTTTCTTGGAGGATGTTTTCCATGCTTCTGGTTTCTAGCTTAATTAATAGCATGGAAAGCTACTTTGCAGATGTGCCCATAGAGTGACTTGGAGGAATTGTTTCAGTAGTATTTGGATAACGTAAGAATATTGCTTGGCATGTATCCCTGTGGTTTCTGGGATGGTAGGGAGTGCAGGAGTCTTTGGGCTGTTGCCAAGCTCAGCTTTTGCCTTGCTTCTCTTGGTAGTACTACTGAGCAGTGATGGGTTTATTTTGCAGGATGATGTTGGCATGGCAACGGTAGTAGGTGTTTATTGAATGGCTGCATATAACAACCAGCTCAGATAGTGGATTAGTTTGCTGGCTGAAGCACAGGCTCTTAGTGCCTCTGAGAGGTCTGGCAGGGTGGAGAGCAAGAGTCCCTTAAGTGTAAGATTATATTGTATAGTATTTGGAAAAAAGCAACCAATATGCTGGTCTAATCTGATTTATATAAAACAAGCTAGGAAAAAAATCATTAGGTATAGAAGATGGTTGTGCAACCATTTTTCTGGGGGATGCTTTATCTACCCAGGTCTTGTTCTTGCCTTTCAGAACAGTTGTTCTCCACTCTTTTAGCTAGAAGAGCCAGCAGTGGAATCCAGCATTCGGTGGGCGTGCATCTATGTGTGGCATATCGCACCTGAGAAAGTCATCTTTTGCAACATCCATGGCTGAGAGTCCTTACTGACCCACTTGGTGACTCAGCCCTCCCCCATTTAATTACTGTGTTGGTCATTCCTACTCCCATATACTTTCAATCTGTGTCCTGGGTTTGCAATGTGCATGATTTCTAACTACTATGTTTAAGTAAGTGTTGGCTCCTATTTTTCCTACAGGCATTCCTTGTCATTAAACATGCTGTGTCTGTTCAGGTCAACCTTACCTTTGGGGGGGGGAGGGGTGAGGGAGGAGTAGAACAAGGATTGTTTTGATGGTTTAAATACAAAACACCTGACTTCACCTTCCTTGCTATTATTATCTGCATTCTAACTGTTGAAAGCATAATAAATAAATAAAATTGTCCAGTAGCACCTTAGAGACCTGTTGAAAGTATGTCAGTTCCACAACATCGGGGGTGGTATTAAATTAAGCTTTACCCTGAGAAGACCCATTGGAATTAATGAATTTAACATAGCCATGTTGATTAATTTCAGTGGGTTTATGCTATGTAAAACATAGTTGAACACCACCCACACTCAGCTCTTCCATAGGATTAGACAACTACAGCCGGTGGCATGATTCAAGGGACAGCCACATTAGAAGTTCCAGTACACAAATCTTGGCTCTTGATTTGCCCCTTGCAGTTGTGACATTCTTAATTCATGGATGCCCTTTCTCTGCCTCAAGGCCACCACTGTGTTCTCCCTGCTTTTATTTGGAAGTTATGGATCTGAATATTTTTTACGCTAGAATTACACAGGCTTATAGTGTAAACCCATTACACCCACACATTTTATATGCGTGCAGCTCATTCTGATTTCAGAGGCTGGTGAACTTCTGAGCTATAGGGCTGGGGACTGCTTATGTAGAGTCAGTTCATACAAAGCCAAATAAAGTAGTTGGTAATTTTCTTCCCTTCTAAGCAAAGGGGAAACTGGCAGGAAGTCAAGACTTAATTTAGACTGGCCCTTCTTAGTATTCTGATATAAAACGGCTGTGCAGATTCAAAGTTGCCATGGTAATGTAATAACATGCCATGCTAATTAGAAATACACAAGGACATTTATGCTAAAATCTGTGGGCATGATTAACAGGGCAATCCTATATGATTCCTTAAAAGTAAATTTTAAGGCGTTTAACTGCAGTTTCTTTGCAGTAAATGTGCTTAGGACTGTAGCAAATACTGCAGTTCTATACATGTCTACTTAAAACTAAGTCCCATAGGGTTTAATGGAGTATAGGATTGCAGCTTAAGTCTCACTTGATTTTAGTTTGATATAATTAAGCGTGCACTTCACACACTCACTAAAATCTTAGGGACATTTACTGTTGTTTGAGACTTGGCATTTCTGCATGTTTGGCGATAAGTCTGCTACTGTAAGGGTTGATTTTATCAGCCTTTGAAACTTATCACCTTGTAGTTTGTTTTCACTCTAGTCAATTTCAGTCTAGTCAATTTCAGCTAAATTATTTTTTCTCTATAAATATTTATTTTGGTAATATGATTGGTGACTAAGATAAGAAAGACAAACTTTGCAAGAGCTGATCTGCTACTTCAAAGCAGACCTATTTGCAAAATCTCAGTTTCTATTTGATTAATTGACATGATCAAGATAAGCTTTTCAAATTTACTAGAGCATAAAAACAGAGTAGTACAAAGACCACACGTTCAATTCACAGTAGTCTTAAAATACTGTATGGCAATACAAAGTGTCACAATGTGTTTTTCCCCCCCGTCTAACATCTCAAGAGATCTGGATGAATACAAACTATTAGATTTACTTTCAGGAAGGCTAGCATTTCCAAGTCAAGTATGTTTGAGCTGCCAGTCTTGGCACTCAAAGCTGACCTTACAAAGAATTAAAAACAGACTCAAAAGTTAGTTGAATTGTAGCCTGTCATCTGCTCCAATGTTGTATACAGATGTGATCCTGTTTGTTGCAGCAACAAAGCTTAGACTGGAGCCTCCACCCACTTACCATACTTAGGAGTCACTTGACAGTGCTGCCCTCATTTGAGGGAACAGATTTCCCAAGTCATTTATTTTCCCCATTCACACTTTCTCGTGTATATGGTAAACACAGTGTTATATATCCGTCCTCTACAGCTGTTTTCCAGGTTGCTGACTTAGCTGTCCAGTACACCTTTTGTGAAGGGAATGCTTGGTGGGTATGGAATTAGAGGCAGAACTCTTGACTTGTAGGCGTAGAGACTTGATGGCACAGAACAAAGGTGGACATAGTTTTAGTTTTTGATTTCGTGCAAACTGGATGGGAATGCTGCAGAGTCCCCCCCCCCCCCCATGATAAATTGTTGAGAAGAGAATTTTATGAGGCATCTATGCACAATTCAGATGCAATAGTAAATCTGGGTCATGGGTAGGCAAACTAAGGCCTGGGGGCCTGATCTGGCCCAATCATCTTCTCAATCCGGTCCGCGGATGGTCCGGGAATCAGTGTGTTTTTATATGAGTAGAATGTGTCCTTTTATTTAAAATGCATCTCTGGGTTATTTGTAGGGCATAGGAATTCGTTCATTCCCTCCCCCCAAAAAATAGTTCAGCCCCCCTACAAGGTCTGAGGGACAGTGGACTGGCCCCCTGCTGAAAAGGTTTGCTGACCCCTGGTCTAGGTAGCCACAAGTATACAAATCTGATGGGCAGCAAGGCCTAGATAGGATTTCCTAGTAAAGACAATAAGTATGGTGGTGATGCCAGTAAGTATTTATGCCACCTGGGGCACTAAGAAAGATAGAATTTTGGAATATTTAATAGCTGTAAAAATAATGCATCTGCCCTTTTTTAAACACGCACACACTCCACTTTCATCTGAAACCTGCTGTTGCTTGGGGTGTACTCCTTCCTTGAGGTTATTCTGAGCACCATTGCAACTGCATCTAATCTTAGTATGCAGAATGGTGGGAGAAACCTGTCTTATGGGGCGGGCAATTTTTTTGTCACTTACTGATCAAGGGCTGCATGGTGTCAGTGTGTGGGGATGCCTTTGTTGTTGTTGAGTAAATTTCTCCACCCCCTCCTCACACACACTATACACAGCCTCCAAGCTTCATTATTACACACTCACTCATACACAGAGGCACACAGAGTTGAGATCCCATCATGTCTCCTCCTGTTCCCCCTCCCTCCCTCTGCTGATTGGTGCTGGGAACAGTTGAGGATTATGCAGATTAGGATACTCCTCAACACTTTCCATCCCTTTCGACTGGGAGGAACCTATACATCCCATTGTGTAGCTGATTGGCATTGGAAACGGCTGTGGAGAGAGCTAATTAGTGGCCTCATCAGCTTTTCCCAGTGCTAGTTATCTAGATCTCATCCTGCACCACCTCTTGTTTCTCTACTGATTGGTGCTGGAAACAGCTGAGGGGGTTTGCTGATTCTTCTAGTCTTCAGCTGTTTCCAGCACCAATCAGTTGCATTGCAGGCCACATGTGGCTCTTGAGCTGCAGATTGTCTCTATGTGAACTAATGCAACGAGGGCTAGAAGCTTATGTGTATTTTGTTGCATAGTTCATTCAAAGTAATGGGCAGTCTCTTCTGTTTAGTTGTTTACTTTTGAGTGTTTCTGAAGTCATAGTAGTGAAATGGCACAGTAGTTCTAAACTGTTTACACAGGGGGACCCATGGGCAAAAAAAATTGTTCCTTGGAACCTATTCTTATGACTTACACCTGGTATTGGCAAATTAGTCCCTGGTTGACTCCAAGGCGAGGGAATGAGTAGTAGCCTACCAAAAAGCATATGCTGTCTGATTATTCCTTTGCATCTTCATTTTTGGAGAAACCTAGTTTCATAATTGTAGGTTTAGCTAATTTTCCAAAGACCTAAGCATTATTTTGCTGCCTCTTCCAGCTGGTCAGAAGCCCCAGATGGACAGAAATGCTCCACTGTAAACTGAAAAGGAAAGTAAGCAAAATGAAGAATATTGCTTGGTTGTTTCAAAGAAAGTGAAAAAGCTCCTGGGATGTGGTTGGTAAGCTGCTGTCTGCAAGACGGAGAGAGGGCTGGAGGTGAATTTTCTTGCCTTTAAAGGTCATCCCCCTATTAATGCTTTTGATAAATCACCCTGTCATGCCCAACTTATTATCTGGGGCGTATGAAATATTTCCAAAGCCCAAGTACTTTGCTTTTGCAATGGCTCTTACTAAATGTATAAATGAAAATATATAACAATCCCTGTGATTTTTTTAAAAAAAACTCAGACAAATACCCAAAAAGCTGCTTGTGTTTGAGAACATTTAAGCACAACAATTACTTCTTTTTGGATACAATGTTCATTTTAAAAACATGTTTCTCTAGGAGGAAACTGTTAGAGTTCACTCTTGATTGGTTGGCAGTAGGGGTTTGAAAATGTATGGTCTCCCTTGCTCTAGCTTCTTTATCTTGCAAGTAAGTAGCATGATTGTGCATGCACCATTATTCACAGAACCCTGGAGCTTTAGTGCAAAGACACCACCCTACCCCCCCCACCTGTGCTATCACTGCAGACTTTGCCTATAATGTGGAATTCTGCCTGCAGTTGCTTCTCTTTAGAGAACTTTTTATAGGAAAGGATGGGTAGTGTAAACGTTTTTCAGGCTGCTTTTTAAACAACTGAACTCTTAAGCTTTTCGCTGGTGTCAACCTGTCAGTATAGTGAGGTGAGTGGAGATTCCCTCATGGAGTTAATAGCAGCTTTCAGTGATCATGGTGGGGAGCAGTTTTTGCCTGGATTGCAGCAGGAGAAGAAACTGTTGACTTAAAAAATAAATAAAATTCTTGATACTGATCACCTGCCCTGGGGCCTGCTATTTCCAGAAGAAGAAAAGGGAATAATAATGCAACTTCAGATTATGTACATTTGAACTTTGGCAAAAAAGTGATTATCATTATTATTTTCCTTCTCCAAACCCAAGCTGTAAAAATGTGGACAAAGTCAAGATTACTTGGTAGGTTTTGATTTCAAAGACTAGCCCTTGTTCCTTCTCGCGTCTAAACCATTGCTGGATTTTTAGTTGTATTTTCTGGGGGGAAATGCACAAGCTTGTCAGAAACGTCTGTCTCAAAATATCTATATCTCTAAATGTTTGCTTCAATTCTATTGATCTGAGGAGCACAGTGCAGTTGTGTGTGGAAGCTCTGTCTAAGCTCTGTAGCTGAAGTTTTCCTTCCTGTTTCTGAGGAGTTGTACTGATAAGGGACTAGCAAGCTACTCCATTTGACTAGTAGAATAAAATGCAAGGACCAGCCACCTGCTTCTCCTTTTCCTTTCTGGCTTCAAAGACCTGTTAAGAAAAGGAGATGGGAACATTTCCATGCTTGAGAGGCACTGTGCCTTTAAGAAGCACAGCAGCCAGCCACGAGCCACCGCCTTGTCATCCCAGTGTGGGGGGAACAAGAGCTCTGAGTCCCTGTTCAGCAGAATGGAAAATGTGAGATGTGATATGCCGGCAGCTGCAGAGGGATGTGAAGACAAAGAATGGCACTGGAGATTCCATTTGCAACAAGGGGAGGAGAAATCTTCCAAGCCAATCACGTTTCAAAATAACAGGCATATGCCTTAGATAACTGACAGATGGGATTCGGAGTGGCCTTAGCCCAGGGGGTCCCAACTGGCCTTCTGCTCATCTTCCGATTCAGGCTTTTCCTGCTTGCTTTGTCTTCATACACCCCACATTAATGTTGATCACCTCATGCCTTTCCCTCAACCCTCCCTACTTAGTAAAAAGCAAAACTTGGCTATGAGTCTGCTTTGCTTTTTCTGTCTTCCCCAAGTGTGGTAGGGATATACACCAGAAGCCAGCAACAAGAAATCTTGGTCCTCAAACAGCCAGTGCTTTCTTATATTATTTATGTATATCCAACCTTTAATCCATGGAAAGCCACACTGCAAGAATCTCATAAGCTCTAAGCTCCTAATTTATGCTTGCTTTTCCTCTTAATTTTAATAATAATGGAGCTTTGGAGCCCAGAAGGCATGATAGGTGATTCAGAAAGTGTGATCCACAGTTAGAACTACCACTTCTATAAACAATCTGGAAAGTTGTGTTTTAGAATTTTCTCATCAGTTTGCATTGCTTCTCATTGCATTGGTGCAAAAAACTAATAAGTTGTGCGTTATTTGTGTCCCTAATGCAGCATGTAATAAGAAAAGCAACTTGTGGCGCCTTTTAGTTTTCAGATAGAGCATATTTGCAGTAGCATTGCTTGAAAGCTTGTGGTTGTTTGGTTGTTAATTTATACAGGAAGGTGTAAATCTTTGGCATGATTTCCTCCTATCCCCTCCCCCACCTGCTGCTCCTTCTCATTACAGTGGTACCTCGGGTTAAGAACTTAATTTGTTCTGGAGGTCCATTCTTAACCTGAAACTGTTCTTAACCTGAAGCACCACTTTAGCTAATGGAGTCTCCCGCTGCTGCTGCTGCGCCACCACTGCTCAATTTCTTTTCTCATCCTGAAGCAAAGTTCTTAACCCGAGGTACTATTTCTGGGTTAGCGGAGTCTAACCTGAAGTGTCTGTAACCTGAAGCGTCTGTAACCTGAGGTACCACTGTATAACTTCTGAGCTGTCTGCTGTTTTGTTGGCAAGATGTGGGCACAGTGTTATTGTAGGGTTGCCATATTTCAAAAAGTAAAAAACCTTTTAGGAAGACCTCAAAATTGTTGAGCTCTTTTTAGACAAAGCCCAAAGTAGTTGTTGTAGTTTATACATTGGATTACATTTCTGGAGATGGGAGACAGACTGAACTTGGAAACTGCTGCATAGGATTGGATTGGAAAATCAAATCTGTGGTGGTAAAATTGAAGAAAGGTGGTCTATATTCTTTATACTGAGTCAGTTCGTATTTCTGCTAATTCAGTATTGTCTACACTGACAGCAGTAGCTTTCCTGGATTTCAAGCAGGGTCTTCCCCCCCCCCAATCCTACTTGGAGATGTCTCGGATTCAGTCTGGGACATTTTGCATACAAAGCATGTGTGCTACCACTAAGCTGCATCCTTGTTGTTTAATAGGTCATAAAGTCCTTTGTAGCAGTTGCTGTTTGGAAAACGAGTCTCATGTTAATCCACCTAACCTGGAGACCCTGAAACTACTGCAGTCATCTTAAGACTTAAGATGGCCCATCTTAAGACTTCCCTGTGGAAATCTTTTCTTGCGTGAATTACAGTACTGTTCCTTCTGTCAGTCTGTGGCTGGCAGTTAATTGAAAACTGCTGCTTTTGTTCCCTTTAATCTCTAAGGAAATGTTCGCTTGTTATCCCTTGATACCAATTTCCATGTTGCAGTGCGAGATCATAAGAATATGAGTTCAGCCCTTGCCATACTAGGTCAGATCAATGCGGCATCCCAACTTCCATGTTTTTCAAGATGTGGGCTCCCTGAATTAATACTGACTTGTGGGGAGAACCATACAAGATTATTTGACAATACTATAGTTACTTCTCAGTGTTTCCTTAATGTTACTAGGTATATGTAATTTTCACTGACATTATGGATGTAATAGGCAATTTAACATCAGTACAAAATGCTTTCTGATTAAGACCAAAATCATTCATTTGAATCAAAAGAGAGGGTTTCAGATTATGGAGAACAGAAGCATTTATTTGAAACAGTGAGTAGCCAAGATCACTTCTTCCTAGTGTTAGAAACTGAGATATGAAAGCTAGGAGCTAAATGGCATCTTAAACCTAGGTTATGGGCGCAATAATGGAATGTGTAGGTGCATTTTTATAACAAGAATAGAAAGCTGAAAATGAATGAACTGCAGTTAAAATATTGTGTTCATTTTTCACATGGTCTTGTCCTTCCCCTGCCCACCCCTCTAATATTCTTAAGAGGGTCTCTTCTTCAGTCTTCAGAGAGTAGCTGGAAGTGGGGAGGTGGAAAAAGGTCCTTCTTTCCTTCCACTCTGCAGTTTTTATCCAAAATCTTAGCTGCAGTAATGCGCCAGGAGCTCAGAAACTGCTCGCTCTAATGAAATTCCATGTCGCAAAATGCGCCTAGAACAATGGGAGTTTCTAACACTGCGTCTTCCATTCAATTGGTCATAGAATCATAGAATTGTAGAGTTGGAAGGGATCCCAAGGGTCATCTAGTCCATCCCCCTGCAATGCAGGAATCTCAGCCATGAAAGCTGGTGTACAGGAATCCATGGAAGATGGTGTACAGTTCCTCCAGTTGCTGCAGACTACAGCTTCCATAAGTACCAGGCAGCATGGCCAGTGGTATCAGATATGGGAAGCCTGTCAACTGAGCCCACATGTGCTCCTCCTGGGCCTGACTCCTCCTCCCAGGCTCCACTCTCTTCTTGTGGAGTAGACAAACTGAAAGGGGTTGTGGGTAGTAGCACTGGACACTGGGTTTCATATTGCTATTCTGTTCTTGTTGGAGAGAGACAATATTAAGTTCCTGTTTAGCTTCCTGGCTGGTGTGTCCTCTAATGGTGGGCCTGGGATCACCAATGGATCTCGGGCCACTTCCAGGTGGGTCTTGGTGCAATAGACTTCCCAGTATCTCTTGCCTCCTCCCCGCCCCAGGTTGTGTCATAGCATTTTGGCTGGATCACTGCCAGCACCAGAAACTCCCCCCCTCCACTGTACTGTATTAATATAGTTAACACTCCTCTGTTAATTTCGTAGCATGTTGCCTGCAGTGGTGAGAATACATCAGGGAGCTTCTTGCCACTGATGTGTTGGGGCAGGTCCCTCAAAGGAATCTGATTTGAAGGATGCTATCTTTGAAGGGGGTAGTTCAGGGATCATTCCGGTTCAGCAGGCTTCAGGTTGAGGCATTGACTCTGCAATAGAGTTTGGGTCCGGGTTCAGCACTTCTGCTGCTGGGGTCTCTGGTTCTTCTGATCTGGCTGGTTCCTCCTCAGAGTCAGATTCTATCTAGGCTGCTGCTCAGTCTAAACCTTGTCGTGGTTCAGGGTATTTAGGACTGGTTTATTTATTAGCCCATTCAATGCAGTGTTGTTCTTAACTGGCAGTGCTTTTCTTCTAGAAAAATAGGTGCTGGTACTCATCACAAAGTTGTTGCAGTAAGTGTCACATTTTTTAACCCCCCCAAAAAGAAGTGCCAGCATTGCGTACCTTTGAGTACCCCTGGAAAAAAAGCACTGTTAACTAGCCACAAATAATTGCTCTCTTTTAGAAGCAGGTAGATTCCTGGGTTTTTATAATATTGTTGCTTTGTTGCTTAACAACGTTGTGGCATATATACTGGGGCAGCAGCTGTTGATGCAAACCAGATATTGTAGCCCAATTGATGTTTGTAGAGCTTACCTACTTCCTTTGCTCCTGTCCATTTCTCTCCAAATAGCTTGTGCATATACAGTTTATTGTGGTCCATTTATTTGCCAAAAAGTGTATTGGATGTAAAGATTTACAGATTAGAATTATAGGGCTGTCTAGCTGGGGTTGTAGACAGGTTGATGGATTTATTATTGGCATTTTGGATCGCACCCAATCTCACAGTCAATCTAAGGCTGCTGTACTAACCCTTCCTAGTGTGTCCTTCTATTGACCCCTTGGCAGCACATGCTAGGGCAAAACAAGCTTTGTCTAGTGGAGAAGGACTCAGGATTCTGGGTAGGTCTCTTGTATACAGCTGTTTCAGGATCTGATTAGTAGATTGATAATCCCTACTGCAGTATCTATGGATGCATGCCCCTAAAGGTATTTTTACATATTAAACTACTATTAACTATACCAGTTTGCAACACCAATATGTGAGTTTCTGCTGTAAACTCTTAAATAAGGAAGTCTTGTTATAAACGTTTCTTAAGGGTTAAGCAGCAATTGTTAATGGCAACAAGGTTCTTGAATAAATTTGCTGCTCTCTGCATAGGGCGCAGTGAGAAGTATCACTTAATCTCATTTGAGAATAAAATACTGGGTGCTAAAAATATGAGACAGGCAGAATTGAAGTACTTTTGAAATTTTTCTTTGCTATTGGGAGCCATGGTTGAGCAGTAGAGCACAAGCTTCATATTCATAGGGTCCAAAATCCAATCCTTGGCATCTCCACCTAAAAGGATCTCAGGATACAGGACTGAGAGAGACTCATGCCTGAGATTCAGGACAGCCACAAGTAATCAGTTTTAAGTTTAGAAAAAAAGGTGAATCAGGGGAACATGACAGAGATGTATAAAATTATTCATGGAGTGGAGAAAGTGGATGGCCGCCAACTTGGATGGCTTTGAAAGAGGGTTAGACAGATCCATTGGGAGTAAGGCTACCAGTCATGATGCCTATGTTTTACCTCCACTGTGGGTGGCTGTATACCTCTGAATACCAGTTGATGGGGATCACAAGTGGGAGATGACTATTGCACTTAGGTCCTGCGTGTGGGCTTCCAATAGGTGGCACCCTTCTATTCTCTGCCTTGGTCAGACCACCCATGGAGTACCATGTCCAGTTCTGGGCACCCCTACTTAAGAATGATATTGACAAGCCGGAAGGTGTGAAGAGGAGGGCAACTAGGTTACCAAGGGTCTGGAGATAATAGAAATCAATGTGAGGAAGCAGATATATGTCTAAGAAAAGTTCATCTGGAGATTATTATTATTATTATTTTTTCTTTTTCTGAATTCTAATGTCAGGCTTTGACATACTTCTTTTGGAGGAAGTTACATAGTTTGAACGAACTGTTTTTTAAAAAAAATGTCTTGGAGTGCTACTCAGAAATAAGTGCCACTGAATTTATGATGTTTACTTCTGTTTAGTGGATATAGAAATTCAGCCTTACTGTGGTTTTTTTTTATAATGGTGTTGAAAGCAATTCTGTTGAGAAAATATTCTTGGTAAAATTGTAAACAAACAACAATAGTGGTGCCGCCATTTAAAAAGTCCCTTCTCCTTTCCCCAAACACATTTTTAAAAAAAATATTTTTTTTTTATTAGAGATTTTCTTGGGTCTCCCCTAACACATATTGAGATTGTTGGTGGACTCTTGATTTAACTGGAGAAAGCACCAGTCTTAGGAGTTATACTGAGGGTGGTTTGCCTTTTTTGCCCCCTTCCAATGTATCATTGAAGGGCAATGGTATGCAGAACAGTAGGTGTTAGCAATAGATATAAGACTCATTCTGGCATTGCTAGTATATGAAGTCATTAGCCTTCTGCATACAAGCATCATTTATCAGTATTCAACTGCTACTCCATGTACCATTCCTTATGCCACCCACCGTCCTAAAATAGTGTACATGTAAGCATACAGTCACCATTCAAAGGGAAATTACTAGTGGTGTTGTACAGCTGCGTCGGATGTTGTATACAAATATGAACTCAAGTCCTTGTTCCGTAGCAGCTGCAAATGAAACTACAGTTACTGGAATAAATTTGTATCTAATTGTAGGCTGGTATTTTTATGGTTAATGAAGGCTGCAAGTGAACAGTATACTTTACAGCAGAAATGGGAAACCTGTGGCAGCCAGATGTTGTTGGGCTACAACTTCCATCATCCCTAACTATTTGTCATGCTGACGGGTGTTGGGAGTTCAACAGCGTCTGGAGGATCACAGGTTCTGCATCCCTGTTCTTTTTGAAAGCTGAATATTCCCACTTTTCACTGAGAAGCAAGAATACATTTTGAACCAAGGTTAGCCCTTGTCCTAGACACCTCTACTCAAATTGATATTTAGCTGCGAGGGTTTTGAGTTCTTCGGCATCCATTCCAGTTTGCAATAACTGTTCATATAAGCCTCCAAAATGCAGATCCAGTCAGTATGTCTTATTTGCTCACCAAATACTTTGTTACCTTTTCCAAAACAAGTCTTCTTTGTCTGCTGTGTATGTTCCTCATTACTCCACGTCTGACTACTTGCATGTGTACAGTATTATACTTTTAAGATTCTTCCATTTCATAAAAACTGGGCAAAGGGCTACAAAAATATCACCTACTAAAATGCAGTGGAGTTGCTTTCCTTTAATGGCTTTGACCTGGTGGAAATTTTAATTTGATTAAATGGCACCTCGTAACAGATGCAGTTCTCTAGACTGTTCTTGGGCATCCACGTTTTGCCACCAGCAAGACTTGATATGATGAAGGGGAGGTAGTTGCACAACTGGGGTTGCACAGCTGAAAAAAAGTCCTCTTATTTCTGTCTACCTACATAGTCTTTAATAGTTGCACTCCTAGACTTCTCCCTGAATCCTTGGAGAACAGTTGCCAGTGTAGCTAGATGAACCAATACTCTGGCTTAGTAGAAGGCAGATTCCTATGTCCCTATCTTATTGCTCAGGCAACCTGTTTTAACTAATCGTTTGGCAGGGGGTTTTTTTGTTTTTGTTTTTTGCTATAGTCCTGGCTCCTTTTGAGGTTTGTCTGGCTTCTGGAGTTCTCTTTGCATGTTCAGGCTGAACTCTGCCCGGTAACAATTTCTTCCCCTCTTTTGTTGTTCATTGCAGCTGTCCGAACAGAGGTTTCTCCACCCACTTCCTCCCTAGAAATAAATACCTGGGTGCAATGCTTTGATGCTGAGGCTTCTAGAATAATGAGTTGAATTGCTCTGCTTATTAGTGTGGGTTTTTTTGTTTTTTTTACAGTACCAGACTCTGCTTTGATATAAGTATCATTTATAATAGTGTCTTTCAAAGAAAGGTAAGCATCATTACAGACAGTATGGCCTTTAATTATACTTGCCGATTGAAACCTGATCATGGTTCATGCAAGGCATTTTTGCTGAGAGAGGCTTTGTGCAATAGCAGTGATCCCCAGACAATGTAGGTTTCTTTTCAGAAGCAATCTTCTTTCTGAAGTGTTTTTCAACAATGGACACCACTCACACTGTGTGCTTGGACATCCTGCCCCCTGGAATTCTCTGATCCAAATGTGCATTCTTTTCTATTTATGTGTCTGCCCAACCACACTAATCAAGATCCCCTGCTGTTGAATACAAGCTAGGAAGTGGTCGTACGATTTTAAAGTTGACAGTTTCAGCTTTGGAGGCCAATATTTATCTTCAGTGATGTGGGGCTAACCTCTTTTAAAAGTATTGTGTGTTCTGTAAATTCTTGCAACAGGACTGGCTCTCTGTTTCTGCTGTGCTTCCTGCTACTCGATCCCCAAACTCGGCCCTCCAGATGTTTTGGGACTACAACTCCCATCATCCCTAGCTAACAGGACCAGTGGTCAGGGATGATGGGAACTGTAGTCCCAAAACATCTGGAGGGCTGAGTTTGGGGAGCCTGGCCATGGGGCTGCTGCTGTACTGCTAGGGAGATTGAACATGCCCCCAGAGCTGCTGATCATTCCTATGAGAACTCACTGCTTGGAACCATAATCCAGGGCCACTTAACTAGAAAACGCCCAGTGAACTAGGAGAAAGCTATAGGAAAGTGGCATTATTTTGCTGTGTTTCTGATTGGTAGTGTTCCCCTGCTAGGGCATGGAATCCAATATATATCAGTCTGCGATACTGACCTTTCCTGCCAGGCCTTCCAAGTAGACTGTTGTCCACAGTAGCCTGGTCTAACTTTTTAATGGTTTGTTGCCCTGAATAGTACTTGCTGAATGGCACTAATGGTTTTGCTGAATGGTAAAGGTAAAGGGTAAAGGGACCCCTGACCATTAGGTCCAGTTGTGACCGACTCTGGGGTTGTGGTGCTCATCTCGCTTTATTGGCCAAGGGAGCCGGTGTACAGCTTCCGGGTCATGTGGCCAGCATGATTAAGCCACTTCTGGCGAACCAGAGCAGTGCACAGAAACGCCATTTACCTTCCTGCCAGAGTGGTACATATTTATCTACGTGCTTTCGAACTGCTAGGTTGGCAGGAGCAGGGACTGAGCAACGGGAGCTCACCCCGTCATGGGATTCGAACCGCCAACCTTCTGATCGGCAAGTCCTAGGCTCTGTGGTTTAACCCACAGCACCACCCGCGTCTCTTCTTGCTGAATGGTACTAATGCCTTAACTAAATAAGTTATCCAGTGGTGATTAACAAGATGAAATATGCATGTGGAACTGGTTTGTGTGTGTGTGTGTGCCTTTAACTAGTTTGGGATGCTGCTTTCAGGTAGCTTTCTCGTTCTTAATTTAAAAGGGGTGAGGAAGAGTGTTCTGTGATGGCAGTTTGCTAGGATATTGCAGAGAACTCTGAATCCTCTGGTGCCCTTGGATATAATGCCTCATTTCATCATTGGATGTGACATGCTGGCCGGGAGGCAGGTTTTCAAAGCCATTGTTTGTGTACCCTCTTTGCTTGCTCAATAGGAAGGCTTCCTAATGGGTGCCATTCTGTGATTGGCTTTCCTGTGTGGATCATCATAAGCAGATAAACCACTGATCCATGAAGTGCAAGAGGGGAATTATCTACCTGCTCCCACTCTCCAAATTCAAATGGACAAAAAGCCTGAAGGTCTCCCAGGGGGTGTAGGGAATGTGGCCAGCCAGAAGTGGCTAAGAGAGCTCAGCCCTCTTGTAGGAGAGCTACTGCCAGTGAAACAGGGAGCAACAGATGGCTTGAACCCCAGGGTATGAGCAACATTCCCTGTTGCTACTAGCAAAAGGCAAAGGGGCTGGGGAGAGCACAAGCAAGAGGGAGTTGATACCATCCCTTAGCTTACAATATAGACTATCCCATGTACCATCTGGTCTTATTTTGTGATACCAGTATGTGGAAGTGATTTTGGATTTTCATTTCCTTTTATCTACATGAGACATCAAATTTGATGCTCTGCCAGGCTGCAGGCTCTATAGGACCAGATCACTTGACTGGGTCTGTGCCATCTGGAGATGGTTCTAATTTGAGCTTGATACAGAATAAACCCATTGCTGTGTTGTTGGATTGGGGGTAGAGTGGCAAGCCAGTACGTTGGTCAGCTGGAAGAAAATTGTTACTATATTGATATTAACTTTCTAAATAGTTCTTGTTTTGTGCATTTTGAGGGGAGAAAATTCCCATTCATTGACATACCTAGTGGTGTAACTAAAATTTAGTTTGGCTTGAGTAAACTACTTGGTTGGACCTCAAAATCGAAGTCCCATTCATTTTTCTTAGTTGCAGTCCAGAGACAACTGGAGCAAGTCAGGTTTCTTCATGTTGTGCCTTCTGAATGAAATGCTGTGTCTTCACAGCTTATTCATCATACATCTGTCCAATAGGAAGAAAGGAGTTTCCCCCCTATAGCTGAACAACATTGTTTTGGTTTAGGTGTTCCTCCCACCTACTGAGGAGAATCCTATCCCCACCCACAGTTTCCTCTTTATCTCCCTGTAAAGTATTTATAGAAATAAGTCCTTTCTCTCTCAAGTGCCCTCGCTCTAGGCTCTTTGTGTTCAGCGCGTTCCCCTCTGATACTGGAGTTTTCACAGTTATTCTTCCAGGCTGTCAGGTCAGTTTTATGTTTTAATGGTTGATCCTCATGAGGGAAGGTGATGTGCTAGTTTTGCTGAACTGGTTGAAGTATGTCACTCCTGGGAGGCTGTAGGTTTAGTTGTGTATATGAAAAGGAGATGAATTATTGAACCAACTGATGGAGTTCAGAATTCATCCTTTAGTTTATAGGGACCATCTTCATAATTCAGCTCATGGCCCAGGATGAGGCCATGGTGAGGTGACTGATTGTCAACAATAGTCTCTGTAAGCCTCACTGAAATGAGCCAGAGCTTGAGAAAGAGCATTAATGTGCTCTTGTGCAGCTCCCGTTCATTTCAAAGTGATTTCTGTCCAAAATGAGGATTTTGTGGTGGAGTGTGACAGTGCTAAGTAGTGTGTGTGGGGGGGGGTCATTTGGTTATTTCACATTATGCCCCAAACTGTCTCAAGCCTGCTTTGATAGTGCCATACTTGCATAAAGAAGAGTAAAATTCTTCAATAGCTTTGGTAAACCTTTCTTTTGGTGAAACTATGTATGTGTGTATTCTTACTGGGTACCAGGACTCCTTGTAGGGATCCTGGGAGCTCTCACTAAATATCCAGTCACGTTCATGAGGCATTTATTGTGGAAAAGGGTAGAGTTGTGCAGGCTGGGGTAGTGTGACTTTTCAAAAATGTGACTTCTGAACCTACTCCTAAGGGAGCTTTGTTTACCTCTGCACCAACATGTGAAAGTAGTCTGGTCAATTTTTAATGAAATGGTGCTCTGAAAACCACTTAGGGAATTGATGGGGAAACCGCAGAATAGAATCCTTCAAACCACTACAGTGGTACCTCGGGTTAAGAACTTAATTCATTCTGGAGGTCCGTTCTTAACCTGAAACTGTTCTTAACCTGAGGTACCACTTTAGCTAATGGGGCTTGCTGCTCCGCCGCCGCACAATTTCTGTTCTCATCCTGAAGCAAAGTTCTTAACCTGAGGTACTGTTTCTGGGTTAGCGGAGTCTGTAACCTGAAGCATCTGTAACCCAAGGTACCACTGTATTCTTTAGTAGGCAGTTGTTCATAGATAGGACAATATGAAAGAAAGCCATAAAAACATAAGTCAGAAGTCCCTGACTAGTTTATTAATATGCAGATGTGGTGCCTGCTCTGGGCTGGAGGTTTTCCCCACATGCTTTCAAATGTGCATATGCACACACACTGAGCTGCATTTGATTGACCCATTGCACTAGAGGAAGCCTGTGCAATGGGAGTTCTCCTCTCTTCTCCCCACCCCCTGCACATGGCCCATGTTGTCCCCAGATAATGAATACAACCCACTGTGAACAGGCCTCAGTTGAAAGTTATGTATTAAAATGTTTGGCTATATTCTGCAGCCCCATTGTGGTTAGGGATCTGGGTACTAAGGCAATTGGATTTCCTGTCCCAGGCAGTCAGGAGAAAGGCTTTTGGCCAAGTAGGACTGTGTGCCTGGCTCCATATTGCTCACCAGTACCAGTACCAGTACCAGTACCAGTACCGGACCCAGGAAGCAAAGTCAGGTTGGGCAAGAGTCAGATAGAGCAAGAGGGTATGTCTTGCTAATTAAAATTAAGCAAAGCAGAGGCCACAGTTCAGAAGGCAAACAAGCATAGTGGTTAGCATCCTGGATGGGTCCAAGTAGCACCTATATACTAGAAGTCAGGCAAGGTAGGCTTGAGTGTTTCTACAACAACCAGTAAACCCAGACTGAACCAGAATTAAATCTCCCTCTCACCAGCTAGCCCCACTGCTGATGAGTGAAGCCTCTTACTTGGTTTTAGGAGGTATTTAGGAGTGGCATGGGCAAGGCTGAGGTTTCCAAGCTGTAGTGCTTAGAGTCTGAGGAACGTAATGGGTCCTCTTCAGGCCACTGTCGTTATGGGCTCTTCTGGTGCTGGGACAACCGCCTGGGGAGGTAGGGATATTATAGGCTAATTCTGAGGGCAAATTAGGCTCCAAGGCCTATTTCCTTGAGGAGGAAGAGCCCTGACCATGACTCTTGGCAAGCTAGGAATTCAGGCTCTGTTGCCTTTTCAAGCATGCTTGGTATCAGATGCAGCCTGGAGCCAGTCCACTTCTGGAAGAATAGATCCATTATTAGCTATACCAGATGCATCACTGCCCAGGACACTGCATGCTGGTAGTATTTTTGACTAAATCTGAACTGAAAGAACTTAGTGCACGAGAGCTGCTGAAGTATTCTGAAGCTTTTATTTCATATTACTTTGACAGAAGCAAACCTACTTTTAGCTACTCACAGGCTGCTCTTTCACAGGGCTGTTCTGCTTCCCATTCCATTCCAGAACACTTGGAAAGGCTCCCATGAGGCCCTGGCATGCACCCACGTTCTCTGCCTCACTGACTTCGTTTATATAATTCTTTGGGTGGATCTTCTGGGTTTTCCAGGATCAGGGAAGTACAACTTTGTGGCAATTGGCTCTGACTCTGGAAACACAGTTACTGGAGAAATGTTTCCTATTCTGGTGCTTGATGTTTCTATACCCTTGAATGCCACTGACACAATGCCACATCTCTCGTGGATGTGCTTCAGCATACAGTGGTACCTCGGGTTACATACGCTTCAGGTTACATATGCTTCAGGTTACAGACTCCGCTAACCCAGAAATAGTGCTTCAGGTTAAGAACTTTGCTTCAGGATGAGAACAGAAATCATGCTCCGGTGGTGCAGCAGCAGCAGAAGGCCCCATTAGTTAAAGTAGTGCTTCAGGTTAAGAACAGTTTCAGGTTAAGTACGGACCTCCGGAATGAATTAAGTACTTAACCCGAGGTACCACTGTATTTCTGTAGCCTAGAAAGGGTATAGTGGCTGAGTACAGTGCTCCAAAGGGACATAGGAAACTGTCTTGTACTAAGCCAGGCCATTGATACATCTAGTTCAATACTGTCTTTGCTCACTGGCAGTTTCTCTTCAGGATTTCAGACAGGGCATTCCCAGTCCTACCTGAAGATGTTGGGGATTCAGCTTGTGACCTTTTGTATGCAAAGTTCTACCACTGAGCTATTGCCCATTGCTTGAGTTTATGTCACTGGCATTCAAGGTGTCATGTTGCTGTTTGGTATCTTTTGAATGATGGACTCAAGGGCATCCTGATCAAATTTGCAGATGACACCAAATTGGGAGGGGTGGCTAACACCCCAGAGGACAGGATCACACTTCAAAACGACCTTGACAGATTAGAGAACTGGGCCAAAACAAACAAGATGAATTTTAACAGGGAGAAATGTAAAGTATTGCACTTGGGCAAAAAAATGAGAGGCACAAATACAAGATGGGGACACCTGGCTTGAGAGCAGTACATGTGAAAAGGATCTAGGAGTCTTGGTTGACCACAAACTTGACATGAGCCAACAGTGTGACGCAGCAGCTAAAAAGGCCAATGCAATTCTGGGCTGCATCAATAGGAGTATAGCATCTAGATCAAGGGAAGTAATAGTGCCACTGTATTCTGCTCTGGTCAGACCTCACCTGGAGTACTGTGTCCAGTTCTGGGCACCACAGTTCAAGAAGGACATTGACAAACTGGAGCGTGTCCAGAGGAGGGCAACCAAAATGGTCAAAGGCCTGGAAACGATGCCTTATGAGGAACGGCTAAGAGAGCTGGGCATGTTTAGCCTGGAGAAGAGGAGGTTGAGGGGTGATATGATAGCCATGTTCAAATATATAAAGGATGTCACATAGAGGAGGGAGAAAGGTTGTTTTCTGCTGCTCCAGAGAAGCGGACACGGAGCAATGGATCCAAACTACAAGAAAGAAGATTCCACCTAAACATTAGGAAGAACTTCCTGACAGTAAGAGCTGTTTGACAGTGGAATTTGCTGCCAAGGAGTGTGGTGGAGTCTCCTTCTTTGGAGGTCTTTAAGCAGAGGCTTGACAACCATATGTCAGGAGTGCTCTGATGGTGTTTCCTGCTTGGCAGGGGGTTGGACTCGATGGCCCTTGTGGTCTCTTCCAACTCTATGATTCTATGATTCTATGATTCTATGAATTCCCTTGGAGCTCTTAACCATACTTGTAAACACCACCTTCTTGGGGAAGTGACTCTTTTCCCAAGCCCTTCTTTTTTCACTGCTTCAGGGTGCAGACTTCTGGAAATTTATTAACATAACAGTTGTGGAGTTGATGGCTAGTCATCACAAATTTCTGTTTATGTGTTTGTAAATCTCCAGTTTGAGCACCACCATCAGAATAATGCAGGAGCAGGCGTGGCAAAAGAAAAAAAAAGTAATAAAATAGAATAGGGATCAGCAACCTTTTAAGACCAGTGGGCACATTTTGAATTTTGAGGGAGTGCTGAGGGCGCCAGTCACAAAATGGCCACTGTGGGGCTATGGCATAACACAAAATGGCTGTTGGGGGACATGGCATAGCAGAAGATTAGAGAGTACAATCATTGCTAATTTCCTCTCTCCCACCCACCCTGACAATCTCATGGGAAATCAGTTACGGTATATCTTGGTGGTCCTGACTGTGGAGGAAGAGCTATCAAAGGCACAAGAACACTGTTTTCCCAAGTGCAAATCCTAAACCAATGCCTCTGCTGCCATCCTGTAACCACTTACCTAGGAGTAAGCCCCAATAAATGAAAAGAGATTTACTTTTGAAGTAGGCATGTATACCATTGTACTGAAGAGTTAACATTGCTATCATTGACAATTATATAGCATGTCATGGGACTTGATTTAAAAAATAAACACAATTCTGTGTGTGATAAGCAGCTGTACAATATATTAAACCCAGTTCTTGTTATAAGATGAGTTCCAAGAAAAATTCATGATCTTGAGCATTGCAGGTAAGATACTCAGGGGCAGACAGAGGAAGGAAATAACTTTGTGATACATAAGGAAAGTCTTTCCTCTCTACAGCACAATATATATTTTCTGATTTGTCATGTATTTTTTTTATCATGGCTGTTAATGACTTTTAGCAGCCGTTTTGGAGCCAAGGTTTACAGTCTACTAGCTGGGACAGAGCAGTTGAGACTTCCTATTAATTTGGGGAACCAGGAGCTCCAGAAAGGACAGAAGCCCTTTTGACGTTACTGTTGGTATAAAGTCAGAAGTAAGGATGCTGCAGCAAGTATAAGGACAATTTCTCAGGGAGATAGCTCTTGGGCCTTGTGACTGGTGCTTTGTAGCTTTCCTCTTGCTGTGCAGTCTTTTATCCTAGAGTTGCATGTTATGCACTCAGTGCCTTTGCTTCTAATCTCCTAGGGCTAATTAGTTGGATTGGCATTGCTTGGCTGCACTCTAGTTCTGGGTGGTCTTACACAGGGAGTTCTCCCCCCCAACCCAGCCCCCCATTTTGCCTGTAAATGGTGGCTTTTTAGCTGTTAATCTGACCCGTCGCTTGGTGCCTAAATGTTCTGAATTGTGTAGTGCAGACACGTGGAGGAATTTTTCTTAGTGCTGCAGTGGAAACATTTTCTGACATGTTCACAGTCCCATGTCAGGATTGCATTGGTTACTTCAATGCAGGTAATTGTTTTAAAGCATTCACAAATCGCTTATTTCCTCCCCCCCCCTTATAAATAGATGAAAATGAAGTAATAGTAAACCAGTAGAATACTATTCTAATAATAGTATAAGAACAATTTACTGTTATATAGAAGTCCAGGGCAAAGCACTGTCCACATCCCTGGTAGTTTGGGTTGGAGGGAACTGCAGTTCATTCTCTTCTTATTAACTCTTTCTCTTGCCCCTTCAGAATAGGGGTTTTAAAAATTGATTCTCCACTGAAACCTCCCAACCCACATTTTATCTATCTACTTACCATATTTATAATCAGGCCTTTGGCTAATTAAACCATGTATGGCCTTTTAAACTGTGAGGGGTATTGTTTTTGTTCGTTAATCTACTGGTTTTACCTCATAAGAAATAGCTTTGGAGAAGGACCCTGCTGTTCTGTTGGATCATACAGTAGTTTGTTTTGGTATTTTTAATGTGGTAGGTAAATAAATAAATAAATAAATAAATAAATAAATAAATAAATAAATGCCTGATGACTTCTTATAGTGGAAAAGCAGTGTAGAATATATAAACACACAGGTATTAACTGCCCTCCTCATTCCCTTGTCATATTCTTTTCTGATGTCCGTCACATGCAAGCTTTGTAACGCTTGCCCTGTCCATTCTTTGACCATTGTACTTTTCTTCCTTAGGATGAGATTGAGGAATTGCGGGCTGAGATGCTGGAGATGAGAGACGTCTACATGGAAGAAGATGTCTACCAGCTACAGGAGCTCCGGCAGCAACTGGACCAAGCCAGTAAGACCTGCCGCATCTTGCAATACCGTCTGCGAAAGGCAGAGCGGCGCAGCCTTCGTGTGGCACAGACTGGCCAGGTGGATGGAGAGCTCATCCACGGCCTTGAACAAGACGTCAAGGTAAGCCTGCAGTTACAAGAGAGAAGACATTTGAATGGTCCTGGGATTTTAAAAAACCTGCTTTGTCCTGTTTCAGATTATTGGTCCATTGTGCTGTTTATTTTCACTACTGGTATCGCTCCAAGGTCTTGGGCAGAGCCCTTTCCTGGCTCAGATACCAAAAATCCTTTAACTTGGAGGTATTAAGGATTGAACCTTTGCTCTTCTACATACGAAACATGTGTTCCGCCAGTGGTGGGTTACAGGCTCTATTTGGTGTGCATTTAAGTTATGTTTTGCAAAAATAACTGCTTAGAAATGACTTGCTCAAAAATGGATCGGTTGCCATACTGACCTAGAGGAGAACTTGGAAGATTTGTGAAATGCTTCTGTTGGGGCATTGTAGCAATTTCCCAGAGGAAACCATGAGGCTTGGATTCCTTTGCACAAACGTAGTCCACCTCTTACTAAGTCAATAAGGGCAAGATAATGGCAAGTAAAGACAAACAGAGATTGGAGTTGTAGTAGAGTAGAGTCAATTCATCTACATGCCCTTTTGGATGCGAGTAAGAGGCAGCAGCAGATCAAGTCTTTTGTATTTTAACACTTCCATAATTTTACTGTGCATAGATTGAAATTTCCATTGGGTGCAGAATTAAGTATCCTGAGAATCTCAGCGTTTGAAAGAAGCGTATTTCTGGCCCTTGTGACTGAAAATAGGCACGAAAGTGTGTGGGCAATGCTAAGTAAAATCTCAGAAGCCAAGTAGGTGGGGGAAAGAAAGGCCAGGGTTTCATTACCCGTCATGGCTCCATTCTCGTATGACCAACAGAAGCAGAATAGAATATGCAAAGTAAGCAAATATATGCAAGTGATTGTTAATTTGCATAGATGTCATGGAATTGATCATTTTCTTGCAGAATTTGAATTACCTATGGTTTGTTTATTTTTTGCTGTTTTTGACGGTCCTGCACATATGCAATTCTGCGTAAGTTCTTTCTAGTTCAGGCCTTGGTGGTGAGAGTGAACTGCAGCTTGCTCTGCTTGAAATTATTCCTTTGAGGAGTGGGCCCCCTTTAGCTTTTAATTGCTGTCTAGTTTACTGTATAATGTTGAGTTGACCAATCCTGCAGAGAGCCAGGTTTAAGCTGGTGTTGCATTACACATAGTGCAGGTTGAAACGGAGAGAAAACCCATCTATTTGCCTTTGAGAACAGAGCTAATGATGGGATCTATAGAATCCTGCACCTTTATCCCATACTTCCTTCATCGAGCTTAAGACCAAGCTAGATGTGACATTTGCTGTGTAATTGGTCTTTCTTGAACAAATAACCAGCACAGGGGCTCCTGAGCCAGATTGGGGCCATGGCATGGGTGGGAGAGGGGATTTTCCCCCCGTTTCCCTTTTATTCCTGCTGTTTTCCTGATTGGACTTGACTGCTATTTATCTGTATTGGGAGGAAAGCTCCCATCAGGATTCTGATCAGGACTGTGGGTTAACCCTGCTCCAATTCCTCATGCTGTTATTACAATCTGGCTCATCGCACACAGCCTTTGTGTGCATTGTCATAGCTGCATATCCCTTTGAACCTAGGCTCCCCAAACAGTGTGGCATATTTTTAGCAGCAGCTGGACTCCTTGCTGTACTTCTGCTTCTACTTCATTCCCTTTTCCATTGCACAGACACCAGGCTTCTTGGATGTGCAGACCTGGGAAGGGTTAGTGATAAGGATATGCTTTCTTGTCAGCTCAGTTTACAGTCATGGGAACTAAGCAGCTGACCAGAGAGGCTGAGCCCCTTCCCTGAGCTGCCCAAGGGCCTTAGCTAGCTCTTGATGATTGCACAGGCCAGCTGGGTGGTGCATATGCTGCTTAGGCATGGCACTTTATTGGCATTGCACAGTAACACAATCTGCTGGAGGAATGCCTCGTTTCTTGCTGCCTCCAAGGCCTGTTCCATTGCTGTGGCCCTTTAAACAAAGCTGCATTGCCTAATGGCATAGGCCAGGGGTGAGGAACCTCAGGTCTGGGGGCCAAATACAGTCCTTCAAGTTTCTCTATCTGTTCCTTGAGCCTCTCCCTACACCGTACTCCCCCCCCCCACCAGCCATACCATTCACTGGATGCACTTCATATTCTCCTTGAGTGTTTTTTTCCTGATGTGTCCTTGAACTCTGATAATGCCTCTCCCCTGCCTGGATGGAGAATAGAGAGAGGTTTGTGAGTGTGTGTAGAAACTAGCCTACTGTACAGTTACATCTGTTGCTCCTCCCACTTTTGCCTCTGGCCCCACCTACCACTGTCACAAGGCCCCTGGAACATTGATCCAAAGGGATGTGACTCTTGGGTTGCATTTGATAGGGAGCGGAAGCACAAGCAGCTGGGGTACCAAAGGGCAGGATGAGGGAGTCTGTAAAATGTTTAGGCATGTCGACGGCGACTGGCATGGTGTGGATGAGGGAAGAAAATACTGGGAAGGTTGTGCTCTTTGTGGAGGGGGGGCATTTCCCCCATGATTAACAAAAGCAGAAATGTTAGCTCCAGAGCTCCAACCCTTTGGACATTCTCCAGGGGCAACTTGGATGAACATCCTAAGCAAATAGCACTGGCTAGCCTTATAACGGTCTAAGCAGTAGAATTCGATTCTTTGCAAATACTTTGTTCTCCCCCTTTACAATTAAAAATGAATCTGCAAGTTCACCTGCAGAGTTAGTTGTGCCACTGGCCCTTCCAGGGGGCCTCTGTGTGAGTTCCCCTGTTGTGGTGCATAGACTTGAAAACAGGAAGCATTTAGCTGGTACAGTTACCATCTCCCTGCTTATTCTGGTCACATATTCTGTGGTCTTTTATCCTTTGTGCTCACAGTGAGTGAAGGAAGGCAGTTTCCCTGGCAGTATGCTGTGTGAGAAGTTGGCCATCTCCTGGCCCTACAGAGCTGGCAATTTGAGAAGCAACCCTTGTGCTGTCAATCCACATGGGCAAGCCTTTCAACTGGGCAGATGTCCCAGACTCTGTGCATGGTCCCCCTTTCTAGTTGATTGGGGGGAAAAGAGAGAAAATAGTAATAAAATGTAGAGGTGGGTTTTTTTACTTGCATAGAGACATGGCAGGCAAAGTATGCAGTTCTTTCTGTGCAATCAACTGTTGAGCAATTTTAATTAACAAAATAGGTGTTTTCGAACCTACCCATCCGAGGAGAGAAGGGCAATCAATGCCCGGCACTGCTGGCCATTTCCCTGTGGGGCAGCCTTGTAACTCTTTCTGTAACCAACACCTGTGCTTGTATTTGGTCATGACTCAGTGAGAGCAGCCTCTCCACTTACACTGGAATGCTGTTCTTCTTCAGCTACAAAACGGTTTTTCATTGTTGCAGTACCTTTTATCCCAGCTCAGCAAAGCCTGGGATTGAGCCAAATGGAAGCTTTTAAACAAAGGACTGAACCTGCTGTCAAGTGCCCCAGGCTCCAGAAAATGGCAGTTTCTGGAAATGAAGCATGCCACAAGTGACGGATGACAATCTCTACCCAAGCATCCATCGCTAACTGCTCTGTAATTAAGAGGATATGCTTGTGCAGTTGTTTAAAAGTAAATGTAGCTACCACCTGGACCTGCTGGGGTCCAACAGAACATATTCTCATCATGATACATGCACTGGAATGAGGTAATAGAAATCCTGCCCTACTAAACACTACTGTCCTCCCTGTTTCGATCCCGAGGGGCAATACTGCTTTGCTCAGTATTTTTGATTAGAGCTTTGGGCATTTGAAAATTTCCAGCTGCCATTATTGGGGGTGCTACGTGTTGGCAATGCTCAGTTTCGTATGCCAATATCTGCGTCTGCAGTAGGATTTAAATTGGCAACTTGAGGAATGCAAGCTGAGGATTTAACCTGTATGCCACAACTCAGCTAGTTCGAAAAGAGAGAACTGCAGTGAACATGTCCTTAGAAGCTTATTTATGCAAATAGGCCAAAGCAAGGCAGGTGTTACTGCCTGATCATTGTAAAGGCTGCAGGTTTTGGGTTGCAGCCAACTAAGTTCTACTCAGAGTAGACTCATTGCAATCAGTGGACCTAGGTTACTCATGCTCCTTAATTTCAATGGGTCTACTTATGGACACAACCCATTTCTTTATAAAGGGCCAGCAGTTCTGGTCCAAACAGCTCCTTTCCATGCCTTCTGCCCCTCAGTATTTATATCACCATAGCTTTGAGAAGAGGCTTTGATACTCTGGAATGAGTGAGGCAATCCTAACCATTGATCCATACTGCTGGCAGGGATTAGAAATCACCGGCAGGGAAACTTGACCACCATGGAGGCCCTTTCTGTGCCCACAGAAATGATAGAGGAATATATGCTGCCATTGATGTTCCTGCCAGCAGTAGCTGGAATAAAACTCCCCAATGGGGGTGTTTCAATGATAGGGTGGAAGCAGAGCAATGGCTCTTCTGGATCCAAAGCCAGTCCAGTTCCTGGTGAGGGACCTGATTTGGGCGCATGTTGCGAGTTGGTGCAGCCAACATAGTTGGGAAAATTGCCTTCCAATTTTTCCTCCTGGCTAGCAGGAGCCAGTCAGGCTGCAAATGCCACAGAGAGTCCCTTTCCCCATGCCCCACCCCCACTCAGTTAGGGTTTCTCGCTTGGTGTGGGGAATGATAACATCTTGTTCCACAGCTTGTAGTTTTTTTTAACACATGGTTCTTCAAAGTATTTGAACATATGTTTTGACTATATGAAGCCACATGCTACTGAGGCAGACCATCAGTGATCCATCTGGCCTAGTATGGTCTCCTCTGACTGCGAATGGCTCTCTGGGGTCTCAGGCAGAGGGTCTTTTCCCCCATCACCTCCTACTTGAACCTTTTTAACTGGAGATGTCAAGGTTTGATCTTTGACCTTCTGCATGCAAACTATTAGTCATTCCAGAGCTTCTGAATGAGGACAAGGAGCACAGCCTAGACCCCTGGAGGCAGAAAAACATCCCAGGTGCCCAAATGTTTAAGTGTAGCTATTGAAATGGGTTTTCTCAGTCTCAGGCCAACACCCTGCCAATTATGTAATATAGAGCTACCTTATACTGAGCTAAAAGGTGACAAGGGGCACCCCTTTGCTCTCTCAGCAGGCTGTCGGGGAGGAACAGATTGCTCTTGCCAGAGGTCTGCAGCAACCTTATGAAATTGGGTTGAGAGCCATATGGAGACAGGTCAAGGGACACGTGCTCCCCCACTATAGTGCATGATGTCCAGTTTTATCAGGGATGGGGAACCTACAGCTTTCCAGATGTTGCTTGTCTGTAGCTCCCGTCACTGCTGCCAGTTGGCTATGTGGGCTGGGACTGATGGGAGTCCCAGCAACATCTGGAGGACCACAGGTTCCCCACCCCTGAGTTCCACGCATGCTATGTACATCGAGTGTGATGACTGGGGGCTGATTTCCTTAACTGGAAACATAGAAAAGTTTAAAAAAGCAACATTATAATATGTAACAAAAGATGTTTAAGTGTGAAAATACATTGAAATGTTAAAACCATGTTCACACTTTTTTTTAAAAAAAAAAACCAATTAAGAAAACACGTTCACATTCCAGATGTTAATTACACCACCATTTGTATTTATACATTAGATAGCCATAATTAGTGATATACAAGCAGATTTAATCTCGGCTGCATCATCACATCATAATGAGGATATTAGGGATGTTAGAACTTTTGATAGCCATAACTATCGATTCATGAGCTGATACATGTTGTAGGAGTATATGTCGCATTTCCAGAGAAGAAGGTTGTGTTTTCAAAATGTAATATTTATTTAGCCCGTAGGTAGGCAAACTAAGGCCTGGGGGCCAGATCCGGCCCAATTGCCTTCTAAATCCAGCCCTCGGATGGTCCGGGAATCAGCGTGTTTTTACATGAGTAGAATGTGTCCTTTTATTTAAAGTGCATCTCTGGGTTATTTGTGGGGCATAGGAATTCGTCGTCCCCCCAATATAGTCCAGCCCCCCACAAGGTCTGAGGGACAGTGGACTAGCCCCTTGCTGAAAACGTTTGCTGACCCCTGATTTAGCCATTCACCCTTTACAGTCATACCTCGGGTTACAGATGTTTCAGGTTGCGCTTTTTCAGGTTGCACACCACGCCGAACCCGGAAGTACTGGAACGGGTTTCAGTGCTCATGCATGCACAGAAGCGCTAAATCGCGCTTTGCACATGTTCGCTGCGGGTTGCGAACGCTGCAGGTTGTGAACGTGCCTCTCGCACGGATCACATTCACAACCCGAGCGTCCACTGTAGTTTCTTCCAAAGAGGTCGTTGCATGGATTGGCCCTCTTCTGAGCTAGATGTAGTGTGATAGTTGCCATATGCTTGTCACGGTGCATTTTTCTCGCTCTACTCCTTCCCTGAACCCTGTAACAGCTGCCTCCTGGTTGCCTTACCATTTGCTATGATAAGTGTTCTCCTTGCAGGAACAGGAAATAACTGGAACTCTCCCCCCCACCCCAACCTTGATGGTGTTGCTGGAGCCTCTGGCTAAGCTGATTCCATGCTAGTAGCTGTCCTACCATTTGCCTCTTTCCTAGCTCAGTTTTCAGTTCCCATAGTCAGGATGCAACTGGGGATTTGTATAAATAAGTACAAAATGTGGAACACAGGGTGACTTTTCTAGCATCAACTGTGCACTGTAGGTCACTGCATGCTTTTTTCCATAATCCATTGTAGCATTCTGCCTCTCCAACCTGCCCTGTCCATCACGATTGCCCTGGTAATGCCTTCGGTTTCTGTCCTTTGCCCTTCACATCTTTGTGGTGTAAAACCCATGCCAGTTTCCTGTCTAGCAGGGAGAAAGCCCTGTCTGCACATGTCAACCGAAGTTCCCCCTCCTGACACTTGAATATAAATGTAATGGCCTTCTCCAATCTTTGCAGTTTCTTTACCATCACGCAAAAGAAACAAAGGAGGTCCTCTGTACAGTATTAGCGCCAGTATTAAGTGTGTATATAGGTGTATGCAATTTTAACTGTAAGCTTGCTGTGGAAAGACTCTCATTTCTTTTTGGGGACATGGAACATTTTCAATACGCGCTCTCCCCCCCCCCCCAAAAAAAAAACCACACACCCGGATTCAGCTCAGCAGAGACTTGTTCTTTGCACAGTACTGATGGGCTAGCCCTTGTGTCAGTCTCAGAAATGCTATTCCCTTTCATAGAATTGCAGTAAAAAACAGTATAAGTGTAAGTAACCTCTGAAAGAGGGGAGGGGAGTTGAAATATGATGTGGAATAATTCAAATTTATGTTTTGTGTTTATTGTAAAGTGAAAATATAAAGAAAAAATATTTGTTTAAAAAAGAGGAGGAGGCAATCAACATTCATTGGAAGCTATGTGTTTATAATGGGTGAAGGCTGTGTGGGTGTGTGGAAAGCAGAACTCAACCTGCAGCTGGAAAACCCACTTATGTTTGCAGGTTTGGTAGCATACAGTCTAAAGTTTTATATAGGCTCAGTGGTGCTTCCTAGAGATTCCATACAGGGTACCCCTATTTTATTTGGGATCACACACTGCAGAGGGTCTTGAAATTAGATATTGATGTTTTGCCATCTGGTCTTTTGGTTGCTTCCCCCGCCCCCTGCAAAAGTTCTTTTTTTGTAAAGTTAATTTCCTCCTTCCCAGTGAAGAACCTCTCCTCTTTCCTTGGACTGTGATAAAGGACTACCTATGACCCTAATTATCAGATAAAGCCATATTGTGAGAGCTTTATTGCAGAAGAGGTCAAGCCCAGAGGGTCCCTGGGGACCAGAATTCATTGCTTGGGATTTGCTGGAAAATGTTTGTGAACATAAGGTCATCAGGACTGTGGAACTACTTCCTGTGCCTACAGATGCATTAAGAGATATGCCCCATATTAAGAGTAATTCAGTGTTACATGACTGTTCCATGGAACAGACAGAAGAAGAAGAAGAGGAGTTTGGATTTGATATCCTGCTTTATCACTACCCGAAGGAGTCTCAAAGCGGCTAACATTCTCCTTTCCCTTCCTCCCCCACAACAAACACTCTGTGAGGTGAGTGGGGCTGAGAGACTTCAAAGAAGTGTGACTAGCCCAAGGTCACCCAGCAGCTGCATGTGGAGGAGCGGAGATGCGAACCTGGTTCCCCAGATTACGAGACTACCGCTCTTAACCACTACACCACACTGGCCCCAGACAGTAAAGCTCTACCATGCCCCATTTTTTACATTTTCATTTGAAAGTCTGAATCCTGAGTCTCAAATAGTTTAAGTTCATTATTATTCAGTCTGCTCAACACATTCACATGAATTGTGTTCTTTCCCATTTTACAGCTTTGGCATTTGACTTACCCTTTCCCTACTGAATGCTCTTCCTGGCTATACTTTGGTCGCACAATCTGAGTCTGACATGTCTAAGTGCCAGTGGCAAAGCCTATTTGATGCTTCTGCACCCATGATAGAGAATTACCTTTTTTTTTATATCCTCACATAACTGTAGGTATGGCTGGTGCTACTGTAATTGCTAGACTACCCATTGCACCATTAATATTGATATTAGTGAACCTGTTTGTAACTTTCATATTTGATGCATGCTCTTCAGTTCAATACATTTTTTTTTTTTAATCTATCCTGGTTCAATGGGGAAAGCTCCGAGAGGATAATGTAGCACCACCAACTTGTTCTCCCTTCTATGCCTGTGGATTCACAGAGAATTATTAGGTGGTGACCTTGGTGTTTCTAAATGTGTCTAGATTCCCTTTAATTCCCATTTTGCACAGTTTCTGAAACTTGCTGATGTGCATCTAAAACCTGCCAGCCATCACAGCGAACAAACTCAGAAGTGACTGGCATCTCAGTCTTGTATGTGACAGTTATTCCCTCTTCTGTATCCAGAGAAGCTGGCATTCAAAGAACCATTGGGCATAAGATCATGGACATAAGGGCATAGAACTTTTGTGAAAGTTCTGATTTTGGGGGGGGGGGGGCTGTGCAGCAAAGCATACACCATAATGCTGCTGAATAACAGGAGGTTCATCGTTTACTACAAAGAAGAGAGATTCAAGAGGATTTGGTTTTCTCCATACTTCTGGTTCTTGTGCAAAGATGGCAAGATGTATATATTCAATGTAGGCACAACTCTTGTGCTCCCTTATGAAGAGTTGCACAAATCCTTTTGATATTGTACGATAGCATCACTTTTGCTTCCTTTTTCAGTGCATGCTTCTAATGTACAAAGCCATGCTGTGTTCCCAAGATGGCTGCATTCTTCATTAAGAATAAAGTCTTGGGCCACATAAGAGGAGGGAGGGACCTGCAAAATGTGTCTCTTGTTTCAGTTCATATCTTGAACATAGTTATGCTGGTACAACTTGAATTAAAGGATTAAAAATGAAATCTGTGCAAAATGCTTAGCTACAATTTTACGCTGCAAGCCATAGCTCCTGCTTAAGCAATTTTGAATGTTAGCATGCATTTTGGAAGAAAATCTGTTTCTTTCTAAATAGATCGGGAAAGCTAAATGCCAGTGAGGATTTTGGAAGAGGGACAGTCAGGTGGGATATATAGCCCTGATCAAAATAGAATCTAAAGCCCAATGTCAGTACTGCTGGTAATATTAACTTGTGCATCAGATCTGAGGACCAAACCTCATATTACTTTTTGCTGTGTTTATAGGTAGCCAAAGATGTCTCTGTGAGGCTCCATAATGAACTGGAGACAGTCGAGAAAAAACGGATTAAGTTGGAGGATGAGAATGAGGACTTGCGCCAACGGCTCATTGAGAGTGAGTTGGCTAAGCAGGTGCTGCAGAATGAGATGGATAAGCTACGGGAGGTAAGTACTATCCTAAGGGATTGCATTTCCATCTTCTCTTTTTCCCCAATGAGCTTTGATCAGTGTTCCAGCTTCACAGCAAGCCCACGCGTTAGCTTAGGCTGAGGAGGAGTGACTTGCTCAAGGCATATAGAATCTACAACATTACATCTTCCCAGGTCTCCTGCTTACCTCTTTTCTACTAGTAAGTTGTGTTCTAAACATGTGTTGGGAAGTGGCTGAAACATGCAAAATACATGAACTTGGATGACCATCAAGTTGCTTGCTTGTTAAGGCTCCCTAAGACTGTTTCTCCAAATTTGCACACATCTACTGGCACAGTACAAAGATTTGTATCTTTGGCTCCCCCCCCTTTCTTTTATTTCTCTCCTTAATACACTTTCAATGGGCCATTTCATATGGAGCACATTACAGTAATCTAATCTGAGTGTGACCAAGGCATGTGTAGCTGATCTCCAGGAAAGGGCTGGGGCACTAGCCAAAGATGTACAAAGTTGCTTCAGTGGCTATCTGTGAGTGCCTAGGACAGGGGTATTTTGTGTTTCTTCCAGCCTTAGAGTCACATTTTCTAACAGGCAATCTTCTGGGGCCACATTACCAGTGACGAAAAGAGGCAGAAGTGAGTGGAGCAACATAGGTGATGCTTACCCCTGGGTTTACATTCCAGCTAAATGTCCTATGGGCAATGCCAGATGAAGGAGCACCCTCAAACTCTGATCCTGACTCTTCAAGCAGAGTGCAACTCCATCCAGAATGGGCTGTACACCTAATCCTGAACTAGTCTTCCTATTAAACAACAGCACTTCCATCTTGTCCGGATAACACATTTGCTCACATCCAGCCTGCAACTACGCTCAAACAACATTTCAGAACTTCTACCACCTCCCTGGTATCTGCTGAAAAAGTGAGATGCTGATGGCACCCAACCCCAAATCCACAGACAACTCTGCTAGTGTTTTAATGTGGATATTAAACAGCAACAGAAGCAAAAGGAAGCCTCAAGGAACACCATAGGCTAGTGGCCATGCAGCCAAGAGTCAGTTCTCCAGCATCATGTTCTGGGAACTGTCCTCCAGATAAGAGCGGTACCATATCCCCTAGTTGCATTCTAGCCAGATGATTGAAGCTGAGGTTCTTTAGGAAGGGAGGGCTTCTCTTGGACTCTACATTATGAATCATTGGAATTGAATGGAAGCTGTAATTTCAATTCTGGGAAATCAAATGCAAGCAGTAAAAGAGAACTATGTATAGTCAACCTTTCCTACAAAGTCGAGGAAGAACAAAGCAAAATGGAGTATTGACCTGTGGTTGATGGTGATCAATAGCTTTAGGCTAGCCATTTAAAACACACTGTGGTCTTATCTTTTTCATGTCTGCCCTTTGGGTTCTTGTGTTTGCTGCTAGCAGCTGGAATGTGCCATATCCTTGCTTCCTCCAAGAGAAACTATGTATAGTTTAGGCACTTCTCATATCCATTTGATGACTTGCAGTCAAATGGGGTCATGGAAGTGTAGATGAATGGATCTCAGACCACTAACAATCTCCTTGGCATCAGGTTCTGTTTCTGGTCTCTCAGCATAACGGTCTTCTGGTACCACTATGCTGTATAGTTCTAATGATGCTGTATTTAGGCACTTCACTGCAGGAAAGTGGCAGTGTAACATAAAATAGTTGGGGCTTGCTGAAGTGCTAGGTAGCAAAGCTGACAAAACATGCATGTTCAATAGCTCCCTACAGGATTATCTTAAGGGAGAGCAACCAGTTCTTGGTGCTCACAGGGTTGCCAAAAATGTGGTGTAGAATGGAACTGTGTGTGAGGTCAGGGCAGTAGGCCAAAAGGAATCTGGTTTCCAGTTGCAGTCACAGCAAGAGTTAAGTGTCTGCAACATGGAATTACCCTAGTTGGAGTCAGGCCAGGCAAACTCCCTTGCTTTACTATCCTGATTCATTCTGCATTAAAAAATACAATGACCAGGTTTTTTAGCCCAAAGTTGACATACCTTGGTATTACCTTTTTTCTATAAAACTAAACCCTTCCGGAGCAGTACTCCGTTGCACTTGCAGTGCTGTTTCTGTGTGAACTTAAATCTTCTAGCAAATAAAACTAACACATAGGAAATGCCCAGCCAGCCCTTCTGCATGTTGTAGGCTTTGATCCACTGGATCAAAGAGCATCTTTGAATCATTGCAATTGGAAAAAACCCAATGGCTAAAATGTTTTGATTTGAAAGACAGTTAAACTGATCTATTAATCTGCTCCTTGATGATACCTGATGGGTGCTTATTTTTATATGTTTTATTACAGATATTTTGTGTGTGTGTGTGTGTGTGTGTGAGAAATTCTATTTTCCCTCCCTGATTAATTGCGGGGGGTTATTGGGTTGTTCTTGTTTTTATTTTGATTATGTATTTTGTGTTTTTATATTGTGATTTTATCCTGTGAACTGCCCTAAGACTTGTGGGTATAGGGCAGTATATATATATTAATAATAATAATAATAATAATAATAATAATAATAATAGTTCTTTGCCCTGACTTAGAATTGCTGCTAGTGGGCAGTTTGGTTCTACTGCGGCATCTTGCCTTCTCTCAGTCTTCAATTCTCTTTGCAGATACATGGGGGTTTGTCCCTAATCATGTGAATGGCTAACAGACTTGCAACAGGCTCTTATTGACAATTTCCAATATGCAATTATAAATGTGGGTATGAAGAAAGGCTGGTGTGTGCATAGGGAACACACAGCCGTTTCCTTGACCACAGCCATGGTGACAGGCTGCTGGAACCCCTTTCCTACTCTTTACATTTTTTATTCCTGAAGTTCTGTATCCACTTGCACAGCTGTATGGAGAAATGTTAGTGGGTGCAAGTGGACCTGTAAATCCCTGCAGTAATGCCTAGGACAAATTTCAGAACAGAGCAAATGGCCGCAAGGGCAGCTTAGAAGCCTCAGCCCTCCATAACAATATTGGATAGGACTTGCAGCTTTTCTCTTTGCCTATTGTTCTCTAGGCAGCCTTGTCTGCCCATCCACACAGCAGGCAGTACTAATGGGCATGAGATTGGTTTCTGAGCGGTCTGTGTGCATGATCTGAATAGCAAGTGAAAAGAAGTGCAGTAGCTGTCAGTGTGAGATGGGTGATGAAGGCGAGGAGAGGGTTGTCCTGTGGCCAGCATGCCAGACTGGAGTCACATGATGTGTGTACACAGAAACCCGAACAGTTGGTGTTGCATACAGATGACTTGGATGGTGTGTGTGTACACAAACACACACACAGAGGGAGGGAGGGAGGGAGATAGTGTAGTAGCAGCTTCGTTGTGAAAGTGAAGGACTGGAACACATTGCAGCCCAGTTTTTCTTTCTGCTGCCATGCCTTCCTCTTCTTCCACCCCTGGAATATATCTTGAAAAATGAGAATAGAACTTGTTGGCTTTCTGGATCACGTTGGAAAGCTCTTCAGTAGGTTCCCCAAGGCACTGCTATAGCTCTGGAATGGTGTCCGGTCTTGTTTACAAAGCATCTGATGTGAACGGGATCCGTTCCGGAGCCCCGTTCGCACCCTGAACAGAACATAAGACGCAACTGCGCGGGTCGCGTTTTGCCGCTTCCACACATGCGCGTGACGTCATTTTGACCGTCTGCGCATGCGCAAGAGGCGAAACCCGGAAGTAACACACTCTGTTACTTCCGGGTCGCCGCGGAGCACAGCCCGAAAATACTTATCCTGAAGCGTATTTATCCCAAGGTATGACTGTACTCCTAAGCATTGTGGCTGAAGCAAAGCCAGGAAACTGGAAGAGCAAGGCAAGAGGAGGAAGATCTCAAAATCCAAATTGCTGCTGAACGTCTGATGCCTCCTTAGGATCAGGTGGAGTAAAGTGGAGCTTTATAATGCTGCTGGGCTTTCGCCGGAGTGTTGTGTTAAGTTTCATACTTCTTAGTTAGCAGCCACAATGCTAGGCGTATTATATCCCACATTGAGAATTTATATCTTGGAGAGAAGGCTATTGATTCTGTGGCATTCCAGAGCAGAACTGTATATCTTGCACCATTAGAATCCATTTTGTATTCTAGGATGAGTGTTCCATAGTTGACAGATCAGGATGCTGCTAATACCCATTTCCCCCACAGAGCTCCATTTTTGTAAGGATGTGCTGGTGCTGTGGGTGAATTGCCTTTTCCCGCCTGCTGTTGGTTAGCACCTCTTAACCATGTATTTACAGTTCTGTGCCTTGTCAACTGCTTCCTTGTGTGCACATGCTGGGATTGCATCTGGGGGTTGAAAGCAGTTGATTCTGAAACCGTTCATTCTGAATTACCAGTGTCTGTGCAGGCAAAATTGTAAGTCTCTATGCTCCATCTAGATCCTTTCCCCACCTTCACTTCCTAAACCCCCAAATTTATGAAAGGCAGTGCTTTTGTCTAAGACAGGGGTCAGCAAACTTTTTCAGCAGGGGGCCGGTCCACTGTCCCTCAGACCTTGTGGGGGGCCAGACTATATTTTGAAAAATATAATGAACGAATTCCTATGCCCCACAAATAACGTTTTAAATAAAAGGGCACATTCTACTCATGTAAAAACACCAAGCAGGCCCCACAAATAACCCAGAGATGCATTTTAAATAAAAGCACACATTATGTTCATGTAAAAATACTGATTCTTGGACCATTCGCGGGCTGGATTTAGAAGGCGATTGGGCCTGATCCAGCTCTCGGGCCTTAGTTTGCCTACCCATGGTCTAAGACAGCCTTTCTCAAACTGTGGATCCCCAAATGGTGTTGAACTACAACTCCCATCACCCCTAGCTAGCAAGGCCAGAGCTCAGGGATGATGGCAGTTGTAGTCCAACAACATCTGGGACCCACAGGTTGAGAACTGCTGGTCTAAGTGGTGGCCAACTAGCTGTCTCCATTGGCTCCAACCAGCTGTGCAGCTGTCTCCATTGACTACATATTTCATTGTTATTAATGCACTGTAAGACGAGCTCTGTATAAGTTGGGTTTCGCACTCAAGAACTGGCACCTCCTGGGACGACGAAGAGATTACTTTGCATCATCTAGCTGCTATGTCTTTCAATGGAGGGAGAAGGGAGCCGATCCCTAGCCTGCTGGGGACTTGGCAGGATTCAAGCCCAAGCACCAATTTCACCTTCTGTTTTCTTCCTTGCCAAGAGGCATTTGACTTAATATCTAATCACAGAATTCCTGTTTTGCAAAACAAACAAACAGACAAACAAACAATGCTTTTTATTAGTTTCATTAGATATTACAAGTATTTAATTCATCTTCAAAACAACACAAGATACACAAAATACACAGAAAAAAGATCATGAAGAAACGCCCATACTTAATGAAAATCTTCAACACCATATGTCTTCAGGATCTTAAATCTTGACTAAATAGTCTTCTACTTTTTACAGGTGACTTCCATCTACCTCACTGCGGGTCTTTCCCCCGCTTTTTTCTCCCCTTCCCCTTTTACTGTGTTCTTCATCATAATCTATGTTATATCCAATACATTATTTATTAATCATTGTAATCTGCGAAAATTAATCCAAGCATACTAAAGATTTTAGTTGGGAACAATGTTTTTTAAAATACACTCACATTCCTTTATAAACTTTTGGTTTGTTTGATTCCTGATTGTTTCTGTCATTTTTGCAAGTTCCAAATAATCAAACAATTTTATCTGCCATTCCTCCTTCGTTGGGGTTTTCTCTCCCTTCCAGTCTTTGGCGATAAACATTCTCGCTGCTGTTGTTCTTTCCAAAAAATTGGTATACTTTCTCCTGGATTTTCTGCAGCTACTATGTTTTGCAATTTTTCAGTGACCTGCCACAATATGCAGCTGTCCCAAGATTCTTGTTTGTCATCGGAAACAAGTTCATTAAGACACAAGCAGCCCCCTCCACATGTGTATTGCATGAAGGGGTCAGTTTGTCATATTTTTATCAACTTAACCAAAGGTTGGTCATTTATTTGGGTAGGCTCCCTTTTAAATCTTTGCAAACCTGTTACTTTTTAATGCATTCCTTTTTCAGTGGGCAGGTAAGGCAGCTTCCTTTTTCAAATGCTGGTGGGTGGGGAGGGGAAGCTGCTTCTTCTAGGCTTAGGGACTCAGCATTGAATCGCTTACATTTTTTTAAAGTGCAGGCAGCACAAATATTTGGGTGATGGCTGTCGATGAAATCCAGCTGGCTTCCCTTAGGATATTCACACCTTTCAGCAGCCTATTTATACCATCATCCTTGGCAATGGTTCCAAGTGCACCACCGTTCTAGTCTGCTCTAAGAAGAAACCAGCTAGGTGCAAACTTGGAGCAGTTGCATTTCTTCAATACATGTTTGAGGTGGAGACTCCAGAAAACAATCAGTTTAGGGTCTATTGCCTGCAGTGCAGCTTCAGTTATCCCATCCATTGTCTTTTGCAGTTGCCTGTTAACCTACAGAATGGCGCTCAGGCATGCACATAGTTGTCAATGTTTCCCTTTTTAAAAGGGAAATCCCCTTATTTCAAATAGGATTCCTTGCAAGAAAAGGGAAAAGTTGACAGCTATGGGCATGCACAAACTACCTCTGGAAGGCTTCTGAGCAGTGGGAGGGGGCTTGCTCCTAAGGGGATTATGTGCTGATTATTCTCCAGCTGGAGGGAGCATCTCTGATAATTGGATAAGTGTTGGAAAGGCCAATTAATTGTCACGCGCACTGTTTGCACCTGTGGCTTCATTTGTCTTGCAGGAGGGAGGGATTCAGAAAGACTTGTTTATGCTGGAGCCTGGAGGGGTCTGAAAGGGAGCTTATGTGTGTGTCTGGTTGCATCAACATGGTAGCAGTCACATTTAATCACATTTGTTAGCTTTTGCTATCGAATGTGCACAAACTGCAGCAAAAAAAAGGGGGGCATTGAAAACAGCAGGGCAGCCAAAGCAGTTATAAAACCAGCCAGATCCAGTCTGGCTTATGTTGGTGGCAGCCAACTCGGCAACGCAATGCTGGTCATGGGAATTGCTTGTTGTGATGACAGAGTGACTATAACTATTATATTGTCCTGCACTGCTGATGCAGCATGTCCATCGACAGGAAGTTCCCCTGGAAAAATGGGGGGGGGCATTTCCCTTTCTTACACCCCTCACTCATTGTGGAAAACCAGCTATTTGTTCTGCACTTGTACATATTCAGTGATAAAACAAACATTGGACTCCTGACTCATAGTGAGCCATGTCCTGTGCAAAAAAAACCCCAACTTCGTTCTGCAATTTATTTTGCGTTTTGCACATTTCTCTCTTGCTTTTTAAATTTTTTTAAAAATTGCATCCTTGCACATGATCACTTGCTTGCATCGTTGTGCTTTTGGTAATCATGGTGAAGGTCATTAAAGACACACACACACACCCCAACCAGTGGAAATCCTCTGACCCCTTCTTCTACTACGCTGTGCATTATTCGTACACTCTTCAGCTTTTAAGAGCTCGGTATTCAGAATGCTGGGTCCTTTGTCCAATAAATAAACCATAAAAACATGCATTTATTTATTACTTATTTCAAATAATTTATACACTGCTGGTTGTAAAAACACACACACAAAAAAACACTCAAGGTAGTTTACAGAAATATATGACCACTGCATAATTACAAAATACCTGTAGCTCTGAGTGGAGACCACCAGAATGGGTTGCCATAGTCTGTGGAGGCCGGAAGTGCTAAAGCACTACAAGGAATTTTAGACTGTTGCAGAAGGGACCCCCCAAATCTGTCTGTCCAGCAAGCAGAGCCAGCTAGCCTCTATCTCACAGGCAGCTTGCTGGGTGTGTGTTCTTGGCCTTGGTGAAATTCATCACTGGCTTGTTCTTTTTTTGGCTTGTGTGGAAGGGTGGGAGCTGGAATGGCTGGCTCACCAACCTCATCAGGGATCATTTACTACTGGAGATGGGATCAAGCAGCACCGTTCGGGTGCTGCTGTCTCCATATCCCTCCCTTGGACCTCCAGCTTGCCGTCTAGGGTGTGCCAAGCCACTGAGAGAAGCTGTGGCTTTTGAAGAATAGGTTTGTCCTTAATAGGAGTGGCCTGGATCTCTGAGCGTTGGCACAAGCAGCGGCTCACATTTCACAGCTGCATTTCTTGGCTATGGAGCTGTAGCACCAGCTTTTGAATATTTTTGGCTCACTATATGTGGACAGAATGGCGTCCAAGGGGCATCATTCTGACCTGTGTTATGACTTTTATTGATGCGTATCTCCCTGCTTGGTTTACTGAACACTTTGTGGGAGTATTAGAGGGTGGGAGAGGCAGACCAGCTTTTCATTATAGCGAGCTTTTTAATAGCACTGGCTGCATTCCGTCTCTCCTGTGGAGTGAGGAGGTGCTTGTTAGGAGGCAGAAGAGAGACATAAATTAGGCAAGGAGAAACCTTTTATTGGCAAGTATTTACAAGATTTGGAGCTTCAAAAGCTGGCCCAGCAAAAAGCTATAGTCTTACCTAGTAATAGAATAAATTTGAGGGGATCAGATGTCTTATAAGGAGAGCTGTGCTGGATCAGGCCAATGACCTATCTAGCATCCTGTTCTCACAGTGGTTAACCAGGTGCCTGTGAGAAACCTGCAAGAAGGAACGGAGCAGAGCAGCACTCTTCCCGCTTACGATTCCCAGTGACTTGGCATCCAGAGACATACCTCCAAAAGCAGAGTTAGAAGATAGCCATTGTGGCTAGCAGTCATTGATAGCCCTATTCTCCATGGCATTGTAATCCTAATCAAAACCACAGCAAATTTGTGTTTTATTTCAGACTTGCTGGTGGGGGAATGAGGCTTGGTGATGGCAGCGTACCTCTTTCTGCCCAATGAATCCCTGGCTGAGCTGGAATTTAAGCCCAGGTCTCCACACTCCCAAGACAAATGTTGTATCCCCTGTGACCACATAGGTTTCTTCTTCTCTGACACAAAGGGTGGCAGATAGGCTGATACACTGAACCCACTTACTTGACTACAACCATATTAGGGCTTATGTTTGAGTAGACCTGGTTAGGATTGTGCTGTCATCTGTTATGAGGATGCCAGGGCTGGGCTGTGGGCACCAGTGTGAGGGCAAGTCAAGTAAGAAGCCATAGACATAGAGCAAGTCAGAAGTCAGGACTGAAGAACAACCGAAGGAATGTGCTATTTCTCTCTGGTTCTTTTCCAAAAAGGCTGCAACCTCTGATTCCAGTGGTTCACTATATGGGGCAGCCACCCCACAGATCCTAGCAGCTCCTGACAAAAGGAGGAGGGAGAGGAAGTTCTGAATCAAGCACAGCCAATTTCTAAAGCCACTTTAAAATTGTACGATCCTTGTTCCTTTGGAATCTGGACATACATGTTATCTTGCTGAATCAGACAAAGGCAGGGTATGAAGGCAAGCAGCTCTGCCGTTGTTTATTCCCAGCATCAGATAATCAGAGGAATTCTGAACATTGAACAACCCAGTGTGCCCCCTGCTACTTGCTTGGCACAGAATAATGATAGCTTTCATCACTGGATGTTACCAATTCCTATACAACATAATGTGAACACAACAGTTGGGTTCTAAATTGATGGCTTCATTGTCATCTCCCCAATTCAGTGTTCTACTGGGAGAGTGAATAGAATCTCTGAATACTTCTATGTCTTGTTTTGTTGGAAGACTTAATCTGGTTTGTTAACTACCTGGCGAATAAGGCATTCCAATGATTACTAGGCTACTGGGGCATTAATTCAACCCCCCCAAAAGTGGTTTAACGTGCAAATAGAAGGGAGGAGACCCTAGTTTGTGGGGAGCATAGTGACTTGGAAATATAGGGTTATAATCAACTGCTTGCTTTTTGTCTGAGCCTTGCAAAGGTGGTTTTTCTGTAAAGCTTCAGCCCAGGAGATTAAGATGTAATCTTTTTTTCATTGGACCTTGTACTGTTATTCTTTTCTCCAACTTGAAAGCACATGTCTAGACTATGAATAGCCAGGTTGTGCCCATATGATCAAGAATCTTCAAAGCTTTCTAGCCCTTTATAAAGAAATCTCGACCTTTGATATCTCAGATATGGCACCTTATTCTCTACAGCGCTTTCCTTTCCTTTGTGTTTGTATGTAGGATGTGTTTCTGCTGCTCTCCAAATGTCAGATGACACCACTTGGCTATAGAGATGTGTCGATTCCCATACGAAGTGGCTTCTACTTTCCAATTTTGTCAGGAAAGCTAGAGTCATTTGTGTATGCTGCTCTTCTGGCTTTGCGCACAGGAATTGTGCCTGCCCAGATCAAAATGAGAGTTTTCAACAAAAGTCACGCATGGATTTCCAAGAGCTTTAATTATCACTTGGGAATATCCCACCCACCCTCATCCACTGGCTTCTATTAATGCATAGCACACCTGAATGCAAGTTGTGACATTTAAAGCTGGAAAAGCATAACACCCAAGGTTGGATTAAGGTGATGGCAAAGACCAAGGTGCAGTTTTCAGAAAGGGTCCCTCCCCATCCCCCAAAGGAGTGCAGGAACTTAAAAAACCCCAAAACCCATACTGAATTAAAATCATTTGTTAGTTTTATTATACATATTTGTATACCACAACAGACAGAGGCAGCGAGGCAGACAGTGGGTGCAATAGCAGTGAGTAAATGGAGGCAAGATGGCCCCTTGCAGACAGACATAGGCTTTGGTGCAATTGTTCCACTTCTACCATTATGGTCCAGCCCTGTGGTCCACACCTACTCCAGTTTATGCAGAAGGCGCGCTATGCTTGCCTACTCCAGATGCCAGTGCAACCTTCCTTAAAACTAGATTCAAATTAAATGCTGTTGTGATGTGACTGGTGATTGTTAATAACGAGATATACACTGCATTACCATACTTTTCAGTCGCATGGCCATTTCCTTCACTGTCCCACCCTCACTGGGCTCCATTGAAAGTGGCAAGCCTCAAGAAAAGCCTTCTCAGCTTCACTTATACTGAATTCCTTCACTCTTCCTGCTTGGATTCTCATGAAATGGTCAAAGTTTAGTGAAGCCTTGCCAGTCTTAGGAAATGTCTTGTCAGATTCCTTTTTAAAAGTTAAGTACTACAGTGGTACCTCGGTTTTCGAATGTAATCCATTCTTGAAGACCATTCGAGTTCTGAAACGTTCGAAAACCGAAAACTCAACAGCCAACAGCTTAGGCCCCAGGATCTCATACTCAGCGTAAGCCGCGTGGCATGTTTGACTTCCGAGGTGTGTTCAAAACCGAAATATTCATCAACTGAGATGTTCGAAAACCGAAGCACCACTGTATTATGCATACTATTGCTGTTGGGCAAAAATAGTCTCTCTCTTTTTTTAAAGGGTGGGGGAGTGGAATCTCAGACCGTTACGGACTCCAGCCATGTCAGTTTCTACAGAAGTTTGTGGGTGAAGGATAATGCCCCTACTCACGGTGATAGAAAAGGAGGAGGAATATGTTAAGGACTTGTACCTGTTAATAGCGCCTCAGCTCGTTTTCTAGTTTTTTTAATTCCATTTTTCTGTGTGCTGAAAGATTATTACAAAGTTAATATCTGAGACATTACAATATAATACAGCGCCATTAATTTTGTTGCTAAATTATATGTGTCATTCAATAAATACAAAACATACAGAATTAAACTCATATATGATTCTGGGAGTAAAAATGTAGAATGCTAAAAAAAAAGGAAAGCCCCTAAAAGTACTCCCAGCTGGTGACTGGATCAACAAACTTTAGGATTTGGCTTTAATGTCAAAATACTATATAAGGCCAAGAGAAATGGGCCTAAAATAGAATAAATTTGTGGAAATGCAGACTCTTTCTATAATATATTGCTTGGTATGGTTTTGATAAGTCCTGAAGAACAAAGAAATATATGGGTTGTAATAAAAGACAATATGGTAGGATATAGTGATGAAGTTATGAAAATGAATACTTTGATTAAATATCCATATAATTCACAATATTTCATTAATGAAGGGCTCATATTACTTAAACGCATTGCCTCTTTAACAGATTCATCACGTAAAAATTATTTTGATCAATGTGTGCAACCTATTGTGAAACTTTGCTGGAAATAAATTCAGTAAATAACTATCCTTTGCATTACCTCTTCTGTTTCAGAATTCTCTGAAGAAAAGAGGATCACGTTCTCTTGGGAAGACAGACAAGAAGTCATCTGTTCAGGTACCTAACACCTTCCTGCAAAGCAGCTTGCAAAATGCGCTGCCATAAGGGCTGAACTGCTGGGCACTCGTGTAGTTGCTTCACCTTGTACCTGAGGACGACATTCTCTTTCTCTTAACCCCATCAAGGGAGACCCTGCAGCTCACTGGCAGAACAACACACTTTGCATAAAGAGCGTCCCAAGTTCCATCCCTGGCACCTCTAGTGAAAAGGAACTTTGCTAGCAGGGCTGAGAATGATCATAACCTGGAGAGCCACAGCTAGTCTGAGTAACAGACCAGTAGGTAATGGTCTATGTGCAACAGTGAGCTGACTTAGCATCTGGCTACTTCAAAATGTGCATTTGGGCTGGTCTTCAATTCTTGAGGAACAGATATGTGGAATGGGTTTGCCTTAGCAAACGTATTTGCCTTAGTTGTCTTAACACCAGCTGCTGGAATGTATCTCCCTGGACTAGGTATATTCAGCTTATTGTGTACATGACCTGGCATAGGGAGCCAGCCCTATTCCCCCTAGCAGAAAGTTGTGCAAATATCTTTTTTCAAGATAAGGAGAGGATAGAACTGACCATTGCCCCTAATTATTTTCTCACCATAGAGGCCTGGGTAGTGGACCCACCATGCTGGTATGCAGCGCAAGTTCAGGATCTTTTATTTTTTATTTTGTAGGCAAGCAAAGCAGAGAGCCCTGCCTTGTTTCTCTTGCAAAAGGTGCCACTTTTAGCTGTTAGGGTTCAAGCAGAGGTGTGCGCTGTAAGAGGAATAGGCAACAGGCCTTTGAATTTTCAAATGTTCCAGCATGTCCACCTGCTTCGGCAAATTTACCAGTTGCAACAAGCTCTGGCAAATAAATATTTTTACTTTCTGAAAAGTGAAAGGTTATCCTATATGCCCTCAAGTGCAGCTGGTACCATGATGCAAAGGATAAAAGCTGATGTTGAAACTGTGCACCAGTGGCATTTTTGTTTCTGTGCTTGTGCAATTTGTTTTTTTTTATACGGAGAGGTACTGACCACATTTTAATCAGGTAGAAGAACAGGCTGGCAATTTTTTTTTCTATTTTAAAATTGCCTTTGCATTCGATTCTTGGATTCTAGTGGTTAAAAGCTCTGCATTGCATTGGTTGACCCTGAGTAGCAGTGGAATATCTGGAATACATTATCCAAATCCCCTGTAATAATGCCAGGGGGGTGGCATTAGAAAGAAGCAGTGATGCAAAGGAAATAGCTTGGTGACAGAATAAAACAAAGCTGGAATGAATTCTAGTCCACTGCGTTGCATTGGTAATTTTTAAATTGAGTTCCTGCCCTTCTCGAAGCCCAAATTGAAACCAAAATTAAAATTGTATTCAGAATACAACCATTTGTTACACAAATAACTGGGGGAAATACGCATGGTTCTGCTGAAACTTCACACCTTCCTCATTTTGGCCAGTTAACAGTGATCTGGCAGGTATATTCATGCTTTTGTCCAGATACCTTTAAGGAACAATAGCACCTATGCATGCTTATAGCACATGATAGATTGAAGGAGTGGTAGACTTACCATCTTCACAGAAATAATTATAGGCATATCTCCCTCAAATGCTGGTATAACAAAGACCAAGGTTTGTCCTGTAATATACACTGCAGCTTTATATACCATAAATGTTGATGAAAGGATAGGGTCATAATCATTAGCCTCCACCACACCCTAGGAAGAGTTCTGAACTGGGTGTGGGTTGATGGGTGAGTTTTATTAATGGTATTTTAGCAGAGCTTAAATATTAGGCAATGCATATGAAGTGCTTTCCATGTGGGAATTTACAGTGTTTGAAGCAGTCCTTTTGAAGATCCTCCATTTGTACAGTTATAAGAAGTACTATCTGAACATCTGGAAAGATGATCTAGGCCGTGTTGCATCAGTGCTTTCCTTTTCTCACACTTCTATTATCAGGCAAAGAGAATAATTATCTGTAGGGAGGATGTAACGTCCTAGGAGAAAGTTTATACACTGTAATCTGAGTCTGTTTGAATTCCCAGTCTCCTCACTCTTCCTGAGAGTTGTTAGACTTCCTGTTCACCTATATTGGTCTGCTGCACTTAAATATATGAATAAGACTATTATGTACACACACACACACACACACACATTTTTGCAAGCATGCTCCGCACAACCCCCTTTTTTGGCAAAACGTCTAGCTACATATAAATATATGATTTGTGTGAAATGAAAAAGAATCTTAGCAGAAAATTACAAGGTCCATCTACCTTCTCTGTGCAAATGCCTGGTGGTCATATGTTTAATTGGTGGCTCCAGGCTGATAGATTAGCAGTTGTTGAGTACAAGTAAAATATTGTAGCTAAACTTTCCGTGTAGATGTGCTTGGATTTCTATGTCAAAAAAATGCTCTTTGAATAAATAACACAAATATGGCCAGTGTTCAAAAATCACCTCCATTTAAATGCTTTATGCAGTTTGCCAAATTGCACGTGGTCTGTTTCTTTAAATCCAAAAAAGAGGGAAAGGGATGGGAGGCATGAAGAAGTATTGTTGAAGATATGGATATATAGAGAGAGAAGAGTGGAGAATGGGATTGGGACCAGGATTAAATTTGTGCTTTGTAAGGGGACCATGTCCCCCTGTCCATTTGACTCATACCTTCTTTTTGGACTCCTGAGTTTTATAGGATATTTTTCATGTTGTTTGTTTTGGATTTTAAATTGTATTGTGAACTTCCTTGAGATAAATGTTCAAGAAGGGTGGGGTAAATAGATCCTGGTAAACAGATAGCAGCTGTTGTTAGAAGGAACAGTTGAATACATATACAACAGGTATTTTCCTCCCACTACCAAAGAAGCCATATTCCATGTACAGTCATAACTGTGTAGATTCCTAGATCCCCTGCACTTAATCACCTAATCAAAAACAAAGCTTTCCATGACTGTTACTGTTTTACTGTTTTACTGTTTTACTGTTACTCAGTGCATTCTGAGTCCCACATTCAGAAGAAAATTAGTTCCTTTCAAAAGGGTTTTTTCATATAAGGCATTTAAGAGGAGTGAATCAATTCACCTGCTCATCTCTTCAAATCTGTATGGCTGAAGGAGGCTACTACTACTACTAGTAGTAGTAAAATTCATCGTTGCCGGGCAGGCTCCTTGATTTGGTATTAAATCTCCAAACTGGGAGCACTAGAGCTACAATGCCCACATCCATATGGCCTCAGCCTGAAGTCTTCTTGACATTTGAACCCCTTGAGGGATGTTTGAGCATTTGAAAACCAGGCTCCAAAAGCATTAAGTTTTGTAAGTTACTTTGCTGTGCAGGGTTTCCATTGAACCTTGGTGTGGAGGCTGTGCTTAGAATTCCAAAGCAGCATGAATGCTCACATGAATGCGTCAAACGATAAACAGTCACTGTCTTTTCTTCTCTTTCATGTGAGATTTTTCTGTGCCTGGATCTGGTGCAGTGAATTTTTTGCATACGCAAGGACAACAATGCAGGACATTCTAGAGAGTTAATAATAGCTGCCTTTTTCAACTGTGGCTGATGCAATGTCAGGCCTGACCGTTGCAACTGAATGTTCACACTGTATTGGCCATCTGGAAAGGAGGCATTGAGTGCCTGGTGGAGAGTTTCATTTCTGGGGAGGAATTTGTCAGTTTTTTTTCTCCCTCAGTGAGCTATGGAAACAGGAAATGAACTAATTTTATAACCAAACAGTCATTTCTTATGAGGTAATATTCCTTGAGGGGAAAATTCAAATCCTCAGAGTTCCACAGGGAATTTGAGCAAATAAGTCTCCAAACTGTATAGTATTTCCTAACGGTTTGGAGGGCGGGGGTTGTGGGGGGGGGGGAGGCATTGGGAGATCTAGGAGAGCAGAGCGGGGATTTCTCTCCGCCCTTGTCTTTTGCAGGGAAGAGAACAGATTCAACCGTTAGCAATGTGTAGACAGGGCTTTAGTCACAGTTATTTGGCTCTCTTTTGGAATGAGCCAGAAACACACTCCCAACTGTAAAAGCTGACTTCCTCCTTCCCTGCCATGTCATGGGGCCTTTCAAAAGGGAAATGTTTTCCTCTGTTTCAGCATGTTGCTCCGCCTTTGAGGGGAATTCACACATACAAAAATCGTACCTTGGTTTCATCTGTGGGGTTTATTTAGGATCAAGCCCTCGTAAGACATAGAAAGGTCAAAAAGGTTCTGTTTCCTTAACCTTACCCACTTCAACCCTCCCCCAGCGGTCCTACATAATCTTAGAGTTGATTCAAACATGCATTAAAAAAATTGTATTGAACAGCCTGTCCTGACTTTGCCACTTAGTACTAAAGGCATCATGTTTTTTTGTGATCCTGTGAACATATGCATTTGGTGGGAGACTTGAAGATGATGCTAGGATAGATGGAGAATTAGATACTTTGGAATTTGATCAGCTCTCTTCTGTTTGCTAAATCAGTAACCAATTGCAAGTTGACTCCTTAGAATTTTTTCCTTCTCTTGAAACCTGGAGCATGACTAAACCTTTCCATTACTGAACCTTCGGCAAACTGGTTGTTAGTTCTGAAGGGTGCATAGAGCTACCTGATTTTTCTTTTTCTTTGCAGCTAATTGCAGCTTGGAGAGGAAGGATTCCCCTTGGGGAAACAGTTGATGGGCAAAGTGTTAAACTCTCAATTCCCCCACCCCAAGTGCAATTGTCCAAATCCAAATAATCCCCTGTGGCTTATTTTAGGAAAACAAAAAGGCATTGGGAGATCCAATCACAGATCACACACATCATATTTAGTGTGACTCTCGGGGCAATTACTGAAATCTTAAGGAAAGGAAAATTAAGAAGGGGGTAGGAAGAAAATACTGTGTGTTGTAGACAGTGATGGATCAGTTCATTTGCAGTTTGGGGACTGGAGATAATATAATGTTATGGAAAAGGATACATTGTATCTGCTTCAGATACAATGCTTCAGATCATCTCTGGTTCAGATCATCTCTGGTTCTCAAAGTCCTGTACTTCACCCCCTCAGAACCCAATATAGTCAATTAAAAATTAGTAGTACAGCTCTGGAAATATCACATATGCAAAATAGATTATCCAGAATGTGGGTGATTCTGGATCATTTGAGTCTCATTTATAGTATTTCTCTTTGTATGGATACAATTGTTCCTTTTAATAGCTGATCAATTCTTTACTTTTGGGTGGAGGGTGTATTTCTTTTAGTATTTTGTTGGTGAATATATCAAAAGTATATGTTTAAAATTATTCAGATTGGTCCATCAGACTGACTGTCTCTCCTTCCCTAGCAAACCACCCTCTTCATTCTGGGTTAAGCGCAGAATCTTCATCTGTATAAGATTCAAATTTTCAAAATTATGGGAGAGATGAATCTCTCTTCTCCTGGTGGGAGTGGTGTTCCTTTGGCCTGTGTTCGTCTTAGACAGCTGGGCTCTTTTAAGGATCTGTTTAGAATTGTAGCCCCAAACTCCAAACTAGCAGTAAGTTCAGCTGAGCATAGTGGGGCTTTGTTCTGAGCAAACACACATGGGAGTACACAGCATATGCATTTTCACATGATAGTAATATGAGGCAGGGTGATCTACTTGGGGAGTGACAAGTCTTCTCCACCCCAATTTTGGAGTTGGGGGCTCAATCTTATTCCCCTCTCATCTCCCCTCAGTTATTGAACTTCAGGAAAGACCAAATACTTAAGGAGTTCTGTGACAAGGCTTTCTTTGTTCGGAGCCATACCAATAAAAAACCCCTTGTGTTTGAGCTGGCACTTTTAATCCACAGACAAAATAAGCCTTATTTTATTTTTTCTTGCAAACAGTACCACAGATTAGATGTAAATTGTACAGCCTAAAAATGCAGTCTTTGTGTGTCAGAGTTTAAGCTAACTTAGAGATGTGCAGCACTGTGGACCCAGGGCAAAGCTGTTCTATTACTAGATTTGTTCATTCTGTTTATATTCTACAGAATGTAGCCCAAAGGACAAGTTTCTAGAAATTGAAAAGTGTGACCATTCTGCCCTTGAGGACTGGAATGGCAAGGGAAACACTATTTTCTATAATCTGTTGCCAGTTATGTTGGAAAGTTCCTGAGGGGGCTACCTTGGGGGCAGAAGGGACTAGCTAATGCAGGAGTGTCAAATCTTGTATTGTATCTGGAAACAATCAATCTGCAGTGTGTGTAGGAAGGCTCACATGTATATTTCAAAGGTAGTAAAACTGATACCACAGTGTACTCGTGTAAAAGGAACTGGTTCCTTATTGGGCAGGGCTAGCCAACATGGTGCCCTCCTGATGTTCTTGGACTCCAATTCCCTTCAGCCCTAGCTAGCACAACCAGTGGTCAAGGATGATGGGAATTGTAGTCCAGCTACATCTGCCAGGCAACACATAGGCTACCCCTAGCATAAGGTATACCAAACTTTCCTCCACTCAAGCAAAAGGGAAGCAAGACAATATTCCAGGATCATTGAGATAAAGAGGTTAATCACCGGAAACAAACAAGATGGCCAGCAGATTTTGCCCCATCTTGGCATGCCTGTGTGACATGGATGTAGATGTTACAAAGTTCAAGTATGTGGATTGTTAGTTTTAACCGTCATGCCATAATAAAGGTTAGCCTCAAGGATAATCTGTTTTGCACAGAGCACCCTGCCCAAAGTGTCGTTTTTAGTAATGCTTGCACCGTTTGTACCTTTCTTTTATGCTAGGAGGACAGCGCAGACCTCAAGTGTCAATTGCATTTTGCTAAGGAGGAATCTGCTCTGATGTGCAAGAAACTGACCAAGTTAGCCAAAGAGAACGACAGTATGAAGGAGGAGCTGACGAAGTACAGATCCTTGTATGGGGACCTGGAGAGCTCCCTCTCCATAGAGGAACTGGCTGACTCCCCTCATTCCAGAGAGGCAGAGCTAAAAGTCCACCTGAAGCTTGTAGAGGAAGAAGCCAACATCTTGAGCCGGAGGATAGTAGAGCTTGAGGTTGAGAACCGAGGGCTGAGGGCAGAGATGGAAGACATGAGGGGCCAAGGAGACAAAGAACTCTTAGGGCAAGACATCCGGTTTGCCTTCTCCATGACAAACTGCGGGGACTCTGGGGACAGTGTGGTGGAGCTTAGGCGGCACTTGCAGTTTGTGGAGGAGGAGGCAGAACTGCTGAGGCGCTCGCTGATGGAGTTGGAGGAGCAGAACAAGCTCCTCATGAATGAGCTCAATAAGTACAAGTCAGACCATGACCTGGACATCACTCTGTCTGAGGACAGCTGCTCAGTGATTAGTGAGACCTCCCAAGAAGAACTGGCCACGGCCAAGGTCCAAATCAGTGAGCTAAGTGGCAAGGTTAAGAAGCTCCAGTATGAGAACCGTGTCCTGCTCTCCAACTTGCAGCGCTGTGACCTTGCTTCCTGCCAGACCACTCGGCCCATGCTGGAGACGGATGCTGAGGCTGGTGACTCTGCCCAGTGCATCCCAACGTCACTTTGGAGAGAGGTGCCCATTGGGGGAGAGAATGATGCCAAGGAGAGAGCACCTGGCAATGGCTTTAGCAAGTCGCATGAAAGCAGCCCCTGCAGGCTTCTCAAGTCCAAGGACTTTGAGACCCTCCTTGACATCAGGGACCAGGCTGCGCTTGTCAGCAAAGCCATTGATGTCCTGATCTCTGATGCCAATGGCTTCACCTCCAGTCTCAAGCTCTGCATGGACAATGACTGTGCAGAGCTGGTGCTGAGCGAAGCCATGGATAATGAGAGTATGACTGACTCTAAGCTGATCAGTGCCATTTTGATGAGGCTTGGGGTCCTTCAGCAGGAGCTAAACACCTTCATGAGGAAGGTGGACTACATTGGAGACCACCTGAAAGACCAGAAGGACTCCTTGCCAAGCGCCAGCTCCCAGGATTCCACAAAAGAGGCTCTGCAGAAAGCTCATGGCTCTGAATTCCAGGTGAGGCTTTTCCTGAGATGTCAACAGTAACTTCCTGGCAGTGATTATTGCTTTATTTGCCCCTGCTGTTTTCTCCTGCTTTAACAAATCAGAACCTGGCCCTGTTAATGTAACTTCCCTTTTCTGCCTCTCTTTTCTGAAATGACAACTAACAATTGGCTCACTGCATGGAACTGTGGCTAGTGACAAGGTAGGACTCTGGTTTAGTGGAGTGTGCATGAGGCAGGAGGAAGATTGCTTTGAGAAGTGGAAACCACATTACAGCTGCTGCTGAAGAATTATTTAGTACCAGCTGCAGTCCATCATCATCTGGGGGACACTAAGTTGGAGAAGACTGGTCTAGGACAACAGCAGCTAGTGGAGCATCACTGCACACCTGGCCTCCTGGCAATTGAATTGCAACTGCTTGCAGGTAGTGGCATTGTATGGGCTGCATCGGCAACAGCACCACATTGGTGCCACCAATGTGCCCACACAGTACCAGGCTCCCTTCCTGTTCATCCCTTCTGGTAAACGGTACTGCTGCTGTTGCCAGGAGGCCAGGTACATGCTGCTTCTGATCTAAGGTAAGACCTAAGAAAGGGAAGGGGATCTGGGGAAGGGTTGCAACCTCCTGAAGCACACTCCAGTTTTTCAGAGTTCTATTTTTGTGCATGCTCCTGCCCCCCCTTCCTCCCTCAACTAGCCCCACCCCAGGCACTGCATGGCACCATAACTGGTGTTTGCACATTTTTTCCCTCTCTCTCTTTTCCCCCCTCCCCAAACAATCCAGCCCACGTGTCTGCTCATTTTGTGTCTCCTTTTGTTTTCCACTTTGTCTTCTGCCACGGTAGTGAAGTTCCTCCTCCTCTTCATCCTTTTTGTTGTCTTGTAGCTCTTATTGTTCCTGAGACCCATTGTTTTGTTTGTTTTTTCTTTTCTTTTCTGCTCTTTTGGTTTGTTCTCATTAACTTACCCATGCATGCAGCAGTCTGACTTTAGGGAGCCCCCCGACTGGGACATCACGGAGAGCAGGACCTCTGATCTCTACCGCAGTAGCAGCAGCAACAGCACCGCCACCATGGATGTGGATCCCAACATGGAACTTGACAGGAGCTACAAGTCATATCAACCAGAGGAGAAGGACTCCTATGTGTCTGAGGTAGGTGTCAAAGTATAGGATTATGTTCCTAAAGGGAGACAAGAAGGCTGGAGACTCTGGGGAGAATAAGTTGACTGCAGAAATACTAGATCAACACATTTCATGTGGATGAGAAAAAGAATGGCATGGCCCATATACAAATCTTGTGTTACCTATCCCAATGTCACATGACAAGTGAGAAACAGGTGGACGTGGCTGGAGACTCGGGGAATAGCCTAATGGGCCTAACTTGACCTACAGGTTGGAGGTTCCTCACCATGACAACAGGGTGTTACATACAGGCCAAGGTCACTCCCTGCAAGAAGTTGGCTGTTCTTCCATGGGCCTTTAATAAAAATATTTTTTTTAAAAAAGACATGAAGCGATTACTTTTTGCAAGGATGACATACCTGACTGTTGGCTTTGATTAAACTATCCCCCGCAGATCAAAGAATTGCAACTGGTCCTTTCAGAGGCTAATGAGAGCTTGAGGGGCCTACAAGAACAGCTCTCCCAGGAGAGGCAACTGAGGAAAGAGGAAGCAGAGAACTTCACCCAGAAAATCTGCCAGGTCAGTGAGATTTGCCTGGAGCCACTCTCCAGGTCAGAAGATGAGACATGCAACAAGAGTACAGGAGGGACTAAAGGCACAGGGCTTAATCCCTCCCATTACTTCAGGCACATCCTAGTTCAGCATTGAATGAAAGCACAAAGCAGCTGCTACCTTGTTTGGCTGCCAGGAAAGAGGCAAATGCTTCCATATGACCCCTCAACATGCTGAGAGTACATTATCCATAACAAGCACGCTCTGAAAACAAACCTGAACTCGGCAGTCCTCTAGCAGCCAAGCAGAATTGGTGGAGTCAGCTATGGGTTCTCTAGCTTCCATATAAAGATAGCCATTCTTTGTGAGACCTCTTCTGTCTCTCAAATCTCTCCCAAACTTAGAAGCTGGATGTTGGAAGATTCAGAACAGACAAAAGAAAGTACTTCTTTGCACAGCCCACATAGTTAAATCGTGGAATTTGCTTCTGTTGGTTATAATGATGGCTGTCAATTTGGATGAGCTTAAAATACTACTAGAGAAATCCATGGAAAATTGAGTTATTAATGGTTACTAGGCATGAAGTCTGTGTTCTGCTTCCACTCCTGGAGGCTAAATACTTCTGTTGCTGGGGATCCCAGGTGGAGAGAGTGCTGTTGTCCTGAGGTTCTGCTTCCCATAGGCATCTGTTTAGCCACAGTGAAAATAGAGTGCTGGACTAGATGGGCCTTCAACCTGATTCAGCAAGGTTCTTCTTGCTCTCTTGCCTACTTCATTCTGGGTGATGAATGGCAATCACTAGAATCCTCTAGTCATGTCTGGAACGTAGCTGTTTGCCCAGATGCATCAGCTACAGCAACAAGTGCCAGTAAAATATTGTGGCAAAAGGCCATTCACGGGAGTTATTAGTCAGGCCTCTGGATGTATTTTACCTGCGAGTATTGTATTTAGGCAACAGGCATGAATTGCAGCTCCCTGGGAAATACAGTTGATAAACACAAAAGTAACAACCCCAGAATTCTGGGATTTCTAGCTGCAGAAATTTTGGGAAGCATGTGAAGTGTCAGTGGAAAGCTCAATACATTTACTGAGTTGGAAGTTTGAGATGGGGATGATGATAACTATGTCCTAGCCCAGAAGCCATCTTTGTGGTTTTTCATTGATGTAACCCCTGACATGTGCTCATAAACCTATGGTGCTTTTATCCTTTCTCTGTCTGCTACCATCCTGGTCCTTTCCAAAATACTCATTCCCCCCTAAAACTAGTCATAGCCCCAAAACTGAGCAGCTAAAGTGAACTTGTGTGGATGTGAAAATTCTTTTTAAAAGGATGTGAATGCCTGTGTCTCCTCTTTGCTCAGCAATCCTTGATTATTTTGGTGTACTCACCCTGTTACTTCACTCGGTTTAACAAACCTACTTTCCATCTCTTCCCATTCTCTGTCAGTTGAAGGAAGATCACCAGAAGGCCCTCTTGAGGCGAGAATTTGAGCTGCAGAGCCTGAACCTACAGAGGAGACTGGAGCAAAAGTTCTGGAGCCAGGAGAAGAACCTTCTGGTGCAGGAATCCCAGCAGTTCAAGCAAAATTTCTTGCTCCTTTTCATGAAGCTCAAGTGGTTTCTGAAGCATTGGAGGCAGGGAAAGATCCTACAAAATGAGGGCAATGACTTCTTGGAGGTATGGCAGGCTTTGAGCATGAGCTTCTCTGCTGACTAGTCAAAAGTATACTTCTGACATTAAAGCAGATAATTCTGACCTTTTGTTTTAATCATGTGTTTTTGCATCTATTAATTGCTTTGAGTTTGTTTTTCTACACTTCAATAAATTGCACAGATAGCCACAACCCATGTATTTTTGCTGTATCACTTACAAAGAGAAGGGAGAGAAACAGGGTGAATGAGGCTGCAATAATAGTGTGGATGAACTACATCACAGGTGGCTAATTTGTGTCTCTCCAGATGTTGTGGTATTATAGCTCCCAAATTGTTTGACCATTGGCTACTGCTGGGCCATATGGGAGATGGAGTCCAACAACATCTGGAAGCCACAGGTTAGCCACTCTTAGACTACATATTATGTCTCCTAGATAGCAATGGGTGGTATCCTGGCTTCTCTTTTGGGCTCTATCAAAACTTGCCAAGAATGAGGCTCATATCAGCTCCAATTTATCAGTTGCTTCCTGTCTTCCATATGACCTTCTCAAGAACTGCTATCTCGCCTTTAGCATGTAAGCTGCTTTCTCAGCTGTGAATAAAGTTCAGCTTGGTGAAGGTCGGCTGCTGAAATACAAGTCAGTTTCACACATGAGGCTTAAATGGACTTTGTTTTAGATTCTTCATGAAAAAGTGAGGTTCTTCACAGAAATATGAAGTCTCTACATTGATCTCTGTGTGTGTTCAGTTTCTCCTCTGCTGCATGAACTACATTTATAAGTGATACGGAGAATCACAAGAGAGGCATAAATGCACTTTTTAGTGTCACAGATTAAATTGCTCTAAGAGAAGTGACTCACAAGGCATCTTTTCATAAACTTAGTGATTGAAGACTTGGGAACAACAACCTCTTGGTAAACTAGGCTAGCATGGAATCCAACAGATGGTTCTGCTAGGCACAAATGTGCAGAAAGGTACCTGAGACAGAAACACAAAGAGGAGAATGCTGTTGAAAGTCACTGTGATGATGTGACACAGAGGCATCTCTCAAGGGTGCACATTCCTATCTTGTTACAGTCTGTATCCTTTATCTCACTGTTAATCATCCTAAACCTGTTAACCTCTGTTTAAAGGATCCAGTAGGTCAGGCTACTACTGTTGCGTCCTTTTCTATGCAGCCACTGAAGACTTCCACTCACTACTTGCCCTGCCCTGTTGTTTCCAGGTGAACAGCATGAAAGAACTGTACCTGCTGATTGAAGAGGAGGAGCTGAACCCCCAGCAGCAAGCAGATAACAAGATGTGTATCAGAGATACCTGGTCTCAGGACTCGGTGAGATGTGATGAGGTGCCCTGCTGGGGAATTTTCTTCCTGCTTGGGATGCAGTGAAGAAGGTTCCCCACAAAGAGCACTTAGGCCTGTAACTCTGTGGCAGCTGAAGATCCGTGGCATCTCCCATACCTCACATTCTCTCCACCCCAGAGGAGGAGGGATGAGGGCAACAAGTGGTGCACTCCCTGACAAAGAGGGGCTCATTCTGTGAAGCAGCAGTGCAATTAATTAATGGGTGAAGGGAAAGAACCCTTAGATGGACAGCAGTGGTACCCACTGAGAACCAATGGAGGAGTAAAGCTGGAGCACAAGATGCTCAGAAGGCGTGTCTATCTAGACGGTGCCACACTCTTCAGCCACCATAAATGCTAGAACTGTTCTCTGATGTTCGCTGTGTTTTGTTTGTTTGGAGTATTTACTTTTGCCCCCCTCCCTCCCAGAAAAATTCCTGCCAATGCCCATGTGTGCAAAAAGTCTTAGATAGTCATTAGATCACCTATCCAGGGAAGATGTTCTTCACCAGCATTTTTCTGGCTGCTGATTCAGTAACTACTTTGTTACTCAAGTCAGTTTAACCTGGGCTGCTTATTTCTCCTGCTTTTTAACCAATCCCCACAAACCACAATGAAGTACTTTGAGGCTGGGCAGGGCACAGGTGTCTGCTTTTGCTCACCCTAAACTGATTATCAGACTAAACTACTTTTCCCATGAACTCCCAACTCTGAGAGAAGTGGCATAGTTTAAATTCAGTTTAGAAAAAAAATCAGTTAATGAGCTTCCTTATTGCATTTATTACTTTCACTTCACTATCATTTATATCTGACCCTTCCCCCAAGGAGCTAAGCATAGCAGCCCCCTCCCACTGCTTTCTTTATAGCAATCCTGCCAAACAGGTTGGGCAGAAAGATTGTGATTGGCCCTTCAGAATGTTGAGTGTGGATTTGAACTTGGGTCTCTCCAGTCTTAGTCCAGCACCCTAACTATTACACATGAACACACACGGGCTTGTCTTGCAGGGGGTTAGACTAGATGACCCTTGGTGTTCCTTTCAGCTCTACGATTCTATTCTTCTCCCTGCCTTTAGTTCAGAGTGCATGCTTCTCCTTCAACCCCCCTCTCTTTTTGACTGCATAAGGATTCTGAAAAGTGATGGCCGTTGTCTAGAATGTGGTGTGTGCATGGCAGTCATACTTTATTATGCATTTTTTGTATTTCTAGCAGGCCAATGAGTATATCAAGACCCTATCAGACATGAAGGTGACCTTGAAGGAGCTGTGCACAGAGTTGCGCGAAGAGAGAAGAGGCATGAACGAGCTGCAGCAACAGTTTGCCAAGGCTAAGGCGACCTGGGAAATGGAGAGAACTGAGCTCAAGTGTCTCATCGCACAGGTCAGATTTCCAAGCATCACATTTTTTACTCTCTCAAACTGCATAAAGTTTATCTTCATTCTAAAAGGCAGCAGCTCACATTCTCTGTGTTACCTTGCATGCTTAAAATCATGAGCTTCATTTAGGTTTGGCGAGGGGTGGGCAAGTGCAAACCATAGTTTGCCGATTCGTATGTAACAGGAAACAATGGCATGTCTGACCAAGAGTGATGGGGGCCATCAGGGGTTCATAAATGGATGAGGAAGCACACATGCCGATTAAGCCATCATTTGGCATTATGTTTGGATCAGCCTGTTGCCTGAGAGGTCTGTCACTGTATTGGGATCTTCAGTCATTTCTGATGATTTTGGGGCCATGAGGCGTGAAATAAGTGATGCTTTATGGTGAAGTGGAATACTCAAACTCAGGGCATGTCTTGATAAAGTGGGAATGGGTCCCCCAGCTTGTGATTTGGAATTGGGCTTGGCTAACAAAAAAGATCCATTGTTTCAGAGACCCAATTATGAACCATTTCCATACTCCATTGTTATCCCAATGGAACCACTGGGAGGACAGTGTTGTATCTAGGTGGTACGTACATGAGATGGGTCCAGAAATGGATCAGGGTGTTCTGCTGCTTTTGTATTTATATATATTTTTTCTTTCTGCTATATCCAGTATATTATGCAAGAAAGGCCTTTTTGTCAGCCAGGACTAACATAATCTGGCACTCTGCCCTAGAGTGTGTTCTTGCAAAGAGGTAATAAAACTCAAGCTTCCTGACTGTAGCTGTGTGGGAGCCTGCTGCAGAAATGGCTGAGTGACAGTGCTTTTGACCAAGAGCTCCCTTCAGAGGAGGCTGCAAGCCAGCCCACGGGCTTTCCTTCCATGTGTTCTCATTTCTTGGTTGATGCATGAGGGAGCCTCCAGATACGTACAAAGAGGCAGCTGCAAACCTTGCCTTTGGCATTATGCCTTTACACATACAGCTGACTCATGAGGAGGGTTTCCTTAGCAGATCCTGTGGCTTTCCTAGGCTGCCTCCGCATCAACTAAGAAGAGTCTGTCTGCTCACAAGCAGCACGGCAGCATCTGGGCATCCTTTGTCCTCTTCCCTCCCTACCTCCTGTTAACACAGTGGTCTGTTCCATACAGCCTAGGGGTTGTCCATAGAGTGTAACCTGTGTTGTCCTCATGTGTGCACATTCCTCTAATCGCATGGCAGATGTAGCGCATGAACAGCACTGCGCTGCTAGCTATTTTTCATGATCTTGGTGGCACTTTTTCAAGTTGTCATGACAACAGATACTGGAAGTTGCATTTGTATCCAGGTATGCGCTGGGTCGCACATTGCATTCAGCACATAATTGCACCCTTGGGACAGTTTGGCAACAACATATACAGTATAGCACCTTTGGCTTATGTGAGTTGGGCCCTAGTAATGCCACTATCCCCAGTGTGTTTGTCTTTTAAACCCTGATCTGTTAGGCAGGTTAAGGGTCATATAACTACTCTGGGAGCATGTGGCATTGCCAGCTGTCCACTCTAGTTGTTGCAAGAATTATTCTTCAGAAGAAAAGTGTACAAGGGCATTGCTCTAGGGCCCTTAGAACTATTTCTCATGCTCCCTCTTTGCTACTAGAGGTCCAGTGGTCTGTCAGTAAGAATGAAGGAAGGAGGCAGGAGACTCTCTCCTTCTCTTCTGCACTTTTGCTGCTCTGTTTCTGCTTTCTTGTGTTCTGGTTGTTCCTGAACTCTGTGTCCGTAAGCTGGATAAGATTTCCCCTCTGGGACAGGAAAACACCAACACATCAATATTTTGATAGTATGACAGCTACCTCTCCACATCGAAGAACCTTTTTCTTTAATGTGCCTTGGAGTTGATGTCTGGAGTTAACGTCTGGAGATCTGTCACCCTGACATCACAGAGCACATCTTCTGTCTCAAGTGTATTCACATTCATGTAGGTGCATGCCCAGCATTAATGCTTCAAGTTGCTTATTCAGCAGCTTTCTAAATAACATGTGTGTTGAGCTTGGGGGAGCTTGAAGGACGGAAGTGAGAAGACTGTGTCTGCCTCGTGGCTGGTTTTGTGGCTAAAACCAACAGTAACATCATCAGTCTTGGAGAAGGGTTGAGTCATCTTCCCTTCCACTTCCGTCACCCAGAAATAACTCAACCCAAGCACAAATTCACATCTTGCTGTGCATATAACACTTCTGGTTTTTTACCCATAGATGCAGAACAGCACTGGCAAGGACTCTGTCCTCATAAGAACATTTCCATTCTGTTCTCTCCTGCTTTAAATCTGGTACCTTTCTAGTAGAATGTGAGAGAAATCCCATGACTCTTTCTGCAAAGGGGGAAACAAAACCTTGATTTTTAAAAAAGAAAATAACAACCTGTTGTTGAGTTTGGGGCTTGGTAATCTCCTAAAGTCTTCCAGCAAAGCCTAAATGCAACCATTGGATGTGATCCTCTGGTTCCTTTTTCCAAAGCCCCTGTTTGCTTTTGTCCTTATGTAGCTATCCTGTGCTATTGTTTTTAAAGAGAGAGTTCCAAAATTCTATTGAAAAGAATGTTCAAATGCTTAATTTCTGAACAAGCTCTGAGAAGTCTGAGCTAGGCCCAATCTTAAGGAAAAAAGCAACTCATGTGTCCTGTCTGGATGGACCTGGGAGTTCCAGTGAGCCTTTGTCCCTACCCCTAACCCCCCCACTTCCTGTTTTGTTGCTCTTAGTCAGCTGGAGCAAGTGTGAATCCTCTTCTGTAGCTGGTTTTGGAGTGACTCTTCCTTCAAACAGCTCTTCTGTCATACTGTCTTACTGTGGATTCCAAGGGAACTGGAGGATAAAAGCAGCCCAAATTTAAGAATACCGCTGATGCAAAATAGTCAGGTGAGAAGTGAAGTATGAAGTCAAAAGGATAGGATATTCTGCTTTCTGTGAACACAGATTAAGTGGATCGTTCAGGTTCACATAAAATGTGGAAAGGAAATGCTCCAACGGAAGACACTATCTCCCTTCCTGCAACACTTCGGCATAGTGGTGCTATATGGTTATCTACAAAACACACTGCCAGTCTTGAAACTGATTCCAGAGGCTGCAGTCCGAACTGTGGCCTGCAAACCACCAGTGGTCTGTGAGTTTCACTTAGGTCTATGGATTTGCGGTTGAAGACAAAAGACAACACATCCATTGCATTAAATATTGTTGTCCAGGCTCCTTTGGGAGGAAGGAGGAAGGATGAGATATAAATTGAATAAAGAAATGATAATTCATACAGATTTTTAATTGTATATTCATTGCTTCTTTCATTTCTTGTATTTTATTGCATTACAATTTGAATTCAATATATAAAAAGAAGCAACAAAAATACAAAAATCATATCACAATTGCTATAGAAGGCAGAATAATCATTAAGTGGTCTGCCAAGACTCAGCATTTTTCAAATGGTTCATGGGGAAGAAAGTGGTGGAACCACTGGGTTAAAAGGATAGGCATGCTGGGTGTGTTCCTTGTCTTCAAACCAACCAATTCCACTTTTAGTTCCCTTTTGGAATATACTCAAAGCTTGCATCAAGATAATTGATCTCACAAGATTCCTGGTGATGACTCGGCTTATTATTGACGATCTGTCTTCTTAGGTGGGCAAAGGGCCATTCCATTGTCGTAGTAATATCTGCTTTGTGGGCTTTCCCCTTAAGGAAGGCACATGCTTGGCCCCACCTTGCCTTCCAGCATCAATCGCTCTTGTCTATAAATACTCATCTTATAGCCAGCCAAGTGATCAGCACCACATGAAGAATTTGGGTGCAGCTCTTAAGCTGTTTCTATTTTAGCTTCTATTACTAACATCACCAGAATCTTAATGGCAGCAATTGAAGCTGGCTTTATTCATGCATTTTATTGATTCCCCTCCCTCCCTGCTTTGACTGAGATGAAAGGAAAGATACACAGCGTTATGTGTACCTTACCCAGGGTCTTTGGGGAAATAGGTTTGTTCAGAGGCAATTGATAGAAATTTTGTCCTTGTTCAGGGTTGTAGGGATCGATACTGATTGCTCTGGTCAAGCTGAACTGTGAGAAACTTGTGGTTTGCAGCACTGAGAGAAGTGGAACCTGCTCCTGAGCAGGAGATATTACTATAGGTGTGATTCACCCCTTCCAACAAAGCCTAGCAAGCACATGTGAGTTACATTACTAAGGAAGTGTAAGGCTCATGGAACAGCAGTGAACAATCCAAACAAGAGTGAATTCTATAGGCCTTGATGGGCAGGCCTTGCCAAAATATCACACACGCACACACCTATTCAAATTATAGATTTGTATATTTTCATTGTCAAACAAATTCCATGCCCCCCCAACATGGAATGAGATGCAGTTGTTAAACTGAGGCTGAATCCTTACTCTTTTGTCATAGAAGGAGGAGCTGCCATGAGCTGGGATTTCCTTCTCACCAGCATGGCTGACTAATTGAAGGTCTTGATCAGTCTCTGATTGACAACTTTCTGGGGTACTAGTATTACTAATCATAATTCACCCCAGGCTGGCATACAACAATCTAAGACACAGCATTAAAAATGTACACTTACAAAAAATGCAACCACAAAAAATTACAAGTTGATGGCTTGCATGAATAAATGTTCACACAGATCAGAGATAATGCACAGCTTATCTATTTGAAGTATTAGCCGAACAAATACAACAAGTGGAGACCTGCCATAACTTCCTCAGAGAAGAAAACAGACATAGATGCTTATTGTATTGGAGGAGAACAGGCAGCCAGCTCCCAGTTTTTCCCCAGCCTAACAAATCTGACCCACTTCTTCCACAGGTAGCCTTATATGTAGTGAACACATGCCAGCTTCTGCTTCTGGGAGATTCCTGCTTTTTAGGTTGCTAGCAATTCACATGCTACACATTGAATAGTTTGAGGAATTTGGGCAGGGAGTTGGGGAAGGTAATTTTTGCTAGCACATAAAAGTGTTTAGACTGCACTGCCTGAGCCTTCTACTCATGTATTTGGCTTTTCACCCAGATATCAAAGTTTGTTAATGGACTATAAGTTGGCAGATAAGCTGCAGTTACCAGAAACAAATTCAGTGTGCCCAGACAATTGATAAATGTTGTGATAAAACAGATTCTGCACCTACTAGAATAGTTTTCTAGGGCATGTCCAAATGGAACTGATACAGAGCCTTGGGAATGCTATCCCCCTGCAACAGCGCTATGTGGAACACTTCGTCTTGCACTAGCATTGGACAGGATGCGCTTTCACCAGGAGCTCGGGTTGTATAGTGTGCACAGCTGACTCCCTATGCTAAGCATGGTATTATCCCAGGACAGAAAAAGTGCCCAAGAAATGTAGAAACTGCTGCCTGGGTGAGTCCTTAGAACAGAGATGGGGAATGTGTGGTCCTCCAGATGTTGTTGGATTTCAGCTACCACCATCCCTTTCCACTGTCCAGACCGGGATTCAAACAACACCAGGAGAGCCACAGGTTTTCCAGCATAGCATTAGAAGATAAAAGTAGTGCTATAACCAAGCTATCACTGCATACGGTCATTCTGCAAATCCAGGAGCATTTCTTGTTCCTAGTGTGGCTCCTCTGCACCCTTGTTCTGCCGTTGAACAGGCAAGTGGGGGGTGGGGGTGGGGATAAGGAATAGAGCTGCTGACGCATTAGTCCTTCATTGTCATAATCTCTCCACTTACTTATACAATGAGGTGGCAGCTCGTGGTTGAGCCCTTGTAAATTGATGCTACTTTCTTTTTATTACAGCCTCATTTCAGCAGCTGCATGAAGACGCATTAGGGTTATAATAATGAAATCTCAAGTAATAACCCACTTGCTGGTACTTTGCTCTGGAGATGCCATTATTAGATCTTCCATGGATTCCCCCAGATGCCCATTATCCGTTTACTCACCCAGAATGGCATCTGCACTGAACTGATGCTATGCATAAATGCAGCAAACATGTCCAATTATTATCTGATTAGAATAATCATTTCCTATTCAGCTGTCTGAGCTGTCAAGTGCCTGCGGGCCTGAGAAAGGGGGCTCCTAGAATGAGCTTGCTCTTCCCTGGAAGTGCAGTGCTGTGGCCTTTATTTTGTTGGGGCATGCATTTAACTTGCACACCTAGTACGTCGTGCTTGCCTCTGATCTCACACAGCTGGCACAATGGGTAGTATGCAAAGTGTTAACCCCAAGGATTCTCATTGCCCTTAATGCTAATCTCTCAGACAGAAGTTATGTAACCAACTTCCTTGGCATCTGCATGCAGTTAGCTTGTTACTGGACACCCGAAAGCAGTTTTGGCAGAGGCTGCCGACTCACCTTCTGTCCATCATATACAAGGAAAGACTGTTGGAGAGTCTCTGACTCCTGGGTGACCACAACACCGGTATTCTGTTTGTAAGCTGATTACAAGAGCTCACTTGCTGAGCATCATGATTTGGGGGCCTTGCCTGCTCAGAAGGGAATTTATTGCACTGTTAAGCCAATCATTTGTCTCTGTGTCTGCTTTGGAAGTCCCTTGATGCTGGCTCTTCCTTGCTATAGTTCACGCTTCCACTTTCAGAAATTGCAGTTTGCTGGGCAGTGTGGCTTTTATTGAATATATTTAGATCCACAAATGAAACACCCTTGTACTAGCCATGTCCTAATTGATATCAGTATGTTTGAGTAGCATGTTTCATCTAAAGATTCTACGGTTGCTGTGAGCTATTGTGTTCCGTAAATAATTTCAAATTTCATGTTTCTTCCTCCTTTTTTCCACCTCTGAAAAGCATATTACCTATGGAGATGTTTACCACTATAGAAATGTTTTACTGCCATTATTAACACACCACACTTAAGAAGCAGCAGTCTCTTTTGCACAGTGTTTTAAGTGGAATTGAAGGAGTGTGGTAATCATCCTCATGGTCACTGTTACATACAGATAAATGAGGTAGCTAATTCATGGAGGTTTTCAGTAGGATTTAGCACTGTAGCTGGTGAGTCCTCCAGAGACCGTAGGTATTTCCAGAGACATCTAGAGTCCTGGAAGTACTATCGGCCTTTGCAGTGTCTCCCAAAACATCAAGCAAATAAGAAGCTCTAATAGGATTTAACACTATCCTCTATTTCTTCTCCGGTGAGCTTCATTTTTATTGGAATTTTATTTACAACATACCACAAACCCCTCACCCCCAATACACAAATCCACCCTCATTAAAAATGAACATAACATACAGTGAGCATAACATACAACAATACAAACAAACAAACAAATAAAAGACTTCCTTTATCCTGTATCTGGCCTTCTTATTTACTTCTTATAAATTGTTTCCTTTATGAATAATTATTAAGATTTTTCTAATTATGACTTAAATATCCACAAAGTCTCCTGCAGACATTAATTGAAACAAGTCCAGGTATGTATTTTAGGGCACTGTTTTGTGAAGTACTCTCTGCATTTTCCTCATGGTTTTTGAAACTCTTGTCTAGTGTGATCTCTAATTGCCTGTTAATCTGGCCAGTTCAACAGTTTATCTTGCCATTCCTTTTTTGTTGGCACAGTTTCTTTTTTCCAGTTTTTAGCAGTTAGGATCCTTGCTGCTCCTGTGGCATAGAGGAATATTTTCTGATCTTCTCTTGCTATACCTGTGTCCGTTATCCCTAGTAGAAAAGCTTCTGTATTTTTCGTAAAGTTATACTTAGACATTTTTTTAAGCTCATCATACACAATCCTGTATTTCTTCTGCATCAGCAATAGCAATTAATCTATCATATTCGAAAGGGGAATATCACAATTTGTTTTCTGTTTGTGGTAGTTTACGGTTAGTATGTTATGGGAACAAACTATTTCTCCAACAGTCCTCCGGCCTTGATCTCCATTTGTTATGGGAGTCATTCCTTCATGTTATGGAACCTTGTCCATTATCTCCCTGTTTCCAGACAGCTGGTTGCTGCATCAGCTATGTGCTGATCCTTGAGAAAACTGAGTATTTTTCTCCTTAAAGTAACTCCTTCCATAAAAAGGGCTGAAGCCCAGTTCATACTCCTGCAAGCAGAGTAATGATGTGCAACATCTAAAAAGCTGACCTTTATAGCTCTCTCATTGGGTCCCAGACTCATGCTTGTTAGTATTAATTCCTGCTAGAAATAGGTAATTATTTAAAGCAGCAGTGCTCAGAAATGCAAGAACCACTGCTTGAATGAGAACAATCCGAATTAAAGGCAAGCACAGTGCCCCTTCAGGCTTACCCAGAGTCAGATTGGGACTTGCACTTCACTTGTGCAGTCACTACAGATGGAGATCATGGGGTTGGCCAGCTACACAGTCTCTGGCTGCAATTGATAGCTAGCTGTGCAGTCCAGGAGGCTGTCAAAGATGAAGCTGGAGATCATGGGGCTGGCCAGTCTCCCGATTCTGGCTACACAGAGCTGTCAAATGTAGCCGTGGATTGCCCCAACTTGTCAGCACCATGGTTGCCTGCTGCCCTGATCTCCTTTCCTCCACTGCCTGTTTCTTCCCCACCACACTTCCCTAAAATAAAGATACAGTTCCCAGAGTTCCCTGTGAAGAGGGATTGCTTGCTTATGCACACTGAGAACTGTAGCTCTGTGAGGGGAATAGGGGTCCCCTAACAATTCCCAGCACCTCTAACAAACTACAGTTCCCAGAATTGTTTGTGGGAAGCCATGAGTGTTTAAAGTGGCATCATAGTGCTTTATATGTATGGTGTGAATGTGGCCCAAGTCTGATTTTTGCCAAATGGAAAAAGGGGAACATAACCAAGTTTTTAGTTACTTTGACATACCTTGTTCTGACTGTGTTAAATATTGGCTGCTTTGGAGAAAGGATATGAAGTGCTTCAGTTCCTAACCAGTAATTCTGCCATGAATATATTCCATTGAACCTGTCCACCTTTCCAGCACAGCAAGCCAAACAGTCTCCCATAACCAATCTTAGACAAAGGCAAGGAAGCTGCGGCCTTTGATTTAATTGGGTTCCTTGACACAGCCACTCCCTTTGTCCCGCACAGCTGGAATCCAAGCCTGGGAAAGGCTTGACAGAGCGAGCGCTCTCTGACTGGAAGACAGCTCTGAAGAGGGAGAGGGAGGAGCACCAGCACCTCCTGGCTGAGTCGTACAGCGCCGTCATGGACCTGACCAAGCAGCTGCAGATCAGCGAGAAGAACTGGGACCAGGAGAAGCTGGAGCTCCTGGACCGATTCAAGGATGAACGGCAGCAGGCAGAGCAGCAAGTGAAGGAGCTGCAGAACAAAATAAATCAGGTGAGAATGGAATGCATTTTGTGGGTGCAACTTGCCCTCCAAAGTCTCAGCAAGTATTTCAGCAAGTGTGAATATAATGTGCATTCCCTTAACAGAATCAATATAGGCTGGCAGCAATGGATGTCCCTGCATGAGCATAAGTGTGGGTATAGATGCAGAGTGTTGTGGTCGAGTCAAGTCCTGGATTTAAATCCCTGCCCAGCCATGGAACTCCCTGGGTGACTTCCAAGCCAATCACCATCCCTAGCCTATTTCTCAAGGTGTTTAGGAGAAGGACAGCTCTGTATGCTTTCTGAGCATCATGGAGGAAGGGCAGGATAAAAGCATAATAATAATATGAATCAGGATAATGATGCTGGCCAACAAATGCCTATCCCCTAGGCTTCCTTGTTCCCATGAATACATGCATGTGCTTGCATGCAGCACACACGCTAGCGGGGTACACATAACCCCCTCTTGTGCAGAGCTGCCAACATGATTTTCTGGTTCCAGGTTCCAACAAAATTCTACTGGGTGATGCTGAGTAGGACTAAAATTCGATACAAACTTATATAAGAAGATAAATTTGCATATAATCTGACTGTACTTGGCATTATATGCAATTTTATCTCCTCTTTTGCAGATGGGGTACAGGGCCCAAAGATAAATCAGGATCCACACACAATTAATAAGCTGACTGGCAGCCAGAGTGTCAACATATTAAGCTTTCCCCATAATTTCCAGACTAGAAGAGGCTTGACCTATTGCATTTCTGCCTGCCTCACAGCTGTTAAAGACACAAAAGCCCCACCTTCCCTCCACCACCACACATCCCACCCCAAACCATGCAGAGAAATCAGGGTTCATGAATTGTGAACCAGCTATGTTACTGTAGATGCTTGTGTGTTTTGGACTTCAGTTGGCTACAAATGAGGCACCTAAATAAAACTCGAGACCCTCTATCATCTCCCCTGTAGATTTTGCGTGATCTGCAATGGTGGAATAGATCTGTCTGTCCCCCAGTGGCACACTGAACACATTCCTTTGCCAGCAGTTAATGTTTCATTGACTCATCCCCAGCCTGACCCTCTGTCAAAATGGATCCTAAGCAACACATCTGCCCCCAAGCTCCAGTTTCTCTATTAGTGATTGATTTTTTGAAACAGTGTCTCTGCCAGAAATATGTGGGTGCTGCAAGGAACACCCAATATCCCCTGAGTACTGTGATGCCAGTGGGATGTCCCTGCAGGGGCTGAACTTTGCAGTGCACTCATTAGAAACTGAACAAAAAAAAAAAGGTTATTGTCCACTGCAATGCCACATAGAGGACAAATTGGCTCATGTGCAGGCCCAGCACTAGAATTGCTTTGTCTTTCAGCTGCAGAAGGGAGCTGACCTCTGGGCTTTGAAAAACTCTGAAATGGAGAAGCATGGCAGTAGCTGGAAAGAGGTAAGCTGGACAGGAACGGCTTTGTCCTAACCTGTAAAATTCAGGCAGAGATGACATGTGTTGGGTGTGAACTAAAACCTTGCCCCAGAAAGGTGAATTGAAGCTGTAGAATTATGCTGGGGACAAATTATAAGGGAATGATCACATTTGATACTTGTGAGCATTCCAGATGCCTATGGTTGGCTGTGTGGTGTAGTGGTTAAGAGCGGTAGTCTCTTAATCTGGGGAACCGGGTTCGCGTCTCCGCTCTTCCACATGCAGCTGCTGGGTGACCTTGGGCTAGTCACACTTCTTTGAAGTCTCTCAGCTTCACTCACCTCACAGAGTGTTTGTTGTGGGGGAGGAACGGAAAGGAGAATGTTAGCCGCTTTGAGACTCCTTCAGGTAGTGATAAAGCAGGATATCAAATCCAAACTCCTCTTCTTCTTTTTCGGACACAGGGTTAGCTATATCTCCTCCTGGTTCAGCAAGGCATTCACTAAATAGGTTACATGTATCTTATTACTTATGGTGAGGATATTAGGAATGTCTTTCCTGAGAGGGGCTGTGTGACAGACACAAATTCAACAGGGTCAGCTATTTCCATCTCTGCACCTTTGTGCTGAGGAATGCTGCATCTGTTGAATTTACCTGCATGCATTAAAATATCCTAGCCTTGGTCATGATTGCTATTTTTGATCTCTTAATAGGACTTCAGATTTCAGCTAACTTTGAAGTGCATTTCTATGAAAATTGTAACACCTAGAGCAGGGGTCAGCAAACTTTTTCAGCAGGGGGCCAGTCCACTGTCCCTCAGACCTTGTGGGGGGCCAGAATATATTTTGAAAAATAAATAAAAATGAATTCCTATGCCCCACAAATAACCCAAAGATGCATTTTAAATAAAAGGACACATTCTACTCATGTAAAAACACGCTGATTCCCGGACCGTCCACAGGCCAGATTTAGAAGGCGGTTGGGCTGGATCCGGCCCCTGGGCCTTAGTTTGTCTACCCATGACCTAGAGCAATGAGCATTTTGACTGAGCTCTTGACATCTCACTGAATTCTGAAATTTAGGGGAAATCCCCACAGAACCCTTTTTTGCTGCTTAAGTGCAAAGTGAAGCCTTACATTCCTCTGGGAAGCTGACCCCTCTGCCCTCTTTAGCTAAGCTTCTCTAGGCCTGCCATGATGTTGCAAGGCACTACTGATGATAAAAGGCCTCTCTAATGTTCCTTTCAGACTCTCAATGAGAAAATCACCGACAAAGAAACTGTTTCCGAAACAGACATGAAAGGAAGCAACTTAAAAAGGTGAGATGTGTGCAGCTTCTAAGTTTTGCTTCTTCCTTCAACTCTTCACCATCTGGAAAACAGTCAGCCGGCTCATCTAGCCATACTCAAGCTTAACGATTGGTGAGGAAAGCACATTGAGGCCATGGGGTGCGGTAACATGTGTTTTCCTTCTCTGTGCAAAATTGGTAGCTGGCAATACCTGATGCCACATTGGGGCAGAAAATATAGACTGCTTGGTTGTTTGCATGTGAGCCTATCTGTATAATTTACCAGCTTCCATACCTCTGCCTTCAGCAAGTGTAAATATACATAATGCACATTACCATGGAACTATTTGACCCTCATTGCATCTTTCAGGGACAGAACTAAATGGTGTGCATGCTCATATTTCTTATCATGCTTTTATTCTACTCCCTTGTTGAAAACACAAAACGTGTTACCTTGATAATGGTATTGCCTTTTAATAACTGTATGCTATTATTTCCCCCCACCTGTCTTCTTTGTGTTCCCTGTAGGTGATTATTTAGGACAGGGGTAGGGATTCTGTGGCCACCCAGATGTTGTTAGGCTCCCAATGCCCATCAGCCCCAGTCAGCAAGGTTACTGGTCAGGGACAGTGTTAGAAACAGAGATATGAAAGCTAGGAGCTAAATGGCACCTTAAACATAGGTTATAGGCACCACAATGGAGTGTCTAGGTGTGTTTTTTTATAACAAGAATACAAAGCTGAAAATGAATGAACTGCAACTAAAACCTTATGTTCATTTTTCACATGGTCTAGGCCTCATTTGAAGACTGCAAAAAACAACAACACCAAAGCCATACTTCCCCTGCCCGCCCCCCTGATATTCTTATGAGAGTCCCTTCTCTAGTCTTCAGAGAGTGGCTGGAAGTGGGGAGGCAGAAAAAGGTCCTCCTTTCCTACCACTCTGCAGTTTTCATTTGAAATCTCAAGTGCAGTATTGCACCCAGAGCTCAGAAACGACTCACACTATATGAAATTCCCTATCACAAACTGTTCCTAGAACAATGGGAGTTTTGAACGCTGGTCAGGGATGAAGGGCACTGTAGGCCAGGGATATTTGGAGAGCCACAGGTTCCACATTCCTGATTTAGAAAAAAAATCTGTAAAATGCAGGCAAAAATTCCTAGTGAGCCTGAGCAAAAGAGTACCCCATAGATTCTTTTAGGAGATTCTTAGTGCAAAATGAGTTGTTTCCCTTTTCACACTGTATTGGACAATACTGGAGTGGGAAGTGGGACCTTCTGTTGAGCTTCACAGCAATTCTACTGCAAGAGAAGTGCTCTCTCTGTGTGGAGTCACGACACTCAGAGGCAATAAGAGCCTAGGACTAAAACTCTGCGCACAGAATCACACTCCATGTAAGTGTGTGTGTGTGTGTGTGTGTGTGAGAGAGAGAGAGAGAAACTGGATTAGGTAGCATTAATGTGAATGCAATGAACTCACCACAGTTACTCTCACTTCTGTTTTAGCCTTTTCTGCACATGCATTAATTATGGATCTGGGGGTCATTTCCCAACATTATTTACCCTACTCATAACTTAGGGGATAATGGAGATAGTGGGGAATGACAGAAGACATTAGCCTTTGTAATGTCAGAATGTCCAAATGGAAGTTTGGAATGCAAAATTTGAAAGGCAGGTCTGCAGGCATCCATCTGTCTTCTGTCCATTCTGACATTATTGAAGGCATGCCTTCCATCCTATTTTTCTTGTTCTTGGTCATCTTAAGAGATGACTTGGAAAATAATAGGAGAATTGGCCACCATCTGTAGGAACCATGAAGCAGGAAAGTAGATATAGCCCAACCAGGAAAAAGCTTCTACTTAGGAAGGACAGCGCCTGGAGGTAGAAATAAGACACCTTCCCTAATAAATGTGCTTGCTCCCTTCTCTTTTCTATCCAGGACCAAGTCAGTCTCCTCAATGTCTGAATTTGAAAGTTTGCTTGATTGTTCTCCTTATATTCCTGGCAAAACCAGTCCCGTCATCACAGACAACGTCCGCAGCAAAAAGGGCTCTCCAGCTACACAGGTGTTGCCTGACACTTTGAAGGACCCTGCAGGGTTTGCCCCCAATAACTGTGCCTATCTGAATAGCGAGCAACCCACGCCAGAGAACCTGACCACAGAGAAGCTGGATGTCTCGTCATGCAACTTCACCCAGACAAGCAGCTTCTCTGTGCAGGATCAGGCCCAGAAACATGTGCAGAGAAGCTACACTGCTCCCGACAAGACTGGGATCCGCATATATTATAGCCCACCGGTGGTACGTAGGTTGGAATCGCCCCTAGTACACAAGAGAGACGGGAAGATAATGGTTGAGCCTGGCTTCCTGTTCACCATGGCCAAGCCCAAGGAAGAATCGGACAGCTCCGAAAACATGTACAGCCGGTGGCTGTGCAACTTCTCCAAGCAGCACCGAGAGCTGCTTGACAGCAGTACTGTTAGCGAGAAAGCTGTGGCCCCTGTACCCAGATTTCCGCCTTCCCTGCATGACCTTGAGATCTCCGGCAACATGAGCGATGACATGAAGGAGATCACCAACTGTGTCCGGCAAGCTATCCGCTCCAGCTCCCTGGAGAGAAAGGTTAAGAGCACTTCCAGCCAGACAGTGGGATTGGCCAGTGTTGGTACCCAGACTACCCAGTCTGTCAGCATTGGTCTGCAGACTGACATGCCCAGGGGCAGCATACACAGCAGCAAGAGCTGGTCCCCACGAAGCTCCTCCCTTATATCCGTTCGCAGCAAGCAGATCTCGACCTCTCTGGACAAAGTCCACTCCAGGATCGAACGGCCCTGTTGCTCCCCCAAGTACGGCTCTCCGAAACTCCAAAGAAGATCATCTTCTAAGCTGGACAACTCCAAGGACCGAAGCCTGTGGAACCTCCATCAGACTAAACAGAATGGCTCAGCCTGGGCTCGTTCCACCACCACTAGAGACAGCCCAGTTCTCAGCAACATTAACGATGGCCTGTCCAGCTTGTTCAATGTTGTGGAGCATTCTGGGAGCACAGAGTCCATCTGGAAGCCAGGATGCCAGGAAAGCAAAGCCAAGCCAGAAACTCCTAAGTACGGGATAGTGCAGGAGTTTTTCCGGAACGTGTGTGGCAGAACTCAGAGCCCCACTTTGGCTCCAGAGAAAAAAGACCTGGTAGGAGGAGACAACAGCAGCAGCAGCAGCAGCAGCAAGAAGCCGGAGCATTCCTCCTCAGTTGTGCTCCAGCAGTCTGAAAACGCCCCCAAGGTCCTTGACAAAAAGCCCTTGAAGCAGAGCTGCAGCGAGGAACCAAAGCTGTCCATCCCAGGCCAAGGTGGCAAGGACAGAGCCTTAAAGGAGCCAGACATCATCTCTGCTATTATTGCCAATGAGGTAGTGCTTGCTTGCTTTAAGACAGGGGTGGGAGACTTCAGGCCTGGGGACCAAATCTCTCTACCTGGCTCTCAGAACCAGAATATACCCCTTGCTGACCCTTCTTCACACCCCAAGTGTTTCTGCCTGGTTAAAAAGTATCTGAACTCTGATTACCCCTTTTGGCTGCCTGGATAGAGGATGGTGTGTATGTGTATAGAAACTAGCCTGCTGTACAAAGGTATAATTTACATCAGTTGTTCCAACCAAAAGGTTCTCCACCACTAACCTGCCCCTACCTTCAGCCCTTCTGTGAGCTGAAATGTAGCATAGCATTATCTCCTATCCACGGCAAACTGCAAGGGCCAGAAGCAAAGATGTCAACAACCGCCATCGTATATTGCTTTGGCCACCACTAAGCGCTTAAAGAGACAAGGTTTGGCAAGCGGACCCATTGGGGACACACCCTGTTCTGAGTGTGAGACCAAGGGTGTTGTTAACTATCCGCACCTTTTTGACTCTACAGCTTCCTATTTGCAGATCATGAGTAGCTTATAGGATGGAATTCAACATCATGCTATGTTGAATGACCTACCTCCGCAAGCATTGCAGCTTGCCAGACAGAACAATCCCTCCTCTCTTCTCTTGTGTGCTGTTCTGGGGGTTCTGACCTGCCCCCAAATTCTGGGGGCATCATGGGAGGAGAGAGGGAAGCCCAATTGCACAAGCAGAATCCCTTGCTCAGGACTTTAAGCTGACAGGACTCTGTAGGTGAATCTCACCCTATAATTGCTTGCCCTGGTTTCTTGCAGTTTGTTTTTGCATTAATATGTAGGCAGATGATACAAATCTCCTCGACTGAATTGTAATCTAAAAGGTCACAGACATAATGAAATGAAGCAGACTTGGAAATCAAGTTGCGGCTAAGCCAGGAACCTTTCCTGCAATGCATTCATATGGCTAAACAGTTCTGCTACAGCAACAAGTTTTAGCTGTGCAATGGAACTTCCCTGCTCTCTCCTCTTCCTGTGTGTGCCATGTTCCAGAGGGTTAGGCTGTGTCAGCCCAGCTTACACAAGGCACAGGTAATCAGAAATGTCTTGCTCCAGAAAAATCCACCAGGCAAACCTCCCTGTTCCATAACTAGGGTGCCACTACCAAAAAGACCCTCTCCCTGGTAATTACCTGCCTCACGTAATTATGAGGGGGAACTCTAAGCAGGTACGTGTGGGAGAAGGCAATAACCTGGTCCTAAACTATTTAGTTAAAAACAGCACTTCACCTGTTGCTAGGCTTTTAATGATGCATTTCAGCTATTCGTCGTGCTTCAAATACATTATCTTCATATCATCCCTGTGAAGTCCTACTGCATTATCAACTCCATATTGCAGATTTGTTGCAGGGGGTGGGTCAGAGCATATAATGGTATACCTTAACAAGGCCATGTAGGGAGTTTCTTGCTGGGGAGAGATTTGAACAAGGTTCATGTCCTTTAACCGCCACGCTGTGACAGATCTCAAGTTGACCATCCTTTTTCACATGCTACCCTTTTCTTCTGTCTCTCTTTGCAGGACGTGGCCTGTGATTGCAGCTCCCAGTCGCTGACTTCCTGTTTTGCTCGGCCGTCGCGCTCAGCTGTCCGCCACTCCCCTTCCAGGTGCAAGCTGCACCCTTCTGACGGCAGCCGGGTAGAAGAGAAAGCAGGGCCTCTGAGTGAGTGAGAGGGCTGCGCTTGCTGCCGTGCTGATGGAAGAGCAACCTATGCGCTGGAACTGCCAGTCCCTCCGGCACCTCTGGGACTGGCTACTTCTGAGCCAGCTGCAGATGAGGGGCTCTGCTCTTAGATACCCAGGGTGACACCATGCATCTCCTGTCTCACCTTAGCTCAACAGGGATACCGGCAGCACAGAGGCTGTGCTACGTGGGCAGGGGACAGAGTGGGAGAGTCTTGCTAGAGGTGTGGTTTCTCGGTCACTGGAAACCTTTCTGTCCCTCCCCCCCCCTCAGTGGGAACATGACCTACAAGAGCTGGACGTTGCCAGAGCCTCGTGAAGCAGTCTGTGCTGTTTCCATGGCATTGGGTGTGTGTGTGAGAGAGAGAGTGTGTGTGTCGCCAGTTTGAGGAGATGCATCTCTCTTCTTTGTGAAAAAGGCATCACAGTGAGGGATTACGGAGTGCAGTATCAACAAAGCTGCTTGGCCCTCCCTTCCTTGGTCTAGGGGTGGGGAAGGAAAACAGCAGTCCTTCAGGAAACACTAGACAGCTGGTTTCAAAGCCTTAAGAACTCCTCTCAGAACAGCTGTACTATAGGATTTCCCCAGAACGAGGCATTCAATATGGTGTACAGAGAAAGAGGGCGGGGGGAGGGTGCTAGCAAAATTGCCACCAGGAAATGCCACCATAGCATAAGTGCTCCAGGCCGTTGTGTACAAGTAGATTGGAAAAGCCTTGGATTTGCTCTGCAACCATATTTGCATGGATAGTTTTCCCCAGGTGTGCCCAGCATACAATACCAGCACTGGGCCATGCACCCAGCCTGCACTGTGCTGCACAGTATGGTCTATTCAGAGTGCTGACACTCTTGATAAAACAAGAGTACGGTTTTGCACTACTGGTTCTCCTGCACCTGACCTGTGGGAAACAGCCGTGCAAGCATGGTCTGTGTTGCCTTCCTGTCCACGTGCATCAAACTTCCCACGATTACTGAAATGCATCAGTAGACCTGGACTTTTTCTTCTTCAGGCCTCTGATGCCATCTCCATGGCTCAGAACAATTGTTGCTTTGGATCAGCCTCTGTGCTTGGCTGCTGCGGTGCAGTTGAGCACCAGGAGTTCACAGAAGGAGTATGCTGAGTCCTCCATGTCTACAATTCCAGTCTGTTTCCATTTCTCCGTACCCCACACAATGGGTAGCTGTAGCTATTCCTAAGGAGAGTTGCTTCTGTCATTTGTTGTTGCTTGTTTTTCAACTGGAAATCTCAAAACCCTTTGTGATCAACTTGCCTCTGTAAGAATAGTTTAACAGAGAGGAAATTGCTTGAGTGCAGAGGTGAACAAGCACAGATCCCATAGAATGAAAATACAGATGAGACAGTGAATGGGTAGAAGAGGTACCATCTTTTCCGTGCTGCAGAACATTCCAAGTTCCACGGGAGGCAGGGGGTTGTGTGCCTGCTGCATATCTCAGGGCAGAGCTTCTCCTATGTCACACTCTCCAATGGTTGCTGCCAGTGCTCTACTAAATATTTTGATGGTTGCTAGTTCCTGTGAGTCAACCCTGTTCTAGAGAAAAGGTATTAATGGGGATCCTTCAGCATCCGGTGTAGTGCATTATCTGCTCAGACAAACAACTTTCAGGGCTCCAGCAAAGGATCTCTTTTTTCATTGACTCTTCTGCTTTGCTGAGGGATTTCGGGAGCAGGCAGGTTTTGCTTCTCCCCACCTCCAGATTCAGTAGCACAGATTTGTGTGTATTGCAACACTTCTGCAGGGATGTGATCTGAAAGGTAGGACAATATGCGAGAGCAAGCCCTGGCTTCCTTGGAAGTACCCTTCCAAAGAGAGCTGGCTCTTCAGGAACTGTACCACTTGAGACTGCAGCTGGGGGATCAGAAGTTAGAGTGGTTGTCCATGTAAAAGAGAAAAAGCAACTCAAATCCCCCAGCGGATAGAAAACTTGAATGTCAGGCAGAATAATCAGCTAGAACACACTCTACCTCTGACATGTCCGCTTTCCACAGGCAGGACACATGATGTGAGCAATTGTTTAAACTAGCCACGTCACCCACTCGTGAAGTGGTATAATCACATGGAAGGGCTGTGTACTATGTGGCTTTTAGTTTTTGTTTAAAAATATACATCAGCCTTCAGAGATGATTCGGGAGGAATATTCTTTAGAGGTGCAGTAGAACCTGACTGATCCATATCAGAAGCTCAGTGGGTCAGTTTTTTTGTTGTTATTATTATAAAACAGCAGGTCATCCTTATAGTCTGCAGAAAAGATTATCACAGCCGCCTCTATCAGAGAGATTAAAAAAGAGGCTTGGAAAGCTGAAATGAACATGAAGCTTCTTAAACCCACAAATCTTTGCAAGCAGGCAACATTTTTTAAAATAAATAAATAAATAAATCTTCTGAAACCTGCATGCATTTTGGCTGACTTTCAATTGATACCTTGCAAGTCATAATTTTTAATTTGTATTTTTAATCTGAGTTTTAGGTTTTTGTCATATGTGTGATAAAATTCAGAAGTTCAATTCATTATGTAGCTAATTAGTAATGCAGCAATGTAAATGTCAGTGACATCATATTATTTAAAATAACTTGCAAAACAGGAAAAATATTGTTTATTTTATTTTTTGTAAACTTTTGACATGTTTACAACTGAAGAGACCATAGACATGGCTTGGTGTACTTTGTGCTAATTTTTCCCCCTTCTAAATTCTGCACCAAGCTAAGCTGAATTTTGCAGTGAATAAATTCTGCTGACTATATTTGCTTATTTTTGCCTACTATTATTCTGCTTCTCCAAGGCATGGAGAGGGGCAAAGGTCTGGGCAGAACAGGGTGACTTCACCCTGGCACCTGGAGATCCGGCTCAGCCCCTTATCCTCTGCTCCTCAGAATTAACTAAGACCACTCATCCCATTTCTCATATACTTTCATGCACATCCTTGCTTTAAGGACTAGAGTGGCCCTCATATGAGCTAGAACTGAGAGGTTTTGCAGCTCACTTATCACTAACACATTGTAGTCAATCTGCCTTGGTCCTTCCACTGAATCTTCTTCAATTGTAAGCTCTATTGTTTCTTTACAAAAACATTAGCTGAAAGAGACCAAGAAGCCATTCATAAAATGGTATTTGAGGAATGAATGATTCCTCTGGGCATCATGTCTTGAGTGCCTCTTACTCTACAGAAAACTACTGCTTGCTTTCTCGTCAAGTGATGGGCACCTGATCCTCCTACAGCCTTCCTTGTCCTGAAGTGCATGTCTATTATGCTTGTTATTAAAGGTCCATGGGTCAGATTCAGCTAGCCCATTCCGCCACCGGAAGCCAGTGCAAGGACTCCCACTAGCACATTGGGGCTTCTCCCTGCTCTTCTCCCCCCCCCCCATGCCTTCCTCCAGATCTGCTCTGCAAGGTCAGTGCAGTTTACAGTGGGAGGAAAGCTGAGATCATTCTGTCGGGCAATAAATGCTTGTGCTGATGGAGTGACCTCCATTGTGCTGTATTGAATTCTACCCCATGTTCCTATTTTTAGCAACAGAGATGCTTCAGGGGGACCTGCAACTTCATCTACCTGAGTTCTTTGTGCTTGCTTTCAAAGACGCGCACATAGGATTGCAGCCGAAGGGAGACATAACAGTTTCACTCCCCAGAGCGTTGCTCTCCAAGATGTCTCTGTTTGGTTTGCATTAAAAGCAGGAAAAGCAAAACAACATCAGGGCTACATAACAGAAGCTTTGGTATTCCCTGCAGCCAATTGATCAGTTTAGTATACTTTTTTCCTGTGCTTTGGGCACCTTCAGAATGTATAGCTGGTGAGGTTAAACTAAATCCCAGCGAAGGCTCATTGAAAGCATCTCTCTGCTTCCTGTTTTGATGCAGCAACAGGCTATGTTGAGCACTGGCCAAGGGACAGAGAAACCAGCGTATCTTTAAATCCTTGATCTCCGAAGGAGTTTCTTTAAATACTGCTATTCTCTAAATTTGGGAGCAGGGAGCTAGGTGAGGCAGGCAGAAGATGAGCTAAAATAAAAATACCTATTGGATTATGAGATTGCAGGTGCAAAGCCGGGGGCACTGTCCTTGTATGACAGTCTGTGGATCTGCTGATTGTGTTTCACGGGGATACTTAGCTCATTCTCGGGGGAGAAAATCAGCCCTGACATCTAATATGGAGCTGGTGAAAAATTATTTCAGGGGCCTGGAGGAGGCTGGAAGCAACTCTGCGGAATGCGGCCAAACATTCCCAGCCTAAGAACCTGTATGCTGGTAATTGCCTGGATATACTTGCTTGGCTTAACAGACAGGCTGCTAACACTGCCTTGGCAGAGCAAAGGGAAAAAAGGGCCAGCACCACATTGCCAGGTATAGGATTCTCTTGAAGCCAGTTCCTGCATTACTTGAACGGCATTCACTTGCAAAAGTGCAAGGGCCCTCCACATTCCCTTTCAGGCAAAATTGCAGGGAATCTGAATCCCAAGGCATTATTGCTTTTGTAGGCAAGCACATTTAAAGTGACATAAGGACTGACTCTTGGTAAGCACTGCAAGTCAAAATCAAAATAGCGTGCAGCTAATGAAAGACAATGGGGCAAAATACACAAGGAATGGAGTCGGGCAGGAGCTGCAATAAGCACATTATAGCCCCCCACCCCCGATAATGTGGGACTCACGTTATTCACTCTCAGGGCTGTGGGCTCAGAAGGTTACTTATTCAGCACAGCTGATTTAGCATTGATTCCTGTGAGCTGCTGCAGCCTGTTCCTAGGTGGCTGAGCTGCTTCGTTTTGGCAGGCCAGCAAGATCCATGCAAATATCACATCTGTGGCCTTGTTCTCTGTCTCCATCCAACTGTGTGAGTGTTTCAGTTACCACTAGCAAACGCAGAGCTTGTAGCAACTAGGCTGTGCCGTCGCCACCAAGCGCCTTACTGTGCCAGGGGAACGGAGATGGTCTGCCTTGCTCTTGCTATCTTCCACATGCAGAGCTGGGCAGAAGCTGGGTCTGTTCTCATCAATAGAGCAGAAGTGCAAAGCAGACACTGGCAGCTGTCCGGCTCAGGGCTGGGCAGGATTTTCTGGGGCAGCCCCTTTCTATTCCTTGCATGAGTTTGTAAAATGGGGTGGGCAGGGAGTGGGGGTTAAAACATGCTTGCTAACTCCTGGTGTAAATACTTCCTTTTGAGATGGTTTTTAGCATTTTCATTGGGAACTCCTTTTTTAAAAAGAATCTTCTACTTTTTGGATTGTGATTCCCATCCCCCATTTTGACAAAAATGCCTTTTAATTATTTGTATATTCTTAAAAGTTTGTCTTACTCTGTAAATAACTGTGCTGGATATTTCTTGAGTATTGGAGTTTATGGATCCTGAGATACTTTGTCATTAGCAAGTAGCAGCTCTTGCTCCCAGGCAAAAGAAAACTTGCAGCATCCCTTTTGCCAGTAATGCTCCAATCAGCAACATGTCTCCATTCCCACAGCAGTTGGGCTTTACCTTGGCAAGGTTGGTGTGGAAGGCTTGTGACTGAGCACATCCTGAGATGTGGACAGAGGGTGCAATCTGATCCACAGCTTTGAAGGAATCTCAGCAGAAACTGGGCCACCCTGATCAGCATCCCTAGGGGGACTGGCTGTTGTAAAAATGGCTCCATCCAAATTTTACAGGAGCTAATTCAACTACTAAGTCTCCTGTGCTCACAACTGGTTAAGTTGGTCCTGTCCTGTTTTCTAGTTCCCCCCGTCTCAAAGAAAATCTGTGCATAGCTGAGGGTCTTGGTCATCCTCCATTCCCATGCATCCCATGTGTGCTCTCAGCCCATGTAAAACCCTGCAGCACTTAATGTACAGCTGGATTATTAGTTATTGCCAGTTCAATTCATGCTGAAATCTCTGTCCATCATCCCTTGCTCTCATGCTTCCTGCAGGGATCCTAGCTCTCTGTGTGTGCAATTACTTTGAACTGAGTTGTGTGCAACACAGCACTTGTGTATGGTCTGAAGGCAGTTGAGGCCACAATCTTGCTGAAACTAAGCAGGTCTGGATGTGGTCAGTGCATGGATGGGTGACCATCTCCAAACCCCCATGTATGTATGCCACCTTGGGAGCGGTGTCTCATGATGGTGAAAGGTGGCATATAAATATAAGGAAAAAATAATTCTTATAGAAAGGATTCTCGGGAGGCTGCAATTCTGAGTGTCAAATAAATAGGAAAAATATTTAACCCTTTCCATTTCAGCTGTCTTCCTGCTCAGAACTGCCTCCTTGCTTTTCCTCATGAGCAGTTCCAGATATATATATACAAGGATAAATGAGTATCTGGAGCACCATAAGGATGAAGCAACTTGGGGCATTTTGAGCAGAGCAGCAATCTGCAGTGAAAGGTTTGAGTTCCTTCTCCCGCAACTCTGCAAAAAATTGCAACTGCCTGAAGATTTTTTGGGGGGCACTTTACATATAATTTTTCATTTGCCCATGACACTGGCTTTTGTCAGTAGGGGAGGAGGGGTCAGGGGTCTGTCTGAAAAAGCTCTGCTTGCCATTTTCTCCTGCTTCTGCTAGAAAGCTGGTTTGCAACCATTTCTTCCCAAACTGGGGCAGTCTTCCCACAGATAACTCTGCCAACTCTTTTTATCTGTTCTGTCACCTCTTTGCTCTCTCTGCAACCCCCCCAGCCCAACTCGCAGGTGAAAACAAAACTTCTCCACCCTACACACAATTAATATATGGAATTCTCTGTTCCAGTGTGTGCTGATGGCCACTGCTTAGGTTCAAAAGGTAATTAAATGAATTTGTGAATGGGGATCTTTATATCAGTGACAGTTAGCCATAATGGAACGTCCATGTGTAGATGCACTATGTCACTGAATACCAGTTGCTGAAAGGAAATGGGAGGGGGGAGCTGTTGCCTTCACCCCCTGCTTATGGGCATCCCATAATTATCTGGCTAGCCACTGTGGGAAACAGCACCGATTTAGATGGATGTTTGTCTGATCCAGCTGGTCTCTTGCGAGTAAAGGGAAAAATAAATGGCGCCTTAGAAAGAGCAGAAAGCTAGCTAGTGTTGAAGGGTTCTTAAGTCATCATCACTACAACTCTTTACACATAAGCAGCTTCCCATATGAGACTGAGGCAATAAATTAATTGTGCGAGGACTTTGCCGCTTCAACAGTCTGGGGCCGAGTACACACAATAAATTTCCCAAGGGCCATAGATGCCTGTATTACGCACACACTTATCTGCCCCCTTTCCCGTCCTGCTATAGTAAAATGGGTTTGCCGGATTTTTGAAGCACAACAAAACCAATTCAAACAGAGATCACAGGAAGTGGCTACTACTAAACCATAGTTCAGCACTGTACCCATGAACAGCAGCGAGTCTCAGGCTCATGGGCTCCTCCTTCCCCTCTCTTGTGTTCAGCCACAAGGAGACAGAAAACTTTCGCTTTCATTTTCAGCTAACCAACATTACTCATTATGTCTGAACTGAGAACTGTAGTTTGTGTTAACTGTGATGTAGGGAAACAAGCTAGGATAGGTAACTGTGGTTTGAAGATGACTTATTTCCCTAAATCATAATGTGAGGCAATGTTTGTCCAGGTTCGGAGATAACTACAATTTGTTGACAATGAAAGGAAAGCTTTCAATCTCCTTAGGCAACTGCAGCAGAGGAGGAGCTCACTGCTACTCATGTACGTAGCACTGAACGGTGTGCTAATAAGGCCAGTGTGTGTACTGAAGGGCACAATAATCACATACAAAACTAGAAGAAGAGGAACTTTTCCATATTATAATACTATTAATCAGTCAGGTGGGTGTGCATCTAAGTCAGGGGTCTGCAACCCGCGGCTCCGGAGCCGCATGTGGCTCTTTTACACCTTTGCCGCGGCTCCGGGACGGATACTAGCGAGGGGAGGAGGCGCATTGTGCGCCCCGACACTCCCCACTGTGGCGGGCGCTGTACTGGCTGTGACGTCGCATGGGGCGGTGCGTGCGTTAGTCACGCACCGTCCCGACGTCACCTTCCCGCCCGCCCGCTACATTGTAAGGGGCATGTACGCTGGTCACTGTTTTGAAGGGGAGTGAAGAACACACACACACACAAAAAGGTAACTTTAACGTTTATTTCTATGAGGAGGAGTAATTCTGAGGGGTCAAACAAAGAAATAATAAAAAAGTGACAAAAAAGTTATTTTTATAATGACAAGTTTTGCGGCTCCCAGTTTTTTTTCCTTCAGAAACGGGTCCAAGTGGCTCTTTTTGACTTAAAGGTTGCAGACCCCTGATCTAGGTGACCTACTGACATTGGGTGGGTTTTTTCTCCTCTGGAATTTCATCATGGCACTACTGTTGAACGCTGGTCTTAAATATAGCTAACCACAAGCAGACCATACCCTAAGCTTTATGCCTCCTGCTGTTAGAACATGGAGCACTTGCAGCTGTCTGGCTTTTATAGAGAAATCCTCCCCTCTCGCCTAATAAAAGGGAGTCAAGTGACAACAGGTGCTCACACTTTATCATGTTGCCACCTTAGAGCTTAGAAGTGGTCAGGCTATGGCCAAACTCCTGTTACAACCATCCCCATTCCCATTCCCTAAAAAGAATAAAAGCAAGGGGGTCTGTCATGTAAGGGAGGAATTCCTAGAGCCTCAAGTGGAAACAAGAGTCTATCCTAGCTTTCAGACTAGACTTTTAAGGAGAGGCATTTCTCCTCTTACCCTGTTAACTTTCCTATTCATACCCAGTTTAAACACGTTTCTGGCATCTTTTCAAGACAAACTGATACACACAATGCTGCATACTGCTGGTGCCATGATATGACTGCTTTTCCTGCCCCTTTCAGGTGTAGGCCAGGGATCCATGGCCCGGGTTTATGATAAATGCCTAAGTGACTGGTGCCCCTGTTTAAACAGTGATGTCTGTCTAGTGGAATGCCATGTGGGTAAACTCTTGTGTCGTCGTTTTTAATGTGCTGTTATCATGTTTCAACCAGGTCCCATTCCCTTGGATTTTGCAATATCCCTTCACAGATTTTCAAACACTTTCTCCCCCTTTTGTCTTCGTTGCATCACCAAGCACTGAGTCTTGGCCTCATTTGTTCTGCTGGCCTTTTCTTGCAATGTTTTACTTTAATTGTGCCCTCCCTGCTTCGGCAGGTCCTCTTCGTTTTCACCTCCTTGTTTGCAGTGGAGCTTTCCTTCCATTCTTGATGTTGCTTCTCTTCTTTTGTTTGATCATTTAATCTTTATTTGCCTTCCTCTTACTCAGCCTTTGCCAACCTGGTGCCCTCTAGATGTTTTCAACTCCCATCTTCCCCCTAGCCAGCATGGCTGGGGCTGGAGGAAGTTGTAGTCCAAAACATCTGGAAGGCACCAGGTTAGCAAAGGTTGCTGTAGCCCTCTTCCACTTCCCTAATGCTTTATGTTCCTTGGCATGACGTCCCATTGGCATTCCTCATCTCCACCATAAGCACCACTGTGCTGTCTCAGGGCTGATTCAAATCATTAAATTTCACCACATGATCCTGTACATGTAAACTGACTCTCCGATTGTGGCTGCATTTCTAGTACACAACTGCAGGGGCAAATTCAGCAGTGTGAACAGAGCTCTGTAGTCCCCAGCAATGTATATGTCTAATTTTTATTTCACATGCACATTTCAATGTTCCAATTTTATTATTTTAATCCTCGTATGTTATGTATCGCATTCTTCCCTCTGTATCTTCCTGAATTGGTCCTGCATCCACCCCCTCTTCTTTTCCTTCCTGCTAATCACCACTTGCTCCTTTGTCTTACCATTCATCTTTCTTTTTCTGTCGCTGCTTCTCTTTTCTTCAGCCCTTTGTTCCTCTTTGCAACTTTTTATTTAGCATTTTCTTCCACCTCATGCCTTCCATCCATTATTGCTTGACCACCAATCGTGGTCCTTGGCTTTAAAATCATTGTTCCCTAGAAGGCTGAATCATTCCTAATTGGTTTGTGTTTCTTTCACGTATACACCTATAAATCTGCTCCATCCAGTTTCCAGATGAAATATGGTGGATCCCCAACCCTTCCAAAAATCTGCACCAATTATAGTCCAAGGGCTGATTTTTGCTCACTTTTCTCCTCCTTTTTAAAAAGGTCATAGCCACCCGGAGCAACTCAGACCATACACATTGAAAACTGAGCTACAAGTGTCCCTGGGAGCAGGGAGATGGTATGAGGGAAAACATGGCTGCTACCATGGGGGTAGCCATTTTTTGGTTTGCACAACGGGTCCATGAGTGCTGTCGTGCTTTTTCCTCCTTAACAGTCTCCCTGGAAAGGATGGCACATCATCACATCCCCGTTCTCCCAGGGACATTTGCTGCTCCATTTTCAACATGTACAGCCAGAGCCATGTTTTCTAGCTACTCCAAGTGCCCATTACCAGTTAAAAATATGTGCAAAGCCAGGCAGAGGAGCAACTTGTGGAATTTGGTAAAGGTGTAGAGTCCAAAGCAGACCAGAGTCTAATCTGCATATTGGTGCAGATAAGCTGAGTTGTCTTTAGATTTCAGAACCACCAAATTCTTCAAGCATCACTACTCCCAGTTGTATTCCAGAGTCTGACAACTACTTAATCTTCTCTCTCCTTGTTTTCAGATCCTACTAAGCCACCATAATTGCTCATTGGGAAATGTATTTTGGCTTGTTGACATTTTCACCTTTGACGCTTGCTTGCTTGCTTGCTTGCTTACTCCACATTTTCAGAGAGCACGTTGTGCTTCCTCATCTCCTTCAACAATTCCATTACTCCCTCCTTGCACTTGATCATTTCTTCTCATTGTTTTGACTTCAACTTCTGCATTGCATACAGTTCATGGCTTTTATGCCTCTTTCTTTCACAGTGTTCACCAGTCATTCACTTTGCGCTTTCCTGTCTCCTTGTTCCCATCCTAGTTTCCCTCTGCCCATCACATGCTTTCATGCTCCTCAATTTAATTTCAATCCAGAGGCCCTGGCAGTCCTGAATTGTCTCTCCCCCTTGCCCTTGTCTTCCATCTGCTCCCTCCCTGAGTACATTCCCAACCCTTCCTCAAATGCCTTTCTTTTTTGTCTTTCTTGTTGTTCATTTCATTTATCAGTCACTTTCCACAAAGCATCTCAACTCCCCTTGAGTCTTTTATCTTTCTCACATTCTTGTGGTTCCTCCCATCTTTCCTCTCTTTATCCTTCAAAATACCCCATCTCCCAGGCCCTTTACTGTTTTCAACACTTCTATCCTGCTTTTTTCTCTGACCATCTTCCATGCACACAACTTCTGTACTTCTTCAGTCATGTATCTCCGTTTCCCTTCTGTGCTTTTCTACTGTCCTGCTTTAACCCTGGCTTCCCCAGTCCCACATTGCTCCCTGATTTTTTTTTACTTATACTAGTCCCCTTGTTCATATTCAAATGCTCTTGTATCTCTTCTTTCTGTATTTCTTGTTTGGTCCACCATCTCTTTACTGCTCTGTGATGCTGGTGATTGTGCTCCTTCAGTTTCATTGGTAGTGAACACACACACACAAACACACACTTATGATTCCCTTTTGTCCATGTGTGCACCCCTCCATTTTCCTCTTCTTATTCCAGATCTTACACATTTCTGTTATTCCAGGGATACAGTTTCTCTCTGAAATTAGCCTGTAGTGGTACTATTCCATATTTCCCATCACTCCTTTGACAGCTTTGAATAGCAGGCAATTCCCTCCCCTCCAAGTTCTTAATTTCTCTTCTTTTCCTGATTTCCTGGCTTCAGTTCAAAAGAAGCCCTGATCAAAATAACACGCCACATTCATTACACTGCAGGGTAGATTTAACAGTCATCCATATCAGGCACTCCTTGTGCTGTGCAATAGGGGAGGCATTTATTGCACACTCCCACTCCATAAAGGGTTGTCTTGTTATGCATTGCACCACTCTGTAAATTATCCTTTGTCCATATTCCAGTGTAGGAGGCAGCCATTTCTTCCTGGAAAGCCACACTCCCAAAATATGTCATCAGTGCTAGCACAAAATAGCTGATATTTTACATTTTGTACTAGGGGCACATGTCCAAGGAGAAAAAACATGCCCATCAAGTGTGAAGGGCGTACACAAAGTTTGGTATGTGTCTCTTAACAAAAATCACACGTGTCTTCAGTCCTTTCCAGCTCCTGCTACAGAGTTGTTTTCTTTAAAAAGAGGACATCTAATTTAACATTCTGGAAACAATTGGGTTGTTTGTGCTGTTAAGGGTAGGATGCAGCTCATGCTTATGGTTTCTTTATGATTCCCAGCTAAAATCTGCTGGATCAGACCAAAGGCCTAACATTCTGCCTGTGGGAAGTCTGCAAGCAGGACATGGACACAACAACTCTCCCCTACTCGTGTTCCCAGGCACTGGTATTCTGAAGCATCCTTCCTACAATACTGGTAGCTGTTAATATTCTTAGATCTGTTTGATCCCCTTTTAAAGCTGTACCAGAGCTCCCTCTACATGGTTGAGAGTACCATGAGCACAAATACTCACAAATTCACAATAAGAAGGGCCCCCAAATTAGTGGCCATCATTACACTTTGTGGTAGTGAGTTCCATTGTTTGCACGGTGTCTGGATGCCACCTCCAAAATTCTAGCTCTTCAGTTTGGAAGAGAAACCATTTTCACTGTTGCTGTGATCCATGCTGCTATAGTCCAGAGATTCAAATTGGCCCTCCTGGTAGTTGCACCTTCTTGTTATATTCTGACCTAGTTTTGTGTGAACATGGCAACCATGTGCCCAGTCAACTAATGCCTTCGCTTGCCAAGAGGATTGTAAATATTCACTTTGGATTGGGGCATGTCTTGACCATTGTTTTTGGCAAAGGGTTTCTGTGGGAGGCTGTTTCTCCAGTCTTTAGGTTGAAAAGGTTCTGTCTGGTCAATTTCTTCAATGTCCACAAGCTGGATTTTTTTTAAAACAAAACAAAACAACTCCAAGTTCTCAAACACTTGTAAATGGTCTTGGGGCGTTTTACACTGAATTGTTGTAGAAAATGAGAGTCTAAAATCTGTTGAAAGAGCCATTAAAAAAAACTCTATTAAAAAAAAACCTGTCTCCATTTTGTCATTTTACTTCAGTAGTCATTATGTTGTTGCTTTCAACCTCAGGTCTGACATCTGGTGTCATTGTGGTACCTTTAGGATTCTATCACTCGTACATGAAAGAAAGAGGTAGAATACCCAGGAAATATCACTGCTGTAGTAACTGTTATATAGAGTCCCACATATTATTTTTTAGAGACATCCTCTGTGATTCAGAAGGACTCACTTAGGTCTCTTCACCAGTGTTGTTCTACGGCAAACAAAGCTATAGAGAAAATGTCAACATATAGGTAGGCACAGTACAGAGCCAAATTCACTAAACCAACAAACAGGCAAATTTACCTGCAGCGAAGCTGTTTTTAAATTAATGTTTTATTAGCACTTTAAGCATTTGGAACAGCAACCTATGCTTTTCTAAAAAAAGGAGTATGTGCTAAGAAATGTTGCAACAAATCTCACCATTTCTGGTTTACAAAATGTGTGCATGGAGTAGTAGGAGAAAAGTATTTATTGCTTTAGCACTGCTCTCAGTCTACTAGCGAAGTACGAAATAATGAGCTACTGCTGTGGCTGGGAGCAACTACATATAACAATCTTGCATCCTACCTCCCAGTTCTTTAAAAATGGTTGGAGTCTGATCCTCTCCTTCCTCCAAGGCAGCACACATGGGGCTCATACGTAGTTTGTATTCTTTCCAGATAACAAAGGAGAAAAATAAAAGGTAAGCACACCTGCTGCATATAGTCACTTTGCTCCTGGCTCTCTGCATCTGTTGCAAGATGGGTGCAAAGAATGGACTCAGCTGCTCTTTGTTTGCCAGCAAAAAGAACAGGGTGGTGGCCAGACTGCTCTTGCTGGGCAAGGAGCTCCACAGTGTGGATGCAAACATGAAAAAGGCTCTGCTTCCAACATTCAGCGGTGCAACCTCGAAAGCTGGAATTCAAAGTGGAGTCTCCTCAGTGGACCTCAGTGAATGGTAAGGAATATGTGAAAGATGGCTCTTTAAGGCGAAATATGGAGAAACATGGTATCCTAGGGCAACCGCTTGCCTATCAAAAAGATGGCACTGATTTGAATAAGTTCATTCATAAGTTAGATGTAAATTCGGAAATAATTACTATAATTTAAGTAGAGATACAATGCCTCTCCGTGGGTAGCACTCAAGTCTGCCATCCTGCTGCTAAATGCTGATGGGCAACTTTAAGACTCCTCCCCCTTTCCCTTCCTCAGATAGAGGACTGTCCTCTGTAAAGTTGAGTAAGTGGCCACTCTGTTCCTTGCAGCCTGTTCAGTTTAAAAGGTGAGCCAAAGAAATTGGCACCAGCTGCAGCTTATGGGCCAAGGGCTGCCCCACACAGAGGGCCTTTCAATAATCCATGCAGGATTGTTTTGCCATTGGACTACTTATTATATCCCAGCTCTCTGGGCAAAATTTGTATAGGTCCTTAATCTCAGCATTGTGCTGGGAGGCAGAGTGGCCAAACACTAGATAGTTTATTTTAATTGGAACAATTTAGAAACTGGATCCGGGGAAGGAATTTCCACAAGTACCCTGGGCTGCTGCTTCCAATATAGATGATTAGTACAAGTAAAGTATATTCACCCCCAACCCAGAGGAAGATGCACATACTTGTATCTAATCTAAATCACTAATGCAGCAGTTGCAAAATGTAAGTTTGACTATAGATGAGGATTACTCCACAGGAAGAACTATGAATGGGTAGAATTGTTTATTTTTAATGAACAAAAGCTCTTCAGAGTAGCAAGACAATGGCTAAAATGCTGAACATGCTGAGAAGTGTTCAAACAAACCTACGAAGGGAACATCCCAGTAAGAAAGTTCCTGTTTAATGGGAGTTTTTCACATGACAATAAAAAATGATGCAAGTTCTACAGAACTTACATGAATATTCCTTTTTAAAAAGCAGCAGCAAGCCCTGGTATGCATGATACATATAAAGCGCATGCCTTTCTCCAAAAAATTGGGGCAACTGTAGTTTACGCCTCACAGCTACAGTTCCCAGGAGTCTTTGGGGGAAAGTAAGGGGATTTAAATCTGCTTTAAATGTATGGTGTGTGTAACCTTAAATCCCCATACAGCACTGAAGATCCAGAAAAGCAAATTCAGTCCACCCAAAAGGGTTGTCACTTGCCTCCCAGCCTGGTATGGCCAGTGAATGAAGCTCTGTGGTGAGAGCATCCCTTTGAGAGGAATACCTAGATAAACAATAGAAGGGAGTAGCTCCTGCTCTCTGACCTGCAGTAAGGGTTTGTGGTGGGTAATTTGGCGGTGGGAGTGGGACAGTATTTCCACCAGGGGAAATACAGGGGAAGCCCCGTATCGGCAAGAGCCACACATGAAGCCGCTGGGAGGGAGGCTGTAGGGGCTTCGGCATCCCCACACAACTGGGCCAGGCACCGCAGATTATTGTTAGATTATTGTTAGGGAAGCAGCAACACCTCCCTATCCATTCAGGCGGCTGCATTAGCAGTGGGTGGGCACAATTCTAAAAGCCACAACTCTACAGGGATTTTCAGCTCACCCGCCCCCCCCCATCCCCTTCCATTTCTCCTTTGCTCCTGTTTCCATAGAAGCCACCAAATCTGTTTCCATAGAAACAGAGGTGATTGTTTTGGATTCAGCTGCAATGAAAACAAATGTGGGGAACCTGACAGAGCTGAAAAGGCGATGGCGAGCAGGCAGCGGAGGAGAAAACAATCCAAAAGAGAGGCGCAGGGTAGGCCAGCCTGAAAAAATGGAGCTGGAACTGGACTGGACAGCGGGAAGAAGAGCGAAGGGGTGCAGAATAATGAGGGGGCCTCTATACCTAACAGCTGCCTTGTTTGACCTGCTATATTTTGACAGGGGTTAGGTTAGGGTGGCCAGAATAATTGTGAGGTTTTAGCACAGCATGATAATAATAATAATAAGACAAATTTTAGCGATATCCCGCCTCCCAGCAGCTGGGCTCAGGCGGCTAACAACAAACAAATAATCAAACAACCAAATAATCCAACATTCTAAAAACATTTGATTATAAAATTAATTAAAATCAGTTCACGGCAAACCACAAAGTTCTGTGCAGGTTGCCGGGAGGTGGGAGTACAGGCCTCGGACATGCAGCTGGTGGAGGCCCATCACTGCCCCACTAACCTCAGCCTCCCCTCCGCCACCTCCCACCGGCCTGCTGCCCTATTTGCAACCAGTTCAGGGGCTGCCAGCTTCCTCCTCTCCAGACTCAGTGTTGCCCCTGTGTAACTCAGCAGGAAGTATGAGAGGGACAAAACTAAAATTAGTTTACAGTGGTACATATGCTTCAGGTTACATACGCTTCAGGTTACAGACTCCGCTAACCCAGAAATAGTACCTCGGGTTAAGAACTTTGCTTCAGGATGAGAACAGAACTCGTGCTCCGGTGGCGCAGCGGCAGCGGGAGGCCCCATTAGCTAAAGTGGTGCTTCAGGTTAAGAACAGTTTCAGGTTAAGAATGGACCTCCGGAGCGAATTAAGTTCTTAACCAGAGGTACCACTGTCATTGGCTCTGGCACCACCTCCTCGCCTTCTACCCTTCCAGTCTCCACCAGCACTAGTCACCACTGTGTACAATTCTTCCTTCCTTCCTTCCTTCCTTCCTTCCTTCCTTCCTTCCTTTGTCTTTTTCTTTCTTTCTTTCTCTTTCTTTCTTTCTTTCTTTCTTTCTCCCCACCCCAACTCTTTTTCTTTTTCTTTCCCTGCAATCTGACAGCTGTTCCTGACTCAGTTTATGGCAAATGGGACTCTTCCGGCTTGATCAGCAAGAGATAATAAAATAATAATAATAATAATAATAATGTATGTTGTTTTGTGCACCAGCCCAAGCCATCTTAGTGGGGGCTAAGAAATGGCATGCAGATTTTTAGTTCTCTTTGTGAATGGGTCAGGAGACACATTTGCCATAAACGGGGAGTGCAAAGTTTGTGTCAGCAGATCTGTTTCTTGGCCCAAGCCAGTAATCACAGATAGTCCATTCCATGACTTATACTAGACTAGAGAGGACAGAGGAATATTCTAGAATGAAGATATGGAAGTCTGGTTGTCGCTCTGTGTATATATGTGTGTGTGTGTGTGTGTGTGTGTGTGTGTTATTTAAAGCATTTTTTAATGCTTTTCAGGAGAAAAGGCTCACAAGAGTGGCTTATGTAAGAGCAAGGAAAATGAAATCCATGCCTGAAAGCTAACCATCTAAAAGCCACAACACAAAAGGAAAAGGGGGTTAAGAGGGAGAGGAAAATTCGGGTCATGTCCTACAGCCATCTGTGCCAGAGTGCACAGGAACCAAGAGTTATTCTTCCTATTAGATTGCTAACTGGGACCAGACAAATGGAACACATCTCAGAAGCCTTGGAATAGCTTCACTCACTTCCAGTCTGTTGCCTGGCCAAGTTATTGATTAGAACCTTCAAAGTCCTAACAGTTTTTATATCAAGGACCATCATTTCCTACGCAAACCTGCCAAGATCCACATTACAGGACCCTGAGTGGATCCTTGTAGCTGCAGGGAATTATCCGGGACAGGGCCTTTTCTATTGCAATTCCCCACCTTTGGAACTCTTTCCTCAGGAGAGCTCACTCATCTTTGCCTCTGTTACTTTTTCAGTGCCAAGTTAATATTTATTTTATTCATGAAGGCTTTTTAGGATGGGAGTTTGTTTCAAAGCCCTTCAGAATCTTTGCAGTGGTATAATAATCTCAACAAAGATTCATTTAGTATCAAAAACATTCACATAAACAAATTATTCTATGTGATATTACAAAGAATATTTGATGTTTATGTGCGGCAGTTGCTTGGTGTGGCAAAAGACTAAGTCTTACCCTGTTTGTATATCTAAACCAAATATAGATGTCCAGATAAACTTTGGGTTTAAATCTCAGAACAGCTACTGGTTTCTGCTGAACTGTGACCTTATGGGAGTTTTTTTCCCTAGGAAGCGCTGATACAGAATAAAGCTTGAAATGTGACCTTGACATAACCTAAAGGCCAAAATATAATATAAAATTACATACTTGAAAGGGTGAGCATTTCTGCACAGATGACATATGAAGCAACTGGCAGAAGACGTGGCTGTTTTTTGATGTTGTTGCTTGTGGCAAACAGATCATTTGAATTGTTTGCCACAAGCGAAAGCTGCAATTTTGCATCTGACCCAAAACCTGTGTGTATATTTAGGGACAGCAAGATTCTGCTTACGGCTAATACATCTGTTCAATGTGAACTGCACAACTAACATATAAACAGTTGCCACACAGGGATGGCCTACCATCCGTTCAAGTTTGGGGAACCTTTCCCAGCCCAAGAAGAGGCGCATTCGCTTCTCGGTCACATGCCCAAGAAGGGCCAGATGCAAAAATGGGAGGAGCAACAAATGTAAATTTTTGTCCTTGTTCTGTAGGCTATGTTCTACACACACACCTCCCTGTCCTCCATCCAAGGGGGATGATCAGAGTTTAAATACACATCCCAGCAAGGCACAAACACCCTTTGGAGGTGTGAAGAACCATTCCTGGGGGAAGTGGGTGAGGCTGGGGAGGGCGTGGGAGCACACTAGGCCCCTGAGCCTGAGGTACCCCACTCCTGCACTAGACCGAGGGAGGTGGCTACCTCAGGTGGCAAATGCCAGCAGTGCATGTTTGATCCCTGCAAAGGACAGCTGCATATTCCTGCATTGCAGGCTGCTGGACAAGATGATCCTCACAGCTCCTTCCAACTCTATAATTCTATGAGAACTACACTAGCTCCCAGGACGTTTCCAAGCACAATTCAAGGTGTTGGTGCTGACCTTTAAAGCCCTAAACGGCCTCGGTCCAGTATACCTGAAGGAGCATCTCCACCCCCATCGTTCTGCCCGGACACTGAGGTCCAGCGCCGAGGGCCTTCTGGCAGTTCCCTCACTGCGAGAAGCCAAGTTACAGGGAACCAGGCAGAGGGCCTTCTCAGTAGTGGCACCCGCCCTGTGGAATGCCCTCCCACCAGATGTCAAAGAGAAGAACAACTACCAGACTTTTAGAAGACATCTGAAGGCAGCCCTGTTTAGGGAAGCTTTCAATGTTTAATAGACTATTGTATTTTAATATTCTGTTGGAAGCTGCCCAGAGTGGCTGGGGAAACCCAGCCAGATGGGCGGGGTATAAATAATAAATTATGATGATGATGATGATGATATATACCCCTGCCCTTTCAGAGCTCCGTAAGCTAGCTTTCTTTCCTCAGGTATATGAGGAATATGAGGTATATGCAGCCCGGTCAGATTCTGCATGTGGAATGAGGGGGCTGCTGCCCCACACAACCTTGAATATCAGTAAGCAGCAGCACTATGCCAATGAACAGCACTCTATGGTTGTACTTTACTAAATCGCCAGCTTATAGCTTGAAAGTTCCCCTGAGTCACCGGAGGAACTGAATACGTATTTCTTTCATGTCAATCATGAGGATTGGCCAGGAATAAAGTAAGCACAGTCACAAAGCTGTCCAGTGAAAATGCTAATTACATGCTTGCTGCCGTTCTTAAAATCCCATCTGAGGACATATGTGAAGCAAATTTCTAATTCTGCACTGCCCCCTGGCGTTCAGCCAGCATAAGCAACCTTCCTTCAAACAGGTTATAATAATAATAATTTTATTATATATACCCCGCCCACGATTCTGAGTTGCCCCAGCCACTCTGCCCTAGGCTCTGCAAACTAGGTGACCAACTATGGTTTGTCAAGGCAGTGGCTTTCTGTGCTCTGTGGCGGAGTATAAAATCGTTGTGAGGCATAACTTAGCTGTGTATAGTACTAAGCCCCACAGCGAACACAGCCTAACTAACATTGTGACACAAAATTAATGCCAGTACAAGAAGCTTACTATCCACACCAAGTGATGGTATGGATAAGCCCTGAGTTACTATACTGTAATGGAAAATCTTATATGGTCTCTTTGGGCCAAAACAAAATACTTCTCAGGTGCAGACTATCCTAGCAAAAGCTGGATTATGTCTTCATTTATTAAAAGCATTTATAAACTGCTTAATATTTTTAAAAAATCTCTAAGTGGTGTAGAACATAAAACAGAAGCATAAAAACATATAAAATCAAATAAAATCAGGATCTGGTTGTATTTATTTTTAAGCATTTATAAATATTAATGGTACCTCATAACACTATAGTATCTTTATTGATTTATAAAGGTATTTATATACTTTCCACTCATAAATTTGTGAAGCAATATAAGAACTCTGAAAGAAAGAAAGAAAGAAAATCAGTACAGAACAATCATTAAAATGATTGCCTACTCAAGAAACTTGTAAACAGCCGCAAAGGCCTGTTGACATTAAAAAGTTTTCAAGAGATGCCTGCAAGTCAGAAGTGAGGATGCCTGTCAAACCTCTGCCAGAAGAATTTTCCTTAGTGTTCTAGAAACACCAATCAGATAAGAATAGCATAAGAGAGGCTCAAAGGAGATTTAAGCATCAGGTTGAAGAGCCAATTCGTCATCAGGTTGAAGAGCAGGGGTCAGCAAACTTGCCGCACCTCTGGCCAGTGTCTCCGGCACCAATCGCGCGGCAGGCCAGAGAGCGTGTGCCCATACGCGTGCGCACACACTATTTCCGGCGCACTTCCGGGTTGGAGGAGCACCAACCCGGTGTGCATGTGCGCGGGCCTCCTCCAACCCAGGTGTGCACTGGAAATAATGCTTGCGCATGCGCAAATAACACTTGCACATGAGCACAAGCTATTTCCGGTGCTCCTCTGACCCGGAAGTGGGCAGCCGCACAGCGCAGCGCTGGTAAGAGTGGGCGGCAGTAGCGGGGGTCACCGCGGGATGGATAAACGAGTCCCTCAGGCCTTATCCGGCCCATGGGCCTTAGTTTGGGGACCCTTGTTGAAGAGCTTGCATTTAAGCCAATTCGTCAAATACTTTGCCTTCCTGCAGAATCTGTATTTCTCCAACAGAGGGCAGGAAACCCCCACTTTTCTGTTGACAAGTTGACCATGCCATTCCTAGACAAATGTCTCCTCTGTGCACATCTACAGAAAGTGTGTCTGGTCAAAAAGCTACATTCAGGTAGCTGATTACTTCAGAACAGAAACAAGCAAGAGAGTTAGGTGATGATGCTGTGTTCAGTCCAGATTCTTAAGACTGACAGCTTTACAGCAAAGCCAACAAAAGCTTTCTTCAGAAGTATCAATCGTGAAGATGAAATGTGTGAAGGAGCCGTACTAACTAGCCCCACTTCTTTCTTTGTGAGGAATGGTTGAGGGAGTTGAGTACAATCTAGCCTGGTGAGAGAAGACAAGAGAGGTGATATGGTAGCCAACTTCAAATAGGTTAAGGGCTGCCATATGGAAGGCAGACTCCTTCATCTGAGATTTTCACACAGAAGTTGGATGGCCATCTGTCAGGGATTCTAGATGATCCTTGGGACCCTTTCCTACTCTACAATTATATGATTCTATTATGTCTATGGTTGCCAGGTCAGGAGCATCCCAGACCCTGGGATTTCAGGGCCCAAAGCTGCATGCAGTCCCTTTAATAAATAAATCCAAATTTAAGAGGCACCCTTCCCAGTAGGAAACTTAAGCCCTCTCCCTGTCACTTGGTAGTGGCCAGGCAAATCTGGAGACTTCAGGTCAGCCCTGGGGGAGTCCGACAGCCCTACTGATGATGCTCAGGCTTGCCCTGCCGACTGGAATCTATGTGCTCAGTGTGGTTATCTGCAACACAGATGCGTTTGCACAGACCTTGGACCCTTCCCACACCCCCTTGTTCCTATCTGCCAATGTCTCCCCAAAGCCACTTTCTCCCACCTGGGTTCTGGAGTCCAGAAAAAAAGATCTAAAACTAATGGAAGAGCAGAATGACTTAGAGGGGAAGAGTTAAGTAAGCCCTCACCATCCTCTTCAGCTCTGCATTAGGATGTTTCCATTGACCCTCAGTCCTGCAAAAAGGACGACGATATGAAAGCCCTGCCTGCAATCCTGCTGAAAGTTTTATCTTCCACATATACAGAAACAAAGGGCAGTCAAATGAAAGGTTAAAATCAAGAAACCAGCATTATTTATCATTCCTTTGGGTCCCTAAGCAAAAAAATAAAGTGAGGCTCTCCTTGGTCAAGCTACTTGGGGGCCACATGATTCCCCCCAGCCATAACATCATCCTCCCTCAGCAGTTTGGCCAAAGAGAGTTCATGCACCCACTCAGGAAGTTGGCAGGAAGGAGTAATTGGAAAGGCAGGTTGACAGACACTCCACTGTCTCTTTGTGTTTCCATCTATTGCCTTTGTTTTGAAATCTTTTGTGCACCACGTTCATGCCATTGGGATGGATGTGTAGAAGGAATACATTAATTACATTGGACAGCAGTTCAGTTAAGAAGGCAGGCTGTATTTATGCCATTGGTATGCAGCAAGGATAGCCAATGTGGTGTCTGCCAGATGTTGCAGGACTTCCACCAGCCCCAGCTGGCTTCAGGGATTATCAGTGTTGTTGCCCTCCAGAAGCTGTTGGGTGTGAGGTTTCCTCTAGTATCCAGAGGAAACAAGAACCCACCCACCCCGCTCAGCTTCACTGTGCATTGCTATTCTGATATGATATAGATCAGCCTTTCTCAACATTGGGTCCCCAGATGTTGTTAGACTACAGCTCCCATCATCACAGCCTAGCAGGACCAGTGGTCAGGGATGATGGGAGTTGTAGTCCAATAACACCTGGGCACCCAAGGTTGAGAAAGGCAGATCTAGATGCTCCCACTCACAAGAAGGCTCACAAGAAGCTCCCTCGGTTTTTCTTACAAGAAGTACAAGAGTGGAAACTTACCAGAAGAGACAATGGAAACACAAGTCTATTTCACTTAACTAACCTTGACAGTGTCCTTTCATCTTCACTGTCCAAGCAGTAAATTGATACCATCTCATAGAGGCTCAGCTTGGCCTTTCAATAGTTCCCAACTGTGGAGTCATGTCAAGCATTTGCCGATGTCAGTCTGAATTCCTTCCAGTTCCCTTGATCTTTTATTCCTCAACTCACTCAAACTTGGGCTGCACTTTTCTTCTCGTCTCCAATTCAAAGGAGTAACATCTCTGCATCTAATTCTTTAGTTTGTAGAAGTCCTCAGGTGCATCACACAGGCTATTTCAGTCCTGGGGAAGCTCCCCCTCCCTTCCTTCTATTAAGCTCTCAAAGGCCACTAAAAGGTGCTTCATGTGAATGCAGCTGCTGGTGTCTGCCAGCATTAAGTGACAAGGTCCTGTCCTGAGCAATGCTCTCAGCCATTTCAGTCTATACTGAACAGAAGGATGTGATCAGCCCTAAACCACTGTTGACAGCAAGGTGCAGAGTGCAGGCATCTACAGCAAAGTTCTGCAGCAGAGTTTTGGAAGCCACAATGCTTCTGAATACCAGCTGGAGGAAACCAGAGGAGGGGAGAGTCCTCTTGTGCTCAGGTCCTGCTTGCTGTTTTGCCACAGGCATCTGGTTGGCCTCTGTGAGAACAGGATGCTGGACTAGGTGGACAATTGACCTGATCCAGCAGTCTATTCTTATGTTATGTCCAGACCTTTCTGAGCTGGGGAGGTGGAGGCTGAGAAAGAGAAACCACAAAGGCTGAGAAGAAGAAGTAATTTTTGCCAGTTCAAGAACATCAAGGTTCACATGAGGTTGCCAGCATAACATCCTTAGCAAAGCCAAGTCTTTTCTTCTTAAAGTGTTCTGTATTTATTACCTTTGGCTGTGCAAAAACCATACATTTAAAATACATTTCCCCACTCAGTGAACCCTAGTAACTATAGTTCATCCCCCACATTGTATCCTCACTACAAGGAAGGCTAAGCAGAGGAACAATGATTTGTCTAGGGTCACCTAAACATTTTCTGAGTTGGGATTTGAATGTGACTCTCCCAAATCTAAATCCAGCCCTTAAAAACTTGATTCCCATACCAGAAAACAAGAATCAAGAGTTTGGGTATTGCAGTAAAGGGAACCCCATCAAGTATATAAGACTTCCACAGTCTGCAAATGCGACATGAAGACTGGGAATCCCTTGCAGACGACGACAGTTGCCTGGAGACAGAGGCCATCAGTTGTGCAGCCATAGTAGTGACCAGAGGAGGAATGACTGTTGGGAGAAAATGCCATGGTGCATCTGCAGCAGCACAAGTGGACACCTTCATCTGCTCCAGCTGCAACAAAACATGTCTCTCCTGTATCGGTCTCTCGGTTTTTTACTCAATATTAGGCTTAGAAATGCAGCCTCTTGGAATAATGGTGTTGCTCCAAGTAAATCTCCACTCTCCACTTCCTCAATCGTCAACAGCACCACCCGCCTTACGGTGGCTGCTTAGGGTCATTTGTCTCCAAGCCTTTTGCTCTCCTACTTTCAATGCTGCCGGGTTCTGGGAGAAGGGGGGTCTGGAATGCTTTCTAGTGATAACGTGTCAGCCAGCTGTTCCGGCTCTGCCTCTCCCATTATTTCCCAACTTTGCCCTTCATCTGCCTCGGAGCTATCTCCTGCAAACCACTGTTGTAATTCTGAACTGTCTTCCTCTTCTCTGGAAGGTTCAGGCTGGGGAGGCAATCTTCACCACTCCTCCTCTGTCCAGTCCCTGACAGTTCCCTTGTTATACCAGTTTGCCTTATTTTGACTAATGCCCAGTCCTTTGTCACACAACTTTGCTTCCTTCTGCTCCTACGTGATGCATTGCATATTTTACTGTCAATTTCAAAATGCCTTCAGGGACTGGGTAGCGCTGCCTGCTAGACAAGTCTACTTCACTGTAATATAACTGAAGCACAGGAAATATTTTCATGCAACAGTCTTACAAAGTGTTGCTAATTTCAGTAGTTATTATGTAATTTTGCTCATTCCTTGCGAACTTTCTTCTAAGAAACTCCAAGTACATTTCTTTCTAGTCCTCACAGACCAATAAAGCTTGGCTTTCAAAACACAGAAACATTCCAAAACTCTTGCAAAGAGTCTGTAGGAGAGTTAGGAATATAAAAAGGGTGGACAAATCTGATAAGAACTCCTTCAGCATTTAAACGCCCTCATCACAAACACTATTTGCTCTTAATAAATGCTCGTGTTATACCAAAGAAACCTAAATGTGCTTGCTACATAAATTTCTGTATTCAGAAGTTATTTTAGAGACAAGCCGCAACAATGTCTAACTCCAAAATAATGTCTTTAGAAAAACAAACTGCTACCCATACAGAAAGTGTATGATAAACGATTCCTCTGACAGCAGGCTGCAGAAATAAATGTACGTACAATTTTCAGGAAGTCAAATCTGCATGCCAGATCTGTGAGCTGCGGAATACACATTGCCATGGTTACAGACCATCTCACTTAGGGCACTGTCAATAGTGCCTCCCCACACTCAGTGAGCAAGGTTATGAGGAGAATCCATGACTAGGGCTGTGTACACACACCTTTTAAAGCACATTTGAAGCTCATGCTTTACCTCAAAGAATTCTGGGCGCTGTAGTTTGTTAAAGGGTTGCTGGCAATTGTAAGAGGTGAACTACAGTGCCCAGAATTCTTTGAGGTAAAGAATGAGCTTTGAATGTGCTTTGAAGGTATAGCACTGTGTACAAATCCTATGTTGTGTCAACTTGACTGAATCTGAACCTAGACTGACAAATCATGTAGGGCTGCTGCTTGAATGTTGAGCGAACATGCAGCTAATTTGGGCTGAGGTGGTGATGAGTGGGAGAGTCTGGTTGAAATGTTTGTGATGGAAATTTCCCTATCTCATACTCTCAGCATCCACTACCAAATTTTATTATTGGCATATGCTTACACACCACACAGTGTTAGAAAGGAACTTGAATATACAGGATCAAACTAAGGGAGCATTTTTAAATTGTTGTTGTGCTTGTAAGTTGTTTTAGGTCACTTTTATGAAGAAAGAGAGTAATGAATGTAAATCATAACATCACACTGCTTGAGCTTGGAAGACCTCCTCTGTTTCTCCCAACACTCTTGGGTGTTAAGATTAGCACAATGAGTTTTCTTGAGAGTTCCTTCACCCTCTGAAGTGTGGGGAATGGTATCCAAAGAGAGGGCTTTCTCTGTGGCAGCCCCTAAATTGTGGAATTCCCTCCCTATAGACATGTGTCTAGCATCAACATGGTACAGCTTCTGCCATATGTAGAGGACATACCTTTTCCCCCTGATCTTTGGCACTTGAAATAAACATATTTTGGGACTTACCTTATTCTTCTGATCTTTCTTCTAACTAATTTTAATATTTGTATTTGTTGTAACCTGCTCTGGGACCTTATGATGAAGGGTACGAAATTCAGTAGATGATTATGCGAATCCTCTACCTTTACATGCTGAGATCTAATTGTTCCAGCAGGTGGCAGATGATCTACAGTGTGTTGATATGTCAAAGTTTATCAGGGAATCTGACTTTGCCCATCCTGGTGGCCTGTTGGGAAGATGTCTGTTAAGAGCTACAGCAACTGTTTTTGTCTTAGGATAGGATCAAAGAGTGTATGTGGCCATTGGATTTGCTAAACACACAGGAGGAGCTGAAGGAAAACAGTGGGGTTACTCTCCCTGTTTCAAATACAGAGAGTGATTAGCAGGTCATTCAGAGAGTCAGTGACTTGCTGGGGTATTTCTAGTTGTGCCCAGTTCCTGGCAGATGATGGAGAGTAGATGGTGCAACTGCCCTGCCTAAAAAAAATAAATCAATCATGGCAGGGTCCTCTCTCTTTTGGCATATGTTGATTTGTAAAATGCACAGTGAATTAATCAGGATTGGTGCTTTGGGAATCTGCAGCATCACAATTGACAGGCAAAGGAAGGAGTTAATAGGAAGGGGTGACCCAGTGACTTGTATATTCTGCAATTCTCACAAATTATATCCAAAAAAATATGAACGCAATTCATGATCCATGCTATTGTAGCTTACAGCTGCAATAAACAGTGCACAGCCAGCAGCAGCAGCAACAAGAAAAGAAGAGCTAAAAACATCAGACCAGACAGAAATCTCTTTTCTAGATTAAATTGTCTTAACTCCTGGAAGAAAAATATGAAGCAAACAAGAAAAAAAACATGTAAGTGTAATCCCAGGACAAGTTATTTCCCTGTTAATAATTTGCGGCCAGCTTATTACAAAATGTAGTGTGATATTAGGCAAGGCTTATTTTAGCCAAGGTGTTTGGCTGAACATAGTAAGGTTATCTCCAGGCAAAGGCTTCTCATCTGCTAAAAAGAGAATGGCACTCTGAGCCTAAATATATTTACTTTGGAAGAGGACCCATTTATTTAAGTGGAATGTACTACCACATAATGGTTTTAGGTTTATGGTGTAAAGGCACAATGCTATGCTGCAGTTAATGTGGGCTGACCTGCCTTGGGGAAGTAGCATAAGTGCTACTCTGCTGGTAGAGACAGAGCTATGCCAGTAGAATGACACTGCTGGCAGAAGGCAGCCCTGTATAGGAAAGCTTTTTAAGGTTTAATGCTTTACTATGTTTTTATATATGCTAGAAGCCATCCAGAATGGCTGGGGCAATCCAGTCAGATGGGAAGGGTACTACTACTACTACTACTACTACTACTAATAATAATAATAATATGCCAATGGAACTCTTGTGGTATTCCAGCAGCAACAACAAAAAGCCCTCTTGTTGGCATATTCTACCGGTGAAGTAACAGCAACAGAGCAAGCATAACCCGGGTGGGGATGTGAGTGCGTCATGGGCATAATGTAGTTATGTCACATCCTTCATTGCAGTAACACATTCACACTGACTGCACAACTTTGCAACACATAAAGAGCTGGTGTATGTAATTTCCTTCCCATGGAAGTCAGTGGGAGGGGATTTTATTTTATTTTTTAACTGTGCCCACTTCCTTCTATGACAGCAGAGCTTAGAATGTGATGTCACTCAACACCTCAAGCAGGGACCCGTCTGCACTATACATTCAAAAGACTATCATGCCACTGTAAAGAGTCAAGGAGGCTTCCTACAAATAATCCTGGTAACTGTATAGTTTATTAATGCTGCTGAGAGCTGTCGGGAGACCCTTATTTCTCTCACAGAGCTACAGTTCTGAGTGGTTTAACTATCAATCCCTCTCCCCAAGAAACTCTGACCAGCAACGGTGAGAATGGGCAGTTCCACACCATACATTTAAAGCACATGCAATGCATACTTAAAGCACATGACTTCCTCCAAAGAATGCTGGGAACTACAGTTCCTCCAAAGAGCTATGATTCCTGACACCCTTAACAGACTACAGTTCCCGGATCCTTTGGTGGAAGTCATGTGCTTGGATGTGCTTTAAATGTATGGTGTGCATTTGCCCTAAGCTCCCTGCTGCTGCTGTTGACCTGCTTGCTCCAGGCAAGCTCTGTACCCTTGTATGCTCCATGTCAGACAGCTATACTGTGAAAAGTGTTCCTAACCTGCTCCTGGTGACTTGAGGGACACGGCAACTACTCTTCTGCTGCCTGTCAAATCAATGTCCAAGAGACAACTTGGCAATCCTACCCATGCCTTTGCTTTTTTATGATCTCATCTATTCCAGATGCTGTTCAATAAAGGCTTTGGCATTGCCATATGGGTTGTTTCTTTGTCACATTAGAGTGGGTAGAGAAGGAGCCCTTTCCCATATCCAGATGTGAGCTGGCTTCAGGACAGAATTTGGAGGGGAATGTGCAAAGATCCTGGTGGGCTCAGTCAGTGGCTTGTTTTTTTCCTGTTCACCACACCACAGATGCCCAATCCCTGACCTGCTTGTCTGTGCAGAAAGCAGAAGGGCACAGGTGACATATATCACATTGAAAGATGAACAGACGATTCCCCTGGAAACCGAAAGTTGGAGAATGGCAGCTGGCAGCTTTTGTAGTTCAAGAAGACAAGGAGGGGATCACACCATGCCAAAGTACAGGTCCATGTTCCCCAAACTCCCCACTGTTGCCACCAAAGACAACTTGAAATTTACTGAGGGACTTGGCAGAGCCCTTAACTATTGTTCTGCCTTTCCATAGCAATTGTTATGTTCTGTGCTGGATACTTCTTTCATTGTATTTCATTGTGTTCCATGGAATTCAAATTGCAATACAAGATAAGAAATATAAGAAGCAAGTCAAATACAATTCAAAATCAACATGAATATTTTAATGCAATGGATGCACCATCTCCAGTCTTCAACCACAAATACACAGACACACTGTAGACCAGCTGAATGATGCCCACAGACCACTGGCGGTCTGTGGATCACAGTTTAAGACCTCCTAGTATAGCACTCTTCTATGAAGTGCTGCTAAGAAGATGTCAATGAACTTTGCTAACTTCCAGGTTACTACTGTCCAGCATTAACCTGGCCTTGACTGCTAGGAAGCTGGTGCCAGGCTCTCCATTGTGAAAGAAAGGTGGTATGATTTTGAATTGCGTCCTGTATGTGAATCACGCCATTGCTGAGTCATAGTTCTGGAGAGAATGAACTTTTCTCAGGCACAGTGTGCCAAATGTGAATTCCTGGGTCCAGCCTCATTGAAATGTTGGACAGAGGGTGCTGCCAGACAACCTGTTCATTGAGCATTCTTTCTGATTTGTTTGGAGGGAGTTTAGATGGTGTTGGCCATTTAATGAGCATTCACTCCAATTTGTTTGTGGGGAGGCTAGACTTGTGTCAAAGCAAGTGTTATCCTGCACTACATATTCCTGTCACTTTCCTTATTGCCAAAAGCCCTGTAATGCTTCTCTCCATCCCAGCTGGCAGCCGAATCTTACTCCAACACTGGCAACAGGATAGCATCCTCCAAGACACCTGAAGCCTAGTTTAGGGAGTGCAGTACTCCCCAAACACAGCTCTATCTTCCTACTGAAAGGAATGGCTGGGGGCTGCTGCTGCCTGACCTGCTTGCCTCATCAGTGAACTCTGCCTGATGGTAAGGCTGTTGTGTTTTTCATTTTAAATGTGAGGCTACATTTATTTATTTTTAATCCATTTCTTTACATTAGTTTTGTGCTATGAACCTTAAATGTCTCTCTGTTGGCTAGGCAGTAAATTCAATGTTGAAAGGGTTATTTGCTGTGTTTTTTCATGATTTAGCAATGTTCCCATGGCAGAAACAGCAGGAGAGGCTCAGCAGCACTTTATATACTTTGACTGTTTGTAGACCGATTAATATACAAAATTTTACTTAAGTGGGGTGTACAGAAAACTAAAACGACAAATGTTACAGAAATGCACAATAAAACCATTACAGTGGTACCTCGGGTTAAGGCACCAAGGTTGATGGAACTTCCTTAGTCTGTGTCTCACTCTGCTGCTGTCCACACACACACACACACACACACACAGTTCCAGGCCACAGCACATTTGATTAGGATAATTTCTCAGGAAGCCTAAAGAACGGCAAATGGGAGACCCCCTCCACGCACAGTTCTTTCTCTGGCCTCTGAGCACCTATCCTCCAGCTACTCTATGCTAAGAGTCCTGGCAGTGCTAAACTACGGCTTAGCGCAAATGCATGAACCTGAAGGCTCTTGGAGAGGAAGAGATCCTGTCTGCTCTGCTCCTTCTCTAGTCTGGCTGCTGCTGTGCTGCTGTTAGCTAAGTCATGGTTTGGCTTAATGTGCCATCCTCCTTGCTGGAGGAGACCAACCATAAACCTGGATTTGGACAACATCACGTGCTAAGGCAAACCATGCTTAGCTTGCGGTAGCGCATAAGTAGCAGGACCAGGGGAGGAGCCCAGTGGCCATCTCCTCTCCAGAAACCCTCATACTTGCATGTTTGTGCTAAGCTACAGTTTGGCAAGCATGATGTATGAACCAACTCAGGTGTTGCAGTAAAAACAAGAGAATCTTGTGAGATCTTTAAAACTACACATTTTTCTTTGCACCCATATGCATATATACCTGCCAACTGAAGACTTCACTTCATAAATCTGATTAAATGGACTCCAGTTCATTAAATCTTATGCTAAAACAATCTTGTCCTGTACATAATTACTCAGATGATAAGCCCCTTTCAATTCAGCGAGACTTACTTTTAGGAAAATATATACAGGGCTGCAGCCTAAAGTTTGAAAGCTTTGAAGGTGCCACAAGATTTGTTATCATTGTATCAAAGGCGGTTTTGTGCATGGGGTGGCAGCTGTGTGTTGCAGCTTGTGAGGAGGGGTCAATTAGAAAAATAGCATATAGGAAGGGGTAACCCGCTCCCCTGACGCCTGACAATTAGAATTGCTCCCTACTTCTTTTTGAAATAAGACCATATCCACAGAACTCCCAAGCTACCTCTAATTTCGTCTTTGGGCATTTAAAGATGCTTTGGAGGGCAGGAGGAGTATCTCATGTTTCAAAGTTGTTCTCTTTATGGTCGAGCACACTTTTAAGGACCTACAGAAGAGAACGTTCAGCCCAATCCTGTCCAAATTCTAAGTTCCACCAGGACCTACCTGTGGCTGTCACGTGTGTCCAGAGACACTGCCTCGTGGTTCTACTTCCTCTCATTTCCTCCTTAAAACTAGGCTAGGCCATAACTGGAATACTTGGCTCAAGGTCGGGCAGTGAACTGGGTGGAGGTTAGAACCCAGCTTTGCCTCACCTCTGTTTGAGGCAAAGGAGCAGGCGGGAGCTGCGGCCTGCGGCCAAGGCGGGCCTCCCAGCAGCAGCGGCGGCGGCGGCGGCTCCAGGCCTGGGCGGAGCTTGGCGCGGCTGCCTCCCTTTCCCGCCGGCACCTCCCCGGCTCCTCCTCCTCCTCCTCCTGAGGCTGGAGGAGGCGGTGCCACAGCGGTGTTTCCTAGTCGAGGCGCCCGCCGCCTGCTCACTCGCTGGCCGCCCGCCGCTTCAGCGCCGTCTCGCTGCGTCTCTCGCCTGGAGCCCGACGAGATGGTGTTGCCCGACGAGAAGTGCGCCGCCGCCGGGGTGTACCGGGCGCCCCCGGACCTGGCTCGGGAGGCGCATGTGCCTTCCTTGGAAAAGTACCGGGAGCTTTACAGCCGCTCGGTGGAGGAGCCGCAGGGTGAGCGAGGGGCCAGGCCCCGGCGCGGCGCGAGGTTCCCGGGCAAGCTTCAAAGCCAGCCTCCAGGCCCGTGCCGCTCGCCGGCCGCCGTGCCAAGGGCGGGGAGGAGGCGGCGGCTTGGCAGGGGGAGAGCGGCCGCCGCCGTGTGCGAAGTTTCCCAAGGGCGACTTGGTCCGGGTCCACATCTTCGCCTTCCTCGTGGGCTTGCATGGCTCTCTCTCCTCCACGCCCTTTCCGACTCGGCGCCAGCTCCTTGTTGATATGCGCCCGCAGCGTTTAGAGGAGTGCCTCGGGGCCTTGTGCCCTTGCTTGCCCCGGTGGGTGGTACCCTCTGGACGGGCTGCTCAGGTTGCTGTGCTCCATTCGGGAGCCTTCGGGTAGTAACAGGTGTGGCGGCAACCGACGCATCTCCCTGCTCGTCTTACTTTGCCCGGGTGGTCCGTCCCCCCGCGCGAATGTGCGCGCGGTGGGGCAGCCTTCGTGGGCACCCCAGCCTCAAGTCAAGGCTGTTGCATGCTAAGGCTCGCAAGCATTAGCGTCATGCTAGTTAGAGTTTCCGCAAAGGTACAAGGCAGAGTCCTCCTCTGCTGTTGAACTTCTGTTGGAGATTGAAGCAAGGGATGCGTCTAAGCTCAATACTTGGGAGGCCAGGGGTCCTGTGTTGTAAGAAAGCGACCGTGTTACTTGGAAGACAGTACTGTGTTAGCAGTTTGGGTGATGCCCAACTGTGTACATGAGTTTTCCTTGTAAATTCCTAGAGCTTTGCTACCGCTTTTGCAAGCATGCCAAGCTCAGCAGACTTTTCCCTTGTGGAAATGCGCGGCGCTGAGCTAACATTGCTTGATAATTCAGTCAGGGGTATGTGCTAAATGCACAACACCTGGGCTAATTTCCCCCCAAATATGATTATTGGCTAGATGTTACACAAGTTAAACCCTCTGTGAGTAGTGGAAGAAAGTGGTAATCTTGCAATTCTGCGCTCTCTCTCTGTGTGTGTGTGTGTGTGTGTGAGAGAGAGAGAGAGATTGATTTGTGAGGCCTGGGTCCATATTGTGCAAATTCCTGGGCTGTGTTAGCTAGCAACAGGACCTGACCTGAATCATATTGTGATGGTTCTGGGGGCTTCCAAGAGGGTTGCATGGGATATATGGCACTCTCCTAGTGTTGTATAGGGACTGGTTTGCCTTTGGATTCCAGAACTGTGGTAGTAGTTGGGCAAATAACATTTGAGTTTTATTTGTAGAGGAAAAATCCTTGGGAAAATGATAGCATCACCATGTCATCTGGGTAGATTGTGTTGTATAGCGATAACTTCAGCAGTACTTCCCTTCTTCACTGCCAACTGAGGTTGGGTTTAGGCAGCCTGTTTACTGAGGATTCATCTTGGAGTTTTTTTGCATAAAGTTTGTGGGGAAGTTATGCAACTGAAAATTCATTATGATTTGCTGGAAGGTTATCTGACATTGTGCCAAGCAGTTATTATCTCACACTTTTCAGTGCATTTCCCCATCACTTTCTTTACCGCAAAAAGTCCACTCCCCAGCCCTGTTGCACAACCGAAATTGTCCATTGGTCTGTCTAGCTTACTATTGTCTACACTGACTGGCAGCTGCTCTCCAGAGCTCCAGAGCTCTTCCAGCCCTACCTGGAGATGCCAGGGACTGAACCTGAGACCTTTCACGTGCAAATTGTATGCCTTACCACTGAGCTGTGGCCCTTTGCATTTAGCATTTGGCAATCTGGCAGTACCAAAGTGAAGGATTGTTGAAATGGTGAATCAGACCACAGAACCACATCTGTGTTCTCATAGATACAAATGCATGCTTGTTAGGTCAGTTCTAGCCAGTATGGCACTTTTGCTTCCTATTGGGGCTTTTGACTAGTTCAACAGGATGCATACATGTGAAAATGTCTGGTCAGATTGAGCAAGTTGTGTAGCTGACACCAATTTGGATAATAAATGATGCTGCATTCTGACCTTGCTTCATTATCCCAAGCCTCTTATTTGAATGCTTATTACAAGACTTCTAACACTGGAGAGAGAGAGAGAGAGAGAGAGAGAGAGAGAAATTCTTTCTATCCCTTTGAGTTCTGTGGGTATAAAGTTGCCAGTGTTTATGGAGTACTGAAGTTTTATAGCAATATGAAATACAGTATTGTAGTGCTGATTTAGTGGAGAACAGGTGAACCAGTGGTGAGCAGTAAAAATGATGGGTGCAATTTATATTTGTACAGTTTGGAGTAATTATAATTTCTAGGAGGCTCTTGCTGGAAGTGGTCTACCTAGATGGCTGCTGTCTTTTCATTGTTTTATGCAGATACAATAATTATGCTTTTGTTAAAGAGGTCACAACTTCAGATGTGCTCAGCTGCATGGTTACAGCAGTGTACTTTAAAAAGGCAAATAGGGGCTGACGGACTATGGGAAGTGTCTTAGCTCAATGGTACAGCATCTGGTTTGCATGCAGTATGTTCTAGGTTCAGTCCCTGACTGGGAAAGACATCCCACCTGAAACCCTGGAGATCAACTGCCAATCAGTATAGGAAATACTGTTCTGGACAGATCAATGGTTTGACTTTGTATAAGGCAGCTTCCAAGATAGTATGGACAAGCATTCCTGGATTCACCCCAACTGATCTAAAATTTACTGGGTTGAAGTGCTGTCTGTCTGTTTATGCCTCAAGCACCCAGGTATATTCAAAGAAGTAGTGTTTGGCAGATTTCCATATGTGACATTTCTCTAACCTTCAGCATGAGGAAGTATCAGGGGCCCTTTGTGTCATTAGTACAGAAGTTGTGGTATACTGTGCCAAGATACAATCTAATGTATCAATGCTGATCTTGTGTAAATTTTGTGTATATTTCTCAAGCTGACACAGACAGTGTTGGGGTGTGTTTCTAGTGACTGTGAAAGACACTTTATTTAATCAGGATTTTATAGGCATTATTTTCGGTCACAAACTCTTGATTTTTTTGTATTTGAAATTTCCAGCCTTGTATCAGCTTTAAAGGCTAACGGATTTACTGTTTATGAAATAAGTTTTTGTCAACTAAAACCTGCTTCTCCCACACCCAGTAAGGCACCCAAAGGTTGGGAGATTTTTCTTGTAACAAACTAACTAGGCTAGCCCTTTGGAGTGTGGGGATGTTTCAAATACAGTATTTCTGCATGAAAACAGAAGAAGTCTTGTCTAAAGCATGTGTGTGTCAACATAGATTAAGTAAAAGAGTTTTCTAGTAACAGCTTCTAGAGGAGAAGTAGCTGTGTTCATCTTTTGCATTAAAACCAAGAGTCTTGTGGCACCTTAAAGACTAACCAGTTTATTCTTGCATAATTTTGTATGGACTACAGTCCATTTTCCCAGATGCTAAAAGTGCTGTCCTTAGTTACAGGTAATGCATATCTGGGGTTTTTTTGGGTGTACGATGAGGAGGAGGAATTGTAAAGTAAAGTAACAGAAAACATAAATGCAGAAAAATATCTGATGATAAGTAATTAACAATGGCAATTCATGAAACAGTCGCTGATAAACAGATGCCCACATCCATCAGCCAATTAGCATGCGTAGTATGTAAGAAATCCATCGTCATGGTTCAATCCTCAAGTGATGGCATTGAATCTCTTGATATATTGTAATCTAGCAGTCTCACTAGCAGTTTTCTTTTGAAGTTTCTTTGCTTTAGTCTCTCGCAGAGTGTCCTGAGAGGGTGAAATGTACCTTCTCCTGGCTTTCCTGTATTTCTGGTGCCAGGTTTTGTTTCTTTTTGTTTTTTTGTTTTTGTTTTGCATGGAGACTGTGCTGCTTGTCATGCAGGATGTGAAAGGGGATTGGTGGCAGATGATGGCCTGTATCACTTTGGAAGATGGGCAAGTGAATGAACCCCAGATGCTGAGGATGGCATTATTAAATTCTGCATGAGAGTTGTTAGAGTAGCACAATCCTATGCATATTAATCAGAAATAAGTTCCACTTATTTTCAGTGGGGTTTACTTCTAGGTAATTGTAGGATTTCAGCCTAAGTCTTTCCCCTAAATAAAACCAGTTCAGCATCTGCCTTGTGTTCATGGGCGCAGCCAGGATTTTTGTTAGGGGAGCAGGCAGGCCTTTTGTTGCAGGGGGAAGAATCTCAGTTTGCTATGTATTTTATTGATTTTTATTGATTTAGGGAGCAGCTGCCCCTCCTTGCCCACTCTTGGCTACGTGCATGCATGTGTTGGCACCTTAAACCATATAGAATGGTCTTAAGTTTGAATGTGGTGTTTTATTTATTTATTTATCTTTTTTATCTTGCAGAATTTTGGGGAGACATTGCCAAAGAATTTTACTGGAGGAGCCAACATACTGGACCATTTCTGCAGTACAACTTTGATGTCACAAAAGGGAAAATCTTTATTGAATGGATGAAAGGGGCTACAACCAACATTTGCTACAATCTATTGGACAGAAATGTCTACGAGAATAAACTTGGGGACAAAATAGCTTTTTACTGGTAACATTCTTATTTCAATCAAGGAAACCCTCTTGTAAACATAGAATTAAGAACAATTCTGTGGTATCATTGTGTGTTGGCAGCCGAGTATAGAGACAGGAGACATAAATGACAAGAGAATGAGGATTGTGTCATTAGAGCAGTGTTGGTGAACCTGAAACCCTCCAGATCCTTTTGGACTCCAACTCCCATCAGCCCCAGCCAGCATGGTCGGGGATCAAGCATTATGGGAGCTGTAGTCCCCTAACATCTGGAAGTCCACAGTTTCCACATCCCTGCATTAGCATGAGCGTGACTGGAAAAAAGCCTACAAGGCACACAATTTTAAAAGGCTAAATTTTAGGTTTAGTTTTAAAAAAATATCTTTGGTACAGCCTTTGCCAGCTTGTTGCCCTCTAGTTGACTTGTTGCATTTGGGAGTTATACCATGGTGCTTTTAAAATGCTAGCGCTCTCCCACCCATGAACAGAGCCTGACATTGTGAAGTTTAGAACATTGTGAAATTCTATCTTTAAGCAGAGGTTTGACAACCATATGTCAGGAGTGCTCTGATGGTGTTTCCTGCTTGGCAGGGGGTTGGACTCGATGGCCCTTGTGGTCTCTTCCAACTCTATGATTCTATGATTCTAGATGCTTGATTGAAGTGCAGAAATTCTAAGGTGAAATGTGGCATTTGATGCAGGAAGTATTCGCTGCCCTCATCCAGGAAGTACACCAAACTTCATTAGCATTCACGATACCGCTCTGCTTTTTGCCTTTTTCAAGGAGACTCATAAATGTGATATCATTTTTTCCCCTTTGCGTAATAGTGCTCAGTCTGTTCCTGTGCCAAGGGACACTAATGCAATTTATTTCCTTTCTGAGACAGTTCTAGTTCCTTATTTCTTTAATTAGCTGTTACACCCTTTACAGGCCAACGGAAAAGTCAGAATTCACCCCACATTTCCTATCTATGTTACTAGGAAGAAACCCACACTGATCTTCCTGGGAGGTACTCCTAAGCAAGTGTACTGGGCTTGCAGCTGTCGTAATATTAGTGCTTTAGATGCAGGCCTTTATCTTCTGAATATGCTTCATGGTTCAAGTGGTGGTGTGCCTTTGGTTTGGTCACATTGTTTTTTGACTATCCTAGGATCAAGGTGAGGGCTATAAACAGGCTGCAAAAATACATATTTCGTTAAGGAATCGGGTGAAGTTTCAGAATCTGGATTTCATAGCTGTTCCAGTGTTACTGTCAGGCATTCATCTGTGAGCTTATATTGCATGTATGTTGCTGTACTTGGTTGTAGGCTGCAGAGAATTGCTCTGGTGTCCCTTCTGATTCTGTTATGCCACCTTAGTGAATCTCTAGGAGGAGTTTCCTTTGCATTTTTGTAAGAGATTCTGCACCACCCTGTGTTACATTGTGAACTTGTGCCTGAACTTAATGGTGTAACTTCCTTAGATAGGCATTTTACTGAGATCTACTGCCAGTGTTAATATTCTTGACATTCTGCTCACTGTGGGCCATTGCAGATGCTGTGAAAAGTGTGAGACAGATGCATACTGTTTGATGCTCTTGGAGGGGCAATGTAATAAATAGCATACAGATCTGGATCAGACAGCAGGATTGCACCCTTCTCTATTCCCCACCCTCTCCCTAGAGTTCAAATTTGGGCTCCTGGGCCTAATTGCAGTTGACTGTTCTGTCAGCAGCAATGTTAACTGTTAACCAAGAGTCCCACTTAACCGAGGATCTGAAGTCAGCTTCGAGATGGTTTCAGATCATGAATGAAATAGGCATACTGGTTAATGCTTACCTGGTAACTGTCAATATTGATATATGGTCAGGCTGTTATGTTAGGCCAGTAAGCAGGAATTCACTCTCAGTCGGTAGAGCATGAGACTCTTAATCTCATGGTCGTGGGTTCAAGCTGCACATTGGACAGAAGATTCCTGAATTGTTGGGGGTTGGACTAGATGACCCTCAGGGTCCCTTCCCACTCTACAATTTTATGATTCTATAAAAAGAAAGAATTAAAGGAAAGGAACATGAAATCCTATAGGCTGCCCTGATGGTTTCTCCTCATTAAGCAGTCACTGGCATTAATTATGCAGCAGTCCTGTGAAGCAAAGCACTGTTGGACTTTAGTGCAGGTAAAGGGAAGTTATTGCTAGCAGTTTTGGCTTTTTTTAATTGTTTGGTCTGGTTAGCGATCAAGCATCTTTCTTGAACTTCTTATTGCTTCCAAGAGGAAATGAATGAAATAGTAACCTTTTTCGGTCAAGGGGCTGTGTTCCATATGGGGAACATCCCAGAGGCCACATACCAGTGAGGATCAGGCCAGAGGCAAAAAGCAGGTGGAGCAACAGATGCTGCTCTTAAGTAGACGGCATTCCATCCATGAAAAAGCCAGACGTTTCTGTGCACACAGGTGCATATGGCTCTCTCCATCCAGGCAGGCATCAACACAATTCAAGGACACATTTTGGCCAGGCAATAGCACTCAAGCAGGGCTAGTGAGCTGTGTGGTCTGGCTAATGGCCATGGTATAAGGAGAGTCCTTAAGGTACCCATGCCCATTCTTGAGCAAAGAAACTTCAGAGTGAAACTCCAGTACTGAATTAACCCATATCAATAAATTCAATTTAAACACCTGTGACTTAAATCAATATACTAGGTTTCTATCCCATCAAGATGTTAAGTGGCATTTGTCCCATGAAAACATGGGCTATAGTATGTATTCATTTTATTTAACACAATACATAAAGCGCTTGTTTGTAAATAATAATAAATTAGTATTTTTTAATTTTCTTATACCACACCTTTTTTTCATTATGGAATTTCCATCATGTGGTTCCCTGGAGGTCTCCCATCCAGGCAGTGACCAGACCTGTACAGTGGTACCTCGGGTTACATACGCTTCAGGTTACAGACTCCGCTAACCCAGAAATAGTACCTCAGGTTAAGAACTTTGCTTCAGGATGAGAACAGAAATCATGCTCCGGTGGCACGTCAGCAGCAGGAGGTCCCATTAGCTAAAGTGGTGCTTCAGGTTAAGAACAGTTTCAGGTTAAGAATGGACCTCCGGAACGAATTAAGTACTTAACCCGAGGTACCACTGTATCTGCTTAGCTCCAGACCATTCTCTGGAATTGTTGCTACAGACTAACATGGCCACATCTCTGGGATTTGTTTACTATATTCTGTTTTTGTCTCTCCAATTTGATGTTTTGTAAATCTACTTCTCATTGTGTTGGTTTCTGTTTGGGGACTGCACTTTTGTGTCCCAGATTTTTGCCTACCATTACAACAAAGACAATGGCAGCAATTCCTGTCCTCCTGTATCAGGGGTGGGGAACTGGCTCTGTCTGGACCTTTATCTCCACACATCCTTATGGACCACGTGTCACAAGTGTGCAGGGATGCATATACCAGAGCATATTTCTATTCTTTTTCTTTTTAAGAAAGAATGTATCCCTTTACTTCTAACTCATAAAGTTGAAAAGATATGAGAAAAGAGTTTCCAAAGCATGAAACCACTCCGGTTGCATATGGGCAAGGAGTAACATTTGCCACTATGGCTTATAAATTAGACTGAGGTTCTCTTTCTCTGGTATGTAAGGAGATAAAATGCCTTTATCTGGAGGGAAATCCCAGAAAGGGCTGCTTTTGAGATGCAATCTGACATCTAAGATAAGGATTTATGTTGGAGCGTAAATCTGGTGCTCTGTGGGAGAGCAAATTCTATTCTTTCACAAAACTTGAAAGTTCACAACTCCTGTGTTTGTACGTGGGGTTGGTGCATTCCAGTTCACCAAACCAACATGTAGACCTTATCGCTTTTTCAGATTCCCTTTTAAGGGTTGCTGTTTGCCCTGCAAACACAGAAAGATACTGCAGAGAAGATGGTTCTTTGGTTCAATCTAGACGATAAGTGAAAAACCAGCGAACAGCCTTGCATTCCTGGTTTTTTTAAAATAAAATGAAAGCATGAAAAACTAATAAGTAGTAGAGTGAGGGGAGGGGAGAAGCCGATTAACCCTTACACTTCCTGCCACTTATACATACAACATTGCCCATCCCAAGCTGCTATCCCACAAGTGTTACATGGTGCAAGAGGTGAGGTTGGGCAAATGTTGTCGAACTGGAAACTCCACAATGTATTTTTGAGGTTGCCTTGGAAATTTGGGCTGTAGCACTCCTATTGTCATGATGAGATTAGAGCTTGGGTTTTCTTCAGTATTTTCCAGAGTTCATATCGGCCTGCTTTTCACACCACACCAAGCCAATCCATGGCTTGATGCAAGCACAGGAGTGTACATGCCCCAGGAGAGGAGTTTGTGGCCATTTCACTCCTCCCCAGTCTTTTGCTACACCATGCTAACTCATAGTTTGGCTCAGTGTGTGGTCTAAACCTGGGTTTGTGGTTTAGCTCTCTACAGACTAACCATTAGTTGCAAGCATGAGGTGTAAACCATGAGCCAAGTTATTTTGTTAGTTAAATGAGCTGTAAATCATGCTGAATAAAAAGCAAAACGTTTACATGGAATCGTCTGTTTGCTTCATTTCAATAATCCATGCCAAATAATGGTCATTAGTTGAGACCTGATATTGATCTGATCCTTTGAACAGTGTGTAAAATTGAATTTCAGTATTCCTTGTTTTGTTTCACTGATGTATATTAAGTCCTGGTTCAGCCTGAAAAGAAAGTGCTGCTTCCTGATGTGTATGGCATTTATTTATTATATAAGCAAAGCGGCATTCTAGCTCTGCTTGTGTTAGTTACCCTTTTAAGTTTGTGCTTTGAACTCTAACAATAGCTTTAACTGAGATTACAGTGAGTCTTTCCCTCTAGCTTGAGTTGATATGCATTATGAGCATCGGATGTACAATGTCTATATGAGGTGTAACAATAGAGGTATCTGGCATGTGGATGTTTTTAGGTGTAGGTTTGTTGGTTGATCTTTACTATAAAATACTGTCACCTGCTAGGCAATGTAGATGCAGTTTTAAAGAAAACAAACGAACAGTTTCAAGGTCCCATTCTTCTAGATCCATAGAAACTAACAGCTGTGTAAGATCAGAGCATTGGATCAATGCGTGGGTCTTAAACTCACCACTTTCTGACGCTAGGGCGCATGAGAGGAAAGTAGATGATGTCCTAAATGTGTGGCCACTGCCAAAAATCTAGCAAATTTCCCCTGCTTTTCTGTAACATTTAGTACAACTTGTGTCCTGACATTAGTGTTGTGTACTTTGCCTGCTACTACTGTTGGCAGTCTGTTTAGGTGACAGCTGTGCATAGGAAAAATATCAAACTTTGAAACCAGTTATGAATGGTTGAAACTAAATAGGACACTTTATTGCCTTCTGATTCCATTTCATTATTACACTGTCTTACAATTTTGGTAGTGTTATATTAGTGCCGTCATCATTGTGGTATCAATAATACACAAAGAGTGGTGGATGGAGACTTGGTACATTTTCTGATGTTACACTTCTTATTTGTGAATGCCTATTTGCCTTCCTTCTGGCTTGTTGCTGCTTCTTTCTCAGCCACCCAAACTACAAGACCAAACAGTGTTCTACTTCCTTGCCACAGGATATTACAGATACTGCATTAGCAAACCTTGATTTGACTCTTTCCGCCTTTTCCTAGCCCCTCCCATTTTTTGCCAAATCTTCTAAAGAGTTTTGCTAACAGCCGTGGACTGCTTTTCAAATAGTTTTCTGCAGTACAGCTGCCTTCTAAAGATTTGGCCTTTTTTTGCATGTGTCAACAGGACACAAGACAGATAATACCATTGTTTTGCTCTGGGATGACATTTCATCTGTTCTGAAGTAGAAACATAACCTGCAACTTTTAATGTATGTGTTTGGCATATATATTTTCTCTCTCTCCATAATTAGCTGTCTTCAGAATTCTAGTCCTTGCAAGATCTCATTACATAAATTGTATTTCATCCACAAAGATACCTGCCAAGACTAAAATTGAGTAAGAAGCCAGCCTGACTAATGTAATAAGCTTGGGAGCATAGATGTCTCATATACTGATTAAATTGGAGGCCCGATTCAATTTCTAGAAGCATGTACATGGTGTTTGTGAAGGAACTTTCCTACTGAAGAACTTCTTTAAAAGGCCACATGGCTAGCTGAGTATTGTATTGCTGTGGGGTGCTGTAATTGAGAATGGATGTAACAACAAGCAGTTGGTGTTGATCTTTTGTGGTATTGAGAAGTTGTATATTCATGCACTAGCTCATCAGTTAGTCTGCTAACGTGAATGGTTATGCCTGATCACAATTTGCAAGAACACACCTGGGGAGAATCCCTTCCTTATTCACAGGGAGCTTATTCACAGTGTATGTGCTTGTCTAAGCCATTTTGAAATGAATGGGAATTGCACAAGATTGCAACAAAGTGCTTCTGCAACTCCCATTCATTTATTAGTGCAGTGGTACCTCGGGTTACAAACACCTTGGGTTACAAACACTTAGGGTTACAGACTCCACTAACCCGGAAGTAGTACCTCGGGTTAAGAACTTTACCTCAGGATGAGAACAGAAATCGTGCTCCGGCGGCGCAACGGCAGCAGGAGGCCCCATTAGCTAAAGTGGTATCTCAGGTTAAGAACTGTTTCAGGTTAAGAATGGACCTCCGGAACGAATTAAGTTCACAACCAGAGGTACCACTATACCAGCAAAGGATTTTACAGCATCTGCAGATGGTAGGTAGAGCAATGGGGGTGGGGAAAAGAAAAAACAGGCTGATGTTGAAGCTATTCTGAACTTGTAAGAGTTCACCAAAATGGTTTTGTCCTTGGTCCGTAGAAGCACACTGATTTTCAAAAATGTTGATCTTGTTGAGTTCTTGGTTCTGCTTATTTAAAAGAAACGCCAAATCGCAGTAAATGACTTCAAAGTTGGTGTACTGTGGCAGGGCAGTGCATGATGTACTGTTGTGTGTCTGAAAAACCCTAAACCCTCTTATGGGCAGTCTTGGAGCAGTTGAGGTTATTTCACATCTATTATTATTGCTAAATCTTGGTGATTAAAAATGTGGGCAAAGTGCCATATTCTTACAGAGAGCTGGTTTTTCCAGCATTTCTGAGCTCCCTATATTGAGGTTGGTGAGTCTGTTAGCTGTGTTGCCAAGAGTAACTAAAACCGCCTGCACAGATGTATGGCTATGGCGGTGCAGGTTTCATTATATAACTCTGGGGTGATTTTCTGTTGCTCCACCTGTAGTCCCAAAGCATAAGATTAGTGCAAAAAAATATTTTACCATCTACTTGATTTGTGTCTGTGCCAGATTTTATATGTTTATTGTTGTGCTATTGCTGAGTTGGTTTTTTTAATTGATTTCTGGTTTTATTGAGTTGCATAGTGTGTTAATTTTACTGTGTATGTTGCTCAGAGAATGTCTTTTTATTAGGCTGCTCATAAATTGAATAAAATAAATGAATATAAATTGGAGGTATTCCGGCAAGCTGTATGCCTATCGAAGTTTGGAAATCACCTGGAAGGCTCACACACAGCCCAGATGGATCATATGTGACACTGTGCAGAACTGAATTGCACTTATGAAGTGAAATTTATGTTTCTTAATGGTGGATATTTAACTCAGAAGTTAAAAAGAAGGGACATTTTGATCCGCGATGTGTTTTTTAGCCATGTTCGTTTCCAGCATATTGAATGGATTGAGAATTCCGTGTGATAAGCCACATATAAACATCCATTTGCAAGAGGGTGCTTGGAGGAGTGGGAGAAAGCCACTTTGTTCTGCAGAACAGTTCTGGGATCTTGGGCCAGATGTGGAGGACTTCTGCACTCACGTTCTGGAGCCATTTTGGAAGATTTCCTCTATGTTCCATCTGGGCTATGTGAGATGGTCTCTCTTGGGAAATATGCAAACTTCCAGCTACAGTATGTTGCTTGTAGAGAAAGAAAATATTTTGCTCCTACTGGTGCTAAGTTCCTGCACAATTAATAGAACTGGACAGAATACATATGCATGAGTCCAACCTGATGGACAACTCTCTTATGCTGTTGTATACATTTTGGGAAAGAAACTGGGAGGGTTCTTGAAAAAGCTGTTTGCTCAACGTCAGTGGCCTCATTCAATATTATGCTGTAGAAAGCGGTCAATGAGGGTTGGCCAGAAAAACAGAGTGCAATTTGCTTAAAAGGTTCGGGCAGTTCTTTGGGACTGTAAACTGTAAATTGCTTTTAATAAAACAAATGGTCTTATGTTGTGATGAGCTGCATCTTAATGTAAAGATGGTGAACACTAAATCACATGGGGAAGCAGTGGTGGCATATTGTTGCTAAAATTTTACCATAAGGAGGCTGTTTCATATTGTAAAAGTGTTGATGAGAAGTGGCATGTGATTGCATATAAAAAATGGCTGGTGACATGTGGCAGCCTTTGGAACTATGCTACGATGTGCTGCTGCATATTAAATGGCTTGCTTCTTGGAGCCCTCTCCTTGTGGTTGCATTTCAAATGGCTGCTGTGCCTGTTGATTATTTTATTTCCTTTCACCAAATTTATATATCTCTTGATGCAATCATGTCAATCATTAGGTGCTCAGTTTTTGTCTATGTAACATATTATTATAATATTTATTTATATCCCACATTTTTCCCTGACAGGGACTCAAGGTGGCTTACAGATAAAATAAGTAAAGGTAAAGGGACCCCTGACCATTAGGTCCAGTCATGACCGACTCTGGGGTTGTGGCGCTCATCTCGCTTTACTGGCCGTGGGAGCCGGTGTACAGCTTCCGGGTCATGTGGCCAGCATGACTAAGCTGCTTCTGGCAAACCAGAGCAGTGCACGGAAACGCCGTTTACCTTCCCGCCTGGAGCGGTACCTATTTATCTACTTGCACTTTGACGTGCTTTCGAACTGCTAGGTTGGCAGGAGCAGGGACTGAGCAACGGGAGCTCACCCCGTCGCAGGGATTCAAACCGCCGACCTTCTGATCAGCAAGTCCTAGGCTCTGTGGTTTAACCCACAGCGCCACCTGCGTCCCACAGATAAAATAGAAACAGCTAAAATAGGATAAAAAATAATTAAAAAGCAGTTAAACATTGTACAAACACACACGCGTGTGATCTATCAAAACATACAGAGACAGACAACTTACCCTTTTCGCTACTTTTTTGCTAATGTATCATGTTAGTGGTTTTCAGCTTTCTGAGTCGTCCAACTTAGTTTCCCATCACTAATAATAATAATAATAATAATAATAACAATAATAATAATAATTTATTATTTATACCCCGCCCATCTGCCTGAGTTTCCCCAGCAACTCTGGGCGGCTTCCAATCAAGTGTTAAAAACAATACAGCACCCCCCCTCCCATCGTTCAGCCCGGACACTGAGATCCAGCGCCGAGGGCCTTCTGGCGGTTCCCTCATTGCGAGAAGTAAGGTTACAGGGAACCAGACAGAGGGCCTTCTCGGTAGTGGCGTCTGCCCTGTGGAACGCCCTCCCAGCAGATGTCAAAGCAATAAACAACTATTTTACTTTTAAAAGACAACTGAAGGCAGCCCTCTTTAGGGAAGTTTTTAATATTTATATAATTAATAATAATAAATAATAATAATAATAATAATAATAATAATAATAATAATTTATTATTTATACCCCACCCATCTGGCTGGGTTTCCCCAGCCACTCTGGGCGGCTTCCAACTGAATATTAAAAACAGTACAGCATCAGACATTAAAAACTTCCCTAAAGAGGGCTGCCTTCAGTTGTCTTTTAAAAGTAAAATAGTTGTTTATTGCTTTGACATCTGCTGGGAGGGCGTTCCACAGGGCAGACGCCACTACCGAGAAGGCCCTCTGTCTGGTTCCCTGTAACCTCACATCTTGCAGTGAGGAAACCGCCAGAAGGCCCTCGGTGCTGGATCTCAGTGTCCGGGCTGAACGATGGGGGTGGAGATGCTCCTTCAGGTATACAGGACCAAGGCCGTTTAGGGCTTTAAAGGTCAGCACCATCACTTTGAATTGTGCTTGGAAACGTACAGTGGTGCCCCGCAAGACGAATGCCTCGCAAGACGAAAAACTCGCTAGACGAAAGAGTTTTCCGTTTTTTGAGTTGTTCCGCAAGACGAATTTCCCTATGGGCTTGCTTCGCAAGACGAAACGTCCTGCGAGTTCTTGCGAGTTTGTTTCCTTTTTCTTAAAGCCACTAAGCCGTTAATAGCCGCTAAGCCGCTAATAGCCGTGCTTCGCAAGACGAAAACACCGCAAGACGAAGAGACTCGCGGAACGGATTAATTTCTTTTTTTAAAAAATGATATTTATTAAAGTTTCAAAAAATACAGGAAAATACAGAATACAGAAAAAATAGAAAATAAAAGAAAATAAAAAATTTAAATTATAGCAAAAAAGTAAAAAATAATATTAAAAAAAAAACAGCATACAAAATAAAACAGTTAAAGATACGTTAATTTTCCATAACCTATCTTCCTTACACTTATTTCCCCAGACCTCCTCATACCTCCCTTTTTTGTATTCCAGTTCAATTTGTTAGTTCAGCAAATCCTTACCATTAAGCTTTTACCCATTTGTAAACCTTTTTTCATATCTCTTAAAGCATTACAGCTGGAAACCACTTAGTTTCTATCCAACATCCTTCTAAGATTCTTTAATTTTACAATATTTCTGTAAATAGTCTTTAAATTTCTTCCAGTCCTCTTTCACCAACTCTTCTCCCTGGTCTCGGATTCTGCCACGGAACGGATTAATTTCGTCTTGCGAGGCACCATTGTACTGGGAGCCAATGCAGATCTCTCAGGACCGGCGTTATGTGGTCCCGCCGGCCACTCCCAGTCACCAGTCTAGCTGCCGTGTTCTGGATTAATTGCAGTTTCCGGGTCACCTTCATATTTGTAAGGTAGAGCAGCTGTTTCTGTTGAGACCAACCTTGTTTCCCAATATTTAGTCTCAACCTGCCAGTTGAAGGCCCTATGCACTTGGGGGAATTTTTCTGCATTGTTACTCTGATGTTACTGAAAGATATACTGTATCTGGCAACTAGGAGTTTGCATTTTGTTTTTCCCTGCAACGCCTTGAGCCTCGGCCAGGATAGCAGGCAGGAGTGCACTGATGTTTAGGATAGTTTCCTAAACAAGTTAGTTTTCTCTGCTACTTTTCTTTAAAAATAGGTGTGCCAAAACAGGCCTACTGTATTAGCACAGCACTGTGCAAGAACTACAGTACAGTGTGTAAAGAAAAAAGAATCTAACTATGCAGGCATTTTTCTTTTTATTTTGGTTCCATGGGCATTTGTGTATTAAAATGTGTCATTTATTCAAAACTAAAACATACTATGTAACACCCAGCAGATGGGCTGGCTAAACGTATGCACTGCATTGTTTAAGCTCCAGTGTTTTGGAAAATGGACAGATGAGCGGAATAGTGGACAGATGAGTCTTGCAATAACCTCTGATTAAAAGGTAATGTGTGCTGGAATTTTTTTGCTGAAGTCCCAACAGGAAAAACCCCAAAACACTTTTGTATCAGATGCCATCTAAGGCTATTAGCAGCAGTGCCAGGGGATGGAGGAGTGCCATAATGCATGTTTTGCAATCCTTTGGTGTTTGGGCCAGTGCTGCCTCTTAGGCAGTTACATGTCATTGTGCAATGGTATCCTTTTCACACAATGTGTTTGGCAGCTCATAATGTTTAAACAACGGTTATTCTTCCTTGATTAATTAAGTCGGTACAACTATAGGTATTTCTCAGTGATGCCTACAACTTGATTTTTCCTGATTTTGGAACACACAGCTTGAATGGACTTGGTCTGGAGATCGACAGTGGAAACAACATTCTTGGCTATTTTATTTGGTCTCTCACAATAAGATTTACGATGAAGTAGACCTTTACAGTTTGATGAGCTGGCTCCAGAGGCTGGTGAAAATGAGGGAACAGCCCTAGAGTGGTTTAACTCTTGGCTTATCTATAGAAAATTATATCCTAGAATCATAGATTTGTAGACTTGGAAGAGACCTCAAGAGTCAATCAGTCCAACGTCCTGCAATGCAGGAATACTGCCTATAGCCATCCCTGGGTAGACTTGGAACAACTAACCTTCTGGTTAACAGCCAGACCCACTGACCCACTGCACTAGCTGGGGGAGAGGATGTTTCAGATCCTGAGAAGCTAGCCTGTGGCATTTCCTCATCAAGTAATTCTCTTTACATTTTTGTTTAACATTGTATAAAGCTGTTGGGACAAATCATCCAGAGTTCTGTGGTGCTGTTAATATGCTGGTGGTACCAGCTCTCTCTCTCTCTCTTTTTAGTTTTCAACCAGTTCTGAAGTATCAGTTTTGAACTCAATTCTTAAAATTGAGTTCAAAGCATTTGAACTCAAGTAAGTAAGTAAGGAAGGAAGGATATTGCCAAACATGGGAACCACTGGAGAAAAAGCCTTATCTGAAGTCATCACCCACCTTACCATTCAAGGTGGTGGCACCTGAAAGACCTCTGAATATTACCGTACCTTACTGAATGAGCAGCCAATCAATGTAGGAGCAGGTGGGTTACATGAATGCCCACTTCATGCAAATAACCAGCAGCATTGATGCTGTGTAGAATTGGATTTGAATGTTGACAGATGTCACTGCTTACCAAGATGTCTGTGTGCAGTGACTGACCACATAACTTCCTCCATGTTGCCACAAACTATTTCTGTGTAATGGTGTTCACCACCTCACGGCCCTGGCCAGTAAGTGTGGTGTGCATACAGATGCTTCTCTCTTTGGCGTTGTTGCCGTGTGGGTTAGACTTCAGGTGTCCTCTAGTCTGCCTGCTGTTTTATGTGGAGCAATCCTTAGTATAGCGGTAATCTGCATATATGGCTGAATGGTTTTAGCAAGAGTGGGTTTACAAGTTTACCTAGCAAAGTAAAACAGGTGTAGATGTATTTGCTCAATGTATGGGAGGTGGTGTTCACCAAGTGTACATACTGAAGCAGTCTTATCTTCTCTTAGTTGCTCTTGCTAACTTGTGGAGCTTGTGCCAACTCGGAAATAAAAAACAGGTCTTTCTACCACAGCTGGATGGGAATGGATTTTCTCTCACTTTTAGTAAAAAAATTCCTTTCTTCAAAAGAGATGGCAATGTTTGCTGTGTTCCGAACAGGTTTGTTTAATGGGCGTTTTTCTTTCTTTCTTTTTATTTATTAAAGATACTGACTTCGTGTTTCTACAGTAATGTAGAACAAGAGCTTGAGTTCTGTTTGTTTTATTACAGTCATATTTCACTGTTCTTCCTTACGAAACTCAGAGTAGCAAGTAGAGGGTTTTCAGATTAAAACCTGTTTAATTGCAGCAAGGTTTCTGCATCATGTATCTTTGGACCATGCTTTGTGGATGTGTAATTGGGGGCGGGCAGTGTCAAAAAATATTTTGCAATTACTGAAGCAGGGTCCTAGTCTCCAGCGTCCTAGAGCCACCCAACTGTCATGAAAGGGGAACTTTTTAGCCACTGAGAAAGAAGTCTTCTCACCCTTAGCGCTGATTAGAGCTAGTTAGAGTGAAAGGTGATTCAGCCACTAAGAAATGGCTCCTAGGGTCACTCTGGAGAAGATGCGTGAGAAGAACACTGCGTGCTCCAAAGCTAAGCATGTGGTAATGCTGAAAACACAAGGTGCTTCAGTTATGTGAGAATGATGTGCAACTTCTGGTACGTACAATGGAATTTCAAGGAGAACACACCTTAAGTCATGCCAAAATAAGATATTGGAGTACTCAAAGTATTTTACCCATGCATGTACACAGAAGATGGTTGAGATACCTGGAAGGCAACACATGATCATTGCAGTGCATCCCTAATTATCCTTACTGTATAATTATAAAATTGTAAGGTTACTGTGTGATCTTAGAAGTGGGTGTGGCTGTGTGAGGGCATGGCTAGGACTGTCATGAAGGGACCCTGCATTTCACCACTATGCTACTGATGCTTTGCAGCCAAGGCACTTGACCTGTGGCAGAGTGTACAAGTGGACCTTAAATTCTGCACATTGGCTGAGGAGTTGCAAAGTCATTGGTAGCCAAATGTTACACACCAAGCACATTAATAAAAAAGCAGTACAACCAATAGTGTTCAGTTATAGTCCTCTTACCTGCACTCTATGGTTGATCAGTGAGGATTCATTAAGCATTTATGCCTCATTTGAGGGCACAGTGTCAATATAAAATGGACAGCTTTATCCCAGGATATAAGTCCATGTCAGTTCAGTTTGTGACGGTTGTTATCTTGTCTGTTTTGACAGGCTTTGTATTTAGTGGATTCTGTTCCCTGCATAGTCACTTTCGCCTTTTCCCTTGAGGGAAAAGAGCATAGTGTTTATTTTAGTGTAGATGTTGTGAAAATTGTTTGGAAGGTTTGAAATCAAATATTTCCATCTTAGTTACTAATCCTATATATCTTGTTTCTCAGCTCTTAATAAGTCAGGAGCTTAGCTTATGTGCTCAGAATAACTACTTCAGCAAGAGCCTGGAGTGTTGTTTCTTCCTGTGTTTAATTTTGGCTTGCTAACAGTGGTCCCCAAACATTTTGGGTCCTTGGGCACATTTAGAATTCTGATAATGTGCCTTGGGCACCAGTTGCGAAATGGCTGCCAAGAGGATATGGCATAGTACAAAATGGCTGCCATATCTATGAAAGTTGACATAGACAGGACCATAAAATTTTGCAGAGATGCAAAACTTCTAATAATTTTTTTGCAGCATGTGACCAAATATGTTCCAGGAACTTTATTTTCCAAACGGTGCTACAGAATGTGTCCAATGCTGCTGCCAATACTGCTGTCACATTTGCCCAGCATACTTCGGCGTGTACTATGGATCTTTCCCCTCCTCACCACTCCCAGCGTGGTGTAGTGATTAAGAGCGGTGGACTCGTAATCTGGTGAACCGGGTTCGCTTCCCTGCTCCTCCACATGCAGCTGCTGGGTGACCTTGGGCTAGTCACACTTCTCTGAAGTCTCTCAGCCTCACTCACCTCACAGAGTGTTTGTTGTGGGGGAGGAAGGGAAAGGAGATTGTTAGCCACTTTTAGACTCCTTAAGGGGAGTAAAAGGCGGGATATCAAGTCCCCTCCTCCTCCTCCTTCCCTTAAAGCCCCTGTACACCCTCAAAATCTGTACCAGAGGGTTGGGGGAACGCTGTGGAGCAGATTTTTTGGGTTTCTTGGTGAAAAGAAGGAAGTCCTATTCTGCAAGTGGAACCTGGTTTGTGTATCATTGGATACAATTCTAAGTCTTGTCTGTGCTTCCAATTGAAGAGTTACTCTTAAACTCAGGTATTGCATGAATATTCATGCATAATCACAAATAAATATGTATTTAATGTTGGCCGGCTAGTAATCATCCTATTTTACTTATTTAAATATTTTATGTCCTGTTCTTCAGTCAAAAAAGGCTTCCAGAGTGGTCATACAAATCATGAGAAAGAGTGGAGAGAGAAGGAAGGAAGGAAAGAAGGAAGGAAGGAAGTCCCTGCCCTCAAGTTTACAATATAAAAAGACATTATGGGAAATAAATGGATTGGAAAGGAAGAAGAAATAAGCATATGCAAACACAAGTTCTTAATTACAAAATATGGAACAGAAAGAATAGAAAAGAGTAATGTTTGGGAAACACTCAGATTAGTGTGGTGACGGGGGCTGAATGTCATCTGAAATGAGCAGAAAAGACTTGCCAAGCAGGCTGTTGTTTGAAGTCCAGGGAAAAGTCAAATCAGTCAACAAAGCTAAAAATAGCCCTGCAGAATGAACCCTCAGCCCAACACACACACACACACACACACACACAATTTTAACAACAGACCCCAAACACAGGATCAGAATCCCCCTTGGCTTTTTAGTTCTCTGGAGAAACCGGCTCAGGTATATGTGCACACGCACACATGCACACACACCTTTTTACTGCCAACGATGCATGAGGTGGCTGAGTGGACGGTTCTCCATCCATTTGCTTCCAAAAAAGAGAGAGTGAAAAGATGGAGAGAGTGAAAGCTAACCTCTGAGGCCTTGACTGCCCTTCAAACACAAGCACGAGATGGCTGGCTGGACAAGAGATCAGCAAACGTCACACCGCACCCCTCCTCTATTTTGGAAAAAAGGGAAAATACGCACACAAGAAAAAGCACTCAGAAAAGGGAGAAATGGAAGAAGTGGCCTCAGTGGTCCAGAGTTGCCCCCACAACCTCCTAAGTTTAAGGCAGCTATTCTGGCAAGAAATAGACAAAGGTCAGCAGATTGCTGTCCCTTTAGTTCTGCAAAAAGAAGAAAAATTAAAGCCTCACAAAAGGGAAAAAGTTGTAAAAGTGGTTTCTACAGTCCAGAGCTCCCCAGCCAAGCACAAGTGACTCCCAACAACTGCCACCCCCCCAATAAAACAAGAAAAAAAGATCTACCAACCTACCTATACTCAGCCACTGGCACTGCTTGGTTTTTGGCAAAGTGTAACTCCTTTTTCTCACCTGTACTTTTCCTGTCCGGAACAGAAGGGAGAGGGCAGCTGCCACCCAGTCAGCATTGATTTTGGAAAAGGGGCAGCATGTTCAGTCTATATGTAGCGCAGCAAAGAACTCTGAAGCCTGTTTTTCAGTGGCGGTGCTTTTCAGTTGGTACTTTCATGGGTACCAAAGGGATTGTACGCAGGTCAGTGTTTGAAATTCCCTGGGCACCAGGTGTGTTAGTGACTTGGCATGGCCAAATTTGAGACGTATGGTTACGATGTGTGGCGACTGAGACTTGAAAGTAAAACTTCCGCAGCCCGAGTCACCTGGGTGTTGCTGCAGGAAGTGAAAGTAAACAAATGGCGCCCTGCCTGACTCACAAGTAAGACTGCTTTTAAAATTCCAAAATAAAAATAAAAATTACAACTAGGCATTCTGTTGTGGCACCATTTGGCAAATAGCTTATATACCTGCATTTCTAACACAGATGCAGGTGTAGTTCTGCCAACGGGTGCTGCATTGGCACTGCCAACCTGTAGAAATGAAATCTGTGTATGAAGTGGTGTTTACATGAAAAGTGGAGTTTATCTTGGTTGTAGGGCTTCTAGAAGCCCAATTTCTCCAAGCTACTTTTGCACATTTTCTTATTTCTTTGGGGGGTTTTTTAATGAAAGAAGGAACAGTCTTTCACTTTTATTACCTCGACTTACTTACTCGTTGGGGAAACTGTTTACTTTTACTTTACTTTTTCCTTGTTACTAAATTCCTTTTAACTTTGAAAATTGAGAATATTATATAAAATATCCACATCAATATTTATAGGAATGTCAGCACATTTTTGAGAGAAACTGTATTTTACACCAGCATGAAAGATAACGTGCTTTTTGAGATGTTCAATACAAAGAGCTTTTTGAAGTTTACAAACTAATTTTCAGAGTGTGTTTACCATATGCCATACTGTCTTGAACATCAGAATGTGGAAGAAACGGCCCTCTTTCTGGTTTAGCTTTCAGTGCTGAATAAAGTTTAGTTGGTATGTAAGGGTTAGGGTTTGGTTTTGTTTTTTGTATCTTCTGAACGAATAGCTGATGGCAATTCTAGACAATACTGAAGTAAGAAGGCCAGAAAGTGACAGAATTTTCAGTAGAGACACGCCTAAAGGTTTTGCTAAAGATGATATGAAGCAAGCATGTAGATCCATGGCATTATTGGTGGAAGTCATTTAATTTTTTTTAAAAAAGATTTTATTTCAATTTGTTCTATTTTCTGAAAGCAAAGGCACTGGATTTTTTTTTATTAGTATCCACAATTTCTAACCTCTTGTTGCATTTTTGTACATGTAGGACTAAGGAAGTATCTCTTTTTGTAATGTGGGCATGATCCATGCTGTTATGTGTGGGGCTTTGGGGGCTGTGTGGGGGTGAGTATTTAATATATTGTATTATAGCAGAGAGATCTGTGAATAGCTTGTTAGCGTTGTTCAGTGAGCAACATCGTAACAATCACCATATTGATGAAAGGCAAAATTGCTTCTTCTTTCTGTGAACTAGCAAGGAAAATTCATACACTGGGAAAAGTTCTATTTCAATATTCTTTTCTGCCCATTCAGCTTGTTGGTCTTTACATTGATCTGGCTCTCTACAGAGGACTGGGTGGAACCCCCTTCTCCCTGTCTGATTTGCTAGGCTGGACTCAGCTCATCTTACACCATCAGCCCTCACCCTAGCTGTGAGCAAATAGGCTTCTTAGCAGTGTATGAGCCCAGGGGAGGGAATGGGTGTGCAATGTGTTGCAGTTTCATTGTGTAAGAGAACATAAATTAAACATGAAACCATTTCATGCTTCAAATGAGGGCTCGGGTTATTGGGGAATATTCCAGCCGCCACTGCAGTCAAATAAGCTGTGACTGAGGATCTTTGGGGTTTTAACATGTGACGTCTAACCCATTAGCCCTTTTGACAAGGGAGAACAGAGTGACGCCTTCCTGGGAGCAGGGAAAGTAAGACGTGCCAAATCTTTTATTCATCGTGTGCCACATTCTTGTGCAACAGATAGGTATAGAGAAGGAGTGGCAAGCCAGTGCTGCTCCAGATGTTGTTGGACTTCCATCAGCCAGCCAGCATGCCCATGATGGAAGTTGTAGTCTAGCCACATATGAAGGAGCACAGGTTCCCTGCCCCTGGTCTAGAGGCCTCAGTTAAAGGTTCTTAGTTGCATTGTGGTCTTGAGCTATGCCCTTTAGTATTTAGATAATTTGTATTACGTATTTGATTACGCCCAGGGTCTCTGTACCTCTGGGGCAGGGGAGATTGAGGATTTTCCCTTTTATGCCATTAAGAGTCCACTTCATGTAAAAGTTGAAACAATAAATGATCTATCTCCACTTTTGTAATTAAAAAGTAAGTTTAAGCATGTCATTTAAGGGCACGTTCTGAGCAGAAAAGACCCACAAGAGGATGGTAACTTTGGTGGATGTTAACTTTGTTAAGGCAGATGCTAACCAGATTCTTGTCAGTAGGTGTTTTTTTTAGGAATCCAGTATAGGTAAGGACAGAAACAACATTAAATGTTTGGTATTAGTGCCAATAAGCCACAGCTGTCTTGGCAACTAGTTACTTTGGGTTGTTGTTGTTTACACCCTGGTTGTAATCATGTGCATACTCACCTGGGAGCAAATTCCACTAAGTTCAGTGGAGCTTGCTTCTGAGTAGGCATGTATAGAATTGTGTAATAATAGCCTTCCTGGAATGTGGAAAACATAAGTAAAAATAAATGTGCCACTTTCTGAAATTATCTGCCCTAACTTGAGAATAAGAAACTGGCAGTTAAAATCACATGAAAGCTACATAGTCCACATGGCGACAGATGCTAGGTCTGCAAACAGGCCTCTGCCTTGACTTTTGTGGCAAGACAGCAATGCCTTCTTGGCGACCATGCTGGAAAACCTCCTAAAGTGGGCATCTAATGAGTTTCTTTCTCTTTCAGGATGCTGAAGTATCACAAATAAAAGGGACAGGCTAGTAGAAACTTGCAGAGCTGTTGCATTTTTATATAGACATTGCATTTGTCCCTCCACCAATCCACATGAGGGATACCAATATTGAGCTACACCTGAAAACATGGCTATGCCCACCCTTACATGAGGAAGAATGTATACCCTTATTAAATGCACAACAATCAGTTCTGGAGGGGATCAGCATTCAATCAATAATGGCAGCTGGAATGTGTTTGTTCTCTGCAGACACAGGCAAAAACCTGCCAGGTGACTAAAGTATGGGAACGGAGCCAGGTAGTTACTGTTAGGACAGTCTAGAAGAATTTCACATGGGTACTAAATAAAATTTCCAGTTCCGGGAGCCAAAGATCAGTCTCTGATTAAATTGAAGCACAGTTTCAAACACTTGTCAGATGTTAGTGATCCATTAACAGGCTTCAGCAGGTTTGTTCAACACATTACAGTCAGGATAAGCAAGGGTGATGAGCAACCAGCCATCCCCACCTCCAGCATTGAAGTTGCAGAGGAGGGCAGAAGACATCTACCCTCTCTCTAGCTTCATGGCTGGGAGAGAGGCTGTGGGTTGTTTAGCAGCTGCAAGTTAAGGTGTCTGGAGGTGTTTTAGAACTATCTAGAGATACAGACTAGCAGTGAATCTCTAGGATTTCAGGCAGGGATCTCTTCCATCCCTACCTGGAGATGACAGGGATTGAAACTAGGACATTCTACATGCGATGAAACAGATGATCTGCCACTGAGCTGCTGACCTTCCCTATATTTCTCAAGCCACTGAGAGCCAAAACAACATGCATCTCAACACCCCCATCCTTGACAGTCTTTCCTGCTCTATATCAGGAAAGGTGGGCAGAGGAAGACTGGACATAGATGGAAGGTGCTCAGAGCAGTAGGGGTCCCCAACTGGTCGCTCTCCTCACTAGCCTTTCCTTCTGGAAAGGTGAGGACAGGGGGAGGTTTTGGTGCTGCTGCTAGAAAGTGTTCAGCACCCAATCCTAGCATGCTGCCCTTGTACCAGCACCAAATATTTGCTGTTTCTGTCATTGCCCAAATCTGGCACTTAATGCTGATGCCTAAAATTTTGAATCTTGTGCTTAGGAATTTGAAAAAAAATGTTTTCCCGAATGCCAGCTGTTGTGCTTTCACCTGGCTGAAGGTAACTGAGAGTTGGCTCACATGATTTGCAGCTGACAATGTTTAATCCAGTTTGAATGCTAAGGGGCAGGGAAGTCAAATCTACAAGTGTGATGGCGAAACCTTAGGCATGTCACTTGGCCATGAGCAAAAAGCAGGTTTATGGGACCTTTTTTCACTCTGAGGGCCAGAGCAGAAACTTACCTTCACTCATGTGGCCCATTTTTTTTATGTAGTTGCACGAGGCTCCCTGCCTGATATCACAATGGCATTAGCTGTCAGCTTCAAAAAAAGCTCTGTCAATGTTGATTGGTGCGGTTGGTGACCCTGCTTGCTAAGTAACAGTTAGGAAGGTAGTTTAAGCTCTTAATTGTCCTTTTGGAACCATGTCTTTACCTGCCCCACACCTGATGCAACACCTGATGTCAAGTGTGGGGCAGATGGGTATTGTTTGGAGGAAATGGCTTTGTGGGCTAAAATTAGGCCTGTAGGCTGGAGGTTCCCAACCACTGGTGAAAAGGGTTCTGTGATCTGCCAACAGCCAGACTAATTACACTCATTAACCTATCTTCATTAAGGATGATACTATCTTAGCTTAATAAGTTGAGACACGAGTGGGCCTTGGCAGTGGGTGTACAACCCCTTCGCTCATTCCTGTATAGTAGGAATCCCCCCCCCCCGATTTTAATAAGTCTGCATAACATATAGATTACAGAAAAAATAAATTTGTCTTTTGAGAGACAATCAAACCAAGAAGTCTTCCATTAACTCGAGTTTTTCATTTTGTCTGAACTGGGAAACCATGGTTAACAGCTTTTAGATGCCCACTTGTCTTTTCAGTGTCTTCTGCTGTATTTTTCTAGAAGGCTAGAAATATGACAAGATAAGGAATTTATCTGCAGGTTTTGTCCTTTGTGCCCCTTTGAGAAATGTGGGTGAGCTATATTTGCTGTTCAGACTGTGCAGTCATAGTTTGTCTCTGAGTGTCTTGTGTTCATAACTGATCCTTTTTTCCCCCCTTGTAGGGAGGGAAATGAACCAGGGGAGTCCATGACGATCACGTACAGTGAATTGCTGAGTAAAGTCTGCCAGTTTGCCAATGTTCTTCAGGAGCAAGGTATCTGACTCTGCAAATCTGCTTGCCTCGGAAAGCATCCCTCCTTTCTCTGATGAGTGTAACAGGTCTTGCCATCCAAGCCTGAAGTTGGGGAAGAGGTGGTGGGATTTTTTTTTTTTTTACAGTTGTGCCCCACCTCCCAAGTGCAGAGCAATGCAGATCAGGCTGCACTTTCATTTTGAGCTGAGAGGAGGGATTTCATTTGATATCATGCTGTAGCTTATAGGATTGCTTCAGAAGTATAATATGAAGGTCAAGACCCCACCTCTCCCCCACAACTTGGTAGAGGGGTAGAATTGTGGTGATAAATGCTGGAAATGGATTACAGATGTGTGCTAAACGAACTTGATCTTTGTGACTCTTAAAACAAAGCAGCTTTGTAAGAATTTGTACAAAGAAGGACACACACACACATACACATATATATACTTCCAGTATATTTTTATATTAAATATAAAACTTCACCACATCCATCCCAACATTGTTTCCGAGCAGAAGCATCTGTTCCTTCCAAATTGGGGCTTAAACAGAATTTTTGTTAAAATGTACTCTGATAAGATTATCTGCAACTTTGCATATTAAGCTTTATAAATTATTATTATTTGATTCTGCATACTGGTATGTTTAACCATCTTTGCAATACTTTTTAATCAATGTCCTCTTGCTCACCCTTCTGATTTTGCATACCTCCATTGATATGTCTTATTTTATACAGATGTGGCATAATGTTTATCTACAGAACATGAAGAAATATAATTTATTATGCAGGGCAGAAACCAATGCTAGCAACAAATGTAAAATATGCAGAATATATGGATAGGTATCAGTGAAAGCAACAAATATGTTTCGAATGATCTTATTTGTTGATTTGTTTTTTATCTGACATGTGGCTCGTGAATATGTGGCAAGGTGTGGTCAAATAAAGTTGTATTCAGCTTTAAAAAACAAATATCAGGCGATTGTAGGAATGTTGCCAGTAGTATCAATGGATGGAACTACAAAATAAAATGCTGTTAATAGAAAGTTATCTTTTTCAAAGGAAAGTAAAATGTAACAAATGTTTGCATATAACATTTCATATTAGATACATCTGACCAGCAAGAGAACCCTTTGGTATATTTATATTCTAAAATGTTTAAATAGAAACATATCCTACCTAGCCTTAGGAACTTCTAAATACAAAACGGTGACTGGTTCCACTAAAGAGATAGTTGCACTTTTTACTGGGGCTGTTGTGAGAATTTAACTTGCTAGTGTTTTGCAAAGCAACTTGGAAATGAAGCATCAGTGTGCTTCCTCTTCTTAGCTGTGGCTTGAAGAAAACATATTAACAGCATTTTATTCTGTAGTGCCATCCCTTGATACCACTAGCAATGTCTTTGAAGCAAAGATGCCCTTCTAAATTCAGCCACAATATGCCTCTCTTTCATTGGTAACCCCAGGGCAGATCCCATGATCCCAAGTCCCCCCCCCCTCAAAAGTTTTGTTTGTCATGCATACACTTCTGATCTTTCAGGAATTGTATGCTTGTGTTTTTGAGCCTCCTGACTTCTTTTTTTTCCAGCTTTGTTCTTTCTCTTGGAATACCAGGGCCCAGGACACAGTGGCTGAATGGCAAAAAGAATGTCCGCTGTTTGGCATGAGAAACATCTCTTTCTCTTTCACAGGCATAAAGAAAGGAGACAGAGTTTCTATCTACATGCCAATGATCATTGAGCTGGTGGTAGCCATGCTAGCCTGTGCCAGAATTGGAGCAGTTCATTCCATTGTGGTAGGAAGGAGCAATTACTTCTGGTGTGATTTCTGTTCTTGTGCGGCACTGGCTGCAGATTGAAATGAACAGTGCTTGTAGCAGATAGCAACCCAAATTAAGCTAACTTTGTGTCCCTGAACTGGGTGTTTTTTTTTGGGGGGGAGGGTGGAATCTTGTGTTCCAGTTTAAGGATTTTTAAGCTTAGGTTTTTAGAGAATGTTTTCCATGTTGACATTTGCCACCCCACTCCCTGAGCATTGCAGAGGATTCTGCAGAGTGTTCCAATGCATGGTCTGTACATGTGGGGGTGTCAGCAAAGCTGTACATTGCAGAAGTCTGGTAGCCATGGGCAAACTGTATTTCAATGAAATATATATGCAATTCTCATTGAAAAAAAACCTTGATAATCATCTAAGGAACTCTAGAGCACTCTAGAATAGCCTTTTGGAAAAGTTATGGCACTAATATATTGTAAAAGTGCCATTCGTTGAGTCCCTGTTCACAACTGCAAGTGTGATTAACCGTGTGTTCTTGTTTTTAGTTTGCAGGTTTCTCGGCAGAATCCCTTTGTGAAAGGATCCTTGATTCCCACTGCTCACTTCTCATCACTGCAGGTAAAACAGTTCTCTTCTGAACTGCAGGGCCCTTAATCTTATCAGAATACTTTGCAAACAAGATTGACCTTTTAATGAAAACACCCCATGTTCGGCCAACTTTTTATGCTCTTCCTCTTACTAGGAAGGAGCTATTACTGGGTTGAACTGCAGTCCAGGGATATGTTTTGTCAGGGCACAAGCTGTGGGCAATACATCCGTTTTCTGATAAGGTGGAGTTTCATTATCGAAAGAGCCTCCTTCCACTTTGTTTGATGGTTTCTGTTGTTACAAGTGGTTTCAAAAATTGTGTCAGATTTCCTGGGTGCAATTCTGGATACAGTTTTTAGGCTGCAATCCTATGCAGCTGCCTGCTGAAAAGAGTGGGATAATTCTAACTAGATATATGCATGATATTGCTTTCTTAGTTCATGATTTGACATTCAGTTTGGCTTTCCATGCCAGATAAATAAAAATAAAGGAATTTCCACATTCTGAAAGCATGCATTAACTTAACAGTTCAAACTGTTTCTGTTTAATTTTGTAACACAATAAATCAAGATCTCCAAGATCTGTATATTAGTTTCCTGCCACTTGCTACATCATGTTGAACTAAAACAGGGGAAAGTCCTGTAAAATCTTCTTCCTTCTGATTGTTCTCCATAGAACACTTCCAAGATTATTGCTCACTGTAAACATACAAGGTTGGCCCTACCATTAGACAGAGTGATGTAACCAGCTCAGGAGGAGCATCAACCCCTCACCCAGCCATTCTTGTGGAGCTCTCCAACCATCTCCATTTAGTTGGCGGGCAGAGCTGTGTGGGGCACACAGCCTGTCCTGCACCCTGTAAAGTAGCCTGCTGTTCTTGGGTGAAATGGTGGGCACTGTCCTGTTGCAAATATTTAAGTAAGATTGAGTTGCCAGTCCAGTTGAATGGGAGTGCCATCTTGTCCTTTGCAGCAAAATGTGCTGGGCAGGCACTGAAACCTGAGGCCCTTTCAGTAAGGTAGGTTTCATTTATTCCATAAAGCAGGGATGGAAAGCCTGCAGTTGAAGTGCAACTCTCAGCATTGCACATTCGCGGAGAAAGCTATCAAGGGCTACCAGCCATGATGGCTGTGCTCTACCTCCACAGTTGGGGGCAGCAAGTCTTCCTAATACCAATTTCTGGAAACCACAGTAGGGGAGAGTGCTCTTGTGCTCATGTTCTGCTTCTTGGTTCCTCAGAGGCATCTGGTTGGACACTGTGAGAACAGGAAGCTGGACTAGATGGGCCATTGGTCTGATCCAGCAGGCTATATTCTTTTTCTTCTTCTTTTTAGATTTTCAGTTTTACAATTACATCGTTTTCCATTCTTATACAGTAGTTCTTTTTTAGACACCCCACCCAGCATTCAGTGAGGGTTCTTTGTACATCTTGCTTAGCTGCATATACATTAATTCCTTCACCTTATTTTTCACAGTGACATATCATTTATATTATCAACTGTTGGTCACAAGGTATCCCGTACTTGGAATTTGAGATCATATATTTTTTTTTGTAAATAATCCCCTAAATACTCCCACTCACTTCTCATCTGTTTATCATCTTGATTTCTTATTCTAGATGCCATACTTGCAAGCCAGTAGGCTATTCTTATATTCTTATGTCATTGACCATGCTGGCTGGACTTGATAGGAGAAGGAATCCCACAACATATGGAGGGTCACAGACTTCAGATCCTTACCATAGAGGCCTCTACTGTGTCCATGATTGGTCTTCACTTTAGCAAACTTTCTCTTAATTCCGTTGTTTCCATCCTTTCCTTTAAACCAAGCTGTCCCTTTCTTCTTGTGACCTTCAAGTGCTTGCAGGCTGTTCTGGTGAGCCAGTTTAATGATTTGCTTACTCTTTGTAGATGCCTTTTATAGAGGTGATAAGCTGATTAACCTGAAGCAGATAGCAGATGACGCCTTGCAGAAATGTAAAGACAAGTAAGTCAGACTGCAATTGTGGTCTTAAACATTATAGCATCCCTGGCACAGAGGTGTGGATAGAAATAAAGCTGGGGAAATTATGTGCCGTGTACATACACCCCTTTTGAAAGATGCTCACTCTGTCCACCCCACAGCATTTTGTTTAGAACTATAATAACCTTTCTTGTAAGCATTTGTTCTCCCCTGTCTGGTTAACTACTTCTGAAATGGAAGTTGCTGACTTTCCAGCACAAAATATTTGTCAACAATTAATTAGGGCAGGAAGTCAAAACATATCCCCACTTCAATGACTCAGTTCATACATCATCAAGCCATTGGTGCGAAAGCTTACCTATGGTTAAATGTTGTGTCTGAACTGACAAACCATTGTTTGCATACAAGAGTTAGACATTCTGTTTGGAAGATGTTTGGAACCCATGGTTTAGCAGAGGGGTGGGGGTCCTTTTTGACTGTTTGACTAGATTTTTATCAGTTCCACTTATGAGATCATGATGACATCAGATGACTGATAGGAAAGTGGTTTTTCCATCCAATGAAGTAGCACCCCGCAGTAAAGAGTGCTTAGCAATTTAGTGGTAGAACTTGGTTGATCAATATAATTTATCCAGCCTGCCTCATACTTTCATAATCAGCTGCACAGGTTCAAACTTGCTCAGGCAAATAACCTAGACTCTCTTCTTGGAATTGTTGTGTGTTTTCCATTAAAATAGTTTGGGCTCATGACTTCATCTTCCCTCTCCTTGTAGGGATGCCCCTCTGCGAAGGTGCATTGTGGTCAAGCATTTAGGAAGGGAAGAACTGGTGCTGGACGGGCCAAGCAGCAAGTCTCCACCTCTCAAGAGAATCTGCCAGAGTGTGCAGGTGAGTTTCCTGTTGTAAATGGGTGAAGGACCTGTTTAAGGGCTTGAGCAGCTTTTCCTTATTTGAGAGAGATGATTGCATGTTTATAATTATTCTGCCATCGGGAGTTAAGATTTGTTTTGCTCCTGGTGCTTCTATCTGCATTGTAGAGAACTAGGCAGAACTGTTTAGCATTGCCAGGAAGAAATGCTATTTTCTCCCAAACAGCCCTTGCCTTGCAATTGAGATTGTTATGTGCGATATGGCTGTATAATAATCATACCCACTCACTGGATAGTGCCTGTGATATCGCTGCCGCCGAAGATTTGTGCTTTTAAAAGTTTACTTTCCTGGGCAAGCTTCACTACTGGATCATGAGACTTATCATCAGGTCCTTCAGCAGAAAACAGAAAAATGGAGCAAAGTTACACTTCGTCCTCACTCTTCCCCACCCCCAGTTTCCTGCCATTCTAGAAAAGTTTATTCTTTAAAACTTATATGGTGCTAAAAGACATATGGGCCTTTTCTCACTTACATAGCAGAATTGTTACTTCCACCACAGATAGAAATCTAAAAACTATCATGTGTTTAGTCCATGATACAATTAAAGGTCTGAAAACAGGACATTTTTGTGTGCATATTTTCTTTAAACTTGAGGCATTAAGTTGTCTTTGTGAGAGCAGCAAGCACACTAACAGAGTCACCTGTGCAATGAAATAAGCAGTAGGTGGGCTTCTCACCATGCTCTTGAACTAGGTTTAGATGGGACCAGGGCTTTTTTTCTGTGAAATTTATCAATGCTTGCAGTAAGCAAGCTGTATTTACAATCAGAATATGGATGGGAATCACAGGTATTTCCATTACAGTAAGAGTGCAGAATCTATGCCCCTCCAGAGGTTTCTGGGCTGCAGCTCCCATAATCCCTGACCATTGACCATGCTGGCTGGGACTGATGGGAGCAATAGTCCAACAATATCTGGAGGGCAACAAGTTATTCATCTTGTACTACAGCAAGGTTATCTGTCTTTCTGTTATGTTTGTATGGATTCCTGCAAAAAAAGAGGAACTAATTTGAACATAACTCTCAGATAGTTCCTGCTTTTACTGTTGGTTTATCATCTGGGAAACCCTCAGGTTGCAAATCCATTGGCACAGTAACATTCTCCCTTGCCATGCAGACTTCCCAGAGCACTTCACTGTTGCTTGGACCCATCCCACTTATCTTACAAATAAGTTGTAACCCAATGTCCACCTTGCCTTTTACAAACTAATCAGTTTATCTTTCCACTACCTTCCGCAGCACTTGTGCTGTTCCTGTAAACACACAGTGCTAACTAGATTCCCTTATCACAGCACCAGGGGAATAAGAAGGAATAATATTTTCTGGGTAGCTTCTGTAAGTGCAGAGGTTTCCGGTGCCAGGTTTCTGTGCTGGAGATACTTCAACTTAGCCACAATCCTGTTGGAGAGCCAAGTGAACCTTCTCTAGAGGCTATTCTGTATTACAATATATTGTAATGCCTAGCATGAACAGTGCTTGGAATTGAGGTTATGTGGTTCTGCCCTTGGTTCTGGTCCAGAAGCTTCAGCTATTTCAGAAACCTGCATCCAGACTAGCGATGGAATAAACTACTGCCAGTGTATGGGCAGTGAATACTTTGTTTACATTGTTTGATGAGCAACGTATTAACAATGGCTGCATTGATGAAAGTTGCTTCCTTTTTTAGTGAACTAGCAAGGACACGTCATACTAGGGCAAATCCTGTTCTGCCCCCTTTTTATACCTGTTCAGCTTCTTGGTCTTCACATTGATCTGGCTCTCTGCAGAGCACTGAGTAAAACCCATTTCTCTTTGGCTGTTTTGCATTAGTTCATTAGAAGCCTATTGCAGATGCCCTTTTTGTGTTACCTTAGCAGTATAAGAACTGGTTTTCCATGGCTTCATCCTGCACTGGAAAGCACAGGCTAGAGGACCAGCCTGGGCTCTTGTATGCAGGAAGAAAAGCTCTGAAATGGAATCAGCCAAGAAGCATTGTCAGGGATTGACCCGTTGCCTGAGCCTATGCTTTGCAGCTCATCTTTAGCATCCAAGAAGATGCGCTTTTGCAGCCATGATGTGCACCCTCTCAGCTGCATCATGTCTTTCCTTGCCAGCATGGTATTTTAAAAGGTATAGGCACCCTAGCACAACTCTTCCACTTCTCAAATCTTATATCTTTGTGAATTTTTAACAGGAAAAAAAGACTGAGAGCTCAAAGAGAGTCCATCCCAAGGTATTTACTGTGTAGCAGAAGCTTTCTCTCGGCACCCCTCTGTTCTGCTTTCCCTTTCCAGCACTCCTCCTCACTTACCTGCTCTCACTCTTGCTGCACGGCACAGTGTGGCCTCCTAACCCCACTTCCATCAGTTGCATGTTAGTCATAGACATCACTGTCCCAAGGGTTGGAAGGGAGCGTCGCGATACATGCCATGGCCTGGGATTGTTTGGGAGGGACAGTGACTCTGTTGTAGTCCTAACACTTTCTTAGTATCTCCTTGTATATGCACATGAAACGTAAAAGGGATTTTACACAAAACCAACAGAAAATGTCAAGGGGTGGTGAAGGAATGCAGGTCCTTGTGATATCTCTTAGGAAATAAGCGCAGCTGGGGTCCTGAAACGGGGTTACATGATGCACAGCATGTTCACACACTGAATGGCTTGGTGCAGCTTCCAGGAGTTCTGTGCTCAGACCCCATTTCTTTACCTTAAAGCAGCTCTATGGGCTTGTGAAGTAGCCCGTCTCATGCTTCCACCCTGACAGCTGAGCCAGCTCTGCTTCCACCAGCATTGTACCAAATGATTACTACTGTATGTAACAGGCTGAGATGTGGCTCCAGCCTTTATTGTACTCTTTCCCCTTCTTAGCTGGCTTAATCCGATCAAAATGGTTGCTTCTCTGCATCAAAGTTGTGTTGAAAAACGATTCTACAAGAACGAAGATTTTGCCGCCAGCTTTCCAGTACAAGGAGATTTCTATTACTAGTCCTTGATTAGTAATTCTGTTACTAGCAATTTCTTGATATTATTTTCCAGAGGTTTTGTCTTTTCTGGGAATTGGCTTGTTGCTTGATATTTGGAAAGTGAGCATGGTTTTGTATAACCTTCATGCTTAACTGCTGTGTACTCTTCTCAAGCTGTAAGCACTCCAAGCAAGGATTTGGATACAGTCTTTGAGCGGTGAATGAAAGAGCGCATACAGGCTCCAGAAGGTGTAGCCTCTTGGCAAAGGCAGTGTGATGCAGATACTACTCAATATGCACCTATCACTCTATTCATTAGTATATGCAGTATATGCAGCAGTGACTGTTACTACTGTTTGCCACCACATAACCAGTGCGAGGTCCTGCTGGTCAGCAGCATGTGCCCCACAGCCTGAGCATCATGCTAACACCCCCTGCCAAACGCCCTACCAACTGTGCAAGCTCTAGGGCAGCTGCCCCCACACCAGATGGACAGTGAGTCGGATGCTGACTGACAGCATAGACATGTAACCACATTTTGCATTCTGGGCTTGCACCCTTGCCTTGGGCAGTTTTCCTGCTTACATATCATAGCACTACACTGAAAGATTTGTATTGAAACACTTGCTCAGTATCTTTTTTTAGTAGACTTCAATACATGCTGCAGGACATACTGGTGCTGTATCAGCTTTTAATACTAACCTTTCATCACTGTTCTTCACAGGGAAGGGGATTATTCAGAAATTGCAACTCACATGTTCTTTTGTTAAAAGTGTAGGGGGAAAAGCTTAGCTATACAGGTAAGCTGCTGCTTTTTCTGAAAGGTGGCTTTATGGCTCCTTTCCAAAAATTTACCAGCTTTGGCACTGCACGTTAGGCTGTGCAAAGGGGGTGTGAGAGTCCTACAGAAATTTGCATGAGGATATCCTGTTCCTGGTAGCACAAATACTGTTACGCCTTACGCAAACTTTCCACAACAGCCTTTTGACTGTGTTTCTCTTCCCCACCTCACCACCCATCAGCTCCCTAGACTGGGATTTTCAAAGATTTTTAAAAATTCAATGAAAATTGGGTACACAACACTGCATTTGTTTCATTTCAACAAGAATGCTTGTTTCACCTAATCACTCTTTAAAACTATTTTGTATTGACTTGTTTTGTTTGCTCAAGCCAACTTCAAAGTGGGGTTTGCAATATTGGCTTTGTACTGAAATCATCTTATAGTTAAGCCTGATGTAACCAGGAGAGGAGCTATGTAGCAGAGTTTCAGTTTACATGATACACACTCAAGAATCCAGACTCACTGTTCTATAAGCATTGCCTTTGCATTAATACCTACTAGGGTGCACTGTTGTTATGAGAGAACTGATAGTGTGCTATAGAGGATATATTCATTAAAAATAAGAGAATTCTGTGAGCCCAAAGCACTCGCCCACATGGAGGCTGCCTGCCGCACCTCTACCAGCATACTGCTCCAGCCTTGTCTACTTCCAATCAGCTTCTGCTGGGGACAGCTAATTCTGCTGTTTCTTCATATTGGGTGCAATCGAATGATCCAGTTGTGCCCAGTGTAGCTTAAAATGCTTAAAATGGCCCCCTTCCATTGAGAAGGGGAAACTTGCAGCAGCAACACATAAAGAAACACGGTGAGAGCTCCTCTGGAGTGGGTAATGCTTATTCTTTCAAAAATGTTCCACTTCACCTATCAGCTTAGGAAACACTAGTTTGATGTTTACGTTTTGCCCACCAATGGTTGGTTGCTGAGCTGTTCGTTGTAATGAGATTTCTGCTTAGCTCCTTGGGAGCTGTTCTCCAACCATCTTCATCTGGAACACCAAATAAAGGTTCTTTTGGAAGTTAGGTCCCATATAAATAAATGGCACTTCATCCGCAGTAATACTTTTAGCACCAGAATATGGATGCGTATAGTTTCTCCATAACTTAAATGTTTTTTAATGTATCCATCCAGGTAGCAAAGTGTAACTAGGAAGCAGTTAATGATGAGATTGCTGATAGGCAGACGCTTAGACCTGTGCTGAGAATAAATGGCTGCAGGCCATTGGGCTTCTCAAAGGCCTGAAGCCAGGGGTGGTGAATGGTGGCCCCCTAGATTTTGGACTACAACCGCCTTCAGTCCCAGCCAGCATGGTCAGGGATAATGGGAGCTGTAGTCCAGCAGTGTCTGGAGAACTTCATGTTGCTCTCCTTAGTATGGATGTATAATAACCATGCTTCATTTACATAAAGAGAACATATAAAATGGCTCTGTGCATGTGTATTAAATGCCGGAACTCCTGGTGGATTTGCTGCATGCCACCTTAGTGTGATATTTATAATTATCCCTTTGCCATTAACTCCCTAGGTGGCTCTTCCAAATCATTGTGTCTCAGAATCATAGCCCCTCTGGGGATCATAATACCGACCTACTTTATTTGGGGATTTATTATTTATGTACTATTTTTTATTTTTAAAAAACATATTTATGTTCCTCCTCTCCAACACAATTGTCCCAGGGTGAATATAAAAATTGCAAGAATAAAATTGTTGATATCAGCTGATCTTCACTGGTGAGGGCCTTTGCTGATGAAAGCACAGGAGTTAAAGTGTGTGTTGTACTTCATTTCAGAAACCTTTGTATTTCCCTTAGGCATTCTTGACTGCCATGAGACAGTTTCCTTACCATTCCTGAATTGCTTCTTTTTATGAACCATTTGTCCATAGCACATGCACAGAACATTCAAAATGAAGTGGTTTGGATAGCTCTGGTCTCAGCAGATGAAGTTGAACTGGCTTGCGTAAATTCAAGGACTTTGAGATAATTTGTTCAGATTCATTAAGGGGCTTTCCTCATGCTACCCATTGTAAAGAACTATTTGTGCATGAAACATGAAGATGAAAATACAGTTATGCATACAGGGGAAGACAAATTATTGAAGTGGTTTATAATTATATGAAACACAGTGGGAGACACGCACTGGGAAAAACTATTAATAATTGCATATGAATTTAGGATGTGCACACAACTGTTCTGATAATAGACTTACATATTCACTAAAGCCAAGCGTGCGGACTTGGTGAATACTATTCCTGATCCATAGGGCTGTTGATTAAAAGAATTCTAATAGCTTCTCACCCCCCTGCCCAAGACTTTGTTTGACCTTGGGCAAGCTTGTATTTCAGCCTTCCAGTAAGAGTAGCCTACCTTACTGGATTGTTGTGACGATAGATGAAAGACTACGAAGAACTTGCAGATCAAGTTTATAAACAGCATAACTGGTAATAATTGCACTACATTCCTGTAGCTATTGCTTAGGCTCTGACAGATGTTCAGTAGCCTTTGTTTGCTACTTGGAAAAATAACAGCGTTTAACAATAAGATCAGTATTATTAAGGCAGAATCACTAAGATTGTTGAACTAATGATGCCACAGTTTTGGTTAGGAGGTCAAAACTGCTCATTTAAACAGATGCCATGGTGTGTTAACACTGTAGTTGTACTTCTTCAGCTATTAAGAAAGGAAAACGCTTTTAAAAATAGGAGAAAAGCTGAAACGGTGAAGTAGAGTTCTGCTTTAGAAGCCAAAATAATCATTTAAAGTGCAAGAGCTCCAAAGCTGGGTTTCTTCGACCATCTTGCTGTCTTTTAAGTATTATGTGTGCCTCTTACTATGTGGTTTTCTTCAGATACCTTGGAATTCAGAAGTCGACCTTTGGTGGCATAACGTTATGAAGAATTCTAGCAAGGAGTGTGAGCCTGTCTGGTGTGATGCGGAAGACGAACTGTTTATTCTCTACACCAGTGGGTCAACTGGAAAACCGAAGGTAGGTTCCTTTATTCTGATCCTGTGCCAAAGCATGAAGTGAAGAGTTAATATTTACTTGTCAAGTCACACACGCTTGCTGTTCACTCTGCTGTGTGGACGCTTTGGATCCAAATGCTTACTGTTTTAATGCTTTCACAGTACTGGTCTGGAACCAGAAATGGGCCCTATCTCTACAAATACTTGTAACGTTAGTGCAACATTAATTACACATTAGTGTAACGAGACCTCTTGTATTCCAGGTGCTCTAGGTTACTTGGAAGGGGGAAAGTTCAATGGTAGAGAATGTTTTGCCTGCAGAAGGTCCCAGGTTCAGTCCCTCCCATCTCCCCATAAAAGGATCTCTGGTAGCAGGTACTGTGAAAGTTCTTTGCCCAGAAACCCCGCCTAGCTGCTGCCAGTCAAAATAGATGCCATTGGGCAAGATGGAGCAGTGGTCTGACTTATTCTGTTCATGTGGCCCACTGTGAAATTCTGGGATGGTGGCATTGTGTGTAAATAAATACATGCAGGGTGCAGGACTGGCCACATGTATTTTTTCACGATTATTGAGCAGCAGTTGGCATAAATAATTAAAGGAGGCACAGAAAGCCTAATACTTTTTAGTCTTTGCTATACATAGCACATCTACACATTACAGGCTTTCTTCATAACAACATATGCTTCCTAAGCCTTGTATACATCTGTTTAAATTCACACGAGATAAGAGTCTGCGCATAAACTCTGATGTGTTTATTTCACTGCTTGCTGTACAGAGCGCTCACTTTACTGAATTTATGTGGTCGGTGGTTTGATGACTACAAAAATATCACATGAACTAATTTGGTTACCTCTCAGGGCTGTGTTTGGAATTGGTGCCACTATTTTCGCATTTAATTATGACACTGCAAGTAAACATTGCAAAGAAAAGTACTTCATGGTGATGTTTCCCTGTAAAAGGAAGTCATACCGCTTACCCTTGTGTGTGATTGAACTAATGTTATGGTTATAATGTGGTTAATGATACAGTAAAAATATGTTTCCTTCTCTCATGCTGAAGTTTTACTGATGTATTTGTTCAATGCAGTAATGCTTGAGTAAAACAATGGCTGGATCTAGACACATCAAAGTAGTGTTCCAGTTAAATGCATTGTAAATTTAAACAGGGAAAACAGGTAGAGAAAAACAGGACTCCACACTGCCATCTGGTGGCACAATGTTATATTACAAATACAACACATATACAGTGGTACCTCGGGTTACATACGCTTCAGGTTACATACATTTCAGGTTACAGACTCTGCTAACCCAGAAATAGTACCTTGGGTTAAGAACTTTGCTTCAGGATGAGAACAGAAATCGCGCGGTGGCAGCCCGGCAGCAGCGGGAGGCCCCATTAGCTAAAGTGGTGCTTCAGGTTAAGAACAATTTCAGGTTAAGAACGGACCTCCGGAATGAATTAAGTACGTAACCAGAGGTACCACTGTAAATCACTTTTTCTTTACCAATCTAGCTGAGTCCAATGTTGTTGTATGCTTTCTCACATAATGAAAATCAAGCCAGTAATGTTCTGTTTAATTTCAGCTGGTTTTCTTTGTTTCAGGGTGTTGTACATACAATAGGTGGCTATATGATTTTCACTGCCACTACCTTTAAATATGTGTTTGATCACCATCCTGAGGACATCTACTGGTGCACGGCTGACATTGGATGGATAACTGGCCATTCCTACCTCACATACGGACCTTTGGCAAATGGGGCAACCAGTGTCTTAGTAAGTTCTGTGTGATATGCGGGGGCTGTATGAGGGTGGGGGAGGGGGGACTAGGCTTGCCAGGCTTACACAAACCAAGCATTGAGTGCCTTGATCAAGGTTGAATTGTATTGGTATTGTCATGCAACATCCTCATTGGCAAGAAAGCAGCTAAACAAGTTAGGTCACTGATGATGACCATAGCTCCCCAAACCACGTTTGCACTGAGGTTCATTGCTGGTCAAGTTCTTTTTACTGTCATTCTTCACAAGTACCTTCTTCTGATTTGAGCCAGGCAGTCTTGCTGATTCAAATCAAGTCATGAATGGTCCCCAAAGACCTCTGTGCTCAGTAGCATTCTTTAGGCTACAGAAGGATTATAGGGCTGCAAAGTTTTGCACCCCACTTGCTGGAAGCAGCAGGTGGGGTGGTGGGTTTCTTCTTCTCATGCTAAACGACTTGTTTTTTGCTCAGTTTGAAGGGCTTCCCATTTACCCGGACGTTGGTCGTATGTGGAGCATCATTGACAAGTACAAGGTGACCAAGTTCTACACAGCACCCACTGCCATTCGCCTTCTCATGAAGTATGGAGATGAACATGTCCAGAAGTAAGTAGGACTTGAAGCAAAACAGAGAGTGGTTTCGCTAATAACCTTCCAGCACTGGGAATATATAATCTTAAACATGCATCGCTCTAGAGAAAAGCAAACCCTAGAGCAAAGCTAATTCCTCCAGCCTCTTCCTCAGGAACAGCGTTCTTGTTTTACATTTGTTCTATAAGATACAAAGCATAGGGGCCAACTCCTAGGGGCCAAGGTCTTTTCAGGGCCCCCCAATAAAATATATGAGCGGGTTGCCCTTCCCCCCAGTTGATGGACATTGCCATTTAAATGGTGTACATACACCACATCTGGTGCTGGAGGAGACTCTTGAGAGTCCCATGGACTGTAAGAAGATCAAACATCTCCATTCTTAAGGAAATCAGCCCTGAGCGCTCACTGGAAGGACAGATCCTGAAGCTGAGGGTCCAATACTTTGGCCACCTCATGAGAAGAGAAGACTCCCTGGAAAAGACCCTGGTGTTGGGAAAGATGGAGGGCACAAGGAGAAGGGGATGACAGAGGTCGAGATGGTTGGATAGTGTTCGCGAAGCTACCAGCATGAGTTTGGCCAAACTGCGGGAGGCAGTGGAAGACAGAAGTGCCTGGCGTGCTGTGGTCCATGGGGTTACGAAGAGTCGGACACGACTAAACAACAACAACACACCACATCATGTGACTGATTCCATGGGGCAGGGCTTACCTCCCCCCCCCATATTTTATTTAAGTTGGCACCCCTGATATAAAGACAATGTGGGGAGGACAGTGAGAAAAGAGGGAAGGGAATATACTTGGCTGAATCTTGGTGCTTAGTTTAAGCCCTGATGACTGCTAGAAAAAGTCTGTCTGAATCTCACCCCAATTACTGTGCTTGCTCTTGACAGGAGGCTTTTGTCGGTTTCTGGCAATGTTCTCCTTGTGCTGCTTGGCACTCTCCTTGAAGGGCCAGCTCTAGAACTGCAAACACATTTTTTTCTTGTGGAGTTTTCCTCCCTCTCTTTAAAAGCCTATCTGCTTCTTATGGCAGGTACAGCAGGAAGTCCCTGAAGATCCTTGGGACAGTTGGGGAGCCCATAAACCCAGAAGCTTGGCTATGGTACTATAGGGTGGTTGGTGAAGAAAGATGCCCTATAGTGGATACCTTCTGGCAGACAGAGACTGTGAGTTATTTGGTTCCTGGTTCCCTTTGTGTCTTGGGAATGATCTGTCTATTTGCCTGTGTGGGTGTTAGGATTTTCCTGCGCTCTCCCAAGTACTAGGTTTTGGGTGGCATTCAGCTTGGTTTTGCTCAGAGTAGACTAATTGAAGTAAATGAACTTGACTAAGCAATGCCCATTAATTTCAGTGAGTCTACTCTGCATCAAACTTAGATGAATGCCACTTTTTGAGTGGAATTCAATATAGTGGTAAGTGGGGTATGTGGGGGGGGTCAGGTTTTCTCCCCTCCCTCACCCTGCATGCCCCCTAAACCTGTTCTGCAGGTTCCCCAATCCTCCAGAGTCAATTTAGGGGTGTGTGGGGTATGCGGAGCAAGCAGGCCCTGTTCTGTACATGCAACAACTTGGTTGAATTCCACCTTTTTTGAGTTTTTGCCCATAAACTTGCCACAGTTTTTCTATAGCAAAAGTACAGTTGCTTGGAAATGCATTGCTGCTACCTGCTGTGCCTCGGAATAACTCAGCTTTTCCTCCACTGCCTGGTATTGTTGTGACTGTTTTGGGTTTCTATCCTGCAGGGTGGCCATGTGTTAACTCCTCTCCCTGCTGCCATACCAATGAAGCCAGGCTCAGCTGTAAGTATAGATCTGACTGTTCTCGTCTGTTCGTGCAGCAGTACTTTTTGTCCCCTGCCCCCCTTGGGCTTTGGCGCAATAGTTCCACTAATAATCCTCTCACAAACATGCAGATAAATGCAAATTATTTTATACACACTTGCATGTTTTAAAGCATTTTCTAAGGCAAAACCAAAGTGGGATGATAGGCTCTAAGTGAATAGAGGTTTTCCTTCCTGGAAATTGACTTATTTGCTGACCAGAAGCTTTGGGTGTAATCTTAAAAGTTATGGAACCTTCTGTGGTGAATTATTTGGGGATGGGAATGGACCAATGGAAGAACTTAGCCCAGATGTGAAAACAAGTCCAAAGTTCCTTTTCTACCTTCCACATGTCTGCTTTCTCTGGGGGGGGGGGGTTAAGTTTGCATTTCCCACTTCTTCCAAATCCTACTATGAATATTTCTTGGCAGACGCTTCCTTTCTTTGGAGTGGTCCCTGCGGTGCTGGACGAGTCTGGGGAGGAGCTGGAAGGAGAAGCAGAAGGTTACCTGGTAAGAAAAAGTGAAGTTTTTATTGCTGGTTAAATTCAATCCGTGTGTGGAGCTTCATGGTCTCTATATAGTCATTCCCATTTTGCATTAGTTCCATGTGTGGGATATCTGTCCCTTAACTGCTTCAGACAGTGGAAGCAGAGTATAGCAGTCATGGCTCGTTACCTTTGATAGCCTTATCCTTCATACTATTAAAGCTATCTAAATTGGTGGCCATCACCACTTCCTTTGGAAGCAAGTTTAATACTTGTGTGTATTACACACACACACACACACACACAAAAAATTTTCAGCTTGACCTAATGACGTATTGGCAGCCAGTGGTATTACTTTAATAAATGTGTTGCATGTTAGATGCTGGTTTCTCTAGTATGCAGCCTAGGGCAGCCCCACATAGAGATTGTTCCAGTAATCTCTTGAGGGTACCAGTGCACAGTCCACTGTGACCGCTATCTGTATCCAGGAATTGTTGAAACTTGTGTACCAGCCTAAGCTGGAAAAAGGAACTCTCAGCCACTGGAGCTACTTGGGCCTCAGTTGACAAAGATGGGTACATGTGTAACCCCAGACTACAGACTTGTTCCTTTAGAGGAAATGCAGCTCTGCTTGGAACTAGCAATTGACCAATTTCCTGGATCTGGGCACCACTCATCTTAGGCTCTCCACCTTGCCAGAATTCAGCTTCAGTTCACTGGCCCTCATCCAGACCACCACTGTGTCTGGACTTAGTATTGCTAGTTCCCCAAAGTTAGCCTTTTAGCGAATACATGTGTAAGATACATATTCACTAGCAGATAGGGTAACCAGAGTGGGAATAATACCTGCTTAATTCTCAGGCTGCTTTGGAATGGGATGGTGTTTGGGAAAGCAGTGCAGAGGCCAGGGGTTCAGCCCTTCCTTCTCACACTGCTGCTGCCGTCTCAAAATTTGAGTCCTTGGTGGCTGCTCTTTCTAAAGCAAAAACACACACCCCAGAAAAAGTTGGAAGGGTCTACTGTTTAAGCACAGAGTGTGGCAACACCTCAGCATTGTAATAAGTTCTGAGCTCAGCTCTGATCAGATCAAATTTCTCTCTGGGAGTGAAGAAGATTTGAACTATCAGAGTTGAACTGATTTTACACAGGAGACTGCAAGTTGTCTTTCACCAAGAGCAAAGGATCATAAAATATATCTGCAGAATGGACCATTGCCCAGAGCACAGTCAAAGTGCCAAGAATGTGCATGGGTTGCTTGGGTGCTGTCCAGCTTCTATTTATGAAAGACGATACCATTCTGTATGTTCGTTTAAAAATTACGTTGTAGGGGGCATCTGGAATCGCTGTAGTGATGCCACTGTGGCATGAGTTTCCTGGAAAAAATTGAACACGAAAATTTCCTGCTCTCCTAAACCACACTGCGATCTGATTTAGCATGGTCTACTTGACTAGAAGGTTTTTTTGGGGGGGGGCGTGGCGTGGCGGAAGTATGCCATGTTTCATTTTATGTTGTGTGTAGAATTCAATAAGGTAAACACTGGCACTTTAAAGTAAACTATGATTTGATGCACTTTAATGTTTGCTCGTCCTCTCCTGAGTGTTGCAGGAGGAAACAATCCCAGAGTCTGGCATGTGGTGACATGTGAAGAGACTTCCGGGGTGGCGCCATCGGTAATGGCAGACTCCCTCTGAACTGGAGGGACCAGCTCCGCATGAAACGGGTCTTTTCCGCTACGGCGAAGCGGGGACCCTTCTGGAAATCACAGGTGGATGAAGCCTGTGACCGTGGGACTCGGCGGGCACCCTTAGCGCCCCCCCAACCCACAAAGGAACCCACTAACGGGCTCCGAAGCGAAGAGGGGGAAGTGGCGCGGTGCTGTGAGTCAATTGCTTTTTCTGCGGAGCGAAGCTGCATAGCCATTGCCGGAGAGCGCTGCCTTTTTCCTGGGACAATTTGGCATCTAAAATAACCACCCGTGAGTACTGGAACATTGAACATTTGGACTTTAAATAAGAACTGGCGAAATAGAAAGGAATTTGGACTTAAAAATTTACCTTAATTTGGTACTGAAACGGTAAGGTCTAAACAGGAAGTCAGCCTTCCGTTTCCTTGTAGCCAGAATAAAGCAAAGACAACATAAACTAGAGCTTTAAAAATCACTTTCAAAGGATTGGTTTTCATCATTTAAAATCGCTGAACCCCCCTTCGGCAGCAGGAGAAGAAGGGGGATCTTTTTTGGGCTGTTTAAACCTGCAGAAGTGAGTTTAAAGCAAAGTAATTTTCCACCGCCCTGATCCTGGAGCGGGGTGTCAGAATTGACGTTTGAAGCTCATTGACCAGAAACAAATGTCTTTGACAGATAGTTAAAAGAAGAGAAACATAGTGATTCCATTGTTTCCTTTCGCATTTTAAAAAGAACAAATATGGACAAAATACCTTAAAAAGAAACTTTGTTGCTATTGTTTTTAAAAGAAAGAACAATCAGAAGATTTCCCCCTAGAGGGGGACTGTGAAATTGTAACTAATTCCTGGGAGCTTGCAGCTGCCACAGATTACAACCGTGGGAAAGGATTTGTGACCTTGCAGGACAATGTCTTCAGAAGCACTGTTGGGTGCTCTCTGCAAAATAAATGCCCTATTGGATCAGTTAAGCCAGAAGACGGATTTGATGACTAATGCGGCCAGAACTTTTGAACAGGTAGTGGGAAAGTATATGGAGCCCACCCAGGAACTAAAACAGGAGTGTGCCATGACAGAACAGCTGAGAGAAGAGGATGTTGCTGAATCTTGGGCGCCAGAGATGGAGGGAGTTGCGGCCCAGCAGGAACATAAATTTTTGGATTTGACAAATGAACTTGGAAAAAACCAGACTTGGAAAGATAAAGTTTGGTTTGGTTTGGAAATGGGGGGTTGGGCAGACCCCCCTATACAGGGAGATTTGGACTTTTCGAGTCTGGCAATGGGCCGTCAGATGTTTGGAGCTGTGGGGGCTCTCAATTTTGGAGGGAATCTGAAACATGTTTTTAAACACCACATGGAGTCTAGTCTGGACTATGGAAAAGGGGCTGATTTGTTGAAAAGGGTCAAAAACATTACCAAGCTGGAGTTCCCACAAATGAAAGGAAAATATGAAGAAGAGCTGCGGAAGGGACATGGAAGAGACTTGAGGGCTTCGGATATAAGATTACCAGGTTAATGTGCTAGATTAATAAGATAAAAAGGACTGACAAAACCCGGGACCAGGAGGAAGGGACACTGGATGAAGATTGGATTGTTTCTTTCTTTTTTTTTTATCACTAGGATTGTTCTATAAAATTGATGAATGCTAGAAAAATGTTGAAATGAAATTACTTGGCTCTTGTAAAAATGTCTAAAGAATTTGGTAAGAATGTTATGGCTAGGAGAAGTTGGTAAAAATAAGATTTAAGTTTTAAACTTTAAGGTTCTCTATAAGATAAGATGAAAATAGATTAAGGTTATGTAATGACAGAATACTATGAATTATGGAAAGGATTTGCTGTGATTATTATTAATCAGGATACAAGAAAAGGGAGGAGGAGGAGGTCAAAGAAAGAAGGTATTGAAAGTGGAGAATTTGAGAATGATGCTTTTATTTTTTTCTTTTTATTTTTCTGTCTTGTCTTTTTTTGTGTGTAATTTTTTAAAAAAAAAAAATTTCCAATAAAAATCATTAAAAAAAAAAAAAAGACATGTGAATTAGGCTTGTAGTTTGTTTCTTGGTGAGCTAACAGACCTTAGCTTCAGGTTGCTGTTTCCTTAGAGAGAAACAAACCACGAGCCCTAGTTTACATGCATTGACAAGCCAGATTATTGTCATGTTTCTGGCTTGTTTCCAGCATGGAACAGTTGGGAGGACCACATTCCCAGGGTTATGCCATGTTATAATTGCGGTTATCAGTGGCATATCTTAAGCCTAAACAATACATGTTGTATCAGACCCAAGGTATGTCTAACCCAGTTCTCACAGCAAGACGTGTGTAACTCATCTTGATCCTCAGTCACTAGTATTCAGAGGCAAACTTGACTTAATGAGTATTTGAACTCTGGTCTCCCAGGACAAAGTCCATCATTTGAGCCAATCTGCCATATTGACTTAACACCCAGTGCCTTGTGTGAGCATAGCATTATACAGTATTTAATCCTTTGTGGGAGGAGAGGAACAATTCTTTGGAAGTAAGCCACAGCTTCACATAGGACAAAATGCTCAATGCAATGTAAGGGCATAGTAAAGAAACCCACATTTAATATGTTCTCTTATTTGTCCTCTCCTTTTAGGTTTTTAAGCAACCCTGGCCTGGAATAATGCGCACAGTGTACAAAAACCACCAGCGGTTTGAGACCACATACTTCAAAAAGTTCCCTGGTTACTATGTTACTGGAGATGGTAAAGTTCTACATGGAATCCTGTAATATTGACAGTATAGCTTGCTTCCTGTATAATGTGGAAGGGATTAAGCATGATGCATAAAAAAGAGGCTCAACGTACTTCCTTTGTGCAGCTTTTTTTCTTTCCAGCCCTTACATCTGAATTCTCTTTCTAACATGGACTTAGAGCTATATGTATGGACTAGGTTTGATTCGTATTTGGGTTTTGTGAGCTTTTAATTTGTAGCCCTGGAATGAATGCTCAGATCTTGGCAACAAAGGCAAGAGGTCCCTTTATGAAATCCACAGTCCACCCTGCTTGACTCCCTGGAATTAGGAGCAAATTGTGGGAGAAGGCGTGTGAGTCACAAAGGATATGGGGAACAAACCCCTTTGGCACCCTTTATTTACATCAATTTGATTTGCCTGGAATTTGATTTGGATACTGAAGTCCTGAAATATGCAATGCATAGGGTGGGGGGAACTTAGGAATTGGTTCATTGGGCCTTTCCTTTTCCACTCATTCATCTTTGCTGGTCCCATGTATTTGCAGTTAGGCAGCAGGGCTTCTGGGCAATGAGGTGTTACTGCTGCTTTTCACATTACTCTTTTTTGCTGCCTTTTGTTTCTTAATACTTAGTGTCATTTGTTCACATTGTGCTGTGTACACCCACACCCACCCCAGTTCTCCCTAGATGGTTTTTTTCCTAGCTGGCTACTTTACAATGGTCAGTTTGCTGGTTTGGTTTTTTCCCCCGCCAGGCTGCAAAAGAGATAAAGATGGTTATTATTGGATCACGGGTCGAATTGATGACATGCTGAATGTTTCTGGTAAGAACAAAATCTTTGTGGAATGTTTCGGGTTTCCTGTAAAACTCTCCCGATGATATGGTAGGCCTTTTTGACATGATATGCCACCCTAGGCTCGTTTGGGAGGAAGAGCAGGATGTAAAACAAATCAATCAAAAAATTTGGGGGGGGGGCGTGATATGTTTCCTCCTCAATACTGTTTAAAGCATGTGGCTGACAGAGGCTCAGCCAAGGATGAATGAGATGCTTGGGCCAAAAAAGGTTAGATCAGGGAATGCAAAAAATCAATAGTGACTGTGCTTGCATAACCAAATTCTGGCTTGATAGGCCAGGATACGTTTGAGCTTCATGCACACACATGCAGCCTCTTTACTCTCACTCTTGCTTTGTGTGAATGGGGAAACAGAGCAGGAAGCTGCAGTTAGACGTTAGTGCCTGATTTGTGCAAATTGGGAACTATGGTCACTTTCATCAAAGCAACAAGGAATCCTGGCTTGTTTGGAAGCCATTAGCCACCCGTGTGGTTTATACATAATAAAAAATTATGGTTAAAATGGTTTTTCTCCTTGTGCAAAGCATAGAGTGCAATGGAATCATAGGGCTTGATGCAGGTGCATAAAGCTTACCTGAAAGCAGCCAATGTCTGAGCCCATCCTCTTAAGAGATTCTTTCTACTTTATAGTTTTGTCTGCCCCATTTTTCTTAGGAATTTTAAAGTTTGTACAGTGGCAGTGACTCCTGCATAGCCATGGGGTTTTCAGGAAGCACATAACATTAGCTGCAATATGACCTTTTGGTTTCCTTACATAATGGTCCATAGAGTCTCCATAACTATCAAATATCTGGGCACTTGAAAGCTCTTATCTTTTCAGAGATTGAAATATCTAACATTTACATGTCTCTGGTTTTTGTTTTTATAATTTATCATGGTACACAGCACCATATCTGCTCAAGCAGAATCAGTGCAGGCATACTCTTTGGGGAACTTCAAGGAGTCTTCTCAGAGAGACTAGAGAAAAACACGTTTTCCTCTTTTATCTTATGAAGTCCCAACAAAATACAAAACAAACTCACCAAACTAAGAAATGGTTTGCTTTACTATTATTGGCTACTTTTATTTATTTTTTAGCTTTTACAACTTGTACTTGGGATCAAACTGTGTTTTCTCCCATAGTACCTTTCTAGAATACTATTTTGCAACATTTACATTTTGACCAAGATTTTAGTGTAAAGGGTTCCTTTTTTATTTTGGTGATGATATTTCTTTGGCAATACGCAATCTATGCCATTGGATGTTGGCCTCACCCAATAGAATTACCTTAAGCCCTAGCCTTCAGCATGGGTCTTGGCTTGCTTAGTTATTTATTTTCATAAAATTTATATGATGCTTGATTGCTCAAAACAAAACTTCAGTTTACAAAAAGAATAAAACAATAAGTTATCAGTAAAAAAAAGACAGTTGAAAGCAACTATATAAAATATTCAGAATTTTTTTAAAATAAAAAAAACCAATAAGCTAAAAACTAGATTAAAACCAATGTCAACATGGATAGGCTTTCCTAAATGAAGGTATTTTCAGCAGGTGCCGAAAACCGTACGGTGAAGGGGCCTGCCTGATGTCAATAGGCTTTTGTGGAAAACCTCTTGAAAAGTGAGGAGGCCTGGGTAGCAATGCCAATTTAAGAAAAAGCCCCCATTTCTTTCTGTTTTCAGGGCACTTGCTGAGTACAGCAGAAGTTGAATCTGCTTTGGTGGAACACCTGGCAGTTTCGGAGGCAGCAGTAGTAAGCCACCCGCACCCAGTGAAGGGAGAGTGCCTCTACTGTTTTGTGACGCTGAAGGATGGTCACGACTTCACAAAGAACTTAGTTGATGAACTGAAGAAACAAGGTAACCTTGGTAGACCATCACATGTCGCTTGGTGAAAGGGCCAGAAAGCCCTTTTGGATTTGTGAGGTGGGTGCGGGAGGGGCAGGGTAGCATGCTGCGCATGGAACAAAGGAAGCCATCTTAGGCCAGGTTAGACTTTTTGTCCATCTGGTCACATCCCAATGAAGCTGAATGTTGGAAGATTCGGGGGAAGACAAAAGGAAGTACTTCTTCACCCCACATGTAGTTAAATTATGGAATTTGCTCCCACAAGAGGCAGTGATGGCTGCCAACTTGAATGGCTTTAATAGTGGATTAGGAAAAAAATCATGAAGAATAAGGCACAGTGGTTATTCCCCCTGATGGTTGTGTTCTCCTCCACCACCACTGTCAGAGGCAGTGTGTTTCTGAATAGCAGTTGTTGGAAACCACAAGAGGGAAGAGTGCTGTAGTGTTCAGGTCCTGCTTGGGTGCTTCCCATGGGCATCTGGTTGGCCACTGTGAGATCGGCATGCAGGGCTAGATGGCTTTTTCTTTGTCCTTGGTATTATCTAGTCCAACTGGCAGTCTCTCTGGAATATCCAGCAAAGGACATTCCCTTCACTTCTTACCCAGTTCTTTTAAAACTGGAGATACTAGGTATTGTATTCTGGACCTTAGGCATGGTAAACATGTGCTCAGTTGCTGAACCAGGATCACACCAGTGGAGCAGATGTCACACCAGCCTGTTCAGCAAAAGGAAAGCTACCTGCTGGCTCAGATTTTCTCTTTTGGAGATCATTCTTCAGCCCTTCTAATCTTCCTGAGATGAAGCCCCACCCCGACAACTTGCATCATCCCACAGCCTGGCTGGCAGGACAGTTTTCAAATAAAAGGTTCATTGCTTAGTTATCCCAGAAGCTAAATTTATCTCTGCTGGCCTTATTGCCTCCCACATGTTGCTCTCCTTGCCAGCTGGCACCTGACTTGAATACATAAGGGCAGACCGCATGGCCCGTGAACAGGGTGTGGGTTTTGCAGTGGCGAGGCATGCACAACAACCCTTCCTTTCCCTTTGACAGCAGAGTTGCTGTAGAGGAAGGGTGGGTTTGCACAACAGGTTACTTTCCAAATTGGACTCTGGGGTAGCGGTATTTATCTGACCAAGGTCTTACGGGAACAGAAATGATTCAACATGTTTTTAATGAGCGGAGCAAGACTTCCCCAGAGTGGCTGCTTTTTAAAACAGGCCTGTTGGTGTTAGTTACTCCCGGTCAGCCCCTTTGTCATTCAAACACTGTGTTCTGCAGAATCCTTTCAGAAGCTTTTCACACACTCATCAAGGAGAAGAGTTTCCCTGAAAGAATATAATGAGAGACAAACTAATCTCACTTTCCACTGTGCAGCTGTGAAGGGACATCTGGGGTGTGCCAAGGATGACATCTGCAGATGGAACAGGCACATGAGGCTGAGCTAGTGCCTTCTGTGTACTGACTGTGGATCTAGACCATGCCCCATTGGAGTTCCAGAAGCAAATGCAGAGAAGTCAGCGTGGGAGGGGTCCCTGTGGTTTGAGAAACACTGCTTCCTGTCAGAAATAAGAGCCAGTAGACTAAAAATGTTGCATACCTTTTAGAAGAACGAATAAGTTCTAATTGGAAATGGGAATGATGAAAGAAGAACCTTGATTACAAAACTGAAGTGGAAACAATCAAGGAAGAATTTATATTACAATTTATAAATCTTATTCCTGAAAAGGGTTTTGTTTTCTGTCCCTACTATGTGTGTTAAAGTTGCATTTCAGTGTAACAGGGAGCAGGGGGGTGCTGTGGTCTAAACCACTGAGCCTCTTGGGCTTGCTAATCGGAAGGTCTGGCAGTTCGAATCCATGCGATGGGGTGAACTCCTGTTGCTCTGTCCCAGCTCCTGCCAACCTAGCAGTTCAAAAGCATACCAGTGGGAGTAGATAAATAGGTACCGCTGCGGTGGGAAGGTAAACGGTGTTTTAATGCGCTCTGGCACTCATCACAGTGGCCCGTCACGCCAGAAGCGGTTTAGTCATGCTGGCCACACAACCCAGAAAACTGTCTGTGGACAAACACCAGCTCCCTCAGCCTGAAGTGAGATGAGCACCACACCCCATAGTTGCCTTTGACTGGACTTAACTGTCCAGGGTCTCCTTTACCTTATTTATTGCAGTGTGTTCCAATTGAGAATGCCAGTCATGCCCCTTTCCCCTGGATATTCCATTTCTCTCCTTTCCGGGTGGGATGTTGGTGTCTTGTTTAGCTATTCTCCCTGTTTGCATGGGTTTTATTTCAAGTCACGTGCTTCACGAACAGTCCAGAGGCTATCATAGGTAAAATCCTTAATCTTTCATTTGCAGTTAGAGAAAAGATTGGACCCATTGCAACACCAGATTATATTCAGAATGCACCTGGCCTGCCCAAAACCCGCTCAGGTAAGATATGGATTTTACTGTATATGTGCAGGAAGCACAGATCATGGTGCTGTAAATACCTCTTGCCTTACATTACAGGTTCTTGCTACTAATTGAATTTACATTCTCTGCTTTCTTTTTGGAAACACAGTGTTGGAACTGGGAAAACTAGTAAAGCTGCAAGTAGCTATTTTTTTTTTGGAAAAGTTTTTATTGTTAAAATAATTGCTGTGAGTAGCTATTTAGTAGCCCCTGTTCTCTTGGAGCCTTGTGTAAAACATGGAAATCCTCTTGCCTCTACTGTAGGGATGGCATGACAGTATGTTTTGATTGGCAGAAAGGATTTCTAGTATGTCACAAGGCAGTAGTGGCTTGTGGAGAAACCCAGCCAGATGGGTGGGGTATAAATAATAAAATTATTATTATTATTGGTGGTGGTGGTGGTTGTTGTAATGCCCATATAGGTCAGTGGGAATTGTGTGGACAGCAACTCCCAAGGCAAGGTAGAAGTTGTTTACCATCATGGGCTTAATAGACCGCAAGCTTAACACAAGTCAAGTGTGATACAGCAGCAAAAAAAGCTAATGCTAATCTAGGCTGTACAGAAGTCTAGTGCCCTCATCAAGGGAAGTAATAGTACCGCTCAGTTTTGGTTGTATGGCCATGTCTTGGATCCTTTAGTTGAGATTCCTGTATTGTAGGGAATTGGACTAGATGACTCTTAGGGTTCCTTCCAACTCTACAGTTCAATTACTTTATTGTCTTTGGGCAAGTTGCTTAGAATTTTACTCCCAAGTTATTAATTTTATTCAATTCATTGTATTTTATGTTTGTAGACTAATCTGGGGTCAAGAATCCCAGTGTATATCCTATTTTTAACAGCATGTCCTAAAATCCTGCGTCACTGCCTAAATACCATTCATTAATCATCTTTTTCTTGGAATGCAAGTACAGTTTGATGTTACACTGCCATTTCTTTGCAGGTAAAATTATGCGGCGGGTATTAAGAAAAATTGCCAAAAATGACCAGGAGCTGGGAGATACCTCTACTGTGGCAGATCCAGCAGTTATAAACCACCTTTTCAGCAACCGGTGTGAGACAATACTGTAGCAAGGCAGTTCTAGAAGAAAACAGCAGTAGTGCAGGGATTTGGTGAGAATATGGCCCCATTGAGACAATGACTGAGTTTCTCTTGAGATGAAGAAGCTGCCCAATGCTGAGCTGAATGTAAAATGCTGTAAATGAAGAGAAGAAACTGGTGCTCCAAGATCCAGTCCTTTTGTGTTGTAGATCTAGTTGTCTGTGCCTCTGGAGAACTGTGTGCATTATGTTGTAGACCGATAACTACATATCTGAAATTCCAGCCTCATTCACGTCGTACAGAATGACAGAATTAACATTTTAATTTTCATGGATTAGTTTCATGAATTGTTTGTTTTTATTTTTTTACCTCTTAACGTGCTGCAAATGGGCAGAGCTTAGAATGTGTAGGCATTGGTGTGAAAAGATGGCTTTGCTCCCGAGTGGTAGTTAAACCGACAAACTGAACAGTAATCCTCATGTTGAGGAAGAATTATTGGAACAATTTTTTTTAGAAATCAAGCATTCATTAGGTTTCTTTCTTTCTTTATAAAATCCTGGATCCTCTGGCTGCATGCCATGGGAAAATCAAAGTTTATAGAAAAACTGCAACTCTGAAGCTGTATAAAACTACTTTTCATGCTATTAATGACAATGACTTTCCCCCTCAAAAGGGAATAAGGCTATCTATATGTTTTGGATTTTAATAGTACATTTGTGTATGTGTGGGTGCAGAGCTGAATTTTCCCAGTGCATCAATTTTTTGGTGTGGGTGGAAGCAAATTCAGGGAATTATAGTCATGAAAAGTTGCATTCAGTGCCTAGATGTATCCTAGAGGGAGGTTCATAAATTTTCCGTGGCTGTTGGTTGGTGCAATTCCTGTACCAATTGAATATGGGTAGGGATTCACTTGGATGGATGAGAAGCAGGTGCTGTAGTGATACCCAAAGTTTCAGTGACATGGGGCAATTCAGTTACTTGGTTTTCCATGTGACCAGCTATGACACACAATCACATGAAGAAAATGGATATAGCCAGTGATTCTCACCTATGTTTGCTATGGCTGGGGAAAGCGTAGCTGCATTTGTGGAAATTGTTTCCAGGTAAATTTTTATTTAGTCCAGTTTATGCTTCCATTTCTTGATATAATAATGGACATATATGTGACCAAATACGAGTTGCTGCTTTTGTGGAGAGACAAATAATCATAACAACACTGTGACCATTCTGCAGACAACTATGCAGAGGTGTCTTTTCTCATGGTTGGGTGAATATATCCATCGTTCACAATACAGCAAAGTCACAGTTAAGGATTTGCTTATTCTAGGTTTTTCACCGTTCAGGTAGCAAAGAAAAAAATATCAAATCAAGTTTAGGTAGAGATCAGATGTGGACACATAACTGGGATCCCCCCCCCCAATAATTTGATCCCACAACTCCAACTCCCTAATAAATGTAGATGGAAAAAAACAGGCTTCTTGTCTCAATAAATTTTGTCAGGGTATGTAATTCTAGCACATCCTTCAGTGCTGCTGAACTGGAAAATGCCATCCTCCAATTTTTTTAATTGAAATCAAAGCTTTAACTGTGGTAGCCACAATGGTGTATCCCAAGATGTCTTCTTTGCCCATGTAATTAAAGCATGTCCCGAAAACCATGTGCTTGATGAATAATTTAACATTTTTCTGACCTTGACTCATGGTTATACCTGTCTCATTTCTTACCCGCTGTTAGTATTCTAAATGCACTTGTCTGTGGTCTGCAACATTGGTGTATATTTAATCTAATGTCCTGCAGCATTAAAGGTAAGCCAGTGGCTTGCTATGTGCTGGTAACATGAAATAAGTCCTTTTAATCTTGGTCTGACATAATTTTGGTTGGGAAATGGCTAGAATTGTTTTTAACTGAAATAAATCAAAGAAATAAAATCTATAAAGCCGTCACAGTTGGTTGTGGATTTTTTTGGTTTATATTCATAGTGCCTGGTTTTCATTTTGAAACCTAGACCAGACTTTGGCTTCATTTTGATATAACCCTAAAGCCGTGGTTCAGCACAAGATGAACAATCCCAGCATGCTTCTGGGCTGTTTCCCTCGCAAAGAAAGAGCCTGGAAACTTGTGCTTTCCTTACATGCAGTTTGCCGAAGCTAAGGCAACATTATTTTAAAAACACAGGCTTCTGTCAATTGATAATCAAACTCAGAGCTGACTCACTGAAATTCATGGACAAGAAACTCCATTAATTTTATCACTGATTGTTTTCCATTAGATAGCAAAGTGCTTTTATTTAGAAAACTCATTTAGACAATTGCTGAGAAAATATGTCTAAATTGTTACCTTTTTTTTCCTGTTGGTCCTTAATACTGTGCTCTCAATTAAGACATGTTAATTTTATAAGCCTCTCCTCTAAAGACATATTTTCTAGGCATAAGAAATTTGTAGTTTAAAAAAATAGGTTCAAAGGCCTTGATCCAGAAAGATCCCTGTATAAACTCAGATGCTGTTGTTTAGAAAGAAAACCAAAGCCATCCCAGCTCTATAAACCCCATCTCTTAAAAACAATATTGATATGCTGTTTCAAAGTAACTTATCTGACTTCATTAAATTTCCCCTATCTTAAAATGGCACATAGCTTGGTTTTGTAGGTGAGTATATTCCAATTGTTAATGCTCAGGGTTTTGTTTTGGTGAGCAGACATCTTCCATAGTTTCAAAATGTTTGAAAACTTTAACATGATTAACTTCTGCTTCTTTCAAAAAATCAGCAGATAGCATGTTGAACACAAGTGTATTCTTCAAAAATAAATATGTTCAGATTCTGAGCATACTATATTATGTGACTACTGGATATTACTCACCAAAGTAGCATAGGATAGACCAGATTGATCAACCAGTTATTTCAGCTGAAATAAAATCTGAGATCCTTACAACTTATATCACAGGACATTCTTATTACCATTGTTTGTCTCTGAAATCTGTTTCCCAAGAACTCACCTTCCTTTTCTTAACCCTCTTCCTTTAGAATACGCATTCTGCTTTTTCAAAATGTTACAGGAGGGGTCCAGGAGCATTGAAATAAAATCAACTCTTGTCTGGGGGTTTTCTTTTCCTTTCCTACTGTGTCCCTTTTTTCCTGTGCCATATCATAATGTTTGTTCATTGTTCTGTGACCTTGCATGCTGTTTTTCCTTTGTGATATATTCCTCTCAAACAAGAACGTAACAGAAAGCAGGAAGTGTTGCACAGCATCTTATGCTCGGAAGAGTAACCCTCTCCACAGCTGGATGGAAATACCTTGAAAATGCAGAAGAGATCAAGGTAATACACTATTTTGCTACCAGGCCCTTGAAGGTGCATATGTAGCAGCTTGCATAGTGCTGCCTCAGGAAATGCCTGATTAGAACATCAACAGATTGTCCATGGTCACAGAAGCATGCTAAGGGTGCTTCAAACAGGAAATTGTCAAAGAAAGTCAACTGGAATCCAGTATTTTCTTGAGACCAGGAAAAAGCAGTGCAGCTCTGCCTGCTTTGTATCTTGGGGTCACTGGTGAGAGGAGGGCTTCCGGTATCAATCTGATTGTCAAGTCCGCCCGTTGGCAATCATGCCCTAAAAGAGAATGTCTCTTATTTTAAGCACAGTGAGGATGATGTCAGTGATGAGGTATTCTGTTTTCATATCACATAGGGAGTATCCAGAACAGCCACTCCAGCTGCTACTCCGCCATCTGCATGTTCGACAGCCTTTGTTCGCAAGAGATGGCCAACATGCTTGTTCACCACAAGATCCTGACCCAGTCTGCAAGAGAAAAATCAAAAGGACTAATTAAATTCATATAGTAACAGTTTTGACTCTGCAGTCTAACCAAACTCCTGCTTAGTTAACAGTGCCTGCTTGATGTACTGTTTACCAGTGTTTATATACGCTTACTGACTTAAGAGTTTTACAACTCTTACAGAATTATGCATGAGCAATAACCATTTCAGCGGGCACAATGGAGGGTTGTGTGATTTACCCACCCAGAAATTAGTATCTGCTTTGGAATAGATGCACCTAATGGCCTCTATATACACCTACACACCACCTACTAAGCAATGTGTGTGTTACACTATTGTCATTAATTATATTGCTGCCATAGTAATAAAAATGTAGGAGGCTGCTTTATATTGCATAAGATCATTGCCCCCCCCAGAGACCTGTTTATTGAGCACTCATCCAATTTGCATACCCAGAGGTTGGATTATATCTGCTCTTTACTGATTATTCATTTTGATTTGTTGGCAGAGCAGGTACACAACTGAGAATTTGGCCTGCATTCATGCTAGCACAGAATCAGAGTTGGAAGGGACCCCAAGGGTCATCTAGTCCAACCCCCTGCAATGCAGGAATCTCAACTAAAGCATCCATGACAGATGGCCATCCAACCTTTGCTTAAAAACCTCCAATGAAGAAGAGTCCACCTCCTTCTGAGGAAGTCCATTCCACTGACTTACGCATATTCCCGTAAGCCAATGCATTTCTCCATGTCTTCTGAAAACAGAAGTGTTGTTTTTTAAAGCAGATTTGTTGTGCTAGGCAACAGAGCCCTTTAATCCACTTTAATTGTACCTAAGGTTCCAACATGTGCTTCAATACTTCTTGCATAATAGACACCCTCACTGACAAAAGTGCTGTATTTTTTTCCACAGCACTACTTTGGAGATGCTACAGATTGCACCTGGAACACATGCTATTGATACAGAAAGTACCACCAATCAGCTCCCTAACACTTCCATTGCTCCAGAGTTCCTGTCCAGCGACACATTATTTAGCCCAGTACTAACCAATGCTATGCATAGGAATATAAAACTATTAAAAGTAAAGGCACAGACCCAGTAAGTAATGTTACTTTCTCACCTGACGTAGACTCCAAAAATTCCCAATTCAGACACACATTCTGATACTTTCAGTGGACTGTGAGCCCTCAGTAAATAATTCAGTGCAGGGAGAGGCTTTATCTTGTCCATGAGAATGTAGGAGGTCCTTTCTGGACTGTCTTTAATTTTCTCTAGAACCTGCTTGAGCTCTTCACCATAGAGGTTGTTCCCTGACAAACACAGCAGCAGGTAAAATGAATTCACTAGAGCTGGAGTAGCTGGTGGATAAAGGTGTGTGTTGGGTCCCTGTAGCTACCCCAGTAAGTACAGAACATGAAGAAAAGCAATCACTGATGACTGGCACCAGTGTAAGTGGTAAGCAAGCCAGTGGGCTTGAACCATCAGCTGATCCATGGGTCTGTGTGGGTGTTTGGTTGGTTGGTTTGGGAGAAATGATCCTGATCCAAAATGTGTAGAATATGCTTAGATAATGCTTCCACAACATTTTGTTTTATCAGCTAAATTGCTTGTAACCTTTTTTCCTACTAAGTTTAAATTTCAGTTGGGATACAGTACCGGAAGAAAGCACTACAGAATTATTTGCTACAGCATCAGGGAAGGCAATTTGTCCCTAATAAGCTACTTTTGTTCTTACACAATTCTTTAAAAGGTGTGTGCATACAGATAAGTCCTGATCCTTGAACCAGGCTGTTGACTCATCATACACAAAGAGAACCAGTTACTGACCTCCTCCCTCACGTTGTGGCTTTAACACAAAGCGGTCTGGGTCAGCAATAGCCATGGCAATTATCTTATCACCTTCTTCATCCTGCAAGGAGGAGGAGAAAGGGGAGATATATACACATACATACTCTCTCTCTCTCTCTCTCTGACACACACACACACACACACACAGCACAAGTTTTGCATATATATTTTTTACAACTTTGGCTTTAACTAAGTTCTATTGCCTAACAAATAAAATTCTTGACAAAACAGATTTCACAATGTATGAAGACTATAAGAACACATTCATCACAACAATCTCCTCAGATGTTGTACCGTGCTGCATTTTTTAAAATACATCCAGTTCAAGGCAGTGTACGTATCCCTCTATGCATTACTACTTACCATCTCCATAGAATAAAGGCCGGTGAATGTTGCTCTTAATCGAGCCACTGCTTCTGGTTTATTTGGCAGTAATTTTTCCAGTGTTCCTGGTCGGCTCAGCTCCTGCTGAACTTTTTTGGTCCCAGCAAGCTGTGTGGCAATATCAGGGCACTTAACTGCTCTAGATCTTTCCAACAGCAACCGTGCCTCCCAGTTCTTTCACAAAAACAGAAAAAAGATAATTTCAATCAAGGTTCTATATAACATGTATTGTTTAATATTTCAAAATTGGGAGTTTTATGCATTCAAATGCATGGGTACGTGCAAAGGTTGACACTAACTGGGATCCAAAGTACCATCTTCTGCTTGCAGAGGGGGTTTTCATATTTAGCCTTGCAGCTCCACACACCTCCTTCCAAGCCATTCAGAGAATCACCCCAAGAGGCAAACCTAGGATCAAGTGGAGGAACCATAAGCGGCTGGGTCTCTCCTCATGATCCCTTGGAAGGGTGGCATCGGTAAGAATGATATGATTGTATGCAGATACACACGTCACTGCTACTCAAGGCACAACAAAACCTAGCAAAAACTAGATATTTTCAGAGCTCAAACTGAATACGTGGCTAGAAAACATTTCTATTTACCCATGATAGCCACAAGCCTGCATATAGCAAGTCAGCTAAAAGCACCATGACTATTAAGCTCTGAAGTAACCTGCCAATTCAACTGGAAACCTCATTTTAAAAATATGTAGCTTTAGATGGCATATTGAAGCAAACAAGCCACCAGTCTCTCAGCACAGAACAGGTTAAGATATCACTTCCACCAGCTGGATGTTTTGGGAAATTGGCTGAACTACTTCTAGAATTAGCTGTTTGATTGAATGTATTCAGAATTCCCCAGGTGATTACCAAACAACTAAGGAATTACACATGCACTGAATTTATATTTGGGGTCCAACTGTGCCAAGGATAATGTCACTTACAGTGCCCCAGAGCTTGCAATCAAGATTTCAAGACAGTGGATGATATTCAATGTCAATTAGAGTAGACCCATTGTAATCAATGGACTTAATTGTTTCAGCGGGTCCACTCAGAGTATGACTTAGCTGGGTATTACCCAGTAATACGAACCTGTTTGTTATAATTCTTTGGCACGTAACCTTCTCTATAGTACACCACTGCAATTTCCTCCCCATCTCTGAAATAAAGATAAGGAAAACAATCAGTGGTTCCTTCAACATGGCTCTGTCACACACAAGATTAAAATATTATATACAATACATTCTACAGATGTAGGATTCTGTTCCATTTATGAATTGTTTTCTAATCCTGCAAGAAGGGACTTACAAAATAAAGCTTTCAAATAAATTACCTAGCGGATCAATAGATCACAATCTCTCTGCCTATGGATACAAATATTAGTTCCTTTCAGAGTTCTTTGGTGAAGTCTATATAGCAACTTTCCATGTTTTAAGTTGTGTATCAGTAGTACATAACTGAACATGTAAGAACTGCATAGCAGTGGAGTTTCCAAACGAGTAGCATGGCCTGAATCTTGACAATCTGAACACACTTGTTTTATTAACAGCAACACTAATGAAAATAAGAGTCTTCATTAAAAGCCCGGAAACATAGCAGATACTTAATGTTTACATAACAACCCAAATTCAGTTTATTATGCAAACTGCAGGAGGCAGTGGAAGACAGGAGTGCCTGGCGTGCTCTGGTCCATGGGGTCATGAAGAGTCGGACACGACTAAACAACAACAGCAACAACATGCATATCAAAGTGGACTTATTAGCACTCCCAACATCAGGCTGTGTTATTTTTTACATATGCCAAAACTACAGCGTGAAATCCTCCTTGAAACCACATATATATGAGGTATCCACCCATTAAGCTAAGGTTTGTGTGCTCACTATATTTAATAGGAAAATACTTACATATGCAATCTCTTGTCATTGTCCAAAGACGCTTTTTCAAACACATCTTTAAATCTTCTTCGGATCACCCGGATATTCCTTTAGAAAACAGACAAGAAATATTAAGGCTAAAGTCCTACACACAATTACCTGGGAGTAAGTCACAATTGCATTATGAGATTAGCTTTATCTATGTTCATGTTATAAATCCTGCACTGTATTTTAAAGCTTAGTTAGGAAAAGATAATGTAGCTATATACAATATGCATTGAACTTCTAACAGGATTGAAGAGCCCACTGCAGAACCTTTCTGCAGTGAGGTATCATAGGAAACTTAGCATCACACAGAGAACAAACCAGCCTGTTACAGCACAGAGGATGTCTACTCTGAAATATGTCCCATTAATTTCAGTGGGGCTTACTTGGAGGTCAGTGGGTATGAGATTGCAGTTTTAAACCCTTAAGTCCTGTTAATTATAATAGGAGAGTTAAATGCTAAATCGTGTCATTAGGTTTTACTAGGACAACAGTCTTTTTGCACCTTAAAAGTGTAATGAATTTATCTTTAAAAAATATTATTTAGCAGAGCCAAAAAAAATGTCATTAAGCATGAATGATGTAAGTAAGACCAGATTTCACAGGATATCTGTGGCATTACATGAAACACTTCATCTTATTAGATGAAAAAAATTACCTCATCCAAAGTTCATTTTCTACACAGCGTTGGTCAAAAATATTCCTCTGAGCCTCTTCAACTAGGAACATTACCACTGCTCTGAAACAAAAATAGAACATATATCAACATACTAAGTTTCCTCATTTAAAAATATATTTTTGTGCTTCTTTCTTACTATTTACAGCAGCTGTACTGAAAACTTCTACAACAGGCCAAAACTACAGTGCCAGATAATACTTGCAGGAAGGCACAATAGAGTGCTGCTTTATACCGTACATTTGCCACTCCCTGCTGTTTCTATACCTTTCTTCTACATCTTTGTGCATGTATATGACAATTAAACAAAGAATCAAACAGATACAAAGAGGAGATATCCATAATAAGGAATTTATAGTTTAACATCTGAAATATTTCCTAATAATTCATGCATCCAACAGCTAGGGTTTTCCTTCAAATATTTATACTAGCTTTGTGGTCCTACCGTATAAGAGGAAGTGGGTTAAACAAGTAGTTGAACAGTAGAATTATATGTAAAACAGCTTCAGTTGATTTATCTAGCTGAGGAGATAAACAGGCCCTCCTGGTTCAGTGAAGAAAAAACCCCACTACTGCCAGCATTGTTTTGCAGGTAGTGGCCCTGAGATCAGTTTTTCCATCTACGCCAAGAGACATTTGAAAGGAGGTGTCTGCCATAACACACAGGAATGTTGTTGTTCCCCTAAAGAAGGGAATGAAAATCTATTGCATAGGAAGATAAAATTCTCTTTCCCAGTTTTCCTTCATGTGCCTATTCCTATCATACACTTCCTTCAATAGTCTATAAGATGGAGACAGAGGGCTTATTTGCTTTTTCTTGTTTGTGAAAACAAGAAGTAACAGAGCATATTTCATGCAGATGAACAACAATCATAGCTATGTAGATCTTGCAGTTCTCTTCCCCTACCTGTCTGAGCCGTAGAGTTCCCAAGCTTTTGCAATGCCCGTGGCAATCCCTTTGGCTGGATTATTGGTCAGTAATTTTGAGGCTTCCTTAGATTTCCCTAGAACGTTTAACACATGCCTGCAATTGGGATGCATATAGAAAAGTCACACAACAATTCACTGTACACAGCTGCAATTGAAGAGCCAACCAATTGAGATGTAAAGTACAAATGCCAACCATCCTTTATGAATGGTGCACGTGTGTACAAAGTTACTTTTGCATGCCAAATATACCTAAGCCCAGTAGTTGACAGTAAAGTCATGGCGAAGTAATCCAGCTAATGCGTCCTTTCAGCGCAAGGATTTCCACTTGCAAAATAAGACTTTCTCCACCTCTCCTCCCCCTTGTGCCCCTCCCTTCCCCAAATTTGCTGCAGAGGGCTGCGGGAAACCCTGGAACAGATTTGGGGGGATACATGGGGGGGACAGTGTCCCATCGTGAAAGAGGAAATCAAGTTATGCATGTTTCCAGGTACTATAAATTAATTTTGCACTTGACAATAGATTCCTGAAAGCTATATATAACAGACAAAGCTTTTCCAAAAGGAGACAACATGCTGCTGTGTCTTCTCTGATTGCACTGCCCAAGTGCAAAAATCAGAATTGGGATCAGAATTCAATATCGTGAGAACCTCAGATTTCATTTTTCATAATAAATAAGTCACCTGAGGTTGTGATGGCCAGCTGTGACAAGACTCACTGAGAGTCACATCTACAATGCTACTGCTTGTGATTCTCAGAAAGGATGGTGGAAATGCTAGATGCTAGATTACCTCCTAGGCTGGTGCAACAAAGAGGCCTAGATAAGATACACTGGCATCACACAAGAGCAGCAGGCTCAGTTCACACACATATTGTGCTAGCCTAACTCGGTCCATTGCAGGGGTTTCTGTTGGCTACTGCCTGTAAGGATACTGCCAATAGTAGCTTTTGCCTCTCATCTGTGCAAATGCATTGGCCAGTGGAGCCAGGCAGAACTGGGTGGAGCTACACATCTGCCTCATCCAAACCCCCTCCAGCACAGCAAATCAGGGTATTGGTTTCCTATGCCAATTTTAAAGTGGTTTCTGTAACATGGGCAGACATTGTCAGGTAGTCTCAAAAGCTAGATAAGGGAAGAATGAGCAGTAGGTGAGGGGGTAGGCCTTTAGCATCTTGTCTAGTTCTTTGTACCTCACCAGTACAGCAGAATTATACAAAGCCTTGGCTAAAGAATAAGACACGAAGGACCATCTATAAGCCAGCTAGAAGTTGTTTTGCTGAAAACACACACAGAAAGACACACAGACTGGAAGTCCTTACCGATGCACTGCAGTAGTTCTAGATGTGAGGCCTCCAAAGCTGGCAGCAATAGTGTTTATTTCTATTTGCTTTAGAGCTGGAGTGCCTTCTGCACCATAGTCAAACATGTAATCAGAGCGATTAATTCCTAAAAACACAGACTGGACAAGGCGAAAAAGTAGCAAGAATTGCAGCAGCCATCATTCCAAAGATTATCTGTCAAGTGCCAACTGAGCTAAAAACATCTTATGGGGGGAGGGGGTGGTTATTGTTTTGTTTTTGTTTTTATGATGCATTTCATGTTTTTATCTTTTATTTTTATGCTGTGAACCATCCTGCAATGGATGGCATACAATTTTAATAAATAAATAAATAATATTTTGACAGTTAAAAACATTATATTTGATTACTGTGCAACTACCATATTATTTATTTATTTATTTAAAAAAAGAAGAACACACCATTTGATTGTAAACAAACAACCCTCAAAGCAGTTTACAAAGAGAATTAATACAATTATTAGTAAAATACAGTTTCAAACAACTATTAAAAATACTAAAAAACCAAACATATTAAATCATATATTCTCATGGAATACCTGAGTTATTCCTTCTTTCAAAACTTGCTTGTAAATTTTGAAAAGCTGAGCTGTAAAGTCATCTACTTTGACAGTACTAAGAGGAGAGAAAACAAATCTTATTTAGTACTCAAGCCTGCTGTGACAAAACAAGGAAATTATCATTACAATCTTTTATGTAAAACCATTTGACGTTAATGCTTCTTTGTCAAACCTGTGAATTGTGGCCTTCGCAATAATGGCAAGATGATTTCGTGTTATACCCCAGCTCTGAACATATTACATGGAAGATGCTAGTTCTATGAAATCAAGAGGGCTTATGTCTACATAAATGTTTAAAGACCTCTTGTGCCTTGAATAGGTGTCTGACAATCTAAAAAACAGCTGGTGAGGCTTTACCTAGGGATGAAAATTTTGCCTCCTGAAAACCTTTCCCGAGGGGGAGGAAACTAGCAGTCTTGGAATCACGTGTCAGATTTCACACAGCTTGTGTTCACACAGAACAAAAACATGCATTGTAAAATAAAGCTTTAGTTGTTCTCTAACCTTTCCTCTTCAATTAGCCAACTGCCAATCAGGCTAACAGGCAAGGGAGTTAATGATTATGAGACATTTAGGAACATTGGGTTGAAACTAAACTAACCTTAATACAAATCAGAAGTATATCCAAGATTAAGGAAGTTTAAATTCAAAGTTCTTTTTTCCTAATACGTAATACGTACCTTGCAAGAGTGCGCTCCAGAAATTCTGCGTTCCGGCTCACTTCATCTACCAGCAGGTTAAAGTCTTGTTGAACTGAATAGGCTTGCTCAAGTAGACTGCTTGGTACTGCAGATGGGAGCAGTGTAAAGGGAGCATAATTCACCACCTATTGACAAAGGTTTAAAAATGAACGTGTCAAGAACTACCACTTCCTTCCAGTAACAAATCAGGTTAAGCCCTTTTAAAACTTGGGAACATACAGGATGAATATAGGGGATACAATACAACAGTACTAGAATGGAACTATACCTGCAGTAATCTGGGGTGCGGTGAGATAAGGTGATGTAGGAGCAGGGAGGAGAGCCACCTAAGAGCTACAAAGGATAAGGTGAAGGAAATGGGAGTGAAGAGTTCCCTTTCGCTCCATGCAACACACTGACTGGCCTGCTTGCATTGGGCAAGTTCACACAGCCAGATTCCTCTATATAATATTAATTGCAAATATACCCTCACATGGAGGAAAGCTAGGGCAAAGTGGCAAGGGTCAGTTCACACTACTGAATTTCTCCTGTTAGTTATGTTCACTGCATGAAGAAAGGTTAATGTGAGCTGGACAGTGCCTACAATGAACATTAGCAAAGTGACCATGTGTTGCAGGCATCTGCAAATTGGGACTATAAATGTTGGCAATACACACGTGAACATTAGCACAGACATAATGAAGGGATGGGGACAGAGTGAAGGATAAACACACTGACTGACAAAGCTGTTTATCCACACAACTGTATACATGACAATGTGGAGCCAGGTTTATGTGAATTGTGATACATGCAATGAGCCAGCAGCAATCTCCCCTTGTGCCCTGCCCATTCATACTGCATGGTGCTCCAGTGAAGGAAAAAAATGGGCTATTTTATGGGTGAAAGTAGGAAACTGTCATGGTAGCATAAGGCAAGGATGTTAAAAAAAAAAAAAGTCTGGTGTGGCTAATGTCACAAATGTACAGTGTATCCTGGTGGGAACTAGCCCCACTCCAGAATCCCAAAGCTTTCCTCTTCCCTAACAACACGCCGACTATGTTGTTACTGGGACTTTTCCCCCCAGTTTTATCATCTTCCTTCCATGGGTTGGATCATGAAATCTAGTTTTGAGCTTACATCAGATGCATTGGGGTCATCTTTGGTCCTCATGAGAACACCTTCAAGTAGTGCTGAATCCACTGCAATTGGTGCCACATACTGAATGAGCTGGACATTACACAAAATGTCTTTCCAAGGGGCAGTCATTGTGAAGGCTGAGGCAGCAGAGAATAAATCTGAAAGCATTTTAAAATAATTACCATAAGGCAGGGGAACCCAACATTTGAAGGTTGAAGAAAAACACTGTTTTAGAAATTTATGGTAATGGAATCCTAAAGAGAGAAGCAGTACTGTCCAATGATTTTTCTGCCTGAAGTGGAGCCCCCTATTAGGGTGAAAACTTTTAAAGAAATCTTACTTTACCATTCAGACAGTGTTTTCTGCCTTCATCAACTATCTGCCCTTCACTGCCACCCTGAGCTCATTGGGAGGAAGGGAGGGATATAAATTTAATTAATAAACAAATGGTGCTAGCTGCAGCAGGCTTCTTACCCTACTCCATGGCAGAACCAGCCCTGGATACAAGCTAAATAAGCATCTAGATTTAATGAAGCACTATGTAGCCCTTTGTGCAAGTGTAACAACTTCTGCTTTCACAATGGGACTTTCTCCTCCCCCTCCCCTAAATCTGTTTTGAGGGCAGATCTGGAATGACAGGGAGTGGCACAATAAAGAAGCATCTCCATTTTTGTTGCATAAAATCAAGACAGAATAAATGTTTTCATGTTTTGTTTTATTTATTGCAAGCTGCCCAGATAACTTAGTATTATGGGGTAGCATGCAAATGCTGCATATAAACATATAAATTTTATTTTCCTTTGTTACAATGCGTATTTTTCTAACGAAATAATGGACAGGCTAGAAATTAAAATGGTGAAGGTATCATTTCCCCTGTACCCCCCAACCGTAGAATGTACATAAAGTGCAGCTTCACTCTCTGCTGTTCATTTGTGTGAACAAAGCTGCAAAACAAATGTCACACTGTCATCAATTTATCACACTGTCCTTTTGTAACAACTCTCTGACTGTGTCTGCATAACCTGAATCCAGCAGTCAACACTGTGAGGATGAGCTCCCAGAATGCAATGTGGTATCTATGTTTGCACATATTAGACAGGTTAGTTAGTCATAATAGGATAAACTGCATTGATTGAAGTATTCATTTGTGTTAGAGGAATCTGTCAGTTTCTGAGCATTTTAAATGTAGCTCCAAACTGCATCTGGCAGTTGTACCTCTTGGGCAGGGCTGTGGTCCATTAGCAGTGAGGTATGATTTCAGGTACCAACAAGTAGAATAATTAATCCCTAAGGATATGGATCTCAACTCTTCATGTTAAAACAGAACTAGCATGCTTTACACTCGAAACAAACTCAGGCTTATGACAATAGCTTGTTCAAGAGAAAACCTGTACACAAAGCCATACTGAAAAAGGCTGTTTAGCTGTAATAGTCATAATGACTACATTTTTCAGCCTTTTAAGTAAGCAATTTAAAACTCTCCTGGATCGCATACACTTGTCACATGCACACCCACCCTTTCACTTAAATTGCTCAGGTTGAACCACCAAGAGAGCAGCTTTTTAAGTACATACACATTTAGGCACATTTTTTACACCACATGCTAGGAAAAACCTGGACGTCTACGGACATTCCATAATGAATTCTCCTTGTGTGTCACAAAGGTAGTGCAAAGAAAGAATGATAACAAAACCACAGTGAAATTGAATGCGACCAGATAAAATTCAAACTTCCTTTAAAATATTAGTTCTGGATTATTTTAATCAATGTACCAAATCACCGAGGCAGTGGAAGACTTAAGGGAAGGGGGGGGGGGAGTCTCCCACGGCAAACACAAGGAAGCAAATGCTGAATCATTCACAACCCAACTCCAGCACGTTAGTTTACAAATGATTGTGCAGTTGGAGAAAATCTCTGTGTATGCATGTAAATAGTCTTCATATTTCAGACTAGATGCCCCAGTGATACAAAATGCTCTCTCTCTCCCCCCCCCCCCAACTCTTCCTTCATAAAACAGCCTGACAGCTTATTCTCGCCTCCCTTTCTATGGGGCGCATGGGGCCCATGTTTGCCTCTGAATACTGACCTTTGCCTCCTGGGCATTGTACATCGTTAGCCCCAGGCCACTTCCGCCACTCCTAGTCCCTCAAGTAAGGATTAGCCCCCAAACATTTCCCCCTCCATAATTAATTAAACGGTAATAAAACTATTCTGCCTTTAATCCCCACCCCAACAACAACCACAACTTCTCGTCGTTCGGGGAGACAGCGGGTGGGTTGGCACCACTTTGCCCTCGGCGCTCCCGCTTCCCGGCTCCAACGCGGCAGGACAGAGGCGAGCGAGTACGAGGACCCCCATCGCCCCCTCAAGAAGCTCACCCCTCCCGCTCCCTCGCCCCGACCACACCCGCCACCTCACATTCAAACTGCCTATGCGACTGTTGGAGGTAGCACGATGACGGAGACCCTCCCCCCTCCCTCTATTTTTAAATCCGGGTACCTGGAGTCAGTCACTCGAGTGAAAGTCCCCAACCGAGAGCGCTCTACTCTTCAGGCGCTAAGAATCAGATGGCCCTCTCACAGATTGGCTACCCCGCCAGCCTATCGAGAAGCCGACGCGCCCTTTCCTGCTGATTGGCAGGAGCCTCACCCAATCGCGTTGGAAAACTGCTAGGAGGGGAGGTTAAGGGGAAACGGAAGGCGGAGCCAATGCAAATAAAAAAAGGCGGGTTGTGCTATTCTACCCCGCCCTGCCCCGCCCCAGGTTGCGCAAGGTTCGTCGGTCAGGAGTTTCCCGGGCGCCATTTTTGAATGTAGTCGACTCAGTTGGTGTCAGGATGGGTACGGAGTGGCGGTTGTCCCTGGAATATGGGTGTCACGGGGCGGGTGGAGGAGCGGCGGGCGGTTCCCCCAACACGGAGAGGGCCAGAGCTAAGCCTCTGGCTGTTGCTGGAGCCGCGGTTTGTTGCCTAGAAAGGAAACCGCGATAAAATATTGGGCCTGGTTATAGGAGAGGGCCGTGAGACACGGGCGCCTCGTCACAGAGGTATGCGGGTGCCAGTCGCCATTGTCTTGAGGGGCGCTGGCGTCATGCGTGTCTCCCCGAGAGTCAAGGGAAGGCCCGCAGCAGGGGCTGAGGGACGAACTGGTTAGAGCCACCTGCGGGTGAGAGACGGGACGGGAAGCCAACGCGGGTTGGCTGCGAACCTTTTTCCTCTGGGTTTAGGTAGGGTTGCCATACGTCAACAATTTCGCCAAAAAGAAAAGCTCAACAACTTTTGTGTCCGGATTTTCACTTTTTGAAATATGTCAACTCTAGGTGAACTGGAAATAGCAGGATCAAAAGCCTATCAGGAAGGGTGCGGTCTCAGAAAGTATCTGCCTTCTATGAAGGTAGTCCAAGCTCTTGGCGTGAAAGCCTTGTTGCCTCATTTCCTTCCCCACTCTTCTGATAGCCATTGATCTTGACTTCCAAAAGTCTGTCCTGGCCCATGGATGCTTTGAATTATCTCCCAGTGCACCTGCACAATGCTATCCTATGTCCTTCAAATGAAAATCCCTCCTCCAACCCCGCCTTTGCTTTACTTGGCACACCGATTCTCATGCCCTAATGTGCAATGAAGCGCATGTGATTGAAACTTCTGCATATTGCTTCTCTTGTTTGTTTAAAATGTTTTTATTTCTTTAGCCAAAAAAGGCTCTTATAGTGAAGTACAAAAGATTGCTAACACTCCCTGCCCTCGGGTTTACAATCTGCCTCCTTTATTTGTTGTTTCCCTATGTTGAATATTAGACTATGTTCCTCGGGGACATAGTCTTCTTGCACTATATTTGCCATGTATGTAAATTGTGCTGGGAATGATAATGCTGGGAAAGATGATTAGATAGGTTTGTTCTTAAATATAAACAGCAGATGCAAGGCCCCTTAGAGAAGCAAGGGCGTTTTCTGTTTATCTCAGTGGAGCTGACACACCTGAAAAGTGAGATCAGCAGCACACTGCATAGTCTGCTTTGACTGGACCTAACCTTTACCTTTTTTTTACCTTTACCTGCACCACCTTGTAAGCATGTTTACGTTTGCTGTCACACACTCTGGAAGTATGCAACCAGGCTCTTTAGCCATTTGGTTTACAATGCAACATTTTATTTTATTTTTTAAATGATATTTATTAAAATTTCAAAAACAAAAAATTATATAGTTAAAGAGAAAAAAAACAAGGAAAAATATAAAAAAAACATACAAAATACAAAGTACAGAAAAAAATAAAAATAAAAAAGAAACACTTAAAAACAAATTAATCCTTCCGTATCTTACATTTCATTTCCTTGCTTCTCTGACCTCCTCTCACCTCCCTTTTTTGTATTCCAGTTCAATTGGTTAATTCAGCAATTCCTTTCCCTCTTTGTTTATATCTTAGTCCTTTAACTTAATATTTTATGACTTTAGAATCTCACCTATTAACCCCAATTTTACTTACACCTTTATGACATTGCTACTAGAATCACTTAGTTTCATTCTAGCATCATCTAACATTCATTAATTTTACAATATTTCTGTATATAGTCTTTAAATTTCTTCCAATCTTCTTCCACCGACTCTTCTCCCTGGTCTCGGATCCTGCCAGTCATTTCCGCCAATTCCATGTAGTCCATCACCTTCATCTGCCATTCTTCCAGAGTGGGTAGATCTTGTGTCTTCCAATACTTTGCAATAAGTATTCTTGCTGCTGTTGTGGCGTACATAAAAAAAACCCCTATCCTTCTTTAACACCAATTGGCCGACTATGCCCAGGAGAAAGGCCTCTGGTTTCTTCAAGAAGGTATATTTAAATACCTTTTTCAATTCATTATAGATCATCTCCCAGAAAGCCTTAATCCTTGGGCACGTCCTCCAAAGGTGAAAGAATGTACCTTCAGTTTCTTTACATTTCCAACATTTATTATCGGGCAAATGATAGATTTTTGCAAGCTTGACTGGTGTCATGTACCACCTGTATATCATTTTCATAATATTCTCTCTTAGGGCATTGCATGCCGTAAACTTCATACCTGTGGTCCATAACTGTTCCCAGTCAGCCATCATTATACAATGCAACATTTTAAATGACATTTTAAAATAAACCTTTTAGGTGGTTGTAGGGTGGTCCAAAAGGATAAAAGATTTAAAATGATAAAATTATTTTGGACCAATTCAAGGTGGTGTAGATGTTCCGTTAAAATATTGTGTACCAATCTAAGAAGGTCCAATAAAATCTACATTAATATTTTTTTAAGAGGAGTATATTATGGTAGGTATATTTCAAATTTTGTTTTGGTTTATAATGACTAGTCATGCTATATTTACATTTTAGGTGATATGTCCAACAAGAACTCAGCGGGGTCTGACACAGAAAGTGAACATAATTTTTATTCTGACTGTTGGGAAGAAAGTCTTATACATATCAACAAAGGTAAACTGAAGACCAAACAAAGGAGTACCTTTATTCTAAATTATTAACTCTATTAATAGATAATTTCTATTGTTAGTCAATTTATTGCTGGCATTATAATGATGGATTCTGTTAACTGTTCTTGAAAACTATAACTTTGGTGTGTTTTTTGTAATGTTCAGAAATAATGTTTTTGAGTTGATAGGTTTTCTTTTTTTTCCCCCAGACTCACTTGACTCTGACAGTGAAAGTGATCTCTATCTTCATTCAAATAGTCAGTGCAGTTTGTTTGAAAAAGAAGGAAAAAGCAAATTGAAAAAAACTTTATTGGTCTCAGAAAAGAGCTTTAGAAAATACTGCAAAAACTGCCCCTTTCTACAACATTTAGAGAACACTACACAGTTTCAAGTGGAATTATCTCCAGAATCTATATTGCAATTAAACTTTAACAACTGTCAGACAAATGGTCAGTCATCAAAAGCTTATTCACCCAAAATATTTCCAGATCTTGACAGGTCTTATAGAGACCATTTGTGCTTAAGTTGTAGAATCCCTTATGTAACGGTTACTAAGAATTCAGAAAAAGAACAAACCTTTTATACAATTAAGGAAGCTTATGCATTTGATAAGCTACATCAAAATCATCCATCAACTGATTATTATCCCACTTCAAAGCAGAACAAAGCTGTGCAAGTTTCCTTTCCTTGCAAAGAAACAGAAGCTGAGGAAAATGCTGTCTGTGAATTTTTCAAACAATCAGCAATACATTCTGAAGTAGAAGAGACACCAAACAAGAAAGCTATAATATTTCACAGTACTGAAAGTATTTTCAGTAAAAAGACAAATTCTAATGAACTGGTGAAAGACAATTTTGATTACTCTTCAGAAAAGCCTTATAAAACTCACAGTCCCCAGACACCTGAGCAAATCTATTTGCACCCCAGTTCTGGAGAACTTGTTATTTCTTTGGTATTAGAAGCAGCATATAGAGATCCATCTGGTTCATCACAAGGAGTTGGTAATTCTTCAAATGTTAGGGTAGGAAAAGAAGATTCACAGAGGCATGCTTTAGCTTTTAAATTTAAAGGCCCGGAATATAACCAGTTGTTTAAGAAGTTGCGTATTTCTATTGTTCCAAGTTCTGTACATTCAGATACAGAGAAGGAAAAACATAGTACACCTTTTATAAAGCTGGTAGGGCTTTCACAAATTTTGGTTGATGAGTCCAGACCGTCTCTTGCTTCCCATGCTGAATCATCTGAAGCTAGTCAGCCTCTGGCAACTCATCCAGAGCCATCTGAATCCCGAAGCTTCAACAGTGATTCTGACCAAGTGTTATCTTCACTGGAACTTTGGTCTTCCAGTGGGTTCTTTCCATCACTGAAACATTCACACACAACTCATTCTTCTCACTACTTTGTCCAATCACTGCCATGTTACAAGGTTACCCCTGTTCATAGGACTACTGAAGTTCAGAAAGTTCAACTGAAGGCCTCCAGGCCTGTGAAATCTGTTGTGTTTACCAAAAGCACAAAAGTACAGAAGGACAGGAAATTGCGAACCAAACCTCATACTTCCAAATTTCAGTGGTCCAAGGCTTTGGATACTGAACTTATAAACCAAAATCCTCAAGCAGCAGAAATAAACAAACTGTATTTTGTACCCTTAACACAGACTACTAAATGTTCCTGCAGCCCATTGCTTGATTTAAGTGTTGATTTGCATTCTGAAGGAAAGTATTCTGAAACGCTCCGAAGTGTTCACAGAAAATATTGCAAAAGAACTGGAGGTGGCAAAGTAACTCCTAGATTTTCTTCCTGTTGCCTGCGAAATCCAAATCCTAGAAGCCGTTTTGAGAATCTCCAATATATTTCTCCAGGAAGAAAGAAAAGCAATTCAAAGATGCGAAACATACTGAACTATTGTTTAGGTTGGACTGGAGGACAGAAGCCATGTGAAAACTGTAAAGGGGGCGTTTCTCCCACTCTGGATAGTTCAAATATAAAGAGGAATGAGATATGCACTCCACATCCCCCAACTGATGGAAATTCCATTGCCTCACTTTTTCCAGGTTCAAGGAATAGTCCAGTTCCACTTCCTACTGCACTGTCTCTTTCAAATGAGTGGAGGCATTCATCTGCTCCCTGTATGCAAACTGAAAGAGGCACTTGGAGTCCTGCACTATCCCATTCTGATGCTAAATGTAGCAATTCTCATTCTCCTTGTTCAAATATTAAAGTAGTGCAGCTACCCAAGGAAATGAATATGCTTAAAAATATAGGTATGGAAAAAATGGATTTTGGAGCTCTCCAGATGGCTGGTGGAGGCTTAGCCCCCAGGAAGCACTCAGTCTGCCCATGTGGAACTATGTCTCAATGTGGCTTGTTCCCCAATGGAGATATTTCAGAGTTGGTTAAGGAAAAAGCTAGAGGAAGCCCCAATATTAACCCAAGAGCCAATATGACTGAATTCAGCAGGGTGAATTCCCATGCAGGAATCTTCAACACACAGGAAGACTGCTGTGCTAGTTGTCATTTCTCTCCAATGTGTTATTTTCATGATCCAGAAGAAGTGGCAAGAAATCATTTTACTAAAGTACAGTCCTTCTTTGAGAATGGATGTCCTAAGAATTTGAGAGAAAATGTTGTAGAGAGAAACAAGGCACAGAAAAGAGGTGAAAGAAAAAATGTCAGCTTCCATATAGGACCGAGTTATTCACAAATGACAGGTACACACAATGCATCACTTTCTAATTATGGCTATCAGGCACCTGTTTATCACTCTGAATGCTCAGGCTGTTCATGCTGCCAGAATAAAGAACATCTTGACTTAAAACATCAAGTGCTAAAGAACTGCTTAAACAGAGAGAGTGTTTTTCTAGTGGACCCTGGAAAGGGGACTAGAAGCCAGTGCAAATGTTCCCAAGAAATCCCACTTTTCTGTGTTGACCAAACTGATATGTATAAGGGAAACAGGTGTGATTTCCATGAGAACAGAATCTAACCTTACTCAGGTTTGTACTCGTTTATATATTTTTTTATATAATGTGTGGCTATCAAGTTGGAAGGATATAGACGTACTGTACTTTTCTGATCTGCAGTTATTCCCCCCCCCCAATGCCACTGAGAAAGTGGGTGCAAATGATGCTCACAAAATTGCATGTTTATCTGTAGAAGAAAGGTTTTTTGTTTAGCAAACTAAATAGTGAGGAGAACGTTTCCATCCCAGATTTCTCTCTGACATGCTAGTTTTCTATGGACTGGGATTTTCTTTTCTTATGGAAAAACATTAAATCTTGTGAACCCCCACCTGTAGCCCTAACACAGATGTACCACTTCGGTGAAAATTAGATCAAAGACTTTATGACTGTCTGTAAGGAAGTTCATATGCATTTCTTATTGAACTAATAACTCTGCAAATTGTGTTTTCTTATTTGAACTTTTCTACCTAACAATGAAGACCAGGACCTGAGTTTAACCTTATCAACTAAGTTCCAGCTCAGATTTTTAATTTTAGTTATGTGTTTCTCATATTTTACTATTTGTATTTGTTTGGATAGCTTATGAATTGTCTCAGAAGTTTCATATTGTGGGGGCAAGGCTTAATAAATTGTTAAAAAACAGTTGGGCAAATATTCAATGAAAGATAATTCTAGAACCATCAGGCAGCCATTGAGAATGTACACTGTACATGGTATAAACTATTACTGTCCATAGTACAGATGGCATTCTAAAAAAATATATGTTGCTAATAATGAAATTAAGACTTAACTTATTTTCTGCCAACGTATCCATTAAAAGTACTAATTGGGATTAAAGCAAAAGTGTGAGAACAGGGCATGGGGAATAGGTTTTATTCCAAACTCCTTTCAGCTTGGTAACATGGCCTTGCAATCCAGCAGAACTTACACTTGCAACGTGGGTGCTGTTAAAAAAACCCTCATTTTAAAGGCTTGATTTCCCTCAGGCCGGCTTAGCCAGCGGAAACCCAACTCTTCAATAGAGTTTGGAATCCGGATAATTTAAAATGGCCTAATTTAAGATGGCATAAATTCTGCTGGCTTCCTACAGATTGCTCTGCCAAAGTTGCATTTAACATACAATTGGGAGTCAATATTAAAAGTACACTGTAACTTTAAACATACTTTTTGATATGAGCTGCTAATAAAAGAACCCAATGTATTCCTCTGTGTAAAGGTAAAGGACCCCTGACCGTTATGACTCTGGGGTTGCGGCGCTCATCTTGCTCTATAGGCCGAGGAAGCTGGCGTTTGTCCGCAGACAGCTTCTGGGTCATGTGGCCAGCATGACTAAGCCGCTTCTGGTGAACCAGAGCAGTGCATGGAAATGCCGTTTACCTTCCTGCTGGAGCGGTACCTATTTATCTATTTGCACTGCGTGCTTTCGAACTGCTAAGTTGGCAGGATCTGGGACCAAACAACAGGAGCTCACCCTGTCACAGGGAATCGAACTGCCGACCTGATCAGCAAGCCTTAGGCTCTGTGGTTTAGACCACAGCGCCACCCTAGGCAGTGACAAATAGGACAGTTACCTGTCTGAAGGTAGCAGATATTTTTGTTCATCTCTCACTTGTGCTGTTTATTTTTATTAGGGATCTTCACAAATTAACCAAGGATGGAAAAGGCTCGATGGAATCCACAAACGCTGTAAAAAAAAGAAGTTGGTACAGTTGTTTTCAGTGACAAGTCAGTGGTTTAAAAAAACGAAATGTTGACTTTTGTTGGTATGTGCTTTGTAGTGAATATCAATAAATGAAGACCCACAAAGGACAGTCACAATGGGTTGTAGCCAAATAGTGACATATGCAGCTCACGTTGATACTGCATCACAGTTTCCCCACCAAGCAAAGAAGGATAAACTGTTTGGTATATGAGGAAAATAAGAGTGCTTCTAAATTGTTGCTGTTTTGGATTGTGGTCCAGTTCCATAATGGGAAATTCAGGTTACACAACTGAAATTTATTTGGCATTCTAGCATAGCAACCTTGCTTTCTCCCAGAATTGGACTTTTTGTCATAATGAAAGTGACTGAAAAATGCACTGGAAAGTGTGGATAATGCTTGAAACAACACAGTCTGTTATCTCCACACAGATCAGAATGAATGCTCAATAAATAATGTCTAACATCCCTGCAAACTTTGTGCAAACAAATGAGGATAAAATCTCAGTGAGCAAGTTGCCTGGAAGGAACTTTAAATTTCAATCCTACGCCCGTTTATGGAGGAGTAAGCCCCATTGAAATCAATAGGACTTGTTTCTACAAAGATATGTGTAACACTGCACTGTTAGCATCATAATAATACATATTGTTTATGGTAAATTGCAGAAGTATATATGATATTAGTCTAATACAGCAAAAGCAATGAAGTGTTGTGTGATATCTTGAAGACTAGCAGATTTTTGGCATACACATTAGGCAGGGATAACGCCCCTGACCGTGGCTGGAACTGATGAGAGCTTGGAGTGCAACTTTATATTTGGCTGCTCCTAGATTAGAGCCTACAAGATCATATTTTCTTTAGTTCTGTCCCAAATAGTTCTGTGGACTTAACTCTCCTTGAAAGCATGTTCTCCCTAAACAGGAGTATTGGATGTAAAGCTTTTTACCTCTGACCTGCCAGTGAAATGCTGTCAAGCAGCAGTTTGGCAGTCAGTGTTTCCTTCTGTTTTCTCCAGTGCTCCCTGCCAGTCTGCATGTAAGATTCATGTGACTATTTTCACTAGTTATGAATGCCCAGTTCATGAATCCTGAGTCTCATGATCATTTTTTGTATCATCAAGTAGATGTGCAAGTAGACTTTTCTGCATTACCTTGTAGCACCCACATGATGGCAGTATATGAAGGCAAGACCCCCATCTTTCAGGATTATTCTTCAGTATTTACAATATTATTTGAAACTTTCTCTTTTTCTTGTTTCAGTCGCTAAACTTTATAATCTGCACACTGTTCCTGTAAGATAGCTTTACTCAATTAGCTTTGCAGGAGACCTGAGCTTAATAGAAGAGATTTTGTGGCATTACCAGTCTATGCAGATCAATGTAGCTAGTAAATTCACTTGGTCATGAATGATATAAACTGCAGCTGATGTGCATGCTTATGCATTAGCTTTTCCGGGTCTAGGATTCAGTATGGTTGAAATTCAATTTTTGTAACTAGCTGTGACTAATCAATTGATTCACATCACTTCACTATGATCCTATTTAGGTTTACAGTGTGATAAAAGTGGATGTTATGGACTGATGGTTTCAGCTGTTCTGTTGAATTTATACTCTTTTGCTGAGTTTCTGTTTAAATCACTAGTTACTTAAAGGAATGTGAAGCTATGGATGGAGAGATCAGTTCAGCTCTTATCTATGTCGTTTTCACAGGTGATCATTCATTATTTGTCCGCGTTCATCTGTATTTTTAAAAAAATGCAATGAAAATTTGTATTCAAATATCTATTTTCTCATATTACACATTTCTAAATGTATTTTATCTTCAAATAGGCATTTTCATACAAATTTTGGTGTGCCTTTTGAGCTGAGATCTGTATTTCTACATTCAGAGAAGTGTGAAATGTCATAGTGAATGTGCATTCCACATGCTCATAGTGTCTGTCCTTTAGTTTGGATAAATATTATTAGAATTTACAACACTCTTCTGTTGACATCATCATTAACATGGTCTCTTTGTTATGGTTGATTGGTCACATTGCCACTGCCCCCCAAAAAAACTTGATGAAGGGTTGCTCTGTTGTTTTGCTTCAGCTACTCTAGAGTCGTTCGTGATCTTATACATAACAGATTCTCACTAAACAACCCATACACCGTCCCAATCATTTGAAATCATCTGCTTTACCTCTGACTGGTAAAGTTTCACTCACACACTTTGAAGTTAGTTTTCTCACTCAGTCATAAAGGTAGAAACTTGTGAAGAAGGAGGAGGAGGAGGAGGAAAGATTCTCAGGGTGCCATATTCACATCATGTCCTTGCCAGATTCTACACTTGGATAGAATCATAGAATTAAAATAGCACTATACTTAGATTTAGGATTACAAATTATTATCAGAACTGAATAGGGTCAAAAAGCCATCTAATTACAACCACACAAAGCCCATTAAGGCAGGACCATTTATCCTCCAGATCTCTGCCACCGACTACTTTGTTTACAATATCCAGACTACACATGGTAAAAGAGAACAGGCACGCCAGAAAAAACACTTGCAGAACACTCTACAGGGTGAAGGTGAAAAGTAAATTAGATCCCTTCTCAGATTTCTTCTGATTTTTAAGTTTTCAGGGTGGTTTCATAATATGAACCGCCTAAGTTTCTAAAAATTTAAACACTGTAATATTAAAATTCTCTTATTTATGCCGCAGTCAAATATATTTACCCTGGGCAGCTATTTCAGTGAACTTTACTGTGTGCTTAGGACAGCAGCATTAATCATCCTGTTGATAATTCAATATAGCAGAGGGACACACTAAATCTGCTCTTCTGGACAAGGGAAGAGGTGGTTTGGATACTGGAGGGACAGAAGTGATATCTTTGTCATAGGAAGACTACAAGCAGGTAAAGTTTGAATTTACAGTGCCAGGCCTCCCTTTGTAGGGATGGAGGAACAATTTGAATGGTCAGCTGCCAGAGACTTATGGAATCTGATGGATTTCTGAATGTGCTGGGGGATTTTTCAGTAGCCAAAGCTGATAAACCTGTAGAAGCCTATACCTCGTTTAATATGATGGTGAGGATCTATTGACAAAATCGCTCCAGATTACGCAGGTTTTGAAGATGGATCTATTTACACAGGCATTCTCATCTTTTAGTTTCTCTTTTAGTTGCTGTGCTGGTCTAATGAGATGGTTTTCCAGATATTTTAATCATGGATATTTATCTTTTAATGTTTTAGTGGGATTTTAGAGGGGGTTTAGTGAGATTGTTTTATATATCATGGTATAATTATTGTGTATTTTTATTATTGTATTTTTTAAGAATGTGCAATTGGTGTTTGTTTTATAAACTGTTTAGAATCTGTCTGGTCATAGAGTGGTATATAAATTAATGAAAAAGAAGAAGAAGAACGTACTATGGGCTGTACACAACCATAGAGTTTATCCTTAGATTGCCCATCCTGCTGCTTGTTGGATTGCTCAGCCTGGACAACTTTTAATATTGTTACCCAGAAAACAGCAATCATGCTTCTGTCATGCTGACAGCTAAAGTATATGTTGCTGCCACTTTAAAAGAGTACAGATCTGTAGATGACTGCATTCTTTCTCAGGTATTTAGCTATATTTTAGCCTTTAATAGTCCTGGTAAGAGGCAGGATGAAAGGTAAATAAGTGATAAGCAGTTGAGTGGGTTGTCACTTCTCTGAGTGTTTTCTATTGACTCTGTGCTCTAAAATGGAATTGTAGGCATGGTTTTGTCTCCAGTTGGTATGGAGACTGGATTGATGTTATAATATCCCTATTTGCTTGTGAAGGAAACCTTTAATAATTGAGCTAACTACTTTTCTTAATGTGGCTGAAGTTGATAACAAAAGTTACCAGCAGATGTAGCAGTGGATGTTACCATCCTGGAAGGGAACAGAATAGAGTTTATACAAAAGATCAGAACAAAAGTCTGCCTCTGGTGAATTTGTCTTGGGCAAAACTGAACTTGTGTGGTTAGATTGAAATGCAGAGCAAAACATATCTATAGTTGATTTCTCCCCTATTCCTTTTCCAGTCATGGTCAGGGCTTGTTAATAACACAGTTACTGGTATTTGACAATTGCTAAAACTGTCCTCTTAATTGTAGCAGGATTGCCTACTGTGGTATAGTAATCACTAAGATACCTTGCGTGTAATTTTGTAGCCCAGAGAAGAGACAGTAAATTAGCAACAAAATGAAATATAATTGCTCTCATTTCATTCATGTCAGTGAGTGAGACTGGAATATAAATTTGTGCTGGAGCACTGATCCTCCACAGTATTATCAGCATTTGAAGTATATCTTCTGAAACTACATGCCACAAATTACTTCGGTAGTGCCACCCATGGAAATGCCTGTCCCTTTTATGAAATGGATCTAGACAGCTATTTTTTTACACCTAGGAGTTCATTCAAAAGATACATTTTTGTAATTTTTATTTGACATTCTACTGAAAAAGATACCCTGATCAGAAAATAGTTGCTTATATATTTTATTAACACTGGAAAGGAATTCAGGTCAGAAGATTGTGGTGTTTTTGCACCTTTTAATTATATATATAATTGCCAACAAAGGTCCGTATAGTTAAAGCTATGGTTTTCCCAGTAGTGATGTATGGAAGTGAGAGCTGGACCATCAAGAAGGCTGATCGCCGAAGAATTGATGCTTTTGAATTATGGTGCTGGAGGAGACTCTTGAGAGTCCCATGGACTGCAAGAAGATCAAACGTATCCATTCTGAAAGAAATCAGCCCTGAGTGCTCACTGGAAGGACAGATCGTGAAGTTGAGGCTCCAATACTTTGGCCACCTCATGAGAAGAGAAGACTCCCTGGAAAAGACCCTGATGTTGGGAAAGATGGAGGGCACAAGGAGAAGGGGACGACAGAGGACAAGATGGTTGGACAGTGTTCTCGAAGCTACAAACATGAGCCTGACCAAACTGCGGGAGGCAGTGGAAGACAGGAGTGCCTGGCGTGCTCTGGTCCATGGGGTCATGAAGAGTCGGACACGACTAAACGACTAAACAACAACATATATATATATATATATATATATATATATATATATATCTCAGATATAAAGCATTTACCTTGTTATAATCTGTTTGCTAAGATATCTAATCTCTATGATAACAAAATTGAAATGTAAATTAAGTAGATAGTGTCCAATGATAATACTTTTATTAATCAAGATTATTACCTGCTATGTTTGTTTATTGTGTATTAAGTTTTATGTATATTTTGTATATTTATGTTTTATAATAGTAATAATAATAGTAATAATAATAATAGTAGTAGTAATAAGCTGTCCTGGATAAGTTCTGTTGGAAGAGGGAAAAGATAACTGAGGAAGGCAAAATTGCATAAGGTGGGATGGAAAGAAAAAGGGTCAACAAAATTGTCACTCACCAAACTTAAACTGTGAAAAAGATTGAATTGAAAATGGAGACAATAGATGTACTGCTCCCCGTTTATCTGTTTGCTTTGTAACACAAAAAACCGTAATAAAAACTAATTATAACAAAAAGCAGAATTGACACCATTGTAAAAATACTCTATGTCATCTGAAGAGGCTAATATGTTTTCTGAGACCACACACTTTTAGCGAGGTTTAGACATTTTATTTTCCAAATGCTTGTTGTGGTGATAGATATTTCAAAAAGCTGCCTCATGTCTCAGATGATTAGTGCCTCTTGTGTCTCTGTACAGTACATAACATAACATAACATGGAACACTTACTTAAGCAAGGCTGAAAGTATCACTTAAATAGGTGAACTGATGTTGGCGGGATTAATTAAATGAGATGGGATAATTGTAGAACCATAATTACCAGTCACTTGATTAATTGATCATTTTAAAACTTTGATCAGTTTAAATGGTGTACCCAATTCTTTGAGGAACAGATTTTCTAAAAAGATGTTAATTATTCTTAAACTATGTACTTACAAATAAATGAGTGACAAACGCCTTCTTAGTAAAGGTATTCCTGTCACATAGGTGCCTACTTTGATGCAGCCATGTGTCATCCAAAGACAAATACAGTGGTACCTCGGGTTACATACGGTTCAGGTTACATATGCTTCAGGTTACAGACTCCGCTAACCCAGAAATAGTACCTCGGGTTAAGAATTTTGCTTCAGGATGAGAACAGAAATCAGGCAGCGGCAGCAGGAGGCCCCATTAGCTATAGTGGTGCTTCAGGTTAAGAACAGTTTCAGGTTAAGAACGGACCTCCGGAACGAATTAAGTACGTAACCAGAGGTACCACTGTAAGCCTTTTGCTTAAACATATTAAAATTCATATGAAAATTAATCAAAATGTGTTTAATCAACTGAGATTTATTTAGCTGAGTGACAACCCTGTTTTTTTAAAAATTATATATATATAAAACTGGAGACAAGCTTTTAATATCACATTTCTAATCTGATGGTTTCCTATGCCTGAGTCTTGCCTTAAAAAGTTGTTCCCAATCACTTTTCACATATGATTTGGGGAAGGTTTGAGTCCTAAAAAGTGGCTGAACATCTCATGATAGATAACTAAAAACAATTCAGGCCCCAATGCCTGATGCATATTTAATACAGACTTTTTACCTATGCATCTCTTCCAGGATACATACCAGGCTAATAGAAGCCTGTTCCACCATGACAGAGCAGCTCAGCAGAGTATCTGACAATAAATTATGGATGGAAAAAGGCAGCTTTTAAGAAAGTTGGAGGTGGTATTATGATGGAGGTTTTGTTTCCATGGGGTACAGGCTTATTTCTTTTGCATCTCTGTTGCCTATGATCAAGCATTTTGAAAAGATTTTTAAAACGCTAGAATGCTGTTTAGAATCAGTAGTGGAATCAGTGTGCAGTGCAAACCATGGGCAGAAGTGTCTCTGTCATATCAAAAGCATTCTGAAAAAATGCTGTTCCCAGCCCACGGGAACAATGTGAATCGTTGTCTGTAGGCTTTTATTTACATCAAGTATTTGTTTAATAATAATAGAATGTGTTTGCAGTTTAATAAATTTTATAATGTATCCCTTGATAAACCTAATACACTGTAGGATTTTCACTATAAGTAAAGGCCACCCACTGAAGATAGTCACTAGTGTAACAATTCTATCTGGGAGCAAAAGTTTTTATTTAATGAGAACAGCTCAACTGTTGGCTCTGTCCTTCAGTCCTAATGACTTGTTTTACTAATGGGTGATACCAGTTTCAGATTGTTCCTCTGCGCAAAGAATCATCCTTAATCCATATCATCTTCATGGAAGCCCTAAACTGGTTGAGAGGCTATGTATAGATTTGGCTATATCCTCACTAAGTTAACATAGAGACCTCTGATATGCACCTCCAGGAGTGAGCAGAACAGACAAAGATATCACTGAGTGTGCCAAGATAACCAGCAACTTGAACACAACAGGATGCCTACCACTGGCTTGTAAAGCTTATTCTAGATGGGTTAAAAAGGGCAAGGCTATTTAGGAAGCGGGGAAGACTGGTGCAAAAAGTCCCTTTTCGGTAGTGCTGTATGAAAGAAACAAGCACTCAAAGGTACCCGATAACATATCCTAGTGTAGTGTAGGAACAAAAGGAAAGGCAACCTCTACGTCAGGCCTCACCAACATGATGCCCACAGGCACAAATGTGCCTGCAGAGGCCTTCCCTGGCACTGGGAAGGAGGTCCTCTCCTTCCACTGAAATTAACCTTGAAACGATTTCTTACAATTACGTCTGAAAAAACACAGATAGATTGTGCAGTTTATCTAGACTGGGCCTCTGTGTTCTCAATGTAATCCAAACACAGTCTTTGGAGATAACTGTTCTTTTTCCAGTCTGAAGAACTCAGGTTAATAATTTCCACTAAAGAAACCTCTTTAAAAATTAATTTTAACTTCTCTTGCCAGCTTGAGCTCATTATGAATTTTGGCCAACCTGACAATCACTCAGTAACTGTTGGCTCCTTGTATATATGCTTCCTCTCAATTCCTATATTCCAGTCGCGAACCTCATCCCACCATGTTTCAGTAATGCCTACCAGGTAATATTTGCCATCCTGTATTAAAAGCTCCAATTCGTCTTGCTTGTTTCCCATACTCTGTGCATTTGTGTCGAGAAAACTGAAACCAGGAATCATTCCCTCCAGCTGCTTCCTTATTGTAGTTTCTTAGCAGGATTCTGAAGCACCACCTCAGTGTTAAGACACTTAATGTGGAGTTCTTTTATATTATAATCCTGTTGGAAGGGTTCATTAATTATTCCCATTCTCATCTCTGACACCATGATAGGTTTAAGATGCAGCTCAGTAAAGGTTATATAGGGGTGGGTTGTTGTTTTTTTTAATGGCAGACATGGTAAGCATTTGGCACGTATACACTACAAGAGATGAACAAGAGCAACTGTGACATTATCTTCGTTTGCTAAAAATAGCACCCTTCAAAGTTTAAAGAAAAGTGTATTATGCTTGTTAACCTCTCCTGTGTCTGTCAGGCGTTATAGCATTAGGTGCAGCATTCCCTTTCAAGGCCTTTCCAGTGCTCAAACAATTGAAACTCAATACATTGTCAGCAATGAAAGGGGAGGGATAAATAGTTGTGGCACAGTCTGCATTAATCACCATAGAACAATGTAATACTATGAACTCTGTCCCATGCACATGCAACACTTAGGGAACATATAGGAATGGGCATTCTTTAGTGGCAGAACATCTTCAGGTTGGGCTGGGACCATAACCGGTCTGAAACCCTGGAGAGTCACTGCCAGTCAGTGTAGGAGGTACTGAGCTAGATGGACCCAATGATATGACTCAGTATGAGGGATTTCTCTCCTTTAATGTCACCTGCCCAATATCTCTAGCTAGATTTCTATTTTCAGGGAGCTCTTTATGGAAGGGATTCCATAAAGTGATACTCTTTGTTCCACCAGTACAACATTCTACTACCTCATTCCTATTGCTTTAGGCTACATGTATAGACCCCGTCTTGAGAGAAAGAATTGGAATAAAAACTAGAGAAAAGAATATTCTAGACCATGCTGTTTTCTGTACCTGACAGGCATTTTATGCTGGGCTTTACTTCTGAACTGCTGGTTCCTGCTTTGAGAGAATAACAGTGCAGTGGGGAGTGAACCAGCCTGTATGGTGCCAGTTCCCAGGTTTTTCCCTACTATTGAACCACTGAGCCAGTGTGGTGTAGTGGTCACGTAATCTGGGGAACCGGGTTCGCGTCCCCGCTCCTCCACATGCAGCTGCTGGGTGACCTTGGGCCAGTCACACTTCTTTGAAGTCTCTCAGCCCCACTCATCTCACAGAGTGTTTGTTGTGGGGGAGGAAGGGAAAGGAGAATGTTAGCCGCTTTGAGACTCCTTAAAGGGAGTGAAAGGTGGGATATCAAATCCAAACTCCTCCTTCTTCTTCATACCATCTCTTAGATAATGCCAAAGTAGAGGTAAATCCCATGTTTCAATAGGGACAGAAGAGAATTCTGTTCTGCATTTTTAAGCAAGCCAAGCTAATTTATACCTCTCAGATGTGTTGAAATATAATTATCATGCAGATTTCACACTCCTCTGAATTTTGTTATACAGTCCTTAGCTCAAAAACTCTACCAAAGTGCATTAAAAGTAGTATTTTTAGGATGCAGTACATCTTGAAATGTGCATATTGAGTTAAAATACATATTTACATTAGACTAATCCATACCTATTTTTAAACAGCTTTGAGGCTACAATGTTTTATTTTCTTCCCATACCTCATTCCTAATTGGCTGTCTTTCATAGATCGTCTCCCCACATGATTTACCCCAT